TTATAAAGATATAACTTAGAAAAATGAACATAATAATTTGTTGAAAAAAGAATTAATATTTGATAAATTGATAATGATTGTAAATATTTGTAATATAGTAAAATTAGTTTTGTAACCATTAAGAAATATTTATATTATATTTTGTTATAAAAAGAATTATTATATTTATTGTAAATGACTTTTAAATATTTTTTGAATACTCGATATTATAAAGATATAAAATTTGTATGGTATTAACTTAGAAAAATTAACATAATAAATTGTTATTAAAAAAAGAATTATTTGAATAGTAGTAATTGAATTTAAAAAATATTTAATTAATTGTTAATAAATTAGAAACAATCATTAATTATTTATGGTATAGAGATTTTTTAATTTTTTGGTAAAAATATGCAAGTATTCCGATTATGCTTATACTATACGAGTAATTTTAACTAATTACTAATTTAATTAATTATTTTATTATACACTAACAAATTAATTGGAAATTATACCATATTAATGAATTTAACAAATCTTTTAAAATAAAATATTATTAGAATATATTTATATACATGTCAATTAATATTATCAATCTTTATGAAATAATATACAAGATTAATATTGCTTTGTAAATACTTCTATATAAAGCCAAAAAATATATTATTATTATTTAGTCAATAAAAAAAATTCAATCATTCTCTTAAAATAACACTTATAAATTGAATTTATATTTTAAACAATTGAAATCAATAATTCTTTATAATCTAGTACTATAAAATATTTAATATAATAAATAAATTGATGATATATATTAAATTTTATGCCTTTCTTAAATCAGAAGTATTATTATAAAATAGTCTTAATAATATGTTTAAATTTTAAAATAGATATATTACATATGCTATAATAATCAAATTATAACAATTATTCATTCTTTTATAAATTAGTTTTCTAAATTAATTTTTTAGTTTCTAAATTAATCTCTTTTAGTTTTAATATTATTTTTTGTAATCATGTTTAAGAAAGTTTTAGAAAACTAAATAAGATATTAAATAAACATGATTAAAATTAATCTTAATAAAAATATCAAATAAGAAATTTGTAATCTAGTAATGAATTTTACTAACTAATCATAAGAAGAAATTTAAGAATCAAAAAATTTCAATTTAGTTATGCTATAGAACTATTAAAATGTCATCAAATGATTAGCTCAACTTATTAATTTTTGATGTTATTTAAACAATAAAAAAAAAAGCATCACAAAAATAAAATTAATAGTAGAATACTAATTAATAGTAAAGAATAGTATTATAATTATTTTAAAAAGATTTTGCTAAATTCAATATCAAAAATTCAATGATAAAAATAAGAAATAATAATAATATATAATCTTTAAAGTAGTTAGAGAATGAAAGTATACATACTAAATTCAAAAAAAATAAATATAAAGCTAAATTGATAATAATCATTAAATTTAGATTTGCTCTTCAAAAATTTGTTGATCATTAATTTATCTAACCTCATCAATCTTTGTTTCACTATTGCTAAAAGAAATATGTTAATTTCTTAATAAATTATCTGATTGGATTCTATCATCCTATGCATCAGATTCAGTAGATCTAATATAATTATAATTTAAGTTACAGTTATTATTAAGATAGTAACTTATTTTCAATTGAAGTGTTTTCTTTAATTGCATTTAATTTGTTTGAATAATATGATGTCATCATTTTAAACTGTTGATGGTCATTTTCTGTTTCATTAATTTTTCTTAATTCATTAATATATTCAAATTTTTAAGTGAGTTATCCATGCAATGTAACAGTTGCATTTTATAAAAATTCAGGTAGACCACTTTCTTCTAATGGTTTAGTAGGGTCTGAATAAGCTAAATATGGGATAATATCCTTTAAAGCCTTTCCAAAATCCATACTGGCTTCATATGGCATTTGTGATGGTAAGAAATCAATTGACATATACATAATATCATTTTGGGATTTGAAATCAAATTCATCATGTATTTATTGAGATATGGGATTAAAATAGTAAACAGGATGATCAGGATTAGTAAATTTCTTTAAAAATTAGATGGAACCTTCTAAATCACATGTTACATCACATACAGCTTGCAATCTACTATTTCCAGATTCAACTAATTCCTTAAATTTGAAATATGCTTTTTACTTTAATTTAGGAATCAGTAACATATCTAGGAAACTTGTATTCCCAATAAATATCGTTAACGAGGATAGTGAGATAAGGTAAATATTTCTAATGGAAAATAGGTTCATAATCTAATGGACTTTCATAATAATCTTAAGATGTGAATTCTTTGTGAATATCACGTTTATGTCTGACCAAATCTGTAGTTTTGAAAGGACAAACATAGATAGTATTTCTATGTTTTTTATCATCAGAGTTCCTTACTAGTTCTTTCAAATCATCCGGATTTACCAGTGTAATCTGAAGTTGCGACAAGGCTTCCAATGAGCCTTTACCACATGAACCAGTAGAACCCATTACTCCAATTATTAAAGGCAACCCTAACTTAGGAGGAAGTCCTCTTTCTTTAATCGCTTGGCCTGACTTCTATAAGGCTTCATAAGCATCTTTTTTATTATAATATTAGAAAGTAGGACCTATTTACAAGAATGGGGTATTCATGTCTCTTTTTAGTAAATACTTGCCGTATTCATTCAAGAATGTAATCATTCCTGCAATACCAGCATAAGGAAACGAGGTTATGTTAACACCCTAATTTAATATATTATTGATTTACGTTATCGTCATAAATTCTTTCATACTCCAAATGCCTAATATTTTTCTTAAGCATCACATCCAAGGCTGGCATATTATATGGTTCGCCTTCTAAAGTATGAGACCAATTTAAATATGTCATTCCTTCAATATATTTTTCAAGCGGGATTTCCTTTATACAAATAATTGCTCTGCAGATCGATAAATCTTCTTAAACTAAGCATCCAACTTCTAAGTATTAATCATCTGTGAATATTCTCTTAGTTGAAGGCTATACAACTATTTAAATTTGATTATGCTATGAATATTTTGAATTTAATTACTTTTTCCATAATATACTTGCAATCATGAGGGGGAATGGGTGTTCTTCTTTCCATATACGATTTATCTTCGGCTCGTATACCAATATACAATTTGTCCATGGTTTTTCAAAGTAAAAAAATATAATAAAGATATGATAATTTATTGTTTAGTATGTCATCGTAATAAATTACTCTATAAGATATACTAAATTTTATAATAATGAAAAATAATTACAATAATAAATCTTCATTTTTATATTATCAATAAATGTGATTATAACAATCAAATTCAAATATATATTTAAAAATATTTATATAGAAATCGAGCATTAATTACTAACCCTTTATTATCAAAATAATTGAGTTTAAATTTCAATATCTAACTTAAATCACTTATAATTTTATAATGATTTAATAAATGAAAAAAAAGAGGAATTAATTTGTAAAAACATCGTATACTATGTATACAATATAAAATAAAGATTAATAGATATAACATAAATGTTAACGTTAATCAAGAAATAGTTCACTAGATTGAAGATAATAATAAATAGTTTGGCTATAATTTTGATTAATATTATTAGAATTTTTTAAGTATTATGAATTATTTAACAACTCTGTATATTTAATCATATAAACCAAAATCAAAAGATATTCAATTATAATTCTATAAAATCATTTATCAATAGAATAAAACTTATATAATAATACAAAATATTTTAGCTTTATTTCTATTAAACTTGATTTTTTTTCAGAAAATAACTATTTATATATTGGGATATAGATAAAAATCATTATTTTTTTTATGTAACTTGGAATCCATCTTATCAATTTTTTATTGATAAGATGGATTCCAAATCTAATTTTTGGTTCTAATATGTTTATGTATCTATATATTCTTCTTGATTATTTTTAAGTTGTTTAAAAATTATTCGATTATTTTTAAGTTGTTTAAAAATTTTTTGATTCCAAACACTCTAAATACTTTTTTTTTAATGATTATTCATTTTCTCCTCTTACTCACACCAAATTTCCTCCTATTACTCATGAAACTCTGAAAAAGTGTTTCGAAAATAATACTAAAGCCTAAAACGAAAATCATAAAAATCATTCAAAACAGTTGTTTCCATTTGCCTGAAATAATTATTTTAATTTATTTGACTAAATGTTGGTATATAAGGAATGAGGCTTTTGGCCTATTCCTCCTAATCCTAAATTATAGTCAGATAAAATAATATTAAATTTAATAAACTCTAATCTGCTTATAAACACCAGCAATTTTAATTACGAATTCTATTATATTTAATACGTACTTTATTTATTATTAATAAACTTAAACACAATATTAAAAATAATCTAATTATAAATGATTATTTTCTATTTATATTTAATTAAGTATGTGATGATTTACAATTGACAGTATGTATATTTTAATAAGTGAATCTAAAGATATGAAGATAATTGAATGATAATTAAGAATTTTTCATTTTAATAATATAATTTATCCTTAGATTAATAACCATATCTATTATTTTTTTATTTTTATATAAAATCAAAGAGTTTTATATAAAAATACTTTATTTAATTAAAATAATATCAATTATGATTTTTTTTATTATTATCATAATTGTTGTTTATGTTCTTTATAGAATAATTTTGAAACCATTGATTCCATTATTGATATTAAAGCTGTAATTTGGAAAGTAGGCTTATTTATGGTATGCACCAATTTGGGGTTTATTAAAATACAATTTTAGATCTTTGAAATAAAATGGAGATTTTTTTGATGATCTGAGAAAGAGAATGAGATAAAATCCTAAAGTAAAAATGTTGTTGACAAATTTCTTGGATAAACCATTTATAAATTTTGTGGATAGTGAATATGTTAAGAAAATGTATTTGGATCATTAAAATTTCCCAAAATTTAATTTGCTTAGATATGAGTATAAAATGAATTTTATTTAGTAATTTGATTGATAAAGGATTATTAATGGCAGAAGGTGAAGAATGGAAGCATTAGAGAAATTTATTAGGATCAGCATTTACTTTTGAGAAATTAAAATCAAGGATTCCTATGATAAATTAGATAGTAAAAGAAAGATGTATTTTGGATCCAAAAACTAACTCTTTTGACTTTATATCATGGATAACAGGTGAAGTAGTTATTCATAGTTTTTTTGGTGAAATTGCAAAAGGATTAATTATAAATGGGAAACCTGGATAGGTAGAAATAGTAAATTTAGTTGCTGATATAATGTTGTAAAGATTTAAAAATACTTACACTTAAATTAAATTAATGATATTAGGTAATAAAGGATGGAGAATATTGGCAACTAAAAAGGAGAAAGATATAAACAATCGAGTAGATATGCTTAGGAATACTGTTAAGTAGCTTATTGAGAAAAGATTGGAATAATTATAAGTAGAAAATTAAAGAGAGAAATAGAAAGATCAATTCTTTTTAGACATTTATTTAAATGAATTATTGAAATAATAATAAGACAATGAAAGAAATAAAATAAATATAGATCTTGAAAATGTATTATAGTAGTTTTTGACATTATTTTTTGCTGGAACAGACACAACAGCAACAATGACTATAACTTGTCTTGTTTATTTGGCAAAATATCCAGATATTCAAAATGAATTATTATAAGAGATTTAAGATTTAATATAAGATTAAGATGTATAAGATAATCATCTTACAAAATTTGTAAAAATGAATGCATTTATAAATGTAAATTATTATATATTTTATAGGAAGTTTTCAGATTAAGAAATCCCGCATTTTCACCTTTTGTAAGATTGGTCTAAAAAGATATGCAATTTTTGGATATCAAACTTAAGAAAGGTATAATATATCCAATATATATTAGGATGGATGGTAGTCTAAAGACATGATATTCCTGTAATAAGACATGAGCATTTTAGTAATCCTGAAGAATTTGATTATAAGAGATGGTTGATTAATTAAGGAAATATTCAATCTGATAATGGTTTTGTTCATATTCCATTTGGTGCAGGAGGAAGAAATTGTATTGGTCAACATATGGCTTTAATGGAATTAAAAATCATCTTATGTCATATCATAAGGAAATTTTAAGTTAGTCTTAATCCAGATGTTTAAATTAAGTTTGGTATCAGATTTCTTTATGGTGCAGAACCTGAAAATTGTTTGATCTATAAAGAAAGGAGATGAGTTATTAAATTATTCAGTTATATTATATATATATGAAAATATATAAGATATTTAATATAAAGAATCAAAATCATAGAATCATACTAAATTCATAGTATTCTAAAAATTAAATAGTAATAATACAAAGATTCTTAGATTGGCTATGAATAGAAAAACTGTTCTTCTATTTTCTCCTTCCATTTCTCAAATAGACTTATATTCAATAAAATTGATTCATTCTTTTTTGTACACTCAATTCCTAGTTGAGTAATAATATTCTCTAATCTCATTATTTAATTTTCTTGTCCATTACTCCTTTTAGCTTTAAGCAAAATGAGTTATTAACTTGGATTATCAATTGATTATTGTTAATGTCTAAAAATTTATGAGTCTATTCTACCCAATAAGAGCATTTCTATAGGTATCATTGTATTGAGAGTGATTATCTTAAAAAGAAAAATTGAAATACTAAGCATCCTATATTTTTGATCTATTGGATACGGAACTCATTTATTTTTAGTTATTTTATGTCATATTTTATTTTAGTAGATATAAATGAGATCTATTTGGATTATGGAATGACAATAAGTATTATTTTTAGAGGATTCAATATAAAAGAGAGGATTTTAGGTGAAATTTATTGAATAATATAGTGAGTTTTATGATTTTGAGATATATACAATTCTCTAGTTCTTCTAAATAAATTATTACTCTTTTCTATTCAGTTTTAAAAGCAATTTCAACAATTTTTGGTCATAATTAAATAAGTATAAGTTATTTAAATGTTTCATTAAGGATAGTTAAGATATTTTTCTATTTATCAAAGGCAGACATAATAGAATTAGAATTAATTTAATTTAATAAAAAAGTAATAATATGATGAATTATAGTTAATTCTATTTAATTAGAGTTGGATTCATAAATACTATTAATAATATTGACTAATTTCAATATTTTATGTTAAATAATATACTAATTTTTATATATGCATAGTAATTATAATTAAGGGTTAATAATTGGGTTATGTGGAAGACTAGGGTAAACATGATTTTAATGTAGATCTGGTAAAGAAGAGGTAGCATAGATCATTAGTAAAAACTCAGGTATGGAATGTCAAGTGATTTCAATCACAGAGACTATGAATATTAAAGAATTCTTAAATGATGCTTTAAAAAAGATGAATGATAAATAAATGAGTTTAGATGTTAGTTGTTATAATACTAACTAATTAGAAGAATTAGAATAATTATTAAAAGATATTAGAGATCAACACTTTCACCCACATTCAACTTAACAAAAATTAGAAAGTTGTTTGATTTATAATCCTAGACATCAAATACTTTATCCAATTACTGATAAATATGAATTAGAATTATTATATCAAAGAAACTATTTTCATTTAATAGCAGTAGAAGCACCCATTATAAAAAGGTATGAAAATTTTATGAAAAAATATTAATTAAATATACCACTTGATTTATTTTGTATTATTGATGATGTTATATCTGATAATATTTCAGAATTTATGCATAAAGCCAAAGTCTAATTAGGCAATGTAGGAGATTAAAAAGATCTATTAATAAGTTTTTATAAAAAGTATTAAGATATTTTCAGACCCATAAGACCTAATTGGAATTAATACTTTATGCATATAGCTAATGTTGTTAAATAAAGATCAAATTGTATGAAAAGGGCTGTTGGTGTTGTTATTGTAAAAGCTAATAGAATTGTTGCAACTGGTTATAATGGTACACCTTATGGTAAATAAAATTGTTGGGAAAAAGGATGTGATAGATGCAATCAAAATACAAAATAAGGAGTTGATTTAGAAAAATGTTTTTGTTTTCATGCTGAAGAAAGTGCTATATTAGAAATTGGTACTAAAAAGTCTAAAAATATGGTTATGTATACTACTTTATTTCCATGTTTATAATGTACAAAGATCATTTTATCAACAAAAATTGATAGGATATATTATGAAGAAGATTATGATAAAAGTGCTGCCAAAAGTGAGCTTCATAAATATGTTAAAGTCGAATAAATTGATTCTAGTCATTATGTATATTGATTATGATAAATTAAAAAATTAATGATCCTACAATAACCAAAATCTTTTATTCATCTCACTAAACTTAATCAGATACAAATATTGTTTTCTCTCATTCAATCGATTTAAGTCCCAAGACTTAATCAAATAAAGATTTTAACACAGATAAATTAAGTTTTGAAAATATTTTGTCTTCTAACGATGTTGATCTAGAATTTGAAGATTTTTATACAAAACCAACTTATTCATATTAAGTTGTATCTACTACTTTATCAATTACATCCTATGATTTAGATTAAACTTAAAAAAGCTTAGATATTCAACCCTATGCAAGTGTCTCTTATAATCAAAGAGATATACCATAGATAATCCTTACTTTAAGAAAAAGGAAACCTGTCTTAGTTTAAAATTCCTATAAGACTAATTTAAATCAAGATTCATGTAAAACTTTATCTAATTTTTCATCCCCTGATTCCTCACCTTTTCAAAATAAAAAATTATAGGTCAAATCATTTGCATTTATCTCTTAAAATTAAGAAGAAGAGGATGAAATATTTAGTATTTTCAATGATTCATCTAATTTTTATGGAATAATACCATAAACTAAAGTTGAGAGTATGAATCTTCTATAATAATTCTTCACCTTATATAAAATGAGGACAGGATAATTTCCTAAATAAAGAGAAAATATAGAGAATGAAATAATAATATCAATTGCAATGAATTTAACTAAAATAGACAAATAACTATTTAAAAAATATTTCCCTACAAAAAAAGTGTATTTTGATGATGAAAATGATTATACAAGAATAAAGGTAATTTAGAGAAAGGAATAAAGATAACTAACTTAAGTTATCACTCCAAACATTTAATATATTTTAAATTGAATTAATTATAATATTTAAATTCATATAACTAAGATCTATTATATTTATTCATAATGGATTTATACAATTACCACAATATTATTATTTCTTATTCATTTCATTATTTTTATATTTTTTATATTTTATTTATGTATAATCTTACAATTATTAATAATTTATATAATTAAATGTTCATAAATATTATTATATATTATAGATGGGTTTGAATTATTTGTAAAAGAAAAATTGGCATCCAGGATCTTTAAAGAATTAAGAAATTGTTTGGATCAGAGAATAAATTTAAGCTGATATAATTAAGAGGGAATAAGAAAGAGCTAAGAAGTTGGCAGAAGAAAAAAATATTGAGGAATTGAAAAGAATTTAAGTGGAGGCTGGTTTAATTCCAAAAAGTCATTTAGATAGAATGGAATGGATGTATGATGTTAGTAAACATGAAAAATAAAATTAAAATTCAGCTGAAGAGTATTTAATTATTTATATTTTCAGATATCTCCTTGGTAAAACTGCTACCTCTTAAGAAGTGGAGAAATTAGCTGATTAAAGAGAAAAGATTAAATAAACTTAATAATATTAAACTGTTTTCAAAGAAGAAACTACAAATATAAGATGTGAAGATTTTGTACTTGTTCATGAGGATCCTATGTTCCAAATAATGAAAGGGGTATATAATTTTAATATTAAAATTAGGAATAATAAGTGAAATAAGTATTATTATAAAATCCCTTGAAAGTAAAATAACTTTAAGAGAAGATAGAAGCAAATAAAAAAATAAAGAAAGAAAAATCACATAAAGATAAAAAAGATAAGAAGAAAGATAAAAAAGATAAAAAATCATCAAAAAAAAGTAAGAAACATAATAGATCCAGTAGCTCCAGTATTTCATCTTAAAGTTCTAAGGAACATGAGATTTCTACTGCTATTTCAACAGGCTCATCACATTCTTAAATTTATAAATAATATTTAAAAGAAAGATTAGGAAATATTGCAGTTACTGATGAAAATGGAAATGTGAAAGCAGATTTCAGTTTAATGAAAAAAAAAAATAGAAAAAATTTACATCCTTAATAATCACATGAAGAATTACGTAATTAAATGGCTGCTGATGGATAATAAAGACTTTAATAATAATTAAAATAAGTTGAATAAGAACCTAAATAATAATAATAGTAATAAGGAGGAGGATAATTTTTAAATAAAATAAGGAAAGAAATCTATAATTAAAATGATTAAAATGCCTATTAAGATAGAATCAAAAGAAATAGACATTTTTAAGAAAGATTTAATGAATGATAGTACATAAAAAATAATATTATTAGAAACATTACACTTCAAATTATCATTTCTTATTTTCATTTGATAATTCATCTAATAAATCTTATAATTTTGCATTATGAATTTTCTCTTAATATTTTTAGATGAATTCACCTAATAATTCTCCAGATAACATTTTTTCCATACCATACATTGTTAAATTAGTTCTATGATCAGTTATTCTTTCTTATGGAAAATTATATGTTCTAATTTTATCACTTCTATCAGATCCAGCAACTTAACTTTTTCTAGATTAAGCCATTCTTTCTTATTTCTCTTATACATGAATAGCAAATAATTTATCTCTTAATATTTAATAAGCTCTTTATTTATTTCTCTCTTAACTTCTATCTTCCATATTTACAACTTAAATTCCAGTTGGAATATGAGTGATTCTACAAGCACTTTCAGTTTTATTAACATGTTAACCACCTGGTCCACTTGCTTTCATAAATTCATATTTTAAATCTTTATCACTTAAATGAAAGTTATCAGTTACTTTTGGAAGTACAATCATAGAGGCTGTACTAGAATGTAATCTACCCTTAGCTTCTGTTTCTGGAACTCTAATAACTTTATGTACTCCAGATTCACACTTTAATTACTAATATACATTATCACCAGTTATTTATAGAATTCCTGTTTTACAACCTTTACCAATCTAAGTATCTTTTTATATTGATATTACCTTATAATTAAATTATAAAATTACTCTACAATCCCAATTTTAAAGACTAGCATAATTCTATATCATTCCAATAATATCTTCAGCAAATAATGAACCTTCACTACCTCCAACACCTGCTCTCACTTCTACATTAAGTTATCTTATGTGATCATATTCATCTTATTCTATCAATTATGTAAGTGCTTCATCCTAATATTTCTTTAGATATTCAATTNCTGTTTCAACAGGTTCATCACATTCTTAAATTTATTAATAATATTTAAAAGAAAGATTAGGAAATATTGCAGTTACTGATGAACATGGAAATGTTAAAGCAGATTTCAGTCTAATGAAAAAAAAATATAGAAATAATTTAAATCCTTCATAATCTCATGAAGAATTACGTAATTAAATGGCTGCTGATGGATAAAAAAGACTTTAATAATAATTAAAATAAATTGAAGAAGAACCTAAATAATAATAATAATAAGGAGGAGGATAATTTTTAAATAAAATAAGGAAAGAAATCTATAATTAAAATGATTAAAATGCCTATCAAGATAGAATCAAAAGAAATAGACATTTCTAAGAAAGATTTAATGAATGATAGTACATAAAATATAATATTATTATAAACAACATACACATCAAATCATCATTTCTTATTTTCATTTGATAATTCATCTAATAAATCTTATAATTTTGCATTATGAATTTTCTCTTAATATTTTTAGATGAATTCTCCTAATAATTCTCCAGATAACATTTTTTCCATACCATACATTGTTAAATTAGTTCTATGATCAGTTATTCTTTCTTATGGAAAATTATATGTTCTAATTTTATCACTTCTATCAGATCCAGCAACTTAACTTTTTCTAGATTAAGCCATTCTTTCTTATTTCTCTTATACATGAATAGCAAATAATTTATCTCTTAATATTTAATATGCTCTTTATTTATTTCTCTCTTAACTTCTATCTTCCATATTTACAACTTAAATTCCAGTTGGAATATGAGTGATTCTACAAGCACTTTCAGTTTTATTAACATGTTAACCACCTGGTCCACTTGCTTTCATAAATTCATATTTTAAATCTTTATCACTTAAATGAAAGTTATCTGTTACTTTTGGAAGTACAATCATAGAGGCTGTACTTGAATGTAATCTACCCTTAGCTTCTGTTTCTGGAACTCTAATAACTTTATGTACTCCAGATTCACACTTTAATTACTAATATACATTATCACCAGTTATTTATAGAATACCTGTTTTACAACCTTTACCAATCTAAGTATCTTTTTATATTGATATTACCTTATAATAAAATTATAAAATTACTCTACAATCCCAATTTTAAAGACTAGCATAATTCTATATCATTCCAATAATATCTTCAGCAAATAATGAACCTTCACTACCTCCAACACCTGCTCTCACTTCTACATTAAGTTATCTTATGTGATCATATTCATCTTATTCTATCAATTATGTAAGTGCTTCATCCTAATATTTCTTTAGATATTCAATTTATGTCTAAATTTAATTATAATATTTAATACTTAAATTTCTTCATTTAACATTGATATTTCATCTGAAGATCCACCCAAACCAATTAATTATTTTGCATCTTCAATAACAGATACACTTGCTTAAATTTATTTATAGATATGTATTTTAGGTTGTAATTCATTCATTCTTCTTCTTTTTATTTCATTCATGTCTCCACTTAGATATTAATGAAGTGTGATTACTTAATTGTATGTTCTTAATACATTTCATATTCAGTATTTAATTCACCTAATCTTTAATTTATCAAATATAATGTTTTGCTTATATTGTTTAAAGTATTGCTAAATTAGAATCGATTAAGATGACAATTAAGAATGAATTTTTTGATCATAAATAATTTTTAATAAAAAATTCATTATGTTTCAAAACTAAAAACTTCGAAAGAATATTCAGAGACAACTCCAAATAGATTATTTTGACAACAGAAATTATCTATATCATAATTCTTAGTTAATCCAAAGCATGGTTCAAGATATTTATCACCTTCATAAAGAATTATTTATCTATCTAAACCTGCTGTTACTAAAGAACTAATTATTATCTAATATTTAATTACTTTCTATCTTAAAACCATTCAGCTTTAACAATTTATCTATGATCAGTTCTAATTCTTTTATATTTATTTTTAAAATCTCTTGTATCATAAAAATCAATAAGACCAGCCTCATAATCTATAGCAATTAAGTTATTTTCTTATTTTTTATTCCAGATCACTTAATTGTATTATAATTTGCCTTTAATTTTGTGCATACCCATTTTAGTTCTGATATCATAGATACCAATTTAATTATAATTATTTAGAAATGCTAAGATGTTTGAATCACGACCTACATTTAAATCTAAAGTATATTANCCTGTTTTACAACCTTTACCAATCTAAGTATCTTTTTGTATTGATATTACCTTATAATAAAATTATAAAATTACTCTACAATCCCAATTTTAAAGACTAGCATAATTCTATATCATTCCAATAATATCTTCAGCAAATAATGAACCTTCACTACCTCCAACACCTGCTCTCACTTCTACATTAAGTTATCTTATGTGATCATATTCATCTTATTCTATCAATTATGTAAGTGCTTCATCTTAATATTTCTTTAGATATTCAATTTATGTCTAAATTTAATTATAATATTTAATACTTAAATTTCTTCATTTAACATTGATATTTCATCTGAAGTTCCACCCAAACTAATTAATTATTTTGCATCTTCAATAACAGATACACTTGCTTAAATTTATTTATAGATATGTATTTTAGGTTGTAATTCATTCATTCTTCTTCTTTTTATTTCATTCATTTCTCCACTTAGATATTAATGAAGTGTGATTACTTAATTGTATGTTCTTAATACATTTCATATTCAGTATTTAATTCTCCTAATCTTTAATTTATCAAATATAATGTTTTGCTTATATTGTTTAAAGTATTGCTAAATTAGAATCGATTAAGATGGCAATTAAGAATGAATTTTTTGATCATAAATAATTTTTAATAAAAAATTCATTATGTTTCAAAACTAAAAACTTCGAAAGAATATTCAGAGACAACTCCAAATAGATTGTTTTGACAACAGAAATTATCAATATCGTAATTCTTAGTTAAACAAAGACATGGTTCCAAATATTTATCACCTTCATAAAGTATTATTTATCTATCTAATCCTGCTGTAACTAAAGAACTAATTATTATATAATATTTAATTACTTTCTATCTTAAAACCATTCAGCTTTAACAATTTATCTATGATCAGTTCTAATTCTTTTATATTTATTTTTAAAATCTCTAGTATCATAAAAATCAATAAGACCAGCCTCATAATCTATAGCAATTAAGTTATTTTCTTATTTTTTATTCCAGATCACTTAATTGTATTATAATTTGCCTTTAATTTTGTGCATACCCATTTTAGTTCTGATATCATAGATACCAATTTAATTATAATTATTTAGAAATGCTAAGATGTTTGAATCACGACCTAAATTTAAATCTAAAGTGTATTAATCTGGCTCTTTGCTTATGTCATATGCAATAAATTAATATTAACATTTTCTCTTTTCAAGATCCCATATCCTTATTGTAGGATCTAAAGAACCAGAGACTAAAAGTCAAATAAGTGAAAATATATACTTAATCTATTTTGCTATTCATAATGAAAATCTAAGGCAAATGTAGGACCGACATACTCTTTGCTTAAAGGGATTAAATCACAAATATGACTGATTTTTTAGTCTTCTGATTTAAATATTTAAAGTTTTTCACCAGCAGAGACAAATCTGTCATTTCCTTCAGTTTGATTTAGAAATAATAATTTAGCACTAAATGCATTATGCAAATGATATGTTTTAATTTTGTAACCTTCTTGAGCTGATTGCAATTCTATAATATAGATGAATTGATAGTTTACATATAATTTATTATCCTCCTGAACCAATAGTCCCCAATATGATTCTTTGATTATCTATAGTACTTTTAGGAGATATGGCACATGCGTATATTAATTTGGAATGAACAAATTAATTTGAATTTGTATTTAGCATAAATGTTTATAATTTTTGAATAAATCAATAATTCCTATTGCTATAACCACTCTTTCTTACATCTCCATCCCCATAAGTACCCTAAATATATATATATTGAACTATACTCCTGAAGTCTTTGCAGTTGTCTTAATAGTAGATGTAGTTTGAGTGACCATTTTTCTTTTTTAAATACTTTCTATTTAAGCTTCAGTCATAGTGATATCTTCTTCAATATCATGAAATTTCTTATTTAATTCTGAAAACTTCTTCTTCCATTTAGCTAATTCTTATGATTAAGCTTCAACTTAAGCGGATGCCTATTCTTCTGCATTTTCTAAATTATATGTAGCATCATTTATTTATTATTGTAATTCATCAATCTCTTTCTAATTCTCTCTTAGAATTCCTTATAATCTTTCAATTTCACTTTGTAATTATCTTATCTATTTAGTTCATATTAATTTATTTAATATACTTTCCCTTCATCTTCCACTACTACTTATTTGGATTGAACCTATTTCACCGGACCCTTCTTTAACATCAATTATAATTCAATTAATTATTTCTCCAGCAATAATACTTTGCTTCTCCAAGGACCTTCTATTTCATCTACTGAAATAACATTTATTGGACGATTCACATGATGTAATTCATGAATGACTGGTACATGTTCCACATTATGAACTATTTAATTTTATTTATATCTATATACTGACTGAAGGTTGTTGCACTGTTTATTAAACTTATTATTATTAAATTATAGGTGATGTGATAACTTATGGAGATTGTTACATCACTCTTTAGGACACAATTCTTTGGGGAGTTGAATATGATGGAACCCCATAATTTGCCCCATTTAATCCGTATTCTAATATTTTAAGCATTTAATACGATTTCCATATTGTATTTATTAATTTTACTAAATGACAGAAGGTGAACTTAATCCTTATGTAATACCTTGATTACCTTAATAAATAGGACCTAATATAATATAAAATATTCTAAACCTCCTTGTTATTAATATAGTGATGGTTATACATTAGTCATTGATTATTAACCAGGGTAAAATGTTGGAAAATTGTTAGTGGCCATATTAAATTAACAATAAAAATTTATTAAACAAATATATTATTATTAAAGTCAATAGATTTTGTAATTATTCATTTTAAAATAACATAAATATATATATAAATAAATGTTATCAGAGTAATCAAGAACTAATTTATTTTTTTTCAAAAATCATTCATTTTTAAAGAGTATCCCTTAAAATTGAATTTTTTCCATTGAAAATTAATTCAAATTTTGTAATTAAAAATAATTGTTCATTTTTTCATTAATTTATATCAATTAATTAACAAGAGATAAATTGAAAAAATGGATATGAACTATTATCACTCATCATTTCTAAATTATTTTACTAATCTATTTAAGCATTGAATAAATTTGGAGATATAATCAAAAAAATAAAAAATCTTGGACTTACCGATTTTATAATTTTAAAGTTCATTTTCAGTCATTACGGTATTGATATATTTATTTTTCTTAAATGCTACTTTCACTCAAAATATTAATTTATCAAAAATTGACAAAACAGTTTTTCATACACTTCCAACATTATAGTCCTAGTGTTTTTATTTAAAATAGCAGTTAACTAATTGAGATATAACTATTCAATAATATTTAAACTAAAATAATGGTTAAATATTACATGATACTGGCTCATGATTAAACAATTTCATAATGATGGTATTTCTAATTTCTTCATTAAACCAACAGGGACTTAGAGAGTAGATTTAATATAATATATCCTGACCTTAAGAAGAGATTAAGTTAATAATAGTTTCAATTTTAAATCAGGTACAATCTTAACTGAACCATCCTTCCAATAAAATTGTTGTTATAATATACAATTTTTATGATTATCATTAATAACAGTATTCAAAAAAAACGAATTATTGATTGATTTGTGGGGGTGTGATAAATGTGTGAATGAATTAATCTATTGATGATTTATTATTATTATAAAATGAACAAATTTACATTAAGATTTCCACCGTAACTGGAGAGTAAATATGAAGAATTTACTAGAGAATCATGTTTATTTCATTTTAAATATTATCAACCAATCTTAATTATCATCAATTTAAGTGTTGCTATAATATAACTAAAAGGAGGATAGATAGCAAATGGACTATTGGAATCAATCACAACATTGTTTTTTATTTTACAAATTCCTTTTATTATGAAATTTCGTAAAGGAAAGAATATAGGTGGTATATTTGTAATGAATAATTTGATTATGACTGCAATATAGATTTTAGTGGATAGAAATACACCTGAATATGATAATTAATATATATCAGGATGCGGAATTGTAATTATCAATATTACATTATTGGAACATTATGATTTTGTATGGAACGCTTTTTCTTTAATTACTATTACAACTGCTCGTTTAATTTATATTTTATTTTATTTTTCTTTCGATGGAATGGCTATTCTTTACATAGTTGTATCACTATATTTATTCATACTACTATATAGAAAATCATATATGAAGAGAGCTTTATTTATATAATATGAGAATGAAAAAGAAATAAGTATTTATTAGACACTATTAATATAGGAAATATTTTAAATGAAATAATTGAAAATATTTATATATAGTTTAAATTTGATAAAAAATCATTTTAATTTGAATTAAAGTATGCAAACTTTTATGCTGAGCAAAAATTAGGAATCTCTTGCAATCAAGATTTTAAAGATTTCTTACATCAATACTCTATTTATGATACATCATAAAAAGAAAAAGGTAATTTAAAATTAATTCAAAATCAACAACGTAGTATTGCATTAGATTCTCAATATATAGGATAATTTTTATATGAAAAAATGATTATATAGAAAACTCCTTAAAAAAAGATTGAATCAATTATTCAAAAAAATAGTTCGAAATAGTTATATAATATAAAAGTTTATTCTTATTAAAATGAAAATAGGGAAATTTTAATGTTAATGGAATAAAGATAAGATATTTTACATGATGATGAAAAATTGAAATAAAAAGATTAGGAAATAAAATTATTATCAAGCAAATTAGATTAGATTAATTTAAGAACAAACAAATAATTATTTTAATTATGTTAATTATAATAAAATTGTGATGATAGATATTATTTAAAAGTTAGTGAATCTTTAATAAGTGGATAGATTATATCAAATACAAAGATTAAAATGATCTTAGATGCATTTTAGATCTATTATTTTAAATTTAATCATTCAAATTTAGAAACATTTTCATTAAAGAATCTAATATATTAATCTTTAATGATTATGAATACTGTTGCTGATGTAGAAAATAAATCTATTTAATTTGAATCTAATTTATCAGAACATTTTGTTATTACATCAATATAACATATAATCTAATTTATATTCTCAAATCTTTTATATTTATTTCTTATTTAAAAGTCTCATAAACATATTAAAATAGAATTAAATAATCTCAACAATGATTAATGTATAGCTATAAACTTTTATATTGATGGTTTCATTTCATTAGAATTCTTAAGATAAAATACATTTATTATTTAAATGATATATAAAGGATTATAAATAGTTGGACCAAAAGCAGAAATTACTACTACCTCATTCTCTTTAGATACATGTATAATTATTATATCTATTTTAGGTCCTTATTTATTATATGTTAAGATATATAAAAACCTAGATTATGTTCTAAATGAATGAATAATTGTCAATATTATTTATTAATTATAATATGAATTAAACGTAAACTAATTTATCTCAAGTGAGACAAAAAGAAAAGGTCTCTTTAAATGATGGATTACCTAAAATTGAACCAAGAATAGTAATCGAAGAACTTAAAAGCCATTTGTATTCTGATGACAACTTTAAAAAGTATCAGTTACGATAATGAAGATAGATTATTTTCAGATGCTGAAGATAAGAAATATAGAGAAAACTTTTAATTATTTGATAGAGATGGTGATGAAAGAATTAGTTTTACTGAATTATAAGAATTATTGACATCTATAGGATATATTTATGAAGAATAAGAATTAAGTGAATTATATAAAGAACTTGAAGATTCAGAAGGATAAGGAATAAGATCTGATGCTCTATTTATTTTAGTTAGTAAAAAGAAAAGAGAATAAGATAGAGAAGAATAATTAATCGAAGGTAAAAAATTCAAAATACTATTATTCTAGCATTTAAATCTGTTGATTTGGAAAATACAGGATATATTTAAAGTGAATATTTTAAAGAATTATTAATGACAATGGGTTACAGATTTACTGAAGATGAGGCAGATGAGTATATGAAATTCATAGATCCAAAAAACGAAGGGAAATTCTTATATATAGATATTGTTAAAAAAATACTTAAATGAATTAAGATAATATTATTATCATAGTATATTTTATTTTCATCTTATATCCTTGGATATATAATATATAGTAATCAAGATTTTAGAATATGTTTATATTTATAGATATTGTATTCATATTTTATCATTAAAAATAATATTAAATTTAATAAAAGTTATTTTCGAATATTATATAAAACAGAATTGATATTATTAAGAATAATTATATTAACAAAATTACTTAAATATAGGGAATTTCAAAGAATTTAATCACTTTAGAAATATAATGATTGATATAATTATTGTAATCTATTTTTTATAAAATATATTTGATGTAAAATTAAATTATAATATAGGAACAAGAAATTATCAAAGCAAGATATAAATTATAAATATTTCAAAATAATGTTGATAAAATCCTTAAATATGGATATGGTATTGAACATTTGAATAATTTAAATATTGAAATTGAATAAATACAATATCCAATATATTAAATGAATAAGATGCCAGATTTAAATCCTGAAATTATGAAATAGGTTCTTGAAATTAATGATAAAATAAATAATTATAAAATTATGTTAGATAAAAAGACTAAGGAATTAAAAGAAAAAAATAATACATATGCAAAACCAAATTCATTTAACTTAGATTCATTAGATTAATGTGATGATAAATATTTTTTGAAAAATTAAAACTTAAAAATGTAAAGATAAATTAGAACATTAGAAGAGAATTAAGAAATTTAAAATATAAAAATGCAAAACCTTTAAGATTAATTAAATATTCTAATAAAATAAAATATAGACTTATAAAATCAAGTATAATAATTGAATAATTAAATTATACAAAATAAGAATTAAATTGAAGAGAAAAGCGTAAGGATCAATTCAGTAGAGAATTAGGTTTAATAGATATAACAAAATATAAATAGCAATAATTGTTTTACATTCTCTGATTAATAATTACAAAATTCATAAGTAATTTAGTTCCTGTCGAATTAATTTGGATAATTTAACAATTAATCATCGAATGTTAACTAAGAATTAGCAAGAATTTCATAATATTAATCTATTTAGCCTTCTGAAAACATTAATTATTGAATTATATATTTCAATTGAATAATAATTTAAAAAATTTCAATATTTATTATCAAACAATTTTAAATGAACACTTATTAAATTTCTTTTTAGTTGATATATCAAATTAAATAAAGTTTACTTTGCATAAAATAATATATTTTTATATTATATTATATAATTGTAAAGATATATTATTTTTTTATTAATTAGATAAATAATTCATGTAATTTTTTATTATAAAAATTTAATAATGTATTTGTAGACATAAAAAATATAAGTGAAAATATATCTGGAAGAGAAGCTTCTTTAATATTATTATATGTTGGAGCATCAATGAATAGTTAATATTAATAGGGTGGAAATAAGAATTTGAGTAGATTAGAATTGGCAGTATATTGTTTAGGATTGATGATTTAATAAAAGATATTTAATTATAAGAATCATGAAGTTGGATTGAAAGAAGCACCAGATGGTAAAAAATTGTACATCTAAGATTTATCAATTCCAGATTTAGATTTCTTTAGAAATCTTATAATGTTGCATAATAAGTAGGTGGAGATATTATTTGATGCATTGGATAAAGCAGTAAATGCATTAGATGATCATACTAAAACAAAAAAATTGAAAAGAAGATATTTATATTAACAGCTGGTTGTGGATAAACTGATTATAGTGAAATATAGATAACTAAATTAATTAATATGATTGAAAAAGTAGATGTTAAAATTAATTTTATTGCTCTTGATTTTATGAATGATTATAATGGAGATATCGATGATCCTGATAAATCTGAAGAATTTGAAGCTCTTAATAATGGAATGCTTACAGCTTCATATCAATGTTAAGAATAATTTATTAATTCTCGTTATGTATTTTTGATGGTTTAAGAATTAAGATATAATATGAGAATATTCCCAGCTAATGTTGCATTTGAATTATATTCTTAATTTCAAACTAGATCTTTATAAAAAACAGAGTAGAATTTTTAATTAATGATGAAATATTTATCCAAGTACTCATATATAAACGATTTTTCGAAGAGAGATTACCGAATCTTAAGAAACACTCTACTCTTGGTGAATTTCAAACAGTTATTCATAAGAATCATGTTAGAAATGATCTTATCTATTATAATCCAGAAGATCCTAATATGACACCAATAAAATAAGAAAATATTATTAGAGGATATTAATATGGTTGAAATCTAGCTCCTGTAGATTAAATAATGGAAGATAGATAAAATGAAATATTAATGTCCTCGTTAATTTTAATTATTAGGCTTTGTGGATTGATGTCATATACCTAGATATTATTATATATCAACTGTTGATATGGTCATGGCAGTAGAAAATCAGAAACAAAAAAAACAAAAAGCTTTGGCTGCTCTAGTTATTTCACTAATAGCAATTAGAAAAGTAGTAATAGCAAGATTTGTAGGCAGGTAGAAAACTGCACCTAAATTGATTATGTTATTACCACATAAATCAAAAAATTCATAGTGTTTCTGGATGATCTCATTACCTACAACTGAAGATATTAGACATTTTCAATTTGCTACTTTAAAGAGATCTGCTCCTCCATCATAAATGGCAGTTTCTACTATGATTAATAGTGTATGGATTTAGAAAAGATGCCTACAGAAGATGGATAATTTGAAGAACTTCTTAAAATGAAATATGTTGCTAATCCAACTAGATAATATTTTCAATAAATAGTCATGCATAAAGCCATTACTAGAACTGATGTATTACATCCTATATCAGCTCTTATTTTAGAGTATTTACATCCAGAAATAAAGGTTTATAATTATTCTAAAGAAGCACTTTATAAATAAAAACTGCTTTTAAATTTAAAGTTAATGAAATGAAAAAATAATCAGATAAGAAAGTATTTTGGAAACAACTATTTGAAGAATAATCAACAGAATAAGTTTAATAATAAGTTGAAGATGAAGTTGTAGAATTTAATTAAGAAGAAGAAATGGTTAATATGTTTGCTAAAAAAAATTAGGATTTAATAATGATATTATAAAAGAAATTGGAAATGTTGATCCTATATCAGATTCAAAAAAATGATTACAGAAATAGATAATTGATCTAGTTGATACTGCTTTATAATAAATACAAAAAGTGGTTATTTAATTTGTTGATCAAAGGTAATTTTAATCCAAAAAAACTTGAGTGTCTTTAATAAATATTTAAATGTTCTTAAAGAGATATATAGTCAACTTGTTTTTTGGGCTTAGATTGTTTATTAAGGAATCACTTTAATTAGTAATATAGAGAATTAGAAATCTAATATTATTGTTGATGAAGCATAAGAAGAATTATTTTATTTTAATAATATTAGTTTTTAAATAAAGAAGATATTAGTCATAAATAATTAGTTGATCAATTATAATATGAAGAAGAAGATTTATTGGCTGAGATTGATTGACTAATTTAACAATTTTTATTCAAATTTTTTATATTAATAATGTTCAAACTATCTAAATTATTTTATTCATTCAAACATTCTAGTAGATCTAACATTTAACATAATCTGTCTGATTTTAAAAAGAAAAGACGATAAGAATTACTATATAATATTGGTTTATATGGAGCTGCTTTTGGATGTGCTTTTGGTGCTGTCCCATTTTATAGATTGTGGTGTGAGCATTTTGGTTTGGAAGGAGATTATGATAAAAAGGATTATTCAATGAAAGGCAAAAAATGTATTTCCATTCTTATAATTTCTAAGTGGATGTCTTTAGAAAATATCATATTGAGTTTGGTGCAGAAACTGATCCTGAAGCCAATTGGGAATTTCTTCCAGTTTAATAGAATGTTACTGTTCATGCTGGAGAAACTGCATTAGTCTTTTATAGAGCTTACAATAGAAATGATTAAGCAGTAGTAGGTTTTTATATAATAATTATTTAAGGTTTTGCTACTTACTAAATTTTCCCTGAAGATGCAGGACTTTATTTTGCAAAAATTCAATGTTTCTGCTTTAATTAATAACTACTTAATCCAAAGGAAGAACTCTAATTACCCATTTACTTTTATTTAGAACCAGAGATCAATGAAGACCCACTTCTAAAAAAATGTGAAGATGTATAAATTCTTTATTTAATTTTATTTAGATAAAGATTATGTACAAATTCTATAAAGCCAAAAATTAGGAACTAGCATAATTAGCAGAGAATGAATATAAGACAGTAAAGAAAAATAAAATGATATTATAAAAATTAAGAGATGCAAAAAAATCAGGTGAATTAAGTGATGGTGAATTGAAAAAAATAAAAGTAATTTATTAATTCGAAATATATTAGAGTACTAAATTTACAGATCAAGAAATTGAAGATTTTGATGAATGGGCATATGATAATCCTTTAGAAGCTGCTGAAGCATAAAAGGAGTAATAAGAATCAAAAAATTGAATCTAATTATATATATATATATATATAATCATTATTATTTCATCATCATTTATTATCTTAGATTTGGAAATTGATTGATTATTTATAATTTAAAATTAGGTAGTCTACTCAATCCACAACCTTGTTTTTATTATATTACATATTTTGGATTGATTTAAGAAGTAGGCATTTAAGTATGGATTTCATAAGGTACTTCATAATCTTAATTATTTTATATCTTGTAACCGAGACGAGACTCTTTTGGTGAAGTTAATAATATTTTTCTTCTATCAGGAGTATGTGATTGAGTATTCCAACTACGACAAGTATTGTTACTAAAGTTTCTATTACTTTTAGACTCCTCTGGAATTTACAATAAGAACATAGGTTTGGAGAAGTGTAATATGTTCAATTATTTTTTATTCGCTACCACATTTTATGGTTTTCTTTTACACATCTCTGTAGTTTTTGGTTTTCCTTACTTGAGCAGTTTAAGGAAGGCATTTGGTTTAATGTAAAAATCTGAGTCGTCTTAAAATAACATTTATTTAATATGAATTATTAAATTAAGGGGAACTTTAACTATCATCTAGAAATCTTGGCATCATAATTAAATGAAACAACAAATATTACTATAAATGCGTTCTCATCAAAAATTAACTAGATCCCATTAGGATGCAAATTTTAATGGTTTAAAAAATCAGATAATGAACGAATTAAGATTGAGACATAGGGCAATATTTATCCTTGTAGCATATTCGATATTGGTTATAAGATTGAGGCAATTGTACAACCATTCGAATCAGGCTATGAAGGATAGGCTATAATAGAATTCTAAAAAATTCAAATTTCTAGCTAATTAGAAAATAAACTCTCATAATTATATCATAATAACATGAAGTAATTATTAGAGATGATTATATTAGATAATAGATAAATTGTAATGATTAAAATTGGATATTCTCTTTAGAGTATTTAGAAAATAGTACAAACTAATAAAAAATATAATATGGAGATTAATGTATTCTGTCTAATTAGAATTAACTATAAGTTTAGTTTAACAATTAAATAATGAAATTTAAATGTAAAGATGATAAAGGTAATATAAGTAAGTATAAATTAGATGCATTTTGTGCTTTCTTTATTTCAATGTAATCTTTAAAAAGAGTGCATTTAAAATTTATAGCTTATAACATAGGTAAATTGAATTAGAAATAGGTAAATTTTTAATCATTATTGAATGCTTAATTATTGTAATTAATAAATGAGAAATCAGTTATACCAATTAAGAAATTTGAACCTATTCAAAATAATATTATGATGGCTACAAGTTAAGATTTTAGAACAAATAATTAAATTTAAATAACATAATTAAAATAGGAAGTTATTTAAGTTTAAAATGAGAAACAGAAACTTTAATAATAAATTGATAAATTAATTAAAGACAATAAAGAATTAGGTATTAAATGAATAATAATATAATAGAAATTAATGGTAGATCTAATACTGCATCAAAAGATTAATTAGATAGTATGGATAGATTAATATAATCATTGAAAAATGAAGTATATTCTTTAAAATAGAGAGAAACTGATTTAATGAATTAAAATAGTAGATTAACAATGGCTTTAAATGAAAAGAATGATAAATGTGATAAATCATTATCTTAATCTTAATTTATTGATGAATTGAAACTCAAATAATATTAAGATATGTTATAAGAATGTAATAATGAGAAATTAAGATTATAAGAAGAATTAAATAAATATTAAAAATTTGGTTAATCATCAAGAACAAGTTAAAATAATGATGTAGAAAAAGAAAGATTAATATAAGTTAATTAGAAATTAATGTAAGAAATAGCAACATAAACAAATAAGATTAAAGAATTATAATTGGAATTAGAAATGATGAAAAATATGAGTAGAATCAGTATGTCTATGTCTATGATGGAAGATCCTGTTATGAAAACTAAAATTGAATAATTAGAATAAGAGAATTAATATTTATTGAAAAAAATCTCTATTTTAGAAGAAGAATTATCAAAAAAGAAATAACCAAAACCATAAAAATAATAATAGGATAAAGATTTATAAATATAGAAGTTAACTGAAGCTAATAAACGATATTTAGAAGAAAATTTGAAATTATTTGAAGAGATTAGATAATTAAGAGAGAAATTTGATTATTCATCTATATTATAAGGTTCAATAATGAAAGATTCATAAATTTAAGATAATGTTGTTAATCATTAATTAGAATAATAAATTGAAAGAATGTAATAAATACATAATTTAGAAATTTAAAAAATGAAAAAGAAAATAGAAAAATTAACAAATGATTTATAAGATTCTAATCAAATAAAAAAATAATTTGAATAATTAATTAAATAAAATAAAAGATTAGTTGAAGAGAATACACATTTAACTGAATAAATAAGAAATTTAGCTGATATTAATTTATCTAAATCTTTTTCTGATAATATGTTTAATTCTAAAATATTCAATAGTGATTAATATAAAGAATTAGAATAATAATTGATTATTCTTAAAAGAAAAAATGATGAAATATAATCTAAATTAGATATTCATTTATAAAAAGATATTTAATAATTAGATAAAATTAAAATATTAGAATAAGAAATTGTAAAATATAAAAATTAAATAAGAGATATATAATATAATAATTCAGATAATAATGAAGTTAAATTACTTTAAAATTAAATTGATGATTATTAAAAAACTAAAGATAATTTAATGAGAGAGAATATTTAATTAAGAGATGATTATTCTACATTAATGTAAGATAAAGAATACTTAAATGGAAAAATTAAATAATTAGAAAATTCTATATTTGAATTAAAATAAAAATAAATGTAATTATAAGAAGAAAATAGAACACTTAAACTATTTCCTTAAAGTGCTGAAAGATAATTCAGTGTATAAATTCAATAATTATAAACATAAAATAAAAATTTAACTGAAGAAATAATAAGATTATAATCATAAGGTTTTAAAGATTTAAATCAAAGTAACTTATCAATAAGTGAAAGTATTTTAGGATCAAAAATATATGAAGCAAAAGAATATAAATTATTAGAAAATTAAAAAGAATTGTTATTTAATGAAAATTAATAATTAAAATTAGAAATTAGATAAGAACAATAAAAAATTAATGATCTAAATAAATTTTAAGAATAAATTAAATCTCTTTAAAATGATAAGGATATATTAAATTAATAATTGATATCTAATAAAGAATAACATTCAAGATAAATTATAACATTATAAAATTAAATTGATAAATTAAATTAATAATTATAAAATATATCTTTAAGTGATAGTAGATATAAAGTTATAATTAATGATAATAAATTAGATGATAATAATTTAAAATAATAAGATATTTTGAAATTAGAAAATGAAAATAGATAATTAAATTAATAAATTTAAAAATTATAATTATAATATGATACTGAAATTAGAAATTAATAAACTTAATTATCTGATCTAAAATTTGAAAATAATAAACTTATAAGAGAAATAGCATATTCTAAATAGTATTCTGAATCAATAATAATAAATTAAACTGAAAAGAAATAATATTAAAGTTAAGATAATGAAATTGCATAATTAAAAAATTAATTAGCAGATAAAACTCATTAATTAAAGATTATTTAAACTAATAGTCAAAATAATATGGAAGAATTATAATAAGTAATTAGTAAATTAGGATTAGAAAATAAAAATATTAATGAAGTACACAATTCAATTAAATCAAGACTTGAAACATAAATTAATAAATTAATTGAATAATTAAGAGAGAAAGATTAAAATATTATTAAAATATAAGAAGAATTAAGAAAGAAAGATTTAATAAATAAATAATAAGAAGAAGATTTATTTATGAAATCTAATTAAGTAGAATAATTGATATAATAAAATAAAGGACTTGCATTACAATTAAATAATTTAAATTTTGAATTGTAAGAGTTAAGAATGGCTAGTCTTTCTAATTCATTTTCTAAATCTCATATTGATATAAGAGAAAATGAAAATTAAGAATTATAAAATGAAATATAAACACTTAGAAATTAAATTTAAATTATGGAATCATAAGCAATTAAATAATAAGATAATTCTAAAATGATTAAATTAGAAGATGAAATAGCTAATTATTAAAGAGAAATATAATTGATTAAGACTAAATTACAAGTTACTATAGATGATTCTGAATTTTATAAAAGAGAATTTATATAAAGTTAATAATAAGTTGAAAAAATGAAAAAAGAATAATAATTAAAATAATTTGAAAAATTATCAATTTAAGAAAATGAATTAATTTAAATAAAGAAAATTAATTAAGAATTAAATTAAAAAAATTAAGAGTTATCTATTATTATTCAAAAATAACAATAGCAAATGGATGATTTATAATTAGATTTGAATGATTAAATTGAAAATAATAATACAATTACAAAATTGAAAATGTAATTATAATAGGAATGTGAAAAATTATAAAGAGAAAACTAATAATTTAATATTAAAATACAAGAATTATTAAATCTCTAATAAATTGGAAAAGATAAAGAATTAAGTGAATCTTTAAGAAAATTATAATTAATGGAATAAGAAAAGTCTAAATTAATTCTTTCATATGAATAATAATCTAAACTTATTGAGAATTTAAAAAATAATTTAGAGATTTCATAAAATAAAAAGGATGAATTTGAAGTTAAATTACATTCTAGTGAATAATATAAACAAGAATTACAAATATTACTAAAAGAAAAAGATCAAAAAATTAAATAGCTTTAATAAGAAAGTTAGTATTTGAGTAAAGAACTTGATAATGAATAATAAAAATAAACAAATTAAAAAAAAAAGGTTAGTGAGTTGACAGTTTAAATTTAAAATAAAGATAATGATATATAATAATAGATTATAAAAGTCAAGAATCTTGAAGAATAAATTTAAAAAAATAATCAATAAATCAATACTTTAAATAAGTAAATATCTTAATTAAGTTAAGAAAATAATAAATATTTAAATGAAATTATTCCTAATTTAAATAAATAAATTAATTAAGAAACTCTAGAGAAAGATTAATTACATCAATAATTTGAGATTGTATAAGAACAATTTACTTAAATGGAATAATAAATTCTTAGTATTACAAGAGAGAAATCTCCAGTAAGATCAAAGAATAATTCATAATGTAAACCTTTTGATCAAAACTTAAATGAAAAAATAACATAATAAGAATAAACTATAAATTAAAAGAATCAAATAATAGAATAATAACAAGAAAAAATTAAAATATTAACTTAATAAAATAATGGATTATTACATTAAATTAATAAATTGAATGATGATTTAAGAGAAATATAGGATAGATCATTTTCTTTAGATAGAAGTTCAGAAACTTATTTAATAAATAAAAGCTTTAATTCAAAATTCAATACAGATAATGATTTAATTTTATAAAATTAATATTAATCATAAGATATTTATGAAAGTGATAGAAAAAGATAATCTTAATATTAATAATATGAATAAACTTTGTAGGAATATATTTAAGAAAATAAAAATTAAAAATAAGAAATTGATTAATTAAAATAAGTTATTAATAAATAAAAGGTAGAATATGAATAGTAAATTTAGAATATTTCTAATTCAAATTAACTATAAATTTCTGAATTAAATAGTAAACTAGAGAAATTAGTTTAAGAAGATAAAAAAAATTCAATTTTACCTTCTTAAAATCTTAGAAATGAATATTAACAATAAATTGATAAATTAGAGGAAGAATTGTTTAGGAAATAAGGTGTAGAATAATCAAATTAAAGATTAAATAATGAAATTAGAATATAAATAACTAAAGTAGTAGAATTGTAGTAATAATTAGAAGAATTACTATAATAAAATTAATAATTGAATGAATAGATTTAAGAATAAGATGAATTAATCAAAAATTTATAAAAAATGAAAATTCAAAATTTAGATTCTTCTGATTTATAGAAAGAGGGAGAATTAAGTTAGCTTACATAATAATTATAGGATGAAACTCTTATACTTAAAGAATAAAATTAAAAATATGAATAATAGATATCTGAATATTAAAGTAAAATAGAGACTCTTGAAAATGAGATTTTAAGAAAATCATAATAATTATCTCTTAAAGACAGTTAAGTGAATTAGAATAATAGAAAAAATAAGAAATTAGAAGAATAGATATAATTGTTATAAGATTAATTGAAAGGTTAAGGAAGTTTAGTAACTTAAAATAAGGATGAGATTATTATTCAATTATAAAATGAATTAGAATTAAATAGAGCAGAAATCTTGGAATTATAAAAATTAAGTAGTATTATCAAATAAATTTAGTTAAATAATTAGAAGAATAGATTGATCGATTAACTAAAAGTAATTCAGCATTAATGGAAGAGAATTGTAGACTTAATGACTAAATAAAAGACAATTTAAATGTAAGCTATCTTAGTAATGATTCACAAAATCATTGAAATAAATAACTAATCTTTATATAAAGAAATTATTAATCTAATCATCCTTTTTTATTTTAATTTCTTAGATTTTTTATATTAAATCTGTTTGTATTTATGAAATGTTCATTTAATAATTAAGTGAATTATTTTGAAATTCATGTGTTTTTATATAATTTAAATTTAAAATGAGTAACATCAAAGGTGTAGAATAATAAACAAAGACTAAGTATAATGAACCACATGTTGAAAATGTATTAGTTGGTTTGAGATTAAGACCTACTGAATCTAATGATAAAATATGTAATATTGTCAACGAGAAATCAGTAATTGTAAAAAAATCTAATGAGCGCTTTTCATTTGATAATGTATAATTATCATAATAAAAATAGGTTTTTGATGAATCAGCATCTTCTAAGGATATATTCACTAAAATGGTATAACCAATAGTATAGAAATGTCTTTAAGGATATAATGGCTCAATTTGTGCTTATGGATAAACAAGTTCAGGAAAAACATATACAATGAAAGGTAGCAATAAAGAACCAGGACTTATTTAATTATCAATCGATTATCTACTTTAATCAATCAATAAAGTTTAAATTCATCTTGATAATAGATTACAGATACATATTGTACATTAAAAATATCGTATATTGAGATTTATAATGAAAATATTTATGATCTCTTGATTAAAGATCTTTAAGAAATGAAACCCAATATATCTAATGAATATAAATGGGAAACCATCAATTCTTTAAATTAATTTGAAGAAATTTTGTATTTAATTTAATTTATTTATTTTTAGTAAATTAGGTGAAGAATAAAGACATTTTGGAGAAACTAAAATGAATGACAATTCTTCTAGATCTCATGTTATTTTATAAATAGCAATAGAAACAAGATAGAAATGTCCACCATTTATTATTCGTAATTCTCATTTACATTTGGTTGATTTAGCTGGTTCTGAAGGATTATCAAAAACTCAAGCTGAAGGTTTAAGAAGAAAAGAAGGATTTTTAATTAATAAAAGTTTATTAGCACTTTAAAATGTAGTTTCAAAACTTAAAGAAAATAAAAAAGATTAATATGTAAATTTTAGAGATTCTAAATTAACAAAAATACTAAAACCTAGTTTGAATGGTAATTCTTTAACTGTTATGCTATTAACTATTAGTTAAAATAATGAAAATTATTTAGAATCTGTTAATACAATGAGATTTGGTATGTCTGCTGGTGCTTTGAAAAATACAGTCAATATTAATGAAATTTAAGAATCTAATAATTTTTAAAGTGAGGCTTATAATGAAATGATTGAATAAGTTGAAACATATTAAACATAATTATAAGAAGTATAATAACAATTAGACTTTTATAAAAATTAAAGTTTAGATGAATAAAATACAATAAAATAAATAAAGGAATTGGTTATAGAAAAGAATATCTTAATTGAAGATCAATTAAAAACTATAACTGAATTAAATATAGATAAATAACGTTTATAAGATTAAATTAATTAATTATAAAGATGTAATTAAGAATTAATTGCTACTTCAAATGAAAATTCAAATTATTTAAATTATTTTAGAAATATTGTAGAAACAAAAGGAGTTTTGAATCCAAAATTAATGGTTGAATGTATAACTTAAACTGATAGTTGTGAAGCTGATTAATAAATAAAAGTATTAGAATAAGAAAATATTTCATTAAAATAATAGATAAGTGAAATGAAAAATAAATTTTCATATGAAATATAAGATGTTAAAGATATGGTTTCAGGAATTAAAAAAAATAAAGAATTTACACCTGCTAAGAAATTAAAATTTTAATCAAATAAAGATTTAGATTTATAAAATGATAATCAAAAAGAAACAAAAACTTGGTTATAAAAAAGTTTATAAAAAACAAATCAATATTTGGAAACTTTAACTCTATTAAGTATAAATTTAATTATATTATTAAAGCTACATTATAAACATAATTAATTGAATAAACTAAATAGAATATGATATTACGTAATTTTTTGGATAAAAAAGAATAAGAATATACTGAATTAGAGAGAGCTAATTTTGTACTCCATAAATCTATATTTGATTTATAAGAAAAATTAAGTGAAATTTAAAATGATGAAAAAAAAGAAAAGTATAATTTTATATAAATTTATATAGTTTATGGAAAATGAATTCTGAAAAATCAAATAAATAAGAATCTCTAATTAAAAAAAGATAGAGACTCTATTAGAGTCCAACAAAAGATGAATTAAAAAGAAATTTATTTAGATAAGAATAAAGAAATTAAATTTATGAAAAAGAATTAAATAAATATATGAAAAATTTAGATTAAAGTACTTTTGTTATTTAATATTTTTTAGTATCAAAATAAAAATAAGAATTATAATAGTTTTCACATCATTTATATATGGCTTGTATAGAGAATAATATTTAAATATGAAATGTTTTGATTTTATTTATTTATTTATTTTTTTTTAAATTTTAATTCATTTATTTAAAGCTGGTAATTTAACTTTCTAATTTTTACTATAATGTGTTTATTCAGCAGTATTGAGATCTAATGACATAATTTTAAGAGCCATTGATTTTTCATAATTTTCTTAAACTTGAGTAGGATTTGGTCTGGTAAGTAAATTATTTAAAGTACTTTTAGACCATTTCTCTTCTTAAGTAGTCCTCCAATGTTGAGATGTAGCCATATCTGACTTACGCATCTACAAACAATGAGTTAGTAAATTACTTTTAATTCGTAATCAGTCTAATTCAACATATTAATAAATGATTATTCATATTTATATTTTAGATCTTTATTTAAGACACTTATTTTAATAAATCCAAAATCAATATGTAAATCATGTCCAAGTCTAGTTAAATCTTATATTGCCTTAATTAAATAGTAATGTATAGATTATACAACATCTTTACCTAAATAACTAATATAATCTATCATCAATTATTACCAAGAAGCAGCTATTGGTCCTGCATTACAAAAATTCATTCCAAATCCTTTTTAATAAATTGAATGTTGACTCGAAGGTTTAGAAACTTCTTCTTTTCCAGGATATCTCTATAGGAAGTATTTGAATTAATTATCTGGAATAAAACATGGTCTGAATAATAAACTTCAAATACCTAATTGTGTGTACATGTTTACGATCAGCTCTTTGAATATCTAAATCTTCAGTCATTTTAAAACCAGAATGTTATAATGGTTTAACATAATCTGATATTATTTCCATTGTAAATGCTCCAAATTCTTTTAAATTAACACCCTTTCAAATTATAAAACATTATTACATTTCCATTGAGCATTTTCTCTTTAATATATTCAGCAGTAGCCCTAATAACAATATGAAACTATTAGAATAAAGAATAAATATTACTTGTGCTTTTGCTTCTAAAGGTTTGTATGATTATATAGTTCTTGGTTAAGATTCTTAATGCTTACCAGGATAGTTATTTTTATGACTCAGAATCCTATCAATAACTTATAAAGTTTACCAATTATAGATATCATCTAAATTCATTAAAAAAATAAAAATGATTAAATTAAAATTGTAGTTATTTGATGAACTTAAATTATATATTTATTATATATGTCAGTTATTAAAATATTAATATTTAAATATTAAATATGTAAAAATTATGATGATTTAAAGAGAATATAGTAATTTTGAAAAGGTTTTATGATGAATTTAAATATTTATAATATTAACAAAATTGTAAATAAAGAATAAATTAAAAGCCATTAAATACTAAATATATTTATCATATATAGATATTATTTAAAATAACATTATGTTAATATATATCCATACTTTAATTATCATAACCAACTATCAAAAGAAAATTATTTTAATTATTTTTTTTATTGTTCTTGTGTACTAAATTACTGAATTAAATTAGAAGCCAATCCCAATCCTTTTATTTAAGTTGTTGTTGAAACTCTAGTAGGTAAAGAGAATCCTTCATCATCCAACCATCTTTCTTTCTCTTTATCTTATAACTTCTATTCCTTTTCTACTTCTTTTTCTTATAACATTATTTTAATCATATCTCTAAAAGGATTCTTAATTACTTTTAATTCTTTCAATTTAATTGTTACTTCAGGTCTCTACCACATATTAGTAGGTAACTTATTTATTTAATATAAAGTTTAATATCCACCTACTACTTCTCCAAAGACAGCATATTTACCATCATATTTCTTACATTCAGCTAATGTAATAAAACTAAATCTTAAATATATAAAATACAAATGTGATGTTTAATGGTTTGCTCCTAGATTACCCATAGAGACTATTCCTGCTTTACTATGAGATAATAAATTATTAATTTCAATTCTAAAAGGTTTTCCAAATATAGATTCACCACCATATCCTGTTGCAGTAGGATCTCCTCCTTCTAATAATTCATTTTCAATTAATTTATGAAATTTAGTTTAATTGTAATAACCTTTTTCACATAATTCAAGAAAATTTTCACATGTCATTGGAACTAAATCACAATGCAATTCAAAATTAATATTTCCATAATTAGTAATTAATTATACATATCCTTTTTATCCAGATTTACGTATTCTATCATATAAGATTTTTCTTATTTCATCCTCATTCATATTTCTAAATTAAATTTATCCTAAAGGTTTTGTTTTCAATGTCATTTATGTACTAGTAACACTAACAGAATCATGTTCAGTTGCATATCTTTCAGATACAAAATCACCTGATTTTGATGAGAGTTCTAAAAATTCTTTTACACTTAATTAATTTGATTCCATTTATTCTTTAACTTTCTTTTTTATCTATTCAATTTCTTCAAATGTTTATTTTTCTCTTTCTTTTTATTCTTTTTATCTATTTACATTTTATTCTTATGCCATTTCCATAATTCTTTTTCCACTATCATTTAAATTTACATATACATCATCTTCTGCTTATTGATCTAATTTCAGATTATTTTTCAAAAAATCAAAATTTTTAATTGTTCTAGATTCAATATTTTTAGGATCCTATAAAACTATTATATCTTTATAGTTAAATGGTTCACCACTTATGAGATCCTTCCAAAATTTAGGTTTACGATTCAATTCTTCAATTGTATCAGATGTATATACATTACCACTTACTTTGATTGCCACCAATTTAGTATGATCTGTGAAAACCTTAAAACTTATAGGATCATGATATTGTCCTTTATCATTTTTATGAAATTTTAATTGAATCAAATCATTCGTCCTAAGAGGCTATCCATTGATTGGATTTCTTCTATATTTTCTGATGAATGGAACAATATTGACAATATCAAACACGTGACCTTCAGATGTACTAACAGGATTTTTAAATGGTTCAAGAGATAGTGAACAATGATCAAAGGGTAATCTAGTTAGAGGAGTTCCTTTATTCTCCTTCTTACCTCCTCTTTCAAGCATATGCTCACTATAAGTAACATATAATTTATCCTTTGAATGTCTATGTTTACTCATTTATATATAATATTTTAAAATTCGCTAAATTTTATTTGAATCACTTATGTTTTTTATTAATATATATAAATATATATTTTAATAGTTAATCTTTATAAAGTATAAATAAATAAAGCATTAAACATTAAGCTAAATGCAATATTTGATATAAATTAGATTAAAGTAATTATTAGAACTTTAAATAAATTAACAATTTATTTTTACCTCCTTATTTATAATTCAAAGTATATGATAATTAATCCTTTATTAAATCCAGTTAACTAAATGATTATTGAAAACTATTAGAAAATATATAATTTATTTTATGAATCATAAGATGATATTTAAATATGTATTATAAATTATATATATATTCAATGTGGTTGAGTCCATTCTATTTTATTGATATCTATTCCTTCCTAATGCATTTCCCATAAAGGAGACATTTCTCTCAACTTTCTAACAGCTGTACTCAACTAGTCAAGTAAGAAATCAATTTCTTTTTCAGTAGTAAATCGACTACATATATAATAAAATATACCCAATACCAATTCTTAAACTAGTATGAGCCATATCTTCTTGTACTCCTAAGGCTCTTAAAACATAAGATGGTTCAAGAGAGGCAGATGTACAAGCTGATCCAGAGGAGACAGCAACCTATTTGATAGCCATAATTAAAGATTCTCCTTCAACAAAAGCAAATGAAACATTCAAATTACCTTTGTAACGATGTTCTAATGAACCATTTATTTAAATTTATGGAATTTATTCTTTGATTCCATTTAGAAGTCTTTTGTATAATTTATCAACATGTTAAATATCATATGGTAATTCAGCTTATGCAATTTCAGCAGCTTTTCCAAATCCAACACATAAATGAGGTGCAAGTGTACCACTCCTTAAACCTCTTTCTTAACCACCTCCATGAATAATTTATTATAATCTAACTCTTGGTTTTCTTCTAACATATAAAGCTCCAATTCCTTTGGGTCCATATAGTTTATGTGCTGATATACTACCTAAATCTATATCAAGATCTTAAATATCAACAGGAATTTTAGCAATAGCTTAAGCCATATCAGAATGAACATATACTCCTCTTTGATGACATATTCTACTTATTTCTTTTAAGTTTTAAATGACTCCTATTTCATTATTCACAAGCATAACACTTACACATAATGTATTGGATTTAATTGATTCCTATAATTATTGTAAAGAAATTAATCCATTAGAATCAACAGGTAAATATGTTACTTCTACTCCTTTATCTTCTAGATATCTACAAGTATCTAAAACACATTTATGTTCAGTTTGTGTTGTGATGATATGATTTTTCTATTTTCCATAAAAACCATATAAACCCTTTAATGCAGCATTGTTACTTTCAGTTGCCCCTGAAGTAAAAATGATGCTTTAAGGTTATGTGTTAATTAAGCTTGCTATCTATTTAATAAATTGAATAAATAACTTAGGATCTTGCTTTTTCCACTGCTTTTTCAGTTTCCCATCCAAATGAATGTGTTTTACTATGAGGATTACCATATTGATTAGTTAAATAGGGCAACATAGCATCTAAAACTCTATAATCTGTAGGTGTAGTAGCTTAGAAATCAAGATATGTGGCTCTTGAAAATCTGAATATAGTTTTTCTCATATATTTTTTATATATGTAGATTTATAATCATGTAATAAACAATTTAGATTACTATTATTTTGGTGTGCTATACAAATATTTCATTTCAGATGTATTTGTAAATGGAACTTTGTCTTATTCTAATTTAAATAATAAATCTCTTTTTTATCTTTCCATATCTTCAATTACTTTTAATCTTCTTTTTTGAATATCTAATTTATTTTATCTATAGTTATTAAATATAATTAAATTACATTTAATCTTATAATCTTTAATCTCTTTAAGTAATCTTTTATTCTAATGATGAGAAGTAAGATTATTTCAATTAATCTGCTTTTTAAACTTAGTTCTATTATATTTACCATTTTTAATTTAATCTTTGTAATTTCTATTATAATTCCATTTAATTCTATTATTGAACAAATTAAAATGATTTATCTTTTTCTAATTATTTATTCAAAATATTTATAGATTTATTTCTATAAATATTTTCAGATTTTGCTCTAACATCATTTCTCTTTTGATTCATATCTTATTCTTATAAATAATTCATTTATAATTATTGTAATCTTTTCTTTTCAATTTAATTGATCTTATCTTAAAAATAATTCATCTTATTTTATAATTTTGATAATTTGTTTTAATAAATCTAATATGATTTATATTTAATATTTTCTTAATGTTCAGAATTTTGTTATGCCTTCTAATTAAGTAAATCAATTTAGGATAGTTTTTATTGATTAATTTATTTAATTTTACTTTAATATTGTTTCAATTTCAATTAACAAATCTAACATTAAAAATGTTAATTACTTCCTAAATTCTCTTCATTTATTATTAATAATTTGAATAAACATTTTAGTGATGAGATTCAGTAATTTACATTGATGTATTCAAAGTCTATTACTTCTAATTTATGAAATCATTTAAATATTTCTCTTTCTTCTCTTGTTTCTCAAGATAATGTAAATTAAGTTTCCTTAAATTATTATCTAATTAAGTCATCAAATCATCTGTCTTCCTTTTGAATTCTTCATATTTTATCTTTTATTGAATTTCAAACAATTTCTATTATATTTCTTTTTCATTTTATTTCTGTTCTTATTACCATAATTCATTAGCTGCTTATTTTTTATCTTTCTTTTGTTTCTATAATTATTGTAATTATTTAAACTTCTCCTACTATATTTTCTATTATTCATTTTAGTATCTTGATGATAAGATCTATTTGAATCAATGGGTACTTATTCATGCATACTTCTATCCTTCTCTTCCAGTTGCAAATTTCGATCAAATATATTATTAAGTTTTTACTCATATGCTTGTCTCTATTTCTAAAGTAATTCTTCATGTTTTACAAATACTTCCATTTATTTATTCTATAAAGAGTTAACATAATAAACTATACAAATTTCTCTATCATCTTTTCTGGGAATGGAGCATTCATTATATATATATATATATATTTAATTTATATCATATTTTATCTATTTTTTGAACAAATTTCTATAGTTGAGCAACTGATTCTTCATATTCTACTTTGTATTATAGTTCATTAATACAAAAATGTACTAAATGCAATGAAGATTAAATTTATAATTTGCTAAATTCACAAATTAACATCTTCATTTTAGCTTTTTCATTAGTTGCCATAAGTGTATCTCTTAGAATACCTTCCCAATTTTCAGTCTTCTATTCTAAAATATCTATAAATTATCTTAATAATAATGTGAATTATTATGATCCTTCACTATCATCTAATTTAGTTTATACAAAACTTTCATATTTTTAATCTTCTAATATTTATTCAGCTTTCTCTAATCCTTTTGATTAAAATTATCTTATTATATAATTAATATATACTTTTATTCATATAATTATTTTATTTAAAATTCTTATTTTTTTGGTTCTGATTGTATTTTTTAATAAATTTATATGAAACTCTCTTCATTTTCATCTTCAAACTAAAATATATTAGAACAATCATTTATATTTTATAATATAGGTACAACATTATTTAATTGCTCTTTCACAATATCCAAATATTTCATAATTACTTAATTAAATTCTTAAGACTCTGAAAACTATTTAAATAGAGTTTAAGCATTTTATCTAATTATTTAATTACTTTGATCATAATATCCAATATATTATAACAAGATAGAATTCATATTGACACTCAAAATTAAATTATTAAGTGAAACCAAAAACTCTTTAGATGTTTCAGGAATCTTTTACAATAAACCTTAACAATAGAATGCATATTTAGCAATCAATTTTAAACTCTCTATGACTTGACTTAACTTAATTTTTATTAATTCTTCTTAATCATTCTCTATAATTTATGATAATTATCCAGTTTGAATTTCAGTAAGTAATGATGATTAAAATGATTTTAATTTATTTTAATGATCATTAACTTCTATTAATCTAGATTAATATAATGGTTGATCAATATTGATTTAACTTGATTTCTATTAACAAGTGGATGCTGTTGTTAATATATGTTTTAACATTTTCAAATCAGTAATTAATTCATGTGTTAAATAGTTAGGCACTTTTGGATATTTATTAACAGGTAAAGCTTATGTTAACATATTCATATAATTAGGTATTTCTGGAAAGGGATTATTGACTTTTTCTATTGGTTTTACTTAAGGAGCTTATTTATCTTATTTCTCTACTTTTTCAGTGTATATTTGACTAATTTTTTAAGTGTCATTATTATTTTTTTAGACTTTTGATTCTTTTCCTCCCATTTGATATATATATATTTATAGAATAAAATTATTAAAATAAATAAAAGTTAATTATTTTTGTATTTCAAACATAATGTTTAAGTATAAGCTATTAGTTATACATATTAATATAATAGATACTATAGAGAATATATATTATATTAATTAGATAAAATATTTTAAATTTGAATAATTAATGAACAACAATCTCATTTTATTGATACTCTTATTACGTAAACCTAGTCAATAAGTTTATGATCTCTTGACTGATTATTTAAAAGTACTTTATTCATTTATAATTCAAAAGATTCATGATGTCACAGAGATTGTTAATAATCCAACTCTATAAAATACTATACTTAGTCATATTGAACCTGAATTATTACAAATTACTTCAATGAATAAATTTCATAAGATAATTGGAGAGAGTATTTATTTTATTGTAATAATAATAGCACTTCGTGAAAAATAATAATAGAAAACTACAGGAGGCAGTGTTGTTGATTTATTTTTTAGGAATATGTTATTGTTATTCAATCAAATGGATTTCAATCAAATGTTAAAATCTTGGAGTGATTTTAGAGAAGGTTAAGATAATCATTTGTAAAATAATCCATTCTTAACTGATTCATATATTGAATTCTTACTTACAAAATTATAAAGTATAATATATCTATATATTTGTTAGCAAGTTCTAGTTATGTAAATTTAGAAGAATTGAAATAAATAATCGAATAACCAAATTTGAATGAAAATTGTAAAGTCAATTTTCTTAAAGCACTTTTATATGCTATATTAAGATATCCATTTAGAGCTATAAAATTCTCTCGCAAATATTATGATATGACATTGAATAGTCTTGTACCTAAAAAAGTGAATCATTGTATTATGAATTCTATTTACCTTAATATGAAGATGAATTTTTATGATGAAGCATTAAATAGTTTATCTGAAGGTTTGAGATTATCATAGACTGTATCAGATGAATAAAGTATTAATCTTTGTTTATTAAATCTATTTGAAATAGCATATCGTAATAATTATTAAAAATAAGTAAATATACTTCATCATTAATATTAGGCTACTCTATTATTAGAATATGCAGTTAATCATGCTTAATAATTAAGTCCATAACACAGATTATAGAGTGCTTTGATATATGGATCATAAGTAAGATACAAATAAATTAATTATTCATTATTAAAAAAGAAACATATTAATTGGAAAGACATAATACATTAAAGTTTAAAATAGATTTTACAATCTCATAGTCAAGATATTGAATAATCTATTACTGCCTATTAATTAGTATGTGCTAATAATTATGGCAATTCAACAATGATTTAAAATGCATTGGATTAATTATAATAATTTGATTAAAATGATTAAACACTTTCACTTCAATTAGAAGCTTTGAGTCAAATATCTTTACATCAACCATTATATACATTGTCATAATTCTAATAATGTTTTGAAACTACTTATAATTTGAGTGAATAATCAATATTAGTAATATTAAATATATGTTTGGAATACTTTGAAATAATTAATGAACCAATTTCAATTAAATACATAAAATAGATTATGATTTAATTATTGTAAATGAATCCTGATCCATATATTTCTGAATCCTTATAAATTGTACCAATTAAAAGTAATATATTTATATGATTAGATCCTAAGCTTAGAGTTAAGTAACTATTAAAGGATGGTGAGAATGATTTAGAGATTATTAGATTGTGCAAATAATTTCATTTGAATTAATAATATTTGGAATACAAACTAAATATAATTGAAAGAAACATTTAATAAAATTAGATTTAAGAAGCTTAAGATAAATTAAATAATATCAATTTATATGAATTATCATAATCAAATTGTGTTATTTAAGCTAAGTTTTGGAATCTTATGGCTCGTACTTATAAAAATATTAAGTATTATGTCACATCTATCAATATTGCCATCTAAGTTGGTTGGATTACAATGATACAATAAAATTATTATGATATGACTTTCATATATGATTAATTAAGTAATTATATGATTATTATATTTATTAGATTAATTTGATTAAAGAGATTATTGTGCTGAATAATTTAATAAAGCTGATTCTCTTATTAGTTAATGTAATTAGAATACGAATTTATTATTCTTTAAGATAAATGAAATTGGAATTGTAGAGTACTTATATCGTTTTCTAAATAATATACAATCATTATTTAGTTGTAATTTGTGATATATATATATAATTAATATATATAAATGTCAATAAAGAGAAGAAATTTAAGTTTAGAAAATACAAACAACAAAATCTTTCTGCCAAGCATCTTTAATAATGATTAAGATATCAATATGGATCCTTAATTATATCTAAAAATGATTCTAAATAAAACTACAAGAACTTAAAGAACAAAATCTTTGCAATTTTGTAATCAATTAAAATAACAATAAAAAAATGAACCAATTTAAGTTCAATATAAACTTGAAACAGATAAAGATATTGTTTTTGCATTTGAAGATTAATTCTCATATAAAGATAAATAGCAATATACAAATAAATTATAAATCAAATTAGAGAAACACAACTAAAATAAGGAAATTAAATATAAAGAATTATTTAATTGTTATTGTCAGAAATTTACTAAAAAAAAACCATTATCTAATTTAAAACATCATAAATTAGATCTTGAATTTTTATGATAATCTATTTGTTATTTTATTTAAAATCAAAGTAATATTATAAAATTAATTATAAATTCATTTAAAAATATTTGGTTTATTTTTAGTTATAATAAAATATATATTCAATTAAATAATAACTATTTAAGTAAATCTTATTATAATTATTATGTTTTATTCTTTAAAAATAGTAATATAATATATATACAACTAATAATATTTAAAAATCATAAAGAATTTTATATTATTATTTTAAATGATTATACAATTATCCTTTCTTAATTATATTAATTATTTGATTTAGGATAGTTAAGGATGTGTATTTTAACATTTCTAATAATATAAAGTAGGTTGTGTAATTATATCAATAATATTCTATAATGTGTTTATTTTGAAATTTATCAAAGAAATTAAAAATACAAACAAATAATATTAAAAATAAATGGATATTTAAATCTCATATAATGGAGAAATTTCTAAATACTATGGTATTTCTTCATATGAGGAACTTATACAAGAGATATTATAAAAATATTAAACTATTGCTGATGTTGAATTATCTTATTAGGATGAAGAAGGTGATGTAATTTAAGTGTCAAACACAAGTGACTTATATGCAATTGTACTAATTTATAATTTGATTATATAGAGTGACTTCCAATAAATAATAATTGAAATGAAAGCAAGATAAGATGAACAAAAATTAAAGGAGTTGGAGAAGGAAAAGAAAAAATAAGAAATTAGATAAAAAAAGCTAAAAGAATAATAATTAAAGAAATAAAATGTAATATCAATAATATTATAAAGGCTATTGATACAGAAGAATAGTTAATAAGTAAATTAGAATAAGAGTTTGCTCAAAATTAAGAGCAAAAATAAAATGAACTTAAAAGTTTAATTGAAGAGTAATAAAGACTTGAAAATTATAAACCAGATCCTTTACCAGATTTTGAAGTAGCTTTAAATGAAGCTAAATTGTTTGATAGAATCAAATAAAAGGAAGACTAATTATTATACATTGAAGTAAATTAATTTGAAAAATATTACAATAGGATAAGAAGGGATTTGAAACTTAATTGAGAACTGTTCAAAAAGAAATTCATGAAATTTTCCATTAAATATATGAAGAAAGAAAAAATTAACACTCTGAAAATTATAAGAAATGGAATTAAACAAAATAGAGTTTAGGAAAGATTGGACATTAGATTGAATAAAAATAATAAGAAATTAAGAAATACTAAGATTCTTGTGCTGATAAATTATAAAATCATAGAGAGAAATTATAAAAATTAAAAGGAGAATTAGAAAAAATAGATTATGATACAGAGTGAATTAAATATTAATAATATTAATATATGTAATAAAATAATAATAATGGACATTTTGATCATTTCTAAATTATGTTGGACAACATAAAATTGATTAAAAAGGAAACCAAAGAACTTAGAGATGCTTATTAGAATAGAAAAAAAGATCTAGGAGAAAATCAAAAAAAATGGGCTATTGCTATCTAAAATACTAAAATAAGAATAGAAAATCTTATTTAATGGATAAATGATTATGGTTAAGTCAATGTAAAATGGGATTTACCTTTTGAAATATTGGAACAACTTGATAAATTTGATTTTCTTGAAGAATATATAGAAAATTTAAAAAATCAAGTACATTTTTACTATGAATAATAAAAATATTAAAGTTAAAATGCTAAACAATTTAGTTAATATTTAAGAACAGGAATGAAAAATGATTGTATATAATGAAATCAGTTTTATTATCTTATTTAATTAAAATGATAGGATCACTATAAGTTATATAAATACTTATTTTGAGGAGTGATATAAATCAAATATTAATTTTTAGACTTTTCTAGTTCATCATTATTTCTAAATAACATTCTTAGATTTAATACTTTTGGACATCACATCAATGAGTTGCATAACCATATAGAATGAATTTAAGGTAGTCTTAATTTATATGACAATATGAGCTTATAAAATATAACATAAAAGTATTAAGGAATCTATAAAAAATAGAAATTTATTGTTTAATTGAAGAAAATTATTATTATATTATAAATATTAAAGTGTGATATAAGATTCATTTTGTCTTTCTTTCTGTCTTAACCCATTCAAGTTCTTTCATTAATGCTTCTATTTGCTGTCTATATTGATCAATTTATTTATCTTTATTTTCTAATTCAAATAATAAATCTTTAGTTTTATTTTTCCATTTAAGTTCTACTATTTTTAATTATTATTAGGTTTCATTTTTAATTGAATTTATTTCTGCTTAATGTAATAGTTCTATTTTAATTTCAGATTCATTATCCTTTATTTCATTGTTAGATTTAGTATTAATTCTAGATGTTTATTATACTTCTTATTGTGACTTTTTTAATTAATCTATAATAATGTTTTTTTGGTTTAATTATAATTACAAATCATTAACTTTAAGTTATAAATGACGATTATATTATTATATAGTAATTTCATCATTATATTTGATACTTTTGATATCAGGCTTTTCTTTGATACTCTTTTCATTTTGATTAAGAGCATATACAGTTTCTAAAAACAAATAAAAATCAATTCTTTAAATCACTTTGATACCTTAATTAGTATAATAACCATAAGTTTAACTGACTTCTTTAAATAATTAAGATATTTCAGAAACTGTAAATGGAATTGAACTCAATTTAAACCATTTTTAGAATTATTATAAATTAACATACAATTTATCTAATATAGTAAAATTCTCTAAAAGTAAATCATAAGGTAATGATAGAGCAATGACTAATTTTTAAAATTTATCAAGTATATTTTCATTATTAACTTAAACATCTTGAATAGATAAAATACTGACTTCCCATCTACTTAATGGAGCTTTATGTTAAACAATAAATCGTCTCAAAGCTTTTAAATTTTCACCTTGTATTTCTTGAATATGTTAAGTATTTCTCCATCTATCTAATTTCTCATATACAAGTTTAGTATATAAATTTGAAAGAATTTTACATCTCAAGAATTTCCTTTATGATAGTCTACTATACTTAAGTTCAAAACAGTTTGCTTCAATCAAAGAATCTATTTCATCATTTTTAATTCTGTTTAGTATTATATATAATTGACCAACAAAGAATTCTAATTAATTATCTTATTTATAATTCATCAACTTTTGAAGAAGTCCAGAATAATTTAAAAATACAATTACATCATACTCCTTAATTTATAATTCAAGTGAATCGTTAAAAAAATCCATAATATTCAATTCTTCCTAAAAGATAGTAAATTGAAATTAATAGCATTTCTATTCAATTTCTGGATCCTATAATTAACTTTTAATTTATTAAAAGAGTTCTTAAGCAACTTAAGCTTCAAAATCTTCAACTTCAAAATTATCATCTGAGAAATCAGAACAAGTTGATGTGCCATCATTTAATGGCATTTAAACTTTCTTTTCATCAATATGATCATCATTATAGAAATAAGATAGAGCTAGTTTATTAAACAATTCTTATATAAGATTTAATGTTTCAAATTACTTCACTCTATCTTCTGAATCAATTTATGCAAATAATAAAACACTCTATTCAAATCCATCAAGTAAATTTTAGTGTTCAATATCTATACTAAACTTATTATTTGAATATACATCTAAACAATTTAAGATATCATTTCTTAAATTTGAATTGCAATTTCATGAGAAATTTAAGGTTAATCAATTTATTGAGATAATTCATCAATAAGAGTTTGAAGATTTAAGAAATGTTAAAGAAATGGACTTCGGAGATTTTTACATAAGGTTTCCCAGGATTTTTACATATTAATAATAATAAAATAATGGATATCTATAATCCAAAAGTTGACAATCTTTCTTTTCATACAAACACAAGAATGGATATAACAACTCTATTTGAAAAATATAAAAAGACTCATAATAAATTAAGTCCTTTATCTTTGAATCAATTTTATCCTATGGCATTAAATGAGAATTGTGATTTACTATAAATTTAACCAGATAGTGAAGTCTAAAGTTTTATTTCCTTTAGAGAACTAAATTAAGGGGCAGTTTCAGAATTAAAAAGATCATTTTAACAATCAAAAATGGTTTGGAATAATTATAGTAAACATCTATTTGGAGAGTCATCTTTAGATGAATAAGAAATGGAAAATGTTGATTAAGAGAAATTTTATACATCTAGAAAATTATAATTAATTCATAATAGAGAAACCTTTCATAAAATGAGACAATAATATAAATAATAAGAGGAATCTTAAATGAATCAAGTTAAATAAGCTATAAAAAAGATTCATTCATAAACTAATGGAATAAAAGTTTATCCTTCTTTAGCATATTAGGATTAATAAAAATTAGAGTTACTAAGAAAATAAGTAAGATTAGGAGGTGTTTAATAATTATAAGAAAGAAACATTGATGCTTAATAATTATAAAAAAGAATACTTGAATCATAAGTTGCATTAAATTAAATAAAAAAACAATATGCTTATGCTTATAATTATGATTATAATTTTTGGGGTCCTTGTTCAAGGGATGGAAGCACAATGGTTACTTATGATAGAAAACTTTATTTGTATGGAGGTTCTAGTGCAATTTAATAAGAAGATTTGTGTGTAGCTATAGTTGATAAATGTACATATGAAATAATTAATATATAGAGTTTTACAAATGGAATCCTCAAAAATTAGATGAAAAATCTATTCATGGATATAGAGTTCATCATACTGCTGGAATCTATAAGAATTTTATGATTTTATTTGGTGGTGAAATTCATATTGAATAATCTAATCACAAAATAGTTAGTGAATGTACTAGTGATATTAAGACAATATCTTTAAGTAATAATAATTTATATTTTATAAAGCATCTTTTGATATTAAATTAATTAAATAACCTGGAACAGTATCTCCAAGAAAATGTCATATCAGTGAAATTATTGGAAGATGCTTATTAGTTTTTGGAGGAATCGATAATAAAGGTAATTATATGAAAGATTTACTTTGTTATGATATTTCATAATCTAAATGGATACCTTTAAATGTAGATCCACATGAATTATATGCAAATGGAATTGCTTTTCATAAATCTAGCTTAGTTACTTAAAATAAATTTTGTGATATTTATCGTTAAGATCCTGATCTAAAGTTTTCCAATTAAGGAGTATATGTATTTGGAGGATAAGATAAATTTGGAAATTATTTGGATACATTTATTCGTATTGATGTATATTAAAAACCTATTCGATTTGAACTTGTAGATTATAAAGGAAGCAGTCCTAGTAAGTATTTTTTTATTAATGTTAAGTGGCTAGATGTCAACATTCTATGAATTACAATGAAGTTTTGGGCGCAATTGTTGTCTATGGTGGAAAGAATGATGACAATACTATTGAAGGATTCTTAAATGATTTATATTTATTTGATGTTAAGAATTCCTGTTGGATTCAATTAGAATTAAAAGGAACTTAAATACCTGGAAGATGTGGACATTCATCTTCATGTTTAGATACTAAAATTTTCATTTTTGGAGGATACAATTATAATGGTTTTGTCAAAAGTGATATCTTAGTTATTGAATTAGATTCTAATATTTCACATCAATTAATTTAATCAGATAAAATTAATGAAGATAAACCTAGAAATTCTAAAATTGTAGTATCTTTTCGTTAGTTACCTGAACAAAGAAATAATATTGATAAAGCTAATGAAAGGAAAAAAGAAATTGAAAAATTAAACTTTAAAAATTCTCATTCATTTTTACCTATGCCTAGAAGAGTCACAATGCTTATTAATGCTATGAGATTTGGATAAGAGCCTAAAAAAATTAATGAAATTTCTGGACCAAATTCAAATAAAAATTCTCCAAAAGATGGTACCAGAAGACCTCATCGTAATATGACTGTTCTTGTTGATGGCAAATAAGATAAATGAAAAAAGTGATAATAATTGATTAGTAAATTAAATTCATTCATAAATTAAATGCTATAGAAATTCTATAAAATGTTAACAAATCTAAATATTCTACAAATTAATTAATTTAAGATAAACATCAATTTAATCAATAATCTTAAAAATCCAATAAAACAGATAACATAGCTAATTTTAAATAACAATAAAACAGTTTAATCTATCTAAACACTTGTTATAAAAGACATATATCTATATGATCTAATTAATAAATTAAAAGAATTTAATTATTATAAAACAATAATCTAAATATTATGGATTATTAATTTTGTTAGATTTAGCAAAATATGTGTCCAATCTGAATAACTAGTAATAGGAAACTATTAATAAATATGATAAATAACTTCACCATAAATTTTGATTTTTTTTATAATAATTCATAATGAAAGGCTATAATTCAATAGCAAAAATTATTCAAATTGCTAATAATTAAATTTTTATTAAAATACTAAGAATAAACAATTTAATTCTTTTTACTAAAATGTAAAAAGTATTTTCAATTTAAAAATTATTATAATGTCCAACATATTATTTGAAAACTAAAAAATACTTAATGGTTGAAATTTGAAATTTCTTAATGTCTAGGTTACTTGATAACTCATAAAAAATTATTCTCTTATGGTTGCCAAAAAAGTTAAAAGAAAAGACAAGGACAAAAATAATTATTATACGGGTAGAAATTTTGTGTGCAAGGACCAAAACTGAGTATAATTTTACATGGAATATTATTATTGTATCACTAATATCCTACTAGAATTAATAAAGATCTAAGCTGCTCAAGAGAGATTTTACTCTGTGAGAATGTTTGATGAGCAATAGTTTTTAAATTTTAGTTGAATAATTAAATAAAATTCTAAATAATAGAGTTCGGTTAGAATTATAAATTTGAATTAGATAGATAAGGTATTCTTATATTTGATATATATTAATTTTTTTATTTAAAAGTAAAATCACATATCTTTTAATCTTTTTATTAGTAAGTAAATTGCATTAATTTTCCAATAAAATACCAAAAAAAAATTAACTACATTTCTATCTTAAATATCCCTTTTTTATCTTTTTTAATAAACTATGATTTTCAAAAAATAAAATACTCTACCTTTATATTAATCTTTATTCTATTAGATTTTCAAAAAAATCAATATAAATATTCTTTTAAAATATAGCTAATTTTATTTAAGAATTTATAATCATCTTACACTATAAATTCAACCCTTCAATTATTCTGTTAATTTTATATTATTATATACTAAAATAATATTTATTTGAAAATTCTAAAAATTGAAGCAAAAGGATAAATTTTGATAATAGGCATAGAATACAATATAGATTAAAAATTAAATTTAGATTAAATATATTTGTACATCTTTGTATTTATTTTTAAGAGATGGTATATTCTATACTTTTCTAATGTTACTTTCATTTTGAATAATAACACTAATTAATCTCATAAATTGTTTATAAAAATATAATTATTTTATTTATAAAATAGAGATAATGGCTGATACTTTAATTCAAAAGGTTTGGATATGATAATAAATAATGAGGGAAATGATTATAATATAGTAAAAACAGTTGTTTTATATAATAATATAAAAATTATTATAATCTAAATAGAGATATATTTGTTGCAATGACGTCGTCTCAATTTCATTCATCACTTCATATATCTCTAAATTTAGTTTTGATTTAATTTAAATTGATTTGTTTGTAAAATATGGATCCAAAAAGATAAATCTAGTAATAGCAAGAACTTAGTCTAGTCCATTCTTCTTATGAAGATGAGTAAGGAAATTGTTCCTTGAAAGATTCGTACAGTAATAGAGACTCAGACTCATCTTTCAGTTTATCAGAGCATGAAAAGAGATATAAGAAAATATTGACTCATTCATTAAATGAACAAGAAATAACTAAGAGAAAAGGAGGTACAATATAATTTATGTTTTAAAATCAGGTAAACATGGCCTTAAGTATGCAAAAATAAGCAACGATTAGAGAGAGGGTTTGATATAATAAGTCACATCAACTGGCTGTACTATAAAAAGTGCAGCATAAAAACTTGGAATAAACTTCTCAACTGCAAAGGCAATCATGTAGATTTTCAAGAAGGAAGGAAGATCTTGTAAAAAAGTCATTCGTAAGAATAAAAAAAGACAAAGTTAAATGTACAAAAGACACTATGCAGTAACCAAAGACTAAAGTAATTTAATATATTTATCCTAATATAGGCATTAGAGAAGAAAAAGAATAGCTGAGATAGACAGGTGAAATTGCTAAAGAAACAATACAATAACCTATTTCTGTTCTTGAAGACAAAAATAAAGAATAAAATGTCATCATTCAATAACTGAGAAGTCAAGTAATAAACAGATTTATTATAGAATTTGTTATATTAAGGTTAAGTGGCTAATTTGTATTAGGAGAATGCAGTTTTAAATTAAAATTACTAGAATCTATATTAATAGTATTAACATTTGCAGAGCATGGTACAATAATAATATATTTTAGATGTAATAAATATTTATGAAAACATAAAGTCCATTAGCTCCATTCATTATTTGATTGTTTGTTTTTTTATTGTTCTCTATTCTAAGTTGTATTATTAAAATTAAATTTCTTTTATAAGGAATTTCCTTAAACTATCTTAAATAAGATTTGAAATCGTGTTTCATTTCTAATAATTATAATAAAATTTCATAAACAAATTTAATTAATAAAAATTGTTGTTTAGATAAATCAAAAGACTAGGACAGAAAATTCAAGACACAAAAAGCTACTTTTAGTTCATCTTTTTGAATACTTTGTCTAACATTAGAATATCAAAATATTTTTAATTATTAGAGTATAATTGAAAAAATATTTAAGGATAATATCTATTCTCTAGTAGAAAAGAAAATTTAACAGAATACAATATAATATTTTATAATTTATTGTATTAGTTTAAAAATAAAGACTATTTTTAGGTTGAATTAAAAAAGTTTATTAAAATATAAAGTAACATCTTTATGTATAAATATGTATTAAAATAAGAAAGAGAACAAGAATTAGTTCTAATGAAGATTGTTTTGGATACTTTAATCCTATGAAATCATTGAAAAAAGAAATAAATTAATAAAAATTTAATATGATCTCCCTTTAGATCAAATCTATTGAAACAATTCAAGAAAATCAATTCATGCTAATTATTTTAACTTTTTTGAGTCTCTTCTTTTATATATTTTTTTTTTAGTTCCTTAATTTTATTCCATCCCTTTCGTTTCATCATTTTCATTTTTATCCAAATTAAATTGATCTTATGCCTTTTATATCTTATTGTTTATCAATTAAGTCACAGATTTAACTCTATCTGTAAATATATTGGACTAATCTTATTAAAAATTGTATATAGCAAAAGCTAGAACAATCTAAGAATGTTTATATATTTCGAAATCTAATTTAATGATATAACAATTAATTTACCCATTAAAACAAACATAATCAGACTAGAGATACTTTCATTAATAGAAACACCCATAGCTATCAAATAATCAGATGGAGTTATATGATTTAATTGAAATTATAAGGATTACAATAACTAAACCTCCATCTCATTATATTCTTAATCATTGTATAAATCATAACCTGAATTGTTCTACAATTTAATTTGACCTATTGCTTCTGTTTCATTAAACTTACAAATCTACTAAAATTAATTACTTTAGAAGCTATTGAATAAGCAGAAATGCCTAAGAGCTCTAAATATTATGAGCCTATACTAAAACAGTTTAGATAAATATCTATATATGTTACTGCTAATTCCAAAGTTTTGATGCTGTGCTTAAATGATTAAGATTACTCAAATAATATATTTTAATTACCGAAATAACCCATTAAATGAGTATATCTCTTCTACAAACACCTTAAGAATTTCCAATATATAATGGTAATTCAAAGTTAAACTTTTTTTCCTAAAACTATAAGAGACTTATACTTTATCTCTATTTGATAATTCTGTTAATTGTACTTAATCGAACATGATTTAATGATTTAATTATAATATAGTTATTATATGATTTATATTATATTTAATTAATTACAATAATTTCTAAAATAATTTTGCATATATTACTTTTAAATCACGATATAGTTAAGTTCTACAATTATAATATAGAAGTTAAAATAGTAGAAAATCAGTCTAATAATAATTGAAGAGATTAATAATATATAACTTTAAAATAAATAATCAACATATATATATATAAATATATATAGAATTTTTTTAAATATATAATAATAGAAAAAAAGATTAAATATTATACTTATTATAGAATTAAACGTTTTAATAAAAAGAATATATATAGAAATACATTTTGTATTTGTTTTTGAAATTTTATTAATATTATTATTGTATATTTAATGTAATATAGTTTGATAAATATTTAAATTTGATTAAAATATAGATGATCTTAAATATATATATATATATCAATTATAATTATATTCAAATAATAATAATCTGAAATTATTTATAGTAATATTAGTTAATTAAATTAATTTACTAATGAAATCATTAATGTTATCGAAAGGGTTGATTGGAGTTGTTGCTATAGGATTTAGTTATGGAGTTTACAGAATATTTAGAGGGGTAGAGTGAGTATTTGGTATCTTTAGTTTACAAAAGCAGAGTTACGTGAGAATATTAAAAAGTAGATAATGAAATGTTATAATGAGAGTTAAAATCAAGGGTTTGTTGAACCTTTTGATATTTTACAAACTTTTTCAAAAAATGAATAAGGAATAGAGTTTCACATCAAATTAGTAAAATCTTTAGCTAAGAAACCAGTTGGACATTAATAAAATGTAAGTGAGATTTAATAGAAATAGATTAATCCTTTAATTGAACCTTTTCAACCAGGACAATTAGTAATGAAACTTTAAAACTATAATATTTTATTGAATAAATTCCCTGTTAATCCTTATCATACATTATTAGTTCCATAATAATTTATTCATTAAACTGAGAAATTTAGCAAAGAATATTTAAGTTTAGCATATGATGTACTAAGTGCAGTAGAAGGATTTGCATTCTTTAATTCCCATCCTGAAGCAGGAGCTTCATTAGATCATAAGCATTTTTAAATAGTGCCTAAATCAGCTTATTAAAGTGCAAATATATTAAATCATATAAAGGAATGGTGGTTTGAGAGAAGTGTGAGATAACCTAATAAATTCACAAAGTTAAGATATTTAAAGAAAACAAAACATTTTATATATTTTTTTAATTAGGATATATTATAAAACAAAAATTGTGATGAATAATAATAATAGAATTAACTATATGAAGCTTATGAAAAATTATTAATGAAATGTTAAGTCAATGATATTAGAGACTTAAAGCATAATTTAATAATGACTTAAGAGTTTTTGATGATTGTAGTTAGAAAATAAGCAACATTTAATGGAGTATCATTAAATGCAGTAGGATTTACAGGGTCTTTATTAGCTAAAAATGAGTAGGAATGTGAGAAATTAAAGCAAACAAGAATAATTGAGATTTTAGAAAATTTAGCTTAAACTGATGAATAATGTTATTCTGATGTAGATGAATGTTGATTTAATGATAATTATAAAAAATAATTTTCAAGTAAAAAAGATTTCAATTTAATCCTCTATTTTTTATTTGCATATTGGACATTTTTCTTGTTAAATTTTTTTTAAACATTCATTACAAATACTTAAATGTTTACAAGGCATAATAATAATATTTCTAGGTCTTTCAAAGCAGATCTAACAATCATAATTTTTAATTTCTAACTATTTTTACCCTCTTAATTTATCTAATCTTGCCTTTTCTCTTTCTTTAAAAAGTTTTATTATAAAATTCTTTATACTACATCCAAATATAAATGTTAAAATTGTAAATAGAATTACAAGAATTACTATTATTACTCTTTTCTATTTAATTTACTATTATACTAACTATAATAATTATCTCTTGCTTTTAAGAATACATATTGGATTTTAAAAGAACATTTTATTTAATTTTTTATCAAGTACAATTTCTCCATATAATACATAAAATTAATTTGCTAAAATGCCATATTCCTATTCCAGCAATCCAACAGGAAAATCCTTATTAAATAATTTCCATATTTTTAATTAACATATTTATTTAAAATAATATGTTAATCTTTAAAGGATACTTAATTATTTAGGTAAAAACTCATCCCAAATATGACTCATAGAAAATTTGTAATTGAGAGTTGAATTTCTACATACTTCAATTTTATTATAATAGTCTTCAATACCAAATTGAGAAACACAAAGTTGTAGGTTTTTAATTAATTTTTTTCTATTAAATAATAAATAAGTATATACACTCCATTTCCGTAAATATAATAGTATTTCTTTTCACTTATTATAAGAGGAACTCTTGAGATAATAGGACTATCAGATATTAACTCTCCTGATATAAATGCTTCAATTGTGGTTTGCTATGTTTAATTAAAATAATTCAATAAGGATGTTGGTGTAAATTCATTGATTAGTTAGTATCGAGTATATATCTTTTTTAATTGTTAACTCTCCTTTAATAATGAATATAGAAAGAAGCCAGTGATACAACTTCCTATGGCTGTGATTTTCTAAATAGTTTTATCCATAATAATAATAAAATAATCTCAAAAATGTATAGTTTTAAAGGAATAAATACATAAATATTAATATAAAATTCATTTATGAGTATAGAATGAGACTAAATAATTATATAGATATAACAATTTTAAGTAATTTTAAATAAATTGATAATAGTTGATGATATCATTAACTCATAAAATTAATAAAGATGATTTTCTATTTAAATAAGTTAATATTATCTCAAAATAGATGAAATTAATAAAATTATTTATCAAAAATTATAAATAAAGTAAAATTTATGAATAAAATCAACAATTATGGTGTTAATTTATTAGTTTATGGTGTGCTTTTAGATGTTAAGTTACACAAGATGAAACGTACATAAATTATTTTATTGTTAAGTCCAAATGAGGTTCGCATGATATAAATGGTAATGATCAATTTATAACTGTTTCTTAGTTTGATTCATAAGGAACATTCAGTACTTATTTTGATCTCACTTAGATATCTGATATTTAATAAAAAGAAGAATCTCAATTAAAAATAATCAATACAAAAGGAGATTATATAAAATTGTATTTTGAAAGTTCTTTTTAATTGATTACATTAAAAGAAGGATTGGATTATTTAATTAAGGAAGCTAATAGAATTTAAAAATAACTTGATAGTTATAATTAAATTTGGAGTAGTGCTCTTAAATTGATTACTAAAGCAGATATAGATATGAATAATAAACTTAATTTTAAAGAATTTTAATTTTTAATAGGAGAATTATAAATTGAGATTCCAGAAAGAAAATTAATTCAAGTATTTGAAAAAAATCAAAAGAATAATTAATTAGATGAAACAACTTTATATAAATTATTAATGGATATTACACGAAGACATGAATTGAAAGAATTATATTAAAAATATAGTAGTAAATAAGAAGGAATGTTTGAAGATCCACTTTAAGCTATGTTAATGACAGATAAAGATTTATAATAATTTTATAAAATTGAACAAGGATAAATTGATTATTAAGCTAAAAGAAAATTATACAATTTTTATGATTTTTAGAATATTATATTTAGTGAAGAGAATTAAATATTCTAATAAAAACCAATAGATTAATCTTAACCAATTACAAAATATTTAATAAATTCATCACATAATACATATTTAGAGAGAAATTAATTAACTGGTGAATCAAGTTGTTTTGCATATTAAGATGCTTTCAAGATGGGATTTAAATGTGTTGAATTAGATTGTTGGGATGGAGATGATGGTGAACCAAAAGTTACTCATGGACATACATTAGTTAATGATATTAAATTAAAAGATGTTATTATTACAGTAAGAGAATTTGCATTTTATAAAGATAATAATCCTGCTATTTTATCACTTGAAATGCATTGTTGTTTGAAATAATAAAAGAGAATAGCAGAAATTTTATAAAGCATTCTAGGAGAAATGTTATTTGTAATTAAAGATTATAAATAAGAGAAGTTTTCTACTTTATAATAATTGTAAAGAAAAGTTTTAGTTAAATATAAAGCAGATGATCATTTTTTATAAGAGAAATTATAAACTCATTCTTCAACATTATTTTATACATAATCACATGATGATATGTTAATTAAATTTGAAGATAATGATAATTAAAATATTTAATCAAATATTAAATAATTTAGTCAAACTCTAGATGAACAACATCATAAGAAAATATGTAGAGAATTATTGGATATTACTTCATTATATGCAGTATAATTAAAATTAGATAAAAAACCAGAATTAGTTTGGATTGTATCTAGTGTTTCAGAAGATAAAATATAGGATATAATAAAAAAGAATCATGGCAAATTCTAAGAATATGTTGATAATTATTTTGTTAGAATTTATCCTTTAGGATTAAGATTTGATTCAAGTAATTATGATCCATTCCCTTCTTGGACAGCAGGAGCTTAAATGGTTGCTTTAAATATTTAAACAAAAGATTTATTTATGTTGTAAAATTATGGAATGTTTCTTAACAGTTCTTATGTCTTAAAATCTAATTAAGATATGAAAATGAATATATATGTACGCATCATCAGTGCAACTAATCTTGTTTGGGAAGATGATAAACGTAGATAAGAAGAAATTGTTGATCCATACATTAAAATAAGAATTGCTGGAAATCATGATGATGTCAATAAATCTGATAAATGGAGAACAGAAGTTGTATAGGATAATGGATATCATCCTATTTTTAATTATTAATGTGTTATTTAACTACGACATGCTTAATAAGATGTTATCTATATATAAGCTTATAGTTATTCTATATTAGGAGATTCCTTGTTGGGATAATATTGTTTATCACCACTTAATTTAAGAACTGGTTATAGAATTGTCCCATTATTAAATTCTCAATTTAAACCATTATCTAATAGTTATGTATTAATGCATATCAAAATTGAATATTGATAAAATAATATATAAAGATTTAATTATCAATCAAACATTTCATCAATTATGTGACTGTCTGTTTCCTCATCTTAATATTCATTTTCATTATCTTATTCCATTATCTATCTATATTCTATCAATCTTTATACTAAACCTAAAACTTATTCAGGCTCAATGATATCAGGATCTAGAAATTCAGGATGTTCATCAAATAACTTTTTAGTTATTTCAACTTCATCATCTAAATTAATTAGATTTTATAAATGAATATTATAAACTTTTTTTTTATTTTCCTACACATTTCTTTTATATAATAATCCTTATATTAATTAATACTTATGTATACCAATAACTGGAGGATCGTATTTGATTACAAATCCTAAAGGAATAAACTTTTATTTTTATTTTTGTTTCTTTTATAAATTTATTTTATTCATTAATTGTATTTATATTAATTTAATTATTATTATACAGTATATAAATAATGTCTAAATACTATTTCACTTAATTATTATGACATAAATTATTATGTTGATATAAAAAAGTATTGATATTATTTAAATCAATTTATTTTAAAATAGTAAAGAAATGATGTTATGATAAGATATTATTATTATAAAGAAATCTTTTTGATTTAATAAGTAATTTGTGAAAATTAGATTATCTTAATTATAATAGTTTTTTAGATAATACATTTATTCTATAATATATAATATAATAATAATGGATATAGTAAAATAATTAAAAAAAAATAATAGATAATGATAGTATCATCATTTTTAATATATTTAATTAAGCAATGATTTAATTTAAAATCATTTTTTTAATAAGAATTTCATCTTAGAATACTAATACTTGAAGATATTAAAAATATTTATTGAGATTAGTATTAATTAAATTTAAAATAAAATGGAGTAAGAGAAAACTTTTGAAGAATAGTTGGAAGCAGTTGAGAATAAAATAAAAGATTCTTAAGAGAATTTAGGAGATGTTGAGGTTAGAGATGCAATGCTTGAAAAAGCCTCATTACAATAAAAATATAATAAATATGAAGATGTAAAATTATTTATTTATTTAAGGCAATCAAAACTTATATTGAAACATTACCTAAATCAGTTGGTGTAGGTAAAAAAATGGATGTCCATTTCTTAATTTTACAAATATATTTAAAATAAAGAAACCTTGAAAAATTTAAGGATCATTTGAATTAATAATAAATATTATTAGATTAAGGAGGTGATTGGGAAAGAAAAAATAGACTTAAAGTTTATGAAGGAATTTATTGTTTAATGATTAGAGATATCACAAAAGCAAGCAAATTATTTTTAGACTCTGTTGCCACATTCAATTCATCTGAAGTCATATCATACAATGAAGTTGTTAGTTACACAATCTTAACCAGTATTATATGTTTGGATAGATAATCCTTAAAAAAAAAGGTTCATTAAAATCCAGAAGTAGTAGGTGTATTAAGAGAAAATCAAGTATTGAAAAGTTTCTTAGAATCATTTTTATAATGTGATTATAAAACACTCTTTTAAAAATTTGGTATGATATTTAATTCATAATTTAGCTATTGTAAATGAAAACCTATCTCATGATTAATATTTGAGTATTCATAGAAAATACTTAATTCGAGAATATAGAGTGGTTTTCTACTCTTAATTTTTGGAAAGCTATAAAACAGTAACATTAAATAATATGGCAAAAGCATTTGGAGTTAGTGTATAATTTATTGATAGGTATATAATTAATATTATTTGATTAGAGAATTGAGTGAATTAATATCATCAAGAAGAATCAATTGTAAAATAGATAAAGTTGCTGGAATAATAGAATCCTCAAGGGCTGATGATAGAAACTAACTCTATAATAATTTAATTAAATAGGGAGATTATCTACTCAATAGAGTATAGAAACTATCAAGATTAACAGATTTATGATATTTAAATATAAATAAATAGTAGAGATAATTCAAATATTTATATAATTTCTAAATATATTTATATACCACACTATTAATAATGTAAATTTCTGATTTTTATTTCATAATTATATATATATTATTTATTCGATGTAAAAATTAAAGGATTCTACTGATGAAATTTCAGCTAAATACAAACTTCTTAGATTAGCCCTTATTTTAGAGAAATAAGCATTAAAAACTCCACTTAACATTCTAAAGATCTATACTAATATTAAATGGAGATTTAATAAGACTACAGACTTTGTTTATCAATCTAATTAATGGAATGAAATACGTAGAAATCCTCATAGTTAATCGTAATCTATTTTTATTAAATTTAGATCCCCTAATATGTTAAAAAAGAGTCTTAAACATGTTGTAAAGGAAGTTTAAATTAAGAATTATACAGAAAGAGTTCATCGCTCATAAATAGAAGGTAGGAGAACTTCATAAGAAATGGAATAACTGGTTGAATTAGCTAGAGTAAATAGCTCAAAACGTAATTTATAAAAGAAATCAGTTGATCTAACTAAAGATGTTTATTAAAACATTTACGAGTTTGGTCTTCTTTTCATTTTATTTGGTTTTATATGGTCAATGTATTATGTGATAAGTCAATAACTCAAAAAACAATGATCTTTTTTATTGTTATTTTATATGATGATCAATATAAATAAACTTATAATAATTCAAAAATATAATCATATTAAGATTTAATGACTTTTTTTCTAAGAAAATCAACAATAAATATATTTATAAATTACATTATATAAAATTCGTTATTAATTTAATTAAAAATGAATAATAATAAAAGATAAACAATAGAAGATGCTATGAGAGCAGAGAAGATTTCTTTAAATCCATACTAATAATCTTAGTAATCTATGTATGCAAACTATTATGGATATAACTAATATGTACCATATGGATATTAATAAATGATGCCAAATCATTATTAATATAATCAATATTATCTCTAAAATTATCAAATGTTGCAGACTCAATGTATTTATTTAATTAAATTAGAATAAAATAATCTATATAGAAATCAAACTAACATTTAAAGACCTTAATAATAGTATATCTAATAATCTAATCCAGCTTTAAATTCCCAATAAAAAGTATCCTAACCACTTTAATAAGTGAATCAATTATAAACACAGCAGCAATTAAATATTTAATAGGCTCAAGATTCATAATAAAAGAATGATATGAACAATATAATCGAGAAAGAGTAGAATCTATTTTTACCTCCTGTAGATGTATCTGAGTTAGATCAACCTTCAAGATGGGAGAATGAAATAAAGATATATTCATATTTATACCGAAAATTAAATGTTGAAATGCCTAATTTAGTTAGTATTATGAATAAATTAAATAATCATATAGGTGCGAGATTTTGTAATTCCAGAGAAGTATTTAATGAATAATCCTCTATTACTGTAAAATAGTATGTAGAGAGGGCATTTAATAAATGTCAATCTGATGATGAGAGAAATCTAATGGAACAATATTTAAAGGCTACAATTTCAGAAGCAAAACGCAAAAATGAATACAGTATAAGAGATTGGTCTAAATTTCCATTGCCTACACTTCCTAGAGAGAATTAAGTACGAAATTAGTCGTTATAATCTCTCCAAATAAAACAAAGCACTGCTATGGCATTGAATTCATTAGGCTAAACAAGTAAATTTGGGGCTCCAAGTTCAGCCTAACCTATTGGACCAGCGTAAAGTAATGGTTCTTAATAATAGAAATTACAGCATCTACTAGTATTTAAAATTTGATGTCTTTAAAAGATTAACTGAAATAGTAATAAGTTGATTCTATTAATCAACATCATATGAAAAATAAGAAAATTGATTATAGTATAGATTTGGCAATGTTATAAATTGAAAAATTATAGCCCAATGCTACAATATAGATTAAATAACAATAAAAATAGATTAAAAAAAAAATAGAAGAAGAAGACCAATATATTTCAACTAATATGAAAATTACAGTATAATGGAATTAAATTTATTTTTAAGGGAACTTGTGAAGATTTAGAAAAACCATATTATAGACTTACAGGTTTGCCTGATCCTAATACAATTAGACCAGAATAAATATTAAAAAAAGCATTAAATAATATTTTAGAGAAATGGAAAAATTATTAGGCAGATTATAATTTTACAATTGAATAATTCAGATCAATAAGATAAGATTTATTGGTTCAACATATAGAAAATAGATTTACAATATAAGTTTATGAAGAAAATGCTAGAATATGTTTAGAATGTGGAGATTTTCCAAGATATGAAAGTTGTTGGACTATGTTATGTGATTTGTATGACATGATTAGTATAAGTGAAGGGAAAGATGCAAATTTGATAGGAAATAAAGTTGAATTTGATAGTTATAGAATTGTTTATCTAACAATGTTAAATAAATAAGATTAATTAGTAAAAATATTACATTAGAATTCTGATGATTAGAGAATTAAATTTGCACTTGGGTATATAATTAATTAATTTATAAACTTTAGTATAAGAGAATCTTATAAATGTGGAAATTATGTTAAATTATTTAAAGATTATAAAGAATCTAGTGAGACTATGGGAAGTATAATAAATCATTTTTTAGTTAGAATTAGAGTAAAAGCATTAAAATAAATAGTGAAAACGTATAATTATTTTATTAATATATAGATATATATCAAATATAGAATTAGAATATTTAGCATAATTATTAGCATTTTAAGATGTTGAACAATTTAGATAATTTATGTAATATTTTGGTATTAATATATTATTAAATTAATTTTAGATTTAGTAAGATTTGATGAAACTTTGACATATTTATTAACCAAATAGAGTATAAATGCATTTGATAATATTAATTTTGATAAGTTAAATGAGTGAGATAAGTATTAATATATATTTATTATCAATTCTCATGTATAATTTCTTCACCAACAATTCCACTTCTTTTTCTTCTTATTGATATAGTTGGATATTATGTTAGATATCTACTTTATCTTTTAATCAATGATTTAGATTATTTAAGTCTTTTTAATTTATATTTCTCATTAATTGTCTCAATTACTTTATCAACATTATATTAAGGATAATAAAATTAATATTCTTAATATTTATCAAGTCCATCCAATTCATTAATGATTAATTTTTAATAATACTCTATTTTTAATTGAGTTTTAAAATCTGCTGAAGCACAAAAAGTAAAACTATTTTATTTTGTTAATTTAGTTTTATCAGGTGATTACAAATCTGAATCTGATGAATGTTCACAAATATCTTATAAAACTATTTTATCAGGTACTTTTAATTCAATTTTTTAGAATGATTCTTATTTATCTAATTTTTTATTATTCATTTTTATAAATTTCAAAGTAGACATTTATTTTGTACTTCCTATACCTGTGAAACTAGGTCTAGGATTATGAGTATTATTTGAATTTTATCTCATTATTTAATCTTGACTCTCATGTTGACTTTCTTTGCCTCCACTTTAAAAATTAGGATTTAAATTATTTTTTATTAAAGTATTAATAGATGAATCTGTACATGATCTAAATAAGTTTTTTTGATGTTCTAAACATTACAAATCCATTTTCTTAATTATAGAATCATTTATAGATTCTTCTTAAATTAAATTATTTTCTAAAGCATATGTAACTAAACGATATTATATGCCTAATCGATCACTTTTAGAGTTCTACCTAATTAAATAATTTATGTATTACATGAGATTTAGCTTATCTACGTTCATATGACTACCTTACTTATTCTTAAGCATATTGTCTTTTAACTACAAATCGAATATTTGGTTAATAAAAGACAAAAGGACATTCCAATACTTTATGATTTTAATAACAGAGTTCACAACCTGATAATTTAATTCTTTCTTATAATTAAACTTTATTTAATGCTTATTTATATTTTTCGAATTCTTCTGGATATTTTTAAAGTAAGAGATGAAATTATTATTTATCTAAAACAGCAACTCTAACGAAACTTTAAGCTTTGGCTGAAAATGGTAATTTAGCATTAGTAAGAAAATACTTTTCTCCCAAAACCTCATTTTTTTTTATTAGAGACAATTGTGAAACTTTATTCTTTTCTTAAAATAATTAATAATGTAAATAATACATTTATTTAATTCTATAATTAGGGAAACTTCTCCTTCTAATACAAAATATAATTCATTAATTTCTTAATCTGAAATAACAATAAATTCATCTGGCATGTATTATTTTTCTTTGACTAATTAACATATTTCATTTAACATTAAATCAGAAAATGTTGTTGATATTAATTTAGAATTTGATATAAATTTTCTATATATATCTATTTTTAATTCTGTTTTCAATGTTGGATCTAATTTCTCAATTAATTTAACACATTCATTATCTGATGTATGATCTATTTAAATAAAATATTCAAAAAACATTTTAACCTTATTAGCCAATACTTTATTTACATTTCTTTCTTCAATAAACTTTTTAATTAAAAACATTTTATGTCTCTCATTCTTCTTATTTTCATTTAATTAACTAAAAATATTTCCAATACTAGAAATTGTATATGCAAATACAACACTACTAACTACAGCTACTATTACTACAAACATTCTTTCAACAGAACTAACTGGTATAACATCACCATATCCTATTGTCAATGTAGTAATTGAACTCCAATAAATAGAAAAAACATATCTTACAAACCAAGACTCTCCATCAATATTTATCTACTTAATCCAATTCTAATCATACCTTAAATCAATATATCTAAAATAATTATACCCAAATTCTTCTTCTAACACTCCTATGTAATGCCATACACAACCAAATAAATGAGACAAAAATAGAAACTATATCAACAAACGAACAACATCTATAAATGTTTAATAATGTTATCTCAAATTTAATGTCTCTTCTAATGTATCAGCAAGTAATATCAATCTTTTCAAACGTATTAATAATAGGATCTCAAAAATTTGAGATTCATCACTTATAGCACTTATAAATTAAGGCATCACACTCAAAAAATCATAGCAAAATGTAGACTTTAAATAATGCAATGCAATTTGTTTCTAATCTATTACCAATACTCCATGTTCATAAAATCCTGTTAAAAAATTCAATAGGATTTCTATCAGATAGACATAAAGAGGTAATGTGAATAAAAAAAACTACAATAATTCTTATGAAACGTCAATTTAAAAACAAATCTTTAATGGCACAAATACCATTTGTATTGATAAAATTATCAAAAGGAATACATCCCATATTAATTTTGGTGTGCTAGTAGGAACTATAATAAAGATGATCTTGTAAACAAAATATTACAAAAATATATGACAAGACTAATATAAACAATTATTTTGAATTCTTAATTTTAGCATTTACTTTATAAATTTTATATAAATACTGAATAGCTAAGTTTCTTTTTTCCTCTTATTAAAAATCTCTCTTCATAATAATCAAATATTGCTGATTAATCATTTATAGCATAGAATTGTCTTTTTTTCATGAATGTAAATTTAAACTTCTCAGAATTGATTAATAATGCCATTACAAATCTAATAACATAAGTCATAATTCTTAATGCTCCTTTTTACCATATTTTATTATCCCAACCTCCTATAGGCTAATGAATATCATCTGATTAAATTTTTTAGGTTTCCTTCATTACTTTACTTATAGATTCAACTCTTGATTCTCTTCTACTTGGATGTCTGCTTTGATTTGAAAATGATGAATTTTCTGAAGCATATAATTCATTATCTTCATCAACACAACTCTCTGGAATTTATTATTCATTTAATTATAACCCTAATCCTGGCCTACCATCAAATCCTACATTGTTGATAACTAATATTAACAATAATAGATTGCTTAAGGTTTCTGTATTATTTCTCATTGTCATCAATCTTGAAGAATCAGTTTTATAAATTGTGTCTATTCCATGTCTATCCATTTTATTATGCAAATATAAATATATAAATTATATCTTTACTAATTGTTTCATAATTGTTATTAATTATAACTCATTTCATTTCTTTCAACAAATAAAACCCAATATTAATGACTTTGAAAACTTTCAAATATCAAAGAATTAACCATAAGCTTCACTTTTAAGATTGATAATGATACATTATATATCAAAACTATTAACTAAAAGAAACAATAACATGATCTTGAGCTATATTAACATAACCTATATATCGAATTCTAATATAAATTTATTATCTATTATTAATAATTAAACTAAATTCTTACGTAAATCAATAAGCTTAATCTATATTAGGAATTATTTCATCATCTAAAATAAATCAAATATCTATAGCCATATTTATAGCTATAAATGTAAGATACATTTATATTATTATTCCCTTAAATTATTAGTTATTTAAATAACCGATTGCTTTATTTGATTTGAAACTAAATCTTACTTATTTTATTAGATACTCATGCTTCCATATTATTTATTTAAAATTTTCTTGCTTCTTTTTTCATTATTACATACTTCGATTACTCTATTTTATACATATTGAAGACATTGCCTAAATCCTAAAAACATTTTCTATAATCTTTTTGGCAAAATATTAAAATACCACTAATCGTGACATATTGAGATCGCAAGGTTATTATAAAATAATTTAATATTAATGTTTTTGATTATTTATGTATTTGATAATTAATAATTTTAGATACATTAGTCTAATAAACTATGATTTTATTTTCAATCATATTTATAGTTTTTAGTTATTTTTCTAATACCTATAAATATATTAGATTAATTCTAATTGCTCTCCTTTAAAAATAATATTCACATCATAAAAAAATTACTCTATTTATTTCTGATTAAATAATATTCTTATTCCATTTATAGATAAACTTTAAGTCTCCATGTGATTTTATGGGCTAAAAATACTTTATAACATTGATTGGTCTGTTTATTCATATTATGTTTAAACTTTTTAAAATAGATACTATTAGGGACAGCAATTTTTATGATATTTGATAATTTTGATCAAGCAACATAATTTATTGTAAGGAGTTCTTGCTTTTATTTATTAATGAATTTTCTTTTATAAATTAAAAAAATAATTTTATAAATTGTTATAGATTGAAGTGTTAATCTGAATATGTTTTCACAATATCATTCGAATATTTAAGTTATTATTAATTATTTGAATTATTATATCTAAATTAAATAGAATGAATAATTATTCTAATTAAGTATTGAATAACATATTTATTAAATTCATTGCTATAATATTCTACTTATATGAATAGAATAAAATATTTAATATTCATAAGAATGCTTAAGAATTAAATATTTTTAAAATTATTATTTAACACCAGGATAATAGAATGGAATAAAAAAATAAATATTTATTAGTATATTAATATTTCCTAAATGTTTGTAGTGACTAAAATTGGACAAGGGTATTCTGCAGAGTATTTAATTCTTAAGAGTTTTTAGTGTCTAACTTGTGAATCGATGTGGTTAATTGATGGCAATGAAGGTCTTCAAATAATAATAGTCATCTTTGTATGAAAATGAAATAAAAATAATGCAGTTATTAAGCAACATTCCAGGAGTGATTAGAGTAAGAGAATGTGAATGTGATGGTTGTATAATGATGGATTACGCAAAATAGGGGAATCTATTACAATATTTAAAGCTTGAGAAATTCACTGAAGAATTTTCAAGACATTATTTTAAGTAAATAATCTAAAGTATAGTATTTATTAAATGATAGTAATTTCTGAAATCCATAAAAAAGGAGTAGCTCACAGAGATCTAAAATTAGAAAATATATTATTGGATGATAATTTCAATATTCTTATATGTGATTTTGGATATGCAATCAAATTTTTAGATGTTTAAGGCAAAAGAACTAAGATTAATACGTATATTAATTTATATATATTCAGATATGTCGGTTCACCATCAACAGCAGCTCCTGAAATATTTCTTCAATAACCTTATCATGGAATAGAAGCAGATCTATTTCAATTAGGAGTGATATTATTTTAGATAACTGCAGGTTTCTGTCCATTTTAGACAGCCAACATTAAAACAGATTAAGTATATTAATTAATTTACAGGTATTGTATTATTGTAACTATTTAAGAAAATAGCACAATAAATTTTGGGAAGTTCAATAAGTTGACTTTAGTCTTGAATTGAAGGATCTCATCATTAAATTATTGGCTTTCAATCCTAATTAAAGATTATCAGTAAAGATTTATATAACTATTTTATTAGATCTAAGAGATAGAATCACATCCTTGGATATTGAAATAGGGAGTTGATGATTCACTAATTATTAATGAAATGAGCAACAGATATAAATAGATACTACAAACATCATAAGAACAAGAATAATGAAATAATATATTTTACTTTATCGAATTTCGAATATGTAAAAATATATATAAAATAATTACAAGTCAATATGATTCTTATTTCTAGTTTTTTAATCTTTCCAACTCTTTATCAGAAACTATATATTCAGTAGTAAAAATATCTAAAAATTCCAAAAATTCAACATAGTTATACTATCTCTCATATATTTCATTTAATTTTGCAGTATTTAATTAATTTTTATATAAGACTATATATGGTAGACTTTTTTATAATTATTCTCTCGAAATGTATAAAGAAGGATAATCTAATTAAGCAATTGTGAAATAATTTTAATTATCTGAATCCATCAAAGCCTTAAATAAGGATAAGTAATGCATAATATCTTGTCTATTTACTTTTTTTTCTAATACTATTTATTCAATATTAATTAACTTCATAATTTCTTTAAATTTTTTATTATCTTTTGAAGTAAAACTTGAAAATGGATCATTAGTTAATTCCATTTTCTTAGGTAATTTTTTATATATTGGATTCTTAAACACATCTACTTTATCAACTGCATCTTCCTTAATTTCTTCAATTGATTAAGTACTTTCATTCAATAATTTCCTTTCAATATGAGCTTCTTCATTAGGATCCAACATTTACTTTTACTAATAATATGTTATAAATAATAGATTACTCCTTTTATTTTATTTTCAATTGATTTTCTTCTAATACCTTTGATATTCTCTTTTCTTTATCTCATTCCAGCTTCTTAATTTGTTAAATGTACTGAATATTTAGATTTATTTTATTGAATAAAATATTATATTGTCTTTAGATAAGTTTTCTGTTAATTTTTATTCATTTGAAAAATAGACTAATCAATAACTTCATCATTTAATTATTCATCATCTCCATCTTACTGAATTGTTTCAATTTATTATAAAATAGGAGATTTAACATCTTCTTCATTTTAATTATAACCCATTGAATAATAAGGAAGAAAATTATCTCTTTTTCCAAAGAATTTAATAATATCATCTTTAGATCTTAAATCTACCATTTTAGTTGCTAATTTGACATATTTATCTAATTAGAATTAACCTCCTAAATTTAAAGTTTATCCAACTCTATTCCAAAGATCAAATTCTCCCTATGATTTTTAAATATCTATTTACGTGTAGATTACAATAAATGAATTTTTCATAAGTAGGTATTTGATTTAATGTTTAAAGTTCTTTACCATCTAAAAAGTAAAACTTTACAGTGTTGATATGTTATTTATAATGTAATAAATCTAAAAAATGTTTTGCCCAAATATTGTAATTATCTGCTAATTCACTTATATTACTAATTTTCTCATATATTGGAGTAAAATAAACCAAAGAATTTAGTTATAATGATACAGAACTATATTTATATTATTAATATACCTATTTTTTACTTCTACTTATGAACTTTTTAAAACAAGAGTTTGATGAGGAAGGTACATTAATATAAATATTCTTTTATTGCCTCTTTTAAAATTGACTCCCTTTTATACAATTTTCAGTTATAGAAATTAATTAATCATATCTGGCTTCCAATATGTATTGAATCTTTCTAAATGATGTATTTCTTTTTAGACTTCATGTGCTAAATTGATTCTATTTACTTTATCTACTTTTTACCAAGAAGTTTCATTGAAAGTAGGACTAAATTATCAAAAATGATATACCTTAGTTTATGAAACTTTAGAATAGAATCATTTGAATAGGATTCGAAATTATTATCAAATATTAAAGAAGAGAGATCTGTTCTAATTGGTTAATTGCTTATATAACTTGGTTATTAAGAATGCAATTTAAGAGGAGATTTACTATTAGTTTTATTTACTTTCTTATGTTCAAATTCTATAATAGGTTATGAGATTGAAATTTCATCACTTATCAAAGAGAGTTGATGTTTTCGATATTTTTTTATATCTTCTTTAGTTCTTTAAAGTATGTTGGGAAATACAATCTTTTTAATATTCTTTTAATAATTAAGTATTTCTTATTGGGTTTTGGATGGAGAAGTAACTTTGGATATTTTAGGTTGAGATGTTGAATGGTGTGACTATTTAAGGATTGGGAGTCTTGATTTGAGTGTATTATTACTTTTCTTCAGTGTAAAAGTCGTTGAATTAAATTTTGGTAGAGATTTAGAGATCAGTAAAAACAACGGGAAGGTATTCTTTAATTGTATGAGACATTTGATAAGAATATATTTATATATAATTTTAATATAATTTATAGTAATAAAATATATTAAAATTATATTAAGTATAGTATTTTATTAAGTGGATAGTTAAATAAGGATAATAATAAAATAAATAAATAATAATTCGTATTAGTAACATTTAGAAAATATAACATAATACATCATGAAATAAAATAAATAAAATAAATTAAATCATAATTACTAAATCTATAATTTGAATGACGTATAGTACGTATTATTCAAAGATGATTCATCTTGATAAAGCATCATAATTAAAAATAAAATGATTTAAACCTTCGCCAGACGTGCTCTATAACCTCAATTCAGAAGTCTAGCTAGATTTGGTTAGAGTAATGAAGAAGGCGATGTGTCTTTCTTAGAATAAGTGTATTAATACTTTGACAAGGCAGCTGCATTGACAAACATACCTTTAGACATGCTTAAGTACTAAACCATTAATAAAATAGCTATTATAAGAAGACTGATTGTGTGATCAAATTTCACTTACCCCTTGTTAGAGATGATGGGACAGTCGAATGCGTAAATATATGAACCTAATAACCATATTTAGATTCCTGCATTCAGAGCACAACATAAGACTCACAAATTACCAACAAAAGGTGGTACAAGATTGAGTGAACACATTCATACTGAAGAAGTAGAGGCATTGTCTTTATTAATGACATTTAAGAATGCTGTTTTAGAATTACCATATGTAATTAACAATATTATATAATGTTAGGGAGGTGCAAAAGGAGGTCTCAAAATGAATCCAAAGAAATATTCAAAAAGAGAAATTGAGTCATTGATGAGAAGATTTACTATTGAATTGGCAAAGAGAAATTTCATTGGAGCAGCTATCGATGTTCCAGGACCAGATCTCGGTACAGGAGAAAGAGAAATGAGTTGGATGAAAGTAATCTATCTTTCAATATATTTTAAGGATGAATACACTAAATTTGCAGGACATCTTGATATCAATGCTCAAGGATGTGTTACAGGAAAGGCCATTTCTTAAGGAGGTATTTCAGGAAGAACAGAATCTACTGGTTTAGGAGTCTTTTATGGATGCAGAGAAATCTTGGAAGATTATGAATTTTGCACCTAAGCTGGTATTCCAGCTGGTTTGAGAGGAAAGAGCATTATCATCTAAGGTTATGGAGCTGTAAGATATAATATTAATAATAGGTCGGTTACTATGCAGCTAAATATATGTGTGCTTATGGTGCTAAATTAGTAGGTGTAGCTGAATGGGATGGTTCTATATATGAAGAAAATGGAATTGACCCAGATGAATTATAAGCTTTTAAAGAATCAAGAAAGGGTGTTAAAGGTTTCCCTAAAGCTTCAGAATATCATGAAGATGAATCTGTCATTTATAAGGAATGTGATATTTTCATTCCTGCTGCTTTCGAATAAACTGTGAATAGAGTAATATCAATTTATTTATATTTAGAATAATGCTCCTAAATTCAATTGTAAAGTTATTGCTGAAGCTGCTAATGGACCTACAACTCTTGCTGCTGAAGAAATTTTAATCAAGAAAGGTGTTAAATTCCTCCCTGATATCCTTCTAAATGCAGGTGGTGTTACAGTCAGTTATTTTGAATGGCTTTAAAATCTTGATCACATCAGGTTTATTTAATCATTTATATCTTTATAGACCAGGAAGAATGACCAGAAGATGGGAAGAAACATCAAAATATAAGTTATTAGAAGCAATTTAAATTTCTACTGGTTTGAGAGTTGATGTTACCAAAAATTAATAAGCTGCTAAACTTCTTGAAGGTCCTTCAGCTGTATTATTTATATTCTATTGTTTCCTTAGAAAGATTTAGTATTCACAGGTTTAGAAGAATCTATGGCAGTTGCTGTCCAAAAAACAAAAGAAACTGCTAGCAAATTGAATATTTCTTTGAGAATGGCTGCCTATTATAATGCACTCATGACAATTCATTAACATATTGACACAGCTGGTTTAAGATGATAGATAGTATATAATAAATATTATTAAAATTGTGTTCATATAAATATTTTGTATTTTATTTTATTTTATATCGATTAGTTATAAAATTGACAATTATACAATAATTTTATACATCCAAATCATTTTATCAACAAAATATGATTTTGTTGATCAATTAATTAACTTCATCATTTTTGGTTTAATATGTATAGAATATAACTATTATTGATAAGTTCCATTAAATTTATCAATATAATATTAATGTAAATTTTATGTTTTATAAAAGATACTATTAACTTGAATTCGATTTATATTAATATTTTAACATCACATGAATCAACCTTTTAACAATCACCTAATCTTTTCCAATTTACTACATCAGCCTTAGCCAATTACCTAACATTTTCCCTATTAAAATCCTCTATAAACTTTTTATTCATAATTTTAAGTAGCATACAATTTCGCCCCAATTCATAACCAATAGAGTTAGCAATATTTTTAATTATCCTTGCCATTTAATGGATATAATGATTTTGGTATTGCTCTTACATATCTTAGTCATTTATTCTGATAATTCAACATCCTTATAAAAAACGACTTAGACAATTGCAAATACCAAAAATAGTAATAAAATTCAGGATCCCACACATCAACTTCTTATGAACAAATAAACGCTTCGTGAATATATTCTCTTGATTCTGAATGATAATGATCAAATCCATTAGATTTCACAAAATCTCAAAGAAATCAACTAAATTCAATTAGCAAAGACTTTAGAATTATTAGTTAAAAAATAGTAATAGCATATCAAAAGTAGAGAAGAATTAATCAAGTTTTGTTTAAGAAAAGCATTTAGGTTTATATTTTAGAAAATATCAGAAAGAAACAACATTTCAAGTACTATTATCAACAATCTATTAGAAACTAATTTAAAAACTGCACGATAGGAATTTTTAAAAATTATGGAGTAGGAGAAACATATCCCATTAATATTACCTTTTGGAAGGAACAGTAAAAACAAAACCATGAATAATGATTTTTTAAAAGAAGTATTTTCTTCTCAAATTTTCCAAAATTTCTACAAAGAGTTTTTAGGTATATTATATTCATAATTATAGATCATTTAGATGATACTATATAAGCAGATAGAAAAAAGAAGATTGATAAACTATAGGATAAAATTTGGTTGAGTTTAAGGGAGAATAGAACCGTAATTATGTATTAGATTATTATAGACTTAAATTGATATTAAACGACTTCCTTGGTCATTGAAAAATATAGATAGAGTGAAATCTATAGCTTTTGAGTTGTTGACATTTTCAGAAAATCATAAAAATTGAAAAACAAAATCCATATTTTCATTCATATTAATTACCATGATGTTTCATTATCATATAAATCTTTGATAAATACCTCTAATATTAATAAAAGAGGCTTCCTTGTTATTATATATAAACAATTAATCCACAAAATTCATTTGTTTTACAAAAAATAATTAAAATGATATATTTATTAAATATGATTGAATGAAAATTTTTTTGAATTCAGAATAATAAAAATAATATTCTGAATTAAAAATTTGAACAAAATTTACTTATTTAATTAGGTATCTTAACATATAGTGATAAGTATTTTGTTTTACTTGTTTAATATTATGTTTAGCATATATTTAATGTGAAACAATTTCATATCACCATTTTTTCTTTATCAGTAATATTAGATGTTTTAATGTTAAATTTTTTAATATATATTTAATTCATTAATAATTAATAAAATATATTATAAGTACTAGAATTCCATAGAATAAATAAATTAATATAAATTTAACTCTTATAATAATAATATATATAATCAAAAAGCTATACATTTTATATTTATTAATCATAAAAATTAATGTTTTTTTATGCATTTTATTTTATGTTTGAGCAATGAAAATAAATAAAATAAAATAAGTAATTTATAATAATATTTATGTATAGTAATAATTCATTTAAGGAATCAATTGATTTTCATATTAATTTAACAATAAAAATTATAATACCTAAAATTCAAACTTATTAATGAATGGGAAACTTGTACAATCATTAATCAATTTGTTCCCTTTTTAATATTAAGATATGATGATCAAATGTGTGTTCATTATAGGATTCGATAAACTTATCAAAAAGGGATATGTCACAAATGGGAAACCAAATATACATGAGATAATAGATTATGCTAGTAAAATAAAATTTAAATTTAGACAAATTGCAATAGTATGGGAGATTATAATAAGTGCAGGAACCTTGTGATATAAGACATGAATTAGATCAATTGAAAGATGAAATAAGTAAATTAACACAATAGATCCATTATAATAATTCAATAATGTAATGATTATGATGTAAAAGATAAAGACAACGTCAAACATAAAGAAGTCATGATAGACTAATACAAAATGTGTCTCCAATTTATGATGACCGAAAGAGATCTGCTTCACTTGGATTCAAACAGTAATAATAATTGGTACAAAAAAAGTCTAAGGAGATAACTCCAAAGATTACAGAAACAACACCTTAAACAATTAATTAAATACATATAACAATCTCTAAACATCATTTAGATGACACAGAGATTAAATCTGTTATGAGAGATAATTTAATAAAAGATAAACCTCCAAAACCAATTAAAGTTATTTAAGATAATCATTAAAAAAAGAGTCATTATGCTGATTACTAACATACAGATACAGAAGAACCTCCAGTATTTGAAGATACAGATAGATATCCAGTCAGAGATAATTATATTCCATAATATATATAATATTCATAACATAGTTAATAATCATAATAATAATCATAATAATATTAATAATAATAATAATTGTTATAATAATCATAAATATCTTCATAATCAAATACAAAATAAAGTGATTAAATTACACATAATACACATAATACAAATTAAACATTTGCTTAACCATAATCAAGTTAAAAATAATTATTATAAACATCCAAATCCTCTCATGGTCAATAAAGATCACCTAATAGATCTCCTAAATTTAAATATTCCTAAAAGTAATAATTTAAGAAGAATCTAGAAACTGTATAAGAAGAAAACTCATAATCTTATGTAAAATAACAAAGTAGTCATTCTGCTTCTTCAAAAGGTAGAGCATCACATAGATAAACAAAAACATAATAAAATACATAGGCAGTATCTAAAATTAAAGCATTACTTGATTAGGATAAGAAATTGCATAAATAACATCTATAAGATATAGCAAGTGAAAGAAATTCATTTACTAATTCTTTTATAAATTCATCAGATAAATTAAAAATGATGCATTAAGAACATCTTTCTGAAAATAATAAGATATCAACTTAAGAATTGAATGAATCTATTCATAAAAGAGCTATCTCTAATAATAGTTTTTATAAATAATAGTAATAACAAATGTCACCATAATTAGATTATGAACCAAAGTTAATGGGATCGGCTTAATATAATTAATTACAAGGTTCCATTTCAATGACCAATTCAAATAGAGGGAGTAGCTTTCTGGGGAATCATTAAATATAAGATAATATCTTGATTTATAGCAAATATAAATAATAGATTTTAGATCAATACTCACCTAAATTAAATTATCACTATCGACCATCAAGTGTTGGAAAATAGTAAGAAAGTGAATTAAAACGATCTGAAGATTTCAACCGAAGTTCTGTAAGTAGCACTTTCTCAATGTTCAATCCTAATGAAGAATTAAAAACATTCTTTTAGAATGATTTCTTAGAAAGAAAGAGATTCACTCAATAAGGATATAGTGATTTGATGAAATAAGTAAGAGATGTATCTATTTATTTAGTCATCTTTGAATTCATCATAAGAACACAATTAACACCATAGTAAATACATAACGGCAAGTTAGATTGAAGATTAATAGAATTTTAGTAAGAATTTATATAGTCCATAATAATATTAAAATGTTGATAAATCTAATGTGTTCAATAATAATCGATTAAGTGTAACAAGAATACTAAATAATTCATAAATATGAAAATATATTCGTTTTTTTATTCTAATGAAATTATTATTTATAACATTCTTAGTGTTTGGTAATACATAATCAATTATATCATATGAGGCATTCAAAGGAGATAAGTTTGACTCATTGTATATATATTTTAAATACTAATATAAACGTTGGATTATCTAAAATTAATTCGAAGCTACTACAAATATAAATATAAAATGTAATACTAAAAATATTTTTGGGAGGATTCAAGAAGTTTGTTAAAAAAAGAGAAGCAATTAAATTAATATAGATAATAATATATTTTGTTGTAGAATAGAAGAATGGGGAAAATGATATATTTTCTGTTTATGTAGATGGATTTCCTTAGAAATGGGATTTGGATATATAATAATCATTTATTTAATGCCTATAAAGGAGTGGGGTATGTGCTAATGATAAATTTGATGGGTGCAAATATTAGAATAAAGAAGCTTTGAGTTGGTTTAGTGTAGATACTAAATTTGAAGGATGGAAATTAGAGAATAAAAAACTAAAAGGGTATGAATATTATGATATAGTAATAGTTGGAGGTTATGAAATTATTTGTATCAAAGCTTTATTGTTAAATCTATTTGCAATTATAGTATCTCATAGTAAAGTGATGGTCAAATTTACTTTTTAGAAGGTAAAATTATAATGATTAATTTAGAGTTATTTATGTAGAGTGTAAATTTTTGTTAAACAGAATGGATGGAAATCTGAAAGAAAGAATTATGAAATTAGATAAAATCATTGCTCACACTTAACTAGAATTAAAAGTTGATTTCAAAAGTACACTTCAAAATACAGCTAATGAAGCTTCTTGGGAATTTAGAGAGTTTTTACTCTTATATATTCGCCATTAAAAGATTACATTGAAATTTTAGTGAGTGCAATTATCAAGTTAAATCTTATAATATTTGTGATAATGTTGAATCACTCAAAATTAATTGATTATATATAGTCATAAATAGATTTTGATATCAAATCAATAATAATTCCAATGAGCTTGAAAATTAAAAGTTGTAAGAATTAAGGATTTAAAGAAGACAGAGTAGAATATCAAATAAATCAAGAATGTATTGACAAAATAATAGAATTCTCTTTGTTATAAAAAGTAATTGACTGGAAATGTAAAATATATAAATAAATGATTGATATTAATATGATATAAGTTGTATTTTTATTTCATTATTTGGAGAATCTAATAGTTTTAGATAATTTTAAAAATTGATTAATCATAATATATATATATATCAAAACCTTATTTAATGAGTAAATATAAACTTTAGATTATAGGATCAATATTGTATATAAAATATCTATTTAGATATAAAGACAAATTATATTTTAAATGATGTGAAAGAAAGAAGAATTATAATTAAGAATAAATGTTACTTTTATTTCAAACATATATTTATATTGGATTATGTAAAAATGATCCCATTATTTAAGTTTCATATATTTAAGCTATTGGTGAATCTAGAATATGCTTATATTTTGCTATTCCTTAAATTGCTATATATATATAATATATGGAAGACTTATGAGTTAATCAATATCTGTGAGTTATTGTTGCAAATATATTGTCATTTGAATAAAGATCAATTTATTTCTGTCTGCTCTTACTTGATTGTAACTCCTATTCTTTTTGATTAGTTGATGTAATTTATGTCACCTTTTATTGTAAAATTTCATTCTAAAAAGTATGTTTTTTTAAGCTTCTATTTGTTTTTGAAGTTGGTACTATCTAACTTTCTATTGCACGCTAAATATACGGTTATTTTGGAATTTTATCTTTAATATGAAGATGCTAACTGAATTTTCTTTATTTTATATATGGGGATTGTTGTTTATGTTATTAATTTCTCTCTGTTCTAAAACCATACTCATCTTGAATTATATTATCAGTTTAAATCAACTTTGAGTTTGTTGCTTTAATTATCTCATCATATGACTTTTTCTCTGTGTTTTCATCTCTTCTTAAAAATAAAGTTATTGCTTTTTTATTTAAACTTATAGATCCAGTTTTAGACATTATTTCTTAAAAATGTCTAATTGATCGAGAATATGAAAAAACTCTTTTGGGCTGTTCAAATACTTATTTTATTATTTAATGCTAATGATAACAAATAAATCTCTGTTTATTATTATTCCTATTCAGCAAGATCTTAAGCTTGTTTTTTCTTTATGAGATAGCTTCTTAATCAAAATCAATAATCATTAATTATATAACTCATGATTTGAAGTTAATTAAATTTTTTTTGTTATAATCTAAGTTAATAATTTAATAATCTTTAAACTGAGATTCTTATTAGATTTCTCAACATTATATATTATAATCAGATTCATAGACCTACTTTAGTTTGATTGATAAACTTTAAATTTTTGATTAAATCATTATTATAACTTATATATAAAATAATTATTTAATTTTCATCAAAATTGCTAATAATTATTAAGAATAGATTATAAATCAATAAATAATTATGGTTATTTTACTATCTATTTATAAATATATGTACTAAGAAAATCATTTATTTAATTAAATTTTTAAGATTACATCAATTATAATATAATTAAAATAAAGAATTAGAAAAATTAAATAAACTATTTAAGATTGAATGATTTGATAGATAGAGAAACCTATATAATAAAATTAGAATCTATAAAAAATCTCAGCTCCAATAAATACTTAAATATTGATATATATTAACATAAAAGATAAATTAAAAAATATATTTCACATTTAAATCAATTATATTTTACAAATAAAAAATAAAAATCTTCAATTATATAAAATAAAGATTAAAATAATTGAGATTTTAAACTAAAATAGATTAGATTAATTAAGTTCAGTAAAAATATTGCTCATAAAATTCTACATTTAAATTTATAAGATTCAAGTTCAATAATTTAATCAAAACCTTATTGTTCTTATTTTTTAATAGTAAAATGTAAATAAAATATTAAGATTAAGCCAATTTATTTTTAGTTTGCAATTAAAATATTAAACTAAGTTAATTAAATATGATATGAATATAAACAAAAAAAAAGTAATCTCATAAAAGGATTTGAATAAATTATCAATGAGCTTCATTTTAGATTGCTTCTTAATAAATTTAGTAGAATGTAGACTTTTTATCTTTTAGTAATTCTTATGTTAATCCAAATTCTTTTAATTATCCTTTATCAATTACTATAATTCTAATTAATTATTAAATTTAATACTTATCACAATGTAGAATTGTATTTATACGATGAGCAATTGTTAATACAGTACAATGTTGAAATGCTTATTGAATAACTTATTAAATTTTATGTTCAGTTTCAACATCTATGTTAGCAGTAGCTTCATCTATAATCACAATTTTAGTTTTCTTTAAAACAGCTCTAGCTATACAAATCAATTATTTTTCACCAGCACTTAAATTATCCCCACTTTCTGAAATTTTTGTCATAAGTCCATCTCTATTACTTACTAATCTATTTAAACAACATTAATTTATGCTTGATAAAATCTCTGAATCAGATCTTAAACCCAAAGGATCAAGATTATCTTTTATGGTACCATCAAAAATGACAGCATCTTATAATATAATTGTGATAGATTCTCTTAATTATTTAAGAGATAAATTTGCAATATCAACATTATCAATCAATATTTTACCTTCTAATGATTCTAATATTCTTAATAGACTCAAAGTGATAGATGATTTACCAGCTCCAGTTCTACCAACAACTCCAATTTTTTCTTTTGGATTTATTTTAAAATCTAAATTACTTAATGCAGGAGGAAGGTTTTAACGATATTAAACTGAAAAATTAATAAATTAAATTTCACCAATGCTTGGCCAATTTTAGACTCTGATATTATTTTCATTTCTTTTCTCTGATTTAACACTTAAATATATAATATATTAATATTACTTAGTATATGCTAAACATCGTTCAAATGAAATAATACCATTTTCTAATAGACTTAAAGATTCTACTGTTTGAAGAATATTAGTATCAATATTTGAGGCATAAGTCATTAATAGTCCTGCAAAGGCTGGATTTTAAGTATAATAAATGCAATAAACAATAGCTGAAATATTAACTATTAGACTAGACAATCCCATAATTTATAAAAACCATGCATTAGATTCTACCTATTTGTAATATATTTTTTTATTATTATCTAATTTTCTACAAAAATTGTAAAGAAATTAATTATTTTATTAATAAGCTCTTATTATTGTTAATCCTGATAAGGTTTCAGTGAAGTAACTTAAAATTGGACTTTTACTGATTAATTCTAATCTTTAAAGTTCTCTAGATGCTTTCATATAAAGTCTATTCATTTTCAAACTTATAATAAAAAATCCAATAATAGGAAATATTATGAAGAGAGTACTTGCATATACATTTAGAAATGTATTACTAATCAATTGACTCACTTTAGTATATAGCCAACTGATATTCCAATAGATTTCTGTATCTAATGAATTAATATCTTTTGTTAATCTATTCATTATCCTACCTTAAGGTACTCTTTCAAAAAATGAACATTAAGGTGCATAAATCAATGATTTCATCATTTTATTATGAACTATTTCAGCTGATTTAATTGATTATTTTATAATTGTTATTGCTCTTAGAAAAGCAAAGAAAGCTTACATAAAGCCTAAAGTAAAATAAATGGAAAAGTATAAGGTATTTCTTGAAAATTCCTCATCTTTTGATGATAAAGCAGCCCATTTAGAAATCCATATGCTAGAACCTAAATAACAAGATATCCAAATAATCATAATAACAATGACCAATGAGAAACTCACACAACCTCCATTATGAGCAAAATACTATAAAAATACTTCATAATTAATATCTCCTTTCTATCTTTCCTCTAATATCATAAGATCATCTACTTCATCTTATAAAGAAGATTTAGTAGAAAGTGCTGTTGTAATAGTAGATGAATCAAGATTTGGATTACTATCTGAATATGTATGTTTTTTATAATCTTCTTAATGATTTGATATCAATGGAGAATCCTCTTAATCTTCATTATTATTGTTAAATTTAGTTTTTATTTCTTAAAACTTTTAACTTTAAAGCATACTTTTATAAGTACCTTATTCAAATACTTCTCCTTTTTCAAATAAATAAATATAATCTGTATATTTACAATAATTTAAAGCATGAGTGATGAGTATTCTTGTAGTTTATTTTAATTTTCCTAATAAGCATTCTTTCATAATAAAATTTCCAACATGAGCATCAACAGCACTTAATGGATCATCCAATAGAATGATATCTGAATCACTATAAATAGCTCTGGCTAAACTAATTCTTGCTTTTTAACCACCTGATAAATTAATTCCCTTTTCTCCTATCATAGTTTAATCTCCATTAATTAAAATCTACAAATCTTAAGTTAAACAAGAATAATAGATTGCATTGTCATATTATTATTTATTAAATTACTTACCAAAAATAATATTATCTTAAACTGTTGCATTTTAGATCCAAGGTTTCTAACTTACATATGCTAATTTCCCATTTAATCTTATTTTAGGTTAATCACCTACTTCATTATATATCATTTCTCCTAGCAGTGCCTATAAAAATGAAGTCTTTCCAGAACCTACATCTCCTATTATAGAAACAAACTTTCCAGATTCTATTTTTAAATTTATATTTTTTAATATTGATTATTCTTATTATTATGTTTAAAGTTTATCCTTTAAATTATCAACATCTAAATTCAATCCTACAGTATCATTAATTTATTTGTTCCAATAAAACATTCCATTTTAAAGATCAACTGCAATTTTACAATCTCTGAATTCTTAGGTACTTATACAATTAGTCATCAAATCCTTAGTAGCTAGAAATTTTGATATTCTTTTCAATGAAAGTTTTGCTTCAATTAATGAATTTATTGCTATAGGTAATTGAAGCAAAGGTTATTACAAAATTTAAAATAAACTTATGATAGCAAAAGTAGTACTAGGATTTAATTAATGACCTAAATATACATATAATCCAAATGTCATACTCAAAATTAATTAAGGTGTCAACCATACAGAAAATATATTAATTGCTGAATATTTAAGTCTATTTTTAATGCTTTTTATTTCTTTTTATCTTGCTTCCTCAACTTTTGATAAAAAGTGATCTTCTAATGCATTAATTTTGATAAATTTAATTTAAGAAAATATTTCATTTGCTATTTTTGTTCTTTCATCCTTATCTTTTAAGAGTTTACGTTATGATTTAATGATTTATTTTGCTGTAAAGATATTAAAAAGGATCATTATAAATATAATTGTACATCCAATAAAAAATGACAGACCAATCATACTATACATTAAATATAAACTTATTCCAAGTTATAAGGGTATCATTAATACACTTGAAATGTAACTAGTTATTAGAATAAGTTTCTAAGCATCCACTTAGATTAAATTAGTTATTTCTCCACTAGACCATTCTGTAGTACTAAGTAAAGACACTCTTAAACATTTTCTCATTATTTCCACACTTACTACTGACATAGCGTCATATCCAATACAAAGCTATTAATATAATTACTATATACAATCATTCTTCTTGAGTGTGCTTAAGAGAAAATGTTTATTATTCTAAGAAATACAATTGACAAAATCAAATAGATTGCATCATTTTCTTCTCTATGTTCACTCTTTATGAAATCAATTACAGTTTTGATTAATAAAGGCATACAAAGCTAACCTAATGTTAACAGTAAAAGAATTGATATAACTTTAAGAAGGGGAGCTAAATATGACATAGAATATTACACATAAAGAAAAATAAAAGTTATTTTATAAGTTTGCCATCTCTATTTAAATAGTAAGAAAACTATTCATGTAATTTGAGAGATCTCTTTTGATATCTTAAATCTTTAATTTAATCACTTTCAAGAGAGAATTTTTGAGATTGCTAAATTATGTGGATTCACAATACCTTCATCATTGGATAAACATCTAAAAAAAATAACAATGTTAAAAAGGACCTCTTTTCTTCATTGTTATCATTTTCAGAATCTATTAAAAGAGGCACTTTTTAATCTCTAACTGGTTAAAGTTCTAGGTTGAATTAAGAAGCCAAGTCCATGAAATTTTATTAATAATAATTGATTAACAAAATACTTAAATACCTTGTCATAATACGTAGAATAATTTAATTAGTTATAATTGAATCCTCTTAATTATTACTCATTATATATTTATTAATTATTAAAGATTTATAATTAGAATATATTTTAAATTTTATTTAACCTTTTAAAGCGATATTTTGTAGTAATGCTTCTCAACTTATTTGTTTATTATGTTAGAATTTTACTTATTTAAAAATAGTGTTTTCTGTTCCTTTTTTAATTGGAATTTTCTAATCAATTAAGAGTACAGTTACAGAAACGAATAAATAATAAATCAAACACATAATTTATATATTTATGAACAAAAAGGAAAGAATAGCTAAGTATAAAGATAAAATAAATGATGTAATTCATAAAATGATGTATGAACTCTTTAAATCATAACCTGAAAACTATGTAAATCATGAATTTTATTGTAGATTGATTGGATGATTCAATACCTTGAATCTGTTAAAATTCAATCAAGTAAAACACTTTAGACATAAATTGCAATTGAATACAATCTATCATCTGATGAAGAAGAAAATGAAGAAATTGATGAATTGCCATTACCTGCTAAAAATGCTAAAACCTTTAGAAGTTCTGTAAGTGCAGAAGTTTTTGGTGTTCATAATAAAAAGGAAAACTTTATACCAAGAGTTATACCAAAGACTGAAGAATAGAAACAATAAATCTTAGAGAAATTAATGAAAGTGTTTATGTTTTAAGCACTAGGATAACATGAATAAGAAATTGTTGTTAATGCAATGGAAGAAAAACATTACTCAAAAGATGACTGGGTGATTAATTAAGGAGATGATGGAGCTGAACTTTATATTGTTTTTTCTGGTGAACTTGATTGCTTTAGAAGAATGAAACCAACAGATTCAGAACCTAAATTCCTAAAGTCATATAAACCTGGCGATATGTTTGGAGAATTATCTCTACTCTATAATTCTCCAAGAGCAGCCTCTATTTAAGCTAAGATGGATTCAGTTCTCTTTGCATTAGATAGAAGCACTTTCAATAACATAGTCAAAGATGCTACTATAAAAAAAAGACTATAATATGAAGAGGTCCTTTCAAAAGTTGAATTATTACATTCAATGGAAACTTATGAAAAGACTCAAATATGTGATGGTTTGAAGGAGTAATCATATTAGAAAGGAGATGTAATCATTCAAGAGGGAGAAGAAGGAGATAAATTTTATATGGTTGCAGAAGGAACTTTAGTTGCTTTTAAAAATAATAATGGGAATTAAGAAGAAGTCCTAAGGTATCAGACAGGTGACTATTTTGGAGAATTGGCATTAATACATAAAGTACCAAGATAAGCTACAATAATAGCTGAAGTACATATGATAAAATTAAATAGACTTATTGTGTTGTAGTGTATTTAGATAGTAATTCATTTTTGAGATTGCTTGGACCTGTTGAAGATATTCTAAAAAGAAATGCAGAAACCTATAAGAAATTTATTACAAATTGATGATCTTAAGAAATAAGTTATTTGATATCAATAAAATTATGCATCAAATTATTTAATCTATAGTATAATACTATCTTTTATATATAAATCATTGCTCAATATAATATTTTAAAATAATATATAGAAAGTATATTTAAAATAAATTGTAATTAACTCCTATTATGTCTCTAAATATTAAAAAAGTATAGTTTTATATTCAATAATTGTATTCTGGGAAAAAGTATGTCTTATTAATCTATCTACAAATGATCTAATCTAAAATGATATTTTAAGTTTATGTAATGATTTTATATCTTAAATCAATAATCTTAATATATAATTATTTTAATTGTAAATCTAATTTCTTAATAATTTTACATTATATTAGAAAGGGGGTAAAATATTTGATGTTTGATGCTTCATATGTATTGCTTTTAATGTAAATCATTGATGGCAATATTAAAAAGAGATAAATTGAATTCAAGTGGGAATTCTTTGACACTTATAATATATCTATAAAAGTCTACAACCTCTAAATATCAAAGCTTAATTACTGAAAGACATTGTTTTAGACTAATATAATCTATAAAAAAAAATCATTAAGAGCTTCAAAATTGTATTTAAAATGAATTGATTTACAATCAATTATTATTAAAAAGAATTATAGCATCTAAATGAATTGATTATTATTTGATTTTTCAAAGAGTTAAGATTTTATTAGAATCAATAATAAATAAGGTTATACAGTAGGGATATCAATTATAGAAATAGATTTATAGAGAATTAATTATAGATCATTTTATAGAATACTTATTATTTTTAAATAGTTTAATAGAATGTATTTATTTAGACTATCTAATGTATATATGGGTTGATTAAGAAAGACTTTAATAGTTTATGTAGTGAGATTTAGAATAATATAATTAATATTAATTATATTAGGAATAATGATTAAATGAGTTAATAAATAAGATATAATTAAATTTAATTATTAGTAAAGGGAGAGCAAGAGGAGCTTTGAATTGCTAATATCTTATAGATAATGATTAGTTATGAAGTGATTTCATCAAAGATTTAATTTAATTCTTGGAATAGCATGTTTGATGCTATTATTCTTGTTTTTGATGAAAAGTACTTGAATATTTGGGAAAGTCATGAAATGGTTTGAAAAGAACATAAACTTGGAAAATGGAGGAAATTGAGAAAAAAAATGAGAAAATCAATGAATCTATAAAGTTATATAAGAATTAACAGATTTATTGGTTTTTAACTAGTATGATTGATATGTAATAAAATAATGGATAAGGGAGAGAGATGGATTTGAGAATGAAAAAAGAGTGAAAATGTACATGAATGAGATAAAAAATATAGAGAAAATGAGAGAGAAATGGTGGGAATAGGAAAATGAAGTTGGAATGATTTATGAGTGAAGAAAGGATTTGTAGAGAAGGAGGGGAAACAAGAATGTAATAAGTGGAATATAAAATTAATAAATATAAGTATAGAAAATAGAAAGATACTGTGGATTATGAAAATAGTACACTAAAAAATGGCATATCATGAGATGGAAAATAAGTGATAAAAAAATGAAAGAAAAAGGAGTAGAATGTGATGATTGATGTATATATATATATTAAATCATGCTAATAATGTATTTGAATTAGGATATTATCTTGATTTATATGTGTGAGTATTTTTTTGTTATTTTTTTTAAAAAAGAAGAAAGAAGCCATTACACCCAAAAAGTTAAAATATAAATTTAGTAGTTTTAGTGAACAAGGAAAAATCATCAGACGAAGACTATAACGAGAGTGAATAAGAAGATAGTGAAATGGACATAGAGTAATATTATATATATATATCGACTCATATAAGAACTTACGAATTATAATTATTTTTAAATATTATATATTTTTTAGAAGCGCTAGCTCAGATTACCATGATAAGAAAAAGAAAAAAGGTGGAAAGAATACATAAATACGTATTAATTAACCAATGACTGTATATTTACTATATAACACTCTAGTTTTGTGTTGAAAGACCCAGGAGAGGTAAACCCAATACAGGCTTTAAAGAGGAGTCATCAGAAGAAGAAGTAGAACCATAATAAGGTATACATTTAATTTTATAAAAAGAATCATCTCAAGAATAGGAAGAGTCAGTATTTGATCCCGATATCGATTAAATCTTATGGAGAAGAGAGAAAGAAGATGGGGAAATCGAATTTTATGTAAAATATAAGTCTTATTCTTATTTATGGTGTGAATGGAAAAGTGAATAATAAGTATATAATTCTAATTATTAATAGATTATTTCTAAGGATAAAAATGGAAAATAAAAAATAAATAGATTCACTAGATAATTTGAAAAGAAAATAAAAGAGTATGATCCTGATGAATTGTTAGAAATGAATTATTTTGATCCATCATATTTAGAAATTGATCGATTGATTTCTTCAACTGAACTTTTTCCTATAATCCATCCAAAAAAGGCTAATGAAATTAAAGGAAAGTGGAATGAATATCTTTCCATTATCATATCCAAACTTCTAAATTATTCTGAAGGTCGTGTAAAATTTGGAGTTTATTTCATGTAACCTGTAAATCCTGAAACTGATGGTTGTCCTGATTATAGGAAAATAATAACATAACCTATGGATTTAGGAACTATATACAATAGATTATATTTGGAATATTATAGAAATTCATAATAATTTTGGTATGAATTAGGTTTGGTCTTTAAAAATTGTAGAAAATATAATAGTAATCCAGAAGGAGAAATAAGAAAATTAGGTGATGCACTTGGTGAATGTGCACTTATTCTTTATTATTAATGGTATGAATATACAAATTAAAAATATTAATTATTGCTTAAATTAAAGAAATGTGAAGAAGATGAAGAATATAAATAATAAATAATATCAGAAATTGGAAAAGAAAAATTAGAAGAAGAAATTAATTAAGAAAAAATTCAATTATTAGGTGATATTGAATTATGGAATCCAGGATAATAAAATTATTAATGGTTTGAAGATGATACTAATTTTTAACCTAAACTTACTATTGAAAGATAAGTTGATCTATTTTAAAATCATGAACAATTATATCTTGTTAAATGGAAGAATTTATCATATCTATAAGCAACTTGGGAATTCATTACTGGATTTCCTAATTCATAAGCTAAATTGTTTGAATTTCGTACATTTACAAGATCATTAGATAAAGATAGTAGATAATTATAAATCTAAAATTGTAGAAGACATAAATAAGTTTTAGATTATGATTAAAAAAAGAAAAATCGAATATCTTAATAAGAGATTTTAGACTTAAAGACTCAACTTTATCAATTAGATATTGGTAAAAATAAAAAACCTTATCAATATACACCAAGAACTTAGACTATTTATAAAGATAGAAAATTATTGAGAGATTATTAATTAGAATCTTTGAATTGGATGATTGATGCTTATTATAATAATAGAAATGTACTTTTGGCTGATGAGATGGGATTAGGAAAAACTATTTAATCAATAGCATTCTTAAATCATTTAGTTTCAATGGAATCATGTCGTGGTCCATTTCTAATTATAGCCCCATTATCAACTCTATAACATTGGAAAAGATCTTGTGAAGATTGGACATCATTAAATGCTGTTCTTTATTATGATCAATAAGGTTAACCAGGAAGATAAGCTATAAGAGATTATGAATGGTTCTATACTGATATTTCTCTTAAAGGAAATACTTTACCATCTTAAGAATTATATAAATTTTAAATATTGATAACATCCTTTGAAGTTTTCAATTAAGATCATTCAACTTATATCTAATAAATACCATTTCAATTTATTATAGTAGATGAAGCACATCGATTAAAGAATTAGAATGCAAAAATATTAGCTAGTCTTAAAAGATTAGTATGTTCAAGAATTATGATTCTAACAGGTACTCCAGTTCAAAATAATCCAGAAGAATTATGGAGTTTGCTTAATTTTATAGAACCATATTAATTTCCAAGTTTAAACTAATTTAAATCATAATTTGGAGATTTGAATACTGCAGAATAAATAGAGAAATTAAATAAAACATTAAAACCATATATTTTAAGAAGATAAAAGGAAGATGTCGAATAATCAATTCCACCATTATAAGAGAATATTATAGATGTAGAATTAACAAATGTTTAGAAAACATTATATAGAGCATTATATGAAAGAAATAAATCTGCATTAATTTAAGGTTTCTCATAATAGACAGCTTAGATAGCATCACTTAATAATTTGGATATGCATTTACGTAAATTGTGTAATCATCCATTATTGTTGAAGGAGATGCACTCTGATATATTAGAGAAAAGTAAAGGAAATGAGGGAGAATATTAAAAGATATTAATAGAATATTCTGGTAAAATGGTATTACTTGATAAGATGTTAAAGAAGTTCTTAAAAGAAGATAAGAAAATGTTAATATTTTCTTAATTTACAAATATGTTAGCATTATTAGAAGAGTATTTATAATTTAATTAAATCAAATATGAAAAGATAACAGGAGATATTAAATAAATTGATAGATAAAATGCTATAGATAGATTTAATGATTAAAAGAAAGGAAGATAAGTATTTCTACTTTCAACTAAAGCAGGTGGTTAAGGTATTAATTTAACAGCTGCTGAAATTGTTGTTATATTTGATAGTGATTGGAATCCACAAAATGATATTTAAGCAACAGCAAGAGCTCATAGAATTGGATAAGATAAATAAGTTACTGTATATAGATTTATTACAAAAAATACTTATGAAGCCAAAATGTTTGAAAGAGCATTTGCTAAATTAGGTTTAGATTAGGCTATATTTATGAATGGTGAATTTAAGTCAGCTAATTTAAATTAAGCTAATAGTGTTGTAAATCCGAATCCAGATTAAAATAATAGGAAATTAAGTAAAAAAGAATTGGAAATATTATTAAAGTAAGGATCATTAGGATTACTTGAACATTTTGGATAAGAATCAATTGATTAAAATATTGATGATATTTTAAATAATACAAGAGTTGCTAAATATTCTTTAATAAATGGTGCATATACTATAAGCAAACAAACATATGTTCCAGATTAGGCTAATTAATAAATTGATATTGATGATCCAAATTTTTGGTAGAAAGTACTTAAAAATTAAGAATCTAAATCATAAAAGATTCTTAAAAAACTTTAAGATGATTTAAATATTAAAACATTTTAATAATAAAAAGAAATTATGTTAGAGAGTTCAGAATGTGTTAATAATATTATTTAATCTAAATTAAGTAGAGAAGGATATGATGCAGATGAAGAGAATACAATATTGGATATATTAAATTTAATTGAATTTAGTAAATTTTTTGAAAAAGATTTTAAAAATCTAGCTAATAGTTGGATTATTGAATTAAGTAAACCATCAAGAAGATTTAAAAAAATAACAGAAAGTGATTTAATGATTAATACTGCTCCCATCTCATAATAAATTATAGAAACACCTAAACCTTAAAAGAATTTTGAATTAAATTGGTCTGAATATGAAGAATATAAAAAATTGTAAAGTAAATCTAGTTAAGAGTAATAATATTATTATAATTTAATAGTCTATAAATTAGATTATGTGCAATTTGTGAAAAGTAGAAATGTGATATGTTTTGTAGAGGATTCTGTAGAAGACAATTTCATAAAGAATGTTTAGAAGGTGGATAATATAATGGATAAACATAAGGGGAAATTAATATTAAATATTTATGTCAAGATTGTGAAAAATATAAAGGAACTTGTTTTGTTTGTTTAAAATAAGGAACATTCTATCCAAATCTATCAAAAAAGAAAACTTAATAAGATAAATAATTTATTGATGATGATGGTTATTATGATAATCAAGGAGAAGTATATTAATTATATAATATTTTAGTAAATTATTGTTACTACTGGAAAGATCACTAGAGCAAGAGCATAATAATAATTATAATAATAATTATCAGAATTGGTTAAATGCAGTTTAAATTGTCATAAATTATATCATTTTGCTTGTGTTTAAACTAGCAAGAATTTTAAAATTTTAGATGGAGAACGTTAAAAATTTAAATGTGCTCTTCATTTTTGTGAAAAATGCAAAGATAGTAATAATTTATTATATATTTAATTAGAATCTAATGATGATAATTAAAAAATGATATAATGTTTGAGATGTCCTAAAAGTTATCATGAAAAATGTGCTCCTAAAGGAATAAGAAAAGTTACTAAGAAATTTGTTATCTGTCCTGCTCATAAAGAAGAACTTATCTAACCTATCATTAAGAAAAAGGTAAAAATAGAACCTACATAATCTACTCAACTTACAAGAAAATTAAAAAAAATAAATAATGGATCTGATGTTGAATAATGAAATACAATTACATAATAAAACAAACATATTAATTATATCATTATGTTAATTATTAGATTTTTCTTTTGTTCTTTCTTAAGCTAATATAAACAATTATTAATTTAAGATTAAAAATGTTAGCAAATTAAGAATTTAGTTGCAGAATTCCACATCACAAAGTTATCAATAAAAAGATAGTTTATGTAGTCATCTTTGTATCTCATTCATATTGTTCAGCTAAAGTTTAGCATCTCAGATATTCAGATGCTGAAAAGCTACATAATAAAATTGATAAGTAATTATAACAATTACGATAAACTGTCAACTTACCATCCTTTCCTGGAAAGAAATTGTTTGGTAGTCACAATGATTCTGAATCTGGCATCTTAAGACGTGTAATAGATGATAATTTCATTATTAGAGATCTGATCTTTAAGATTATTTCAATTAACTACTTAAGATTGAAAAACTTTATTCTCTCTCTTGCTTAAAATAATTATTACCTGATATCAATGATGACAAAAGTGATCTTGTTTAATATTTAGAAGAAAGGTACATAACATATCTAATTCATAGACCACTACAATAATATAATTTCATTATTGATTCATATTAATAATTGGATATGTTTGTATTGTACTTTGTTTAAGTCATTGATAATTTTAACAAATCCAAATGGAGATTTAAAACTAGATATTCAGATCTAAGAGATATTCATTAAGCACTAAAAGAATAAACTAAAATTACATTACCTGAATTTCCAAAAAGAAAAATATTTGGTATCACCAATGACGATCCTTAAGAAATTGAAACTAGAAAGTGTAATTTAGAAACTTATTTAAATTCACTCTATGCGTATTTATTAAATGTTTAAATAGAGTCATCCAGAATTAAATAATTCAGAGATTTTAGATTATTTTATTCAAAATAGTAGACGAGAATCCAAAAAACTATAAAAATATGATGAATAGAAGATCTTACTAAAGATGGTAAAATTCATCATTAATTTCTTAAGAAACTTAAGTAGAAATAGTAGAAAGAGAAATAAATAGAATAGTTATAACAAAAACTATTGCAGAATAATGAGAATTCTAAAAATGAAATAAATACTAATGATAAATCTAGAAATAACTCTATTAAAAGATTACCAAGAAAAGGTCTTTTCACAATAAAGGAATAATTAGATAAATATGAAGATGATAATACAACACTTATTAGATACAGTTCAATACCATCTAATCCATTGAATTAAATAGGTCAAATGCTTATCAGTAAAGAATCAGACTAAGACTATGAGAAAGCCAATTCTGAACCTGAAACTAATAATCAGGATATGGAATATGAATAGTTAGATGAGAATGTAGAAATTCAAAATCAAGTATAATAAAAGATTCAAGAATGATAATTAAAATTGTTAATTTATTTTAATTATATATCTTATATCATTTAATATTTCAAAGTGATAATTATTAAATATATAAATATATTTCTATTGATCAATCATTATATATATAACATAATCAATGAGTATTGCAATCACAATTTAAATTTAATATTAATTCGTCATTTAGTAAATTATTATTAATGTAATTATACACCTCATTGTTTCGTTTCTCCAGATTAGTTCCAAGATAGAGGTTAACTTTGAATTAGGCTGATCCTACTATATATAGTCTTATATAAGAAGAAATCAAAAGATAAAGAGAAAGTATCAATTTGATTCCATCTGAAAACCACAGTTCAAAGGCAGTGTTAGAAGCTTTGGGTTCTGTCATGTCAACTAAATATGCTGAAGGTATATAAATGTATAAATATTATAATAGGATATCCTGGAGCCAGATATTATGGAGGAACATAAGTGTATGATAAAGTGGAATTACTTTGTTAATAAAGAGCCCTTAATGCATTTAATTTGAATTCTAATGAATGGGGTGTTAATGTTTAAATGTTATCTGGGGCTCCTGCTAATTTTGCTATCTATACAGGGTTGTTATCACCTAAAGATAGAATAATGAGTTTGGATCTTCCACATGGAGGTCACTTATCACATGGATATCAAACTGAAACTAAAAAAGTTTCTGCTGTTTCTAGTTACTTTGAAGTCATGCCTTATAGATTAAATGAAGTAAGAAATAATAAAGTAAAATATTTAGGAAACAGAACTTATAGATTATGAATAATTGGAAGTATTGGCAAGAGCATTTAGACCCAAATTAATTGTTGCAGGAGCATCTGCTTATGCAAGAATTATAGATTTTTAAGCTATAAGAAAAATTTGTGATAGTGTCAAAGCATACTTATTAGCTGATATTTCTCATACAGCAGGCATGATGGCAGCTGAATAATTACCAAGTCCATTCCCATATGCAGATGTTGTAATGACTACTACTCATAAATCGTATCAAATAATTTAATAACTTTTTAGAATGAGAGGACCAAGAGGAAGTCTTATTTTCTATAGAGTAGGTTAAAAGGAAATCGACAAGAATGGAAAACCCATCAATTATGATCTTAAATCTAAAATTGATTAAGCTGTGTTCCCTGGTTTATAAGGAGGACCTCATTTCCATACTATTACAAGTATAGCTGTTGCTTTGGAAGAGGCTAAGACTCCTGAATTTAAAGATTATCAAAAAAATGTCTTATTGAACAGTAAGAAATTAGCAGATGAATTATTAAAGAGAAGTATTAATTCTTATTAATTCAAAGACTTTTCGTTAGTTTCAGGAGGAACTGATAATCATTTAGTATTGGTTAATTTAAAACCTAAATCAATTGATGGTGCAAGAGTAGAATCCATTTTATAAGCAGTCAATATTTCTGTTAATAAGAATACTGTTCCAAAAGATAAGTCTGCTCTGGTACCAAATGGTTTAAGAATGGGGTAAGAATTAATAAGATTATGAATAGATCAGTACCTATGACATCTAGAGGAGTTAATTAAAATGAATTTGCTTAAATAGCTGATTTCATTGATAGAGGTGTAGCTATTGCTTAAAAGGTTAAAGGAGAAGCTGGACCAAAAGTACAAGATTTCAAGGATTGGTTGGCAAAGAATGGAGACTAACATCCTGATATTCAAAAACTTAAAAATGATGTTGTGTCCTTCAGTTCTCAGTTCCCTGTTCCTGGATTGGATTGATTAACAAATAAAATAAATAATAATTAGATATGAATATAGAAATTATATTAAATACTACAATAGTTATAAATACAAATCTTTATAATCAAATTACATTTCCCTTAATTTGAGAAGTATGTATGGAATTGGTTTATAATCCACATTCTAAATTAATACAAATATAAAGAAATGATCTTAATATTAGAAAGATATTACAACAAAATATATAAATTATTATAAATTAAGGCTAAAGTAGGATATTATTAAGAATTATAATTAAACAAAGATAAAAACTACATTATAATATGTTGAAAAGTAATAGGGATAAGTATAATTTGACATTCTTAATAAAACGAGAATGAAAATTAATTGTTTGAGAATTAAAATAAAATAATTTGAAAAAATCGGGAAGATTGAGATTATTAAAAAATAATTAGATTAAAGAAAGTAGATTATAAATATAATAACTCAAAATTAGCAAGGATACATGGTTATTATGACTAATACTCTTTAAAATGGAAAAATACGATTTTGGAATAAAAATTAGAGTGTCTTGCTCTTTAAAATTATTTGTTTGAGAAAGGTTTACATAAAAACAATAAAGTTTAATATAAATTGTTAAATATAAGAATGTTTCAAAGTTTTTCCATTTAAATATTTAATTCAATAAACATTAAACATTTAATAAAATCTTTAATCAATTAATTCCAAAAACTCAACTTTAATGATTAAAATTGGAATAATTAACATTCTAAAATATTTATTTATCATTTTATTACTTGTATGTAAATTATGGTATAGTTCTATAAATATATTGTGTATAATGTAATTTATACAATTCAAATATAATTTAATAAAATAATTATATTTATTAAATAGATATAAAAAAATAATTTAAAAAGCAATATTAAACAAAACTCTAGATCGGTAGTTTGAAAAAAAAAATTATTTTGAATAAATAAAAGTTATTATTATATTTTAGGTTTAGATACATTATAAAAAATTAATTAATTATAGAATATAGCAAAGTTATATCACAAAAACTGTAGTAAGTATTTTAGTATCAAGAATTTGATTACATTAATAAACTTTATTAAAGAAGGAAGCTTTATTTGTTTTTAAATAGTAGAATATATAAGATAAATATATAATTTCCTTTTTCCTTTATGAGAGGATCCACTATAATAATTTTAATTTATAAAATTGTAATATTTTTGTAAAATGGGATCTTGTTGTATGAATAAAATGGATATGGAGACACTTAATACTAATTTATCAAGTGAAATATCAAAGAAAATAGTAATTAATAGCCCAATAGTGAAAAATATTATTGGAAAATAATTAGAAATTATTGAAATTCCATCATATACAATATTAGATAGTGTTTTTGAATATGAAGTGCTTGACAATTTTGAAAGTGAAGATTCTTAGTCATCAGAGAAAAAAAGATTTAGAAATGGCAAAGGAATTTTAAAATAAGTAACAGCAAAATCTCATGGTTCAGGTGGCAGTTCAGCAAGTAGTTCTAAAAAAGTATCATTTTGCAGGACTACAACCTTCTTTGAGAAAAAATCAAGGAAAGGTTTAATGTTAGAATCATAAACTTTATCTTGATTTATATAATATATGTTTTTTTAACTTTTTTTATTGTTTCATACAACAATTTAAAGAAGTGCTTATTTAGTTCTATCATTGAAATTATTTTCAAATAATTCCAATAATTGAAGTACAATTTGTATTTATTCATTTCTTGAGATTCTAGCCTATTCAGTAGCATTATTATCTTCTTTACAAGCAACTTCAAAAGATTTTCTTTCTATTTCTTTGTTATCATAAATAATTTATTAAAAGTAGAACATATTATTATAGATCTTCTAATCTTTATTAAGCAAATTCAGCAGCAACTTAATCATCAGCAATTTGACCTTATAATCTTACATTTTCTTTAGAGAATCGTAATCTAAAATTGAATGATAATAAATACAAATCTTATTCGAAGAATTTCTGTGCCCAATCTTCTGCATACATTTCTCTTTTTTAAACATCGTAAATACTTTCAATTAAGTCATTTATGATATCAACAATAACTTAAATATTATCATTATCAGAATGTATTTTATTATCTGTACATAATTCCATTAATAATGATGCAATATTTTTGAATTCTGAATTAGCAGCATATGATTTTACTTAAATAGAATGAATTAGATACATAATTATTCATGATGTTCTTTTAATTAAACAAGAGCACCACCAGGATGAGTAGTTTATAATTATCTTATTATTTATTATGCTTATTTTAAACCATTAATTAATCCAATAAGTTCATCTCTCTTATTTTCATAAGCTTAATGTTCTTTTCGTCTTTATTCTGAGAAGTTTATTTATAATTAATCATTTCTTTAAATTTCAGCATTTTTTTATTCAACTTATGCTAATTTATTTGATAATTCTTCTTATTTTCCTGGTATTTATCTTTCATAATCAGCTTTTGCAACAACAGCTTTTTCTTAAATTGAATTAATTAATGCAAATTGATTAGAACATTATGCTTATCTTTCTCCATTAGTTTTGCTTGAAAGAGCATCTTCATCTTTAAGATCATAAAATAATTTGTTAAGTATGGTATAAATTTATCTGGCTGCATTTCTATTGTAATTCAAAATGATTTTACTCTTAAGTGAGTTCCAATTAAATTGTTTACAATATTTATCTACCAAAACTATTTTGTGCAATTTGCTCTAACATTTCAGGTTATTATTGACCTAAAATGCATATAAAAAGAGCAATGAAAACAATAATTTTCATAATTTTAATAATAACAAAAACGAATATAGTTTTGAAATAAACTTACATTTATATAATGTTAACGTTAATCTTAACTACTTTATCAATATAATTGAAATACAATTAATAATGAGTAATTATATTATAACTATTATTCTTTATTCTTTTTTAGTTATTAGTTTGAATATTTTTTAATTATTTGTTATTTTTACAAAATGAAATATTAAATATTACAAATTTTACCTTTTCTCAAAAATATATAAATAAATAGAGTTATAAGTCATCAATTTATAGATAATTTTGTATACTTTTGTTAAATTATCATTATTTTTATGAAATTTATAATATTTGAATAGTTGTCTTGTTTAGCGCATTTACCTCATAATACCTAACCCTCTGAGTTCTGGATTATATTTGTTGCTTTTATTACAAATCTTTAATACCTTGCTATTATGTTACCTTTTAATGGTTGGAATTTGTGGTAATACAGCAATGGACACTTTTACTTATTATCAAAGATTGCTTAAGCTTCACTTATTATACCTTTTTGTTTTGAATCTAATTTTAATTTTGGAGATGTAGCATTTGGTTTTGTCATTCTACTTCTAATCACTTTTGTGACAATTATTATTATCTTAGTGATACTGGGAATATAGGATGATATGAATCCTCTTTAACATTATTCACTTAGAAAATTTATTTTCTATTTCTTTGTACTTAGTACTACTATATTTTAATTTCCAATCCTTTTTATACTTATATCCTTTATAACGATAGGAAGAACCCAATTTAATTAAGAGTTAACAATTTTTAATGTAAAAAGTATTTTGAGTCTAATAACATTATTCATATTCTCAATATTTGTATTTTTGTAACAATATTTTTTAAGAGCGTATACATTTGTACCTTTTAATTATTTATAACAAAAGTTTAATGGATTACAATCAATTTAATATAGTATTTCTATTTTAATAACAATTTTGTACCTAGTTGATTATGATACAATAATCTAATATATTTAAATACTAATATTATTTTTGGGATTACTTTTAAGATTGACAGAATCATTTTTTATGAAACCATCAATTCCTAATGTTAATTTATTATAATTTTCATTTAATTTTACTCTCATTATAATCCTAATTGTATTAAGCATAAATATATTAACAAATAATTAACAAATATTTTAAGAAGATCAATTAATTTATGTTATAATGTTATTAGGTCTAATGGCATTTCATTTAAGTTATTAATTCTATAATAAAATATGTTTATCAGTCTTTGATAATGAAGTAACTCCATTTACTTGTATTCATTATACTTAAGAGATGCATTTCAAATATTTAATAACTAATGAAAATTAAAAAAACAAAGAATTCTTTTAACTTTATTTATATTGGAAAGGACATAAAGTAGTTTGTTAAAAACATTGGCTTAAGTAGAATTATAGAACTGATTATAATTAAATTTAAAGAACTCATCAAACTATATTTTGTATTCTAAATACAGAATTAGAAAGAGCATAATAGGATTCCAAAACAACTTATGAAGAATTATAATTATTATATATAAGTTATGTAGCTTAATTCTGCAAAAAGCCACTTTTAGCTTATGTAGAATTAAAACGATATCAAAGTAAATAATAAATTCAATCTTTTTATTTTGTTTCAATTAGATATTAAATGAGTGTCTATCTTTAAAATTTAATAAAAAATTAATAATAAACTAATTAATAATTATATGGATAATAAAAAGTGGCTATTACTGAAAGACAATTAAGTATTTAATCAATTTTTGATGCTCTCTAATTTCAAGATGAATTTATTCCTAGAGTAATTGAATTATTAAATGATAAGATTAATTTTTGGAATAGACAAATCAAAGGATTTAATAATATTTATGAATTAGAACGATTAGCTATAAATTAAAGCAAGAAAATCTTTAATTTAGCTAATCAAATAAATTAATATTGTTCAATAGATATTAAGAATCTAGATCATTTATCAATTTCTAATAATGTATAAGATTTGAAATTGATATCCATTTTCTGTAGTTCTATAATGAATGATTATTATAGCACTTAAATGTGTGAAACAGCAATTACTGAAGTATATAATATTGAACATACTCTATAAGAAGATACATTAACAAATTTATCCTTTATATAAGAAAGAGCAATTATTTTAATGATAAGTTTGGTTAAGAATAGAGGTAGGATAATTAATCAAGATAAGAAAATGATTTCATAATTTTTTAATTATAGTGAATAAGAATTTGCTTAGATAGATAATATATCAGGTTTGATGCCTAGTTTTTTTGCAGAGAAACATGATAAATTATTATTAAATTATTTGTAAACTGCAAGGTCTCAATTTTTTGATGATTTTAATTAAGTATTTGGTTAATCAAAAGAGGGAATGATAATTTCATATTAACTTAAATTTGATAATAATTTTAGTGAATTAGATGATTATGTTTTGATTGGTTGTTTATCATAAGTTAAGAAATCAGCAGATTATTTACTTTTTGGTGAAGATGGATTTTTAATTGGAATGACTGAGAATTTTAATTCTACTATTATCAATTCTAAAGATTAATCATATAAAATATTAAATGATAATTTAAGTCAATTAAATGCTTTTTTTATAATTCCTAATATGATGGATATATTGAATGAATTAAAGAATTCATATGGAAAAGACTCTATTTATGTTTAATAAGACAAGTTTTATAAAATATGGAAATATAATAATAATAAAGATTTATATGAGATGTCTATTAAGTTAGGATATTCATCTAAATAAAATTCATTTATAAATGATAGTAGTTTATTTAAATCTCGTGCCTCTTTTGCTTCAATTGAAAAAGAAAAGGCTGACATTCAAATATACTAGTAACTAGGATAATCAGTAAGTGGCAATAAACAATTAAAAGGAATTTCAATCTTATAAGCATTAACAATCTACAGTAGTGCATTTAATAACTAATTAATGAATTCATTATAAGTTTTAGAAGTAAAGTAATATTATTTATGTTTAGAGTAAAGCTAAGCAACAATATATTGCTAAAATTAGTATAGTATACAAAATAATAGGAAAAAAGGAGAACAAGAAGAGTTATTTTATTTTGGAAATTAATGATTTAAGAAAGGCTGATGAATTATTTAAGACTAATGAATCCCTTATAAATAATTAACATACTTTTTCAATTTAGACTACAAACAAAGGTAATATACCTACAATTTAAGATCCAAGTGAAAGTTACTTGGGATCTTTAAATGTAGATAAAGAAGAAGTTACACCTCATATGTCAAAATAATTCTAACATGGATTTGCAAGACTTTTAAGTAAATATGAAGGTAAGAATTAACCATAACAGAATTATATGGATTTATTAGGAATGGAATCAGCAAGAGATAGCATCAGTTATGGGCCTTTATCTTAAAGAATTAATTTCATTAGTCCATCCTCTAAATAATAGCATATGTAGGAATTAATAGATAAGGACTTTATGGACTTATAAAATTAATTGGAAGTAGGTAATGATGATATTGGAAATGAGATTGAAATTGCTGATTCATCCAAAGTCAAAAGTAATAGTAAAGATCAAAATTAAAAGAGTAATAATCTTATGGAGATATTATAAAATAATAAATTAAATTAAAAAAATGAAGATATAGAAAGAGATGCAAAGAAATCAAAATCAAGTATTACATCTGGAACTTCAGGAATATCTGCAATTACTACAATAAAGAAATTTTAATCAAAAACTGAAATGACAAATAGTTTAAAGGTTCTTGTAATTATTAATATAATTATCATAATGATAGTTCTTGCTTATATAATTGCACATTTAATGATGATTTCATCTTATAATAATGAAACTTAATTAACACTATCAAATATCAATGGTCCTACAATATTTAATAGATATTTCTTTAAAGTCTTCACCTACACATGGAGTTTGGTTTTCAACAGTCTTGGAATAATTGAAAGTAGTGATTATTTGATTACTTAAACAATTTCAGAAATGGGAGATTTAGCATCAGTTATTTTTGATAATTTAAGGAATATGTATGATACTTTTATTGGAATAGAATAATCAGGAATGCTTAGTTCTATAAACTTAGATTTTCTATATTAAAGTAATGAAAATGTTACATATACATATTTTATCAATATCATTTCTAATGTGGCTGATACATTATTTCAAGCTCTTAATTATAACATATAAACTTTAATTTAATTGATTGATAGAAATTATTTAGATAATTTATTGATGCTTAGATATAATTTAAAAAATGTTGTGGATATGAATTTTTAATTAATAGATTCACTTAATGAATTATTTTTTGTATAATAATAAGATTAGATTAAAGAATTTTAAACTTAAATTATAATTGAAATAATATTATTGATTTTAGTAATAAATATTTAATTAATCTATTGGAAATAAATAGAATAATATGGTTAATAAATATTGATATTAGTTGGAAGACTGTAATTGAATTAAGCATAAGAAATGATAACCAGATTTACAGCAGTTACTGAAACATTAAAATAATTATCTGGAAAATATGGATGGAAAAAGTAAAATTATTATAAATTACTTTTCTTTCCCTTAAATTAGATAGGAATTGAAGCTATGTAAACATAATCTAGAGTTCTTAAAGAATATTAATTATCTTAAGTTGGTGTATAATCAATTAAACTTAATCATATGATAGAAGATAGAAAAAATTATAAAAAAAATCTAAATGTAGTGCTCAATTCAAAAATTAATAATACTAGTACTAATATATGGAGTGCAACTATTATCATTATTATAACTTGTATTTTCTTTTTATTTTATCTATTAGGAGGTTTTTTATTATTTAAATAATAATAAAATGATTTATTACCAACATAATAATTGACACTTAGTTTTATTCGTTTTACTTCTCAATTAGATATAGTAGTTAGCACAGCATTTATTACTAAGACTTAACCAATTTTATATAACAAATTAGTTGATTTGAATATATATTCAGATTAAGAAATTGAAACTTTTAGGGATTAGCGTGTAATCATTAAAATCTTTATTTCCCTTTATTCAAACTATTTTGAAAATATTACTTAAATTTATTAAAATATAATTGAATCCAATAAAATATCATAGGAAGATGAAAAAATCTTATTGAATTTATTTTCAAGTGATTTCTGTGAATTATTGAGTCAAGATATCCCATTTTGTAATTATGAAAATTCAACTAATTTTTATTCAATATATGGAAAACCTACTCGTTTAGATGATAATAGAGATTATTTAAAAAATGGAATTTAGGGTGTTGTAAGCAAATTAGATCAATTCTTTAAATAAAATTATTATTATGAAACAAAAGAAATTGATTATTACCCAGACTTATAAGTTGTTATAGAATTATTTAATACAAGAGAATTTACTAACACTTTAATTGAACATTTTCTAGATACCACAGATGGTACCAACTTATTTGTAGATACTATTCTTAAATCAGTATTAAATATTACTTAAAATGATCTTAATTTGATTTATACATATTATTTAGTTACTGGATTGATTCTAATATCAATACATTTTATATTTTATGGTTGTTGGATATATAAAACTAATTAAAGATTGATACAATTAAGATTAATCTTAACCAATTTGCCAATTGAAGTACTTACTGAGTAACATACATTATCATTACTCAAGAAATTATAATGAAAATTAGTATCTTTATGTTTTATTTATTTATATTTATATGAATCAAATTGATATTAGATATTAAATTATAGATTTTTATAAAATTGAAATTTCAATTTTCACAATTATATATTAAGATAGTTTGTCTATAATATTTATATATAATTTAGAATGATTTGGTTTTAAATTTATTTTAATTATTGAGTTATTAAAGGTCTTATTGATTTGATATCTATTTTAATAGTAATATTAATAGAGTTTTCACATTAATTATTTTAAAGAGAAATAATAAATATTTATGATTTACTTAATTAAATATTTTATTATGTTTATAATATCATACTTCCATTTTACTAGGAGGTTTATAATTTTTTTTTTTTTTAGATCTCTCTAAGTTTTCCATTTTAATTTGATAGCTTCTGCAATGAAACAATATGCATCCAATCAATAGTATAATGATTGATATCAAAATAATAGTTAAATATATAGTAATTTCTTGTTATTCTGGTGAAAGCAAGGGTTTCTTAATTTCGAAATTGTATACATGATTGGTAATACAATATTGGAGATTATTTTATTTATCTTTTTTCTTATCACAATCAGTACTCTTTACTTACATCTTAAATAAATTGAATAATTTAATTACATATGTTTAATATATTCCTGATTCAATATCATTACTATTACAAATGATTATAGTTGGATATGCTCTGTAAACAAAAATATAGAATCCATGAGGAGATATGGCAAAGAGGGTATCATTATTTTTACCAAATTTATTCACACCTAAGAGATTTCCACTAAAGAAATAATTGTCTCTAAATAAATATGAATAATTAAATTTTTACAATAATTTTGCATCTTAATCAAGATATTATTCAGGCATTCTAATTAACATAATTTTATGATCATGAAGACCACGAACAATAGCAAAATCATCATCTAAAATATCTGCTCTTCTCAATTAACTTTTTGTATATATCTTTCTCATTTCTATATAATCATCATCTTATATATATAATTCTACAATCTCAGAATTTGATTAAAAATTTTATATTAAAATAATTGTTGATCCTCTTACTGAAAATGATTTACAATCTGTATATTTAATCAATCCCAATTTTCCATTTTTTGTAAATGTACCATCAAAATGTATACCAAATTATGTAATTCCATGAAAATGATCTAAAATATACAATTTATCCTCATAAACTGCAACATCAACAATTCTAAATGAATCTTATTCAGAGTCATACAAATCTTTAGAAGTAATAGATTTTATAAACTTTAATCCATGCTATTAAATTTCATAAATGAATAGACCTTATGATTCTTGGGCTGAGTATAACCATCCATTACTAGCTACAACTCTCATTTTATCAGTTGGTGTCTACCATCCTGCTACAGGTTTATGTTGTATTTCATTGTTAAGAAACTAGTACTTTATTACTTATTTATTATCATTTAAAAAAGCATAGAAATATCTTGTCCTTTCATCATATACCAATTAAGTTGACTATTAATGATCATTTGACAACGGTAATGTTTAATTAATAATAGATAAATCCTTTGAATTTGTGTCAATGAAGTAAACTTTCCCTTTTGATGATAATATACTAATTCCATCTGGACTAATAGCATATGAAGATAATTTTTCATTATATCCACGATATAAGTCCTCTTCATTCAATTCATCAATATCTTTCTTTGAAAATTCATGTACTAATGATATAAATCCTGAAGGAGATTGATGAATAGTTACTCCTTAATAATAAGGTGAACAAAATTAATTAGATTCATCCTCACCTGAAAACTTTACAGACCTAAATAATGTTAAACAATAACTTACAAAATTTTTCCTAAATCATCTAATCTTTTAATAAATGATTACTGTTCTACATTTATCACTACATTTGTTTAGTGTTGATCTGTATCATTGATAAAATTAAAATTTAATCCCATGCTCTGGCACATTAGGAGAAAATAAAGCAACATTTTTGTTTTATTAATAATTTATGGAAGTCAAATTAAAAATAAATAAATTTGAATATAAAACAATAGCTATTATATTTTAAATAAGGATATTATTAATACATATATGGAAATCTCTTTATAATAAATATATATTCCAAGAAATATCAATATATATAAATAAATATATAACAACCCAAAGTTTACATTATTATTATAATATAAAACATATAAATATACTTTAATATTTCTATTTGGTATCTTTCTAATTTTATAAATTATGAAAATATGAATTCATATTAAATTATATTTCAGCTTATCAATTTATCATCTAAATATGTAAATAGAGCTATTTTTATTCTTTATCAAAATTTAAAAAGTAAATAAGTAATCTAAAGTCATAATTATACAAAAGTAATATTATCTGTTAATTATAAAGTAAATAACACTACAAATAATTAAATTTTTAGGGAAATCATAGGTATTTACTATATAATCAAAATAAAGTTTATATTAAATCTTAACTATATTTAATTATTATTATATCTAGTATGGATTTTAATGAGTGTAAATTAGATCCTTATGTTCATAGATTTTATATATTTATTTCAAATTAATAGTATTATTTTAATATAATTTTATAATTCAAATATTAGGACATTCTTTTATATTTTTTATTAAAATACTTCAAGAAACAAATTGAAGATATTATATTAATAATAATAATGAATAGCACAATTAAATTGAAAGTAGATTTAAATAAAGTGGATTAAAAGTAAAGTATATTGGAGATTGTAGAAAAACTTTAAGGAGAAATCTATTTGGAATATGATGGTCACATATAAAATGCATTAATCCAAACTCAAAATTTAATTATTGATCCTAACAATATCTTTCATTTGAATAATCATAATCAACTTTAATAGGATCAATATTTTAATGAAGCTATAGGAATATCTAAAAAAATTAAATTCATTGTTATTCATAATTTAATGAAGAATCACTTTTATCAAAAAGCTAAATTATTATAAATGAAAATATTCCCAGATTGGAATTTAAGTGAATATAAAACTATATAACAATTAAATCCAACCTAATAACATCTTTTAGAATAAATAAATTAACAAATAAATAAAATTATTTTATTTTCTGCATTTTCTAAAAATTCAATTGAAAAGAACTCTAAAATCAATTTTTTATATAAATCATTAGATAAATTAGCAGCCATTTTAGAAACAAATCAAGGAAATTTATTATTAGGAGAAGTTTAAGAACCCTATGAGTATGCTAGATACTTAAATAAATTGATATTCATTATAAATTTGAATGAAAATGTTTCAGAATTTAATTAAAATTTAATGATTTTATAGAAATAAATTCTATTAAATCGTTTTATAAATGATAATTTTAAGATTCACACATTTATAATATCAATAACAAAACCAAAATGTTCAAGAATAGAATTAAAAGAAATTGCTTATGAATTAATTAAATAGAATTAAAATATTAATATTAAAGTTGGTTATAATAGATTTGATATCACAAGTTTTGAAAAATTAATTTATTTTGAAATAGAATAATATGATGATGAATAGAATATAGAATAATTCTTATAATAAGAAATTCAGGATAGAGCATCTAAAATATTGAGATTAAATATTTAAGATAAAATTAATTTTGAAAACTTTATTTGTAAATTACCATTTATTACAAATTCTAATATTAAATTTAAGCATTAGAAAATAGGAATAAAATTAAAAAACTCATTTTATTAAGATAATTAATTCAGATATTAAGTTAATTAATAATTAAAATAATTGAAATCATAATTATTGCATCTTAAAATTGATAAAAATTTTAGTGTTTATTTAAATTTAGTAGAAATTGAATAAAAGAAATAAATTTTAACAAACTTATTTATGGATGTTACTTAATAAAAATACATATTATATATAAATGATGTCAAATAATAATATATTGAATTAATAGTTTATTTTCATCAATTCATAAAAAATGATTTAATAACTTTAGAAAAAATTTTAAATGAAACTATGGACTAACTTCAGATAGCTAGTTTATAGATGAATGAACTTAATTAATTAGAATTAACAATTGAATAATTCTAATAAAAATATAGTGCATTATTGTATATTGAGAATCAAAAATTAAATTTTATATTACATTCCAAATATTTAAATTAAATAAAGAATTTACTTAATAGTTACAAAACTTTAACACTCTTATCTTATAAACCAAAATCAAAATTATATGCTTAATAGATACTTTATGATTATAAAAATAAAATTATTGAATAATCATAGGAGATACTATCAATTAAATTATCATCAAATAATGAAATTCTTTATTTTGAATGTCCAACTAAAAATATGACAGTATTAGATATTTTTATAAAATATGAACAAGTCTTAGATCAATTATTATTAGAAATACCTCTTTAAATAAGTAAATTAGAATCTAAATACTTACATAATAATTGTCAAAAAGAAATACAAAAAATTAGTTAAGAATAGATTTTTGATTTGCATTTTAATTTTCAAGAATATTAGACAACTAAAAATTCACAAGAAATTAAAGGTAAAAACATAAATACTAAAAATTAATTCATTAAATTTTTAACAAAAGAAGTTAATTTTGATACAAATTTAAAATGTGAAATCTCAATGAGAATGATTCTTAATAATAATTTTGATATACAGATTTCTTATTAATAGGAAGATAAAGTTCATCCAAATGTACTTTCTATTAAAGAGTATTTTCTGTTTTATTAAAAAATAAAAATCCCTTATAAATAGATAGGAGTTGTATATGAAGAGATTAAAGATATATTCCCAAAATTATTATAATTATTTATGTCTAAGGATCAAACAAAATTTTAAGAACTTAAGATTTTTATTAATAATGACAAATTTAAATCTTAGTATGAATAAGAATTATTGATGACATTAATTACTTCAATTCAAGAAACCTATTAAGATTTCTAATGGCAATGGTCAGATGGAACAAAATTTAATGACTATGATGATGCAATGATTAATTAATAGATTGAAATTGCATATTAAGCCTATAGATTGGACAACAAAAAAAATGAAATGATATTAAAGTTTCCTTATTCTTATTAACCTGGTACTCATACTATTGATTTGAATAAAGGAACAATTTTAGATCATGCTAGTGCTCTAATCCAATAAATTAAATAAAAAGATGGATATTATTATATTGGCAAAGAGCAAGCAGATGATATTTTGAATTAATATATTCAAGAAAGAATTTAAATGAAGAAATAATAATTCACAGTATTTCTAAAAAAATATCTTATATTTTTCAAAACTAAAGATGAGATTTATTAAATTAATTTAGATTCTAAATATAAAAGAAAAATAAGAAGAGAAATTTAAACTGATAAATATTTTAAATTTATACATGATTTCATTTAATAAAAATGTAATTAAGAAACACCTCAATAAACTCCAGATGCTGATAATCAGATTTATTGTTATGCAAAAACATTTATTAAATAAAATTAAGATATTTAATAGGCTAAATTTAAGAAAACTGAAGAAATTACAAATAAAATTAATATAATCTTACAATAATATATAGCTACTTATGAAATTAAGCTACCTGTTACTAATGATTAGATTTACTTTAGTTTTCTAGATTATCTTAAGAATAACACTCTATAAATTGAAGGCGACTTAAATTAAAATGAAACAATTTATATTAAATCTTTTGAAAAGAATCTCAAATCAATTCAAGAAGTAGTACAATTTCTACATTAAATTCCATAAACTTGGAATACATCCAGCTATCAAAGATTATATTATTTTGATATTTTATAACCAGATTTTGAAGAAGTTAAGTAATCTTTTCCATTTTTGAACATTAAAACAGTATAATTGATTCAAAATTATGATTTATGGGCAAAATATTAATCAATCAAAAGTAAGTTGGAAGGTTGGAAAGAAGAATTGTTAATCTTTGGAAATAAATAAGATTGTGCTTAAGAAGAAATTGGAAAAGTAACCTTGTCGCTCTCTTTTGATATTGTAAATGATAATTATTAATGTGTAGCATAAAGGACCCTATATTAAATGCGGTAATACAATAGCCTATGTAAATGATAACTATTTCGAATCTTAAAAAGGATAAAAACAGATAATCTTAGTATAAGTTTTACTAGGATAACCGTAAGACTTAAAATAATAATTTGTAATAAGTGATTATGCTGAAAATAATTATAAAGAAGGTGAATATTATTACATAAAGAGGAATAAGATTTACCCAAAGTTTTTAATAACTTTAAATGAATAATGATATTATTTAATTAATACTAAAATAAAAAATAATAATATTATATTCATTCATCAAGAAACATTAAAATTAAATTATATATTTTATCATTTTACTTAATATATTCAAACATATCATTAAGATACTTAATCAATAACTAACGGTATATCTCTTACTTCTAGTAATTCTAAAATAATTCTCTTAAGACATGTTAAAGAACTGATAAATAATATAAATCAGAGACAATTATTTGATTATTTCTAATTTTAATGATTAATATATAATTGCATATCTTAAAGAAAAATAATTAAATTAATGAAATATTTATTTATTTTAGAATAATAGGCTGCTTTATTGTCATATATCAAAATCCATTAAAAAAAGCAATCTAAATTTAACTTTATATTTTTTTTTATTTTATATTTAAGCTAATTGATATATTAAATATTTTATTAAATTTCTCCTAATTATATCTAAAACATAGTTTTTATATTTTCTGTAATATTTTTTATACGCGTAGTTAATTAGTATATAAATTAATTCATTAGTATAGAAATACTATACTAGACCAATCCTCAATAATATTCCAAAGAATTTTCTATATTTTTTAAAGATTAAAATTATATCATATTATATAACATAATTAATTTGCATAATTAAAAATATTCTTTGGATATTTATTCAACTTTTTATAGAAATTTAATTTTATAGTAAATGATTTTTAATCGTTTATAAGTAAAAAGAAATTGAATTAAGAAATATGTTTATTTTTTAAATAATAATTTTTTTTTATATTAAATGAGAAAGCTTATATAGGTATAATTAAAAGATAAAAAGGATCAACTTAATTAACATAATCTAAAGATTTTAGGATGAATAATTCAAATAAATAGCAACTTAATTGAATATGATTATTAGTTATAATTAATTTAATTTTATAGAGAATTTATTTAACTGAATTATTTTTCAAATTTATGGGAAACACTGATTTAAAACCTTAAATTGTTCATTCTAATCAATGGGTAATGGTTAAACAACTCAATCATCCTTTATATGGGCCAATAAAAGTATTTAAGAATTGTTAAGAGAAATATTAATGTTTACGGACATTCACTGTTTAGGAAGATGAAGCAAATAAAATTTGTTAGGAATTTTAAAATTTGAACCAAGAATAAGTATTAAATATCATTATTTTAATAGTATAATTTAGTAAGAATAAATAAAATTGAAAATGAGGTTGAATCATAATTATGTTCGACATTTCACAAAATTCATTTAACATTAGATTATACAGAAAAATAATTGAAAAATATATATCAAATAAATGTACAACAATTTAGTGTTAACATTCTAAAAACATTAAGATATTTAGATTCTCGTAAAATAGACACATGCTAATTTTGTCTATCTAAATTATTAATTTTTGGAGATTAAGTGAGAATTGTGGAATAATAAATGCTAACTTAATAAAGTGATTATTAACGTATACTATCTGGAGATTTGAAATGTGAAGATTGGTATTTTGCACCAGAAGTAATGAAATGTTTAAGAATGAATGATTCAAAAACATTCAATAATGAAAAAGCAACAATATTTAATTTTGGATTAATTATGATAGCAATATTCACTGAAACTACTCCATATGAAGCACAAATTTATAATTATGAGAAATGTTGTTTGACTGAAAAATTCGATAAATATCTATAATTGTTAACACAATTTAATTTAAATAGTAAATATCATATATATTTTTGATTAGAGAAATTGGAAAAATTAATTTTAGCTTGTGTTAGTTTTACTCCTGATAAAAGACCTACTTATTAATAATTATTAGATGAATTCAGCAATCCTTCAATATTTGAATAATAAGTTGAAGATTAATCACCATCTCCATAAAAAGCTGATTCTACTTATTCAGTTCCCACAAATCAATTAGTTTCTTTTAATCCAACAGTAATGGATGAAAGAGTACTATCTGATACAACTAATTAAAAATTAAATGATAATTAAAATAAAATATTAATGAAAAAGATTGATCAAGAAAAACATCAAAATACACCTATTTGTTAATCACCTAAATTTAGATAAGAAAGTATGCTAACATAAACAACTATTGGAAATTTGAGATCTACTAAATTGTATGATTTGGAAACTTTACAAAAATAATAGAAAACTAAATAAAATTAAAGCAAATCTTAATAATAAAAAAAAAATTATTATAAGAAATTTTGATTATATAAATATGAGGTAATTATTTACTACAATTGAGTATTTAATAATCGTATTATGAAAGGATTTTTCTTATGTTATCTTATTTCGATAGTCTATTGTTGGTGGGAAGTCGGACACATGATGACAGCCTAAATTGCTAAGAATTTTCTCAAGGATAATAGACCAGATGTCTTAGCTTGGGCAGACTCCTTAGTATAAGATTTCAATTCCCTTACAGATGGTAGATCAAATACATTTGCTGAGGCAGCTGTTTGGTTAGATGATATAAAAGAAACAGGAACCGGATTTTTAAATGATTGGCATTATACAGACAGGCCAATCAATCCAGATGGGTATTTTTTATATAGATTATTTCTAAGATTATTGATCAAGATTGATGATTAAGGAAGAAATATCAACTCCATCTATGCAATTAATCAGGCTGTGTCAGTGTTAACTAACCCTAAGACTTCTAAAAATCGACATACAGTTTTCAAAGCATAGATGATAAGAGTTTTATTACATGTTATTGGTGATATACATCAACCACTACATGATACTACTTTTTGGAATAGTAGCTATCCAAATGGAGATGCTGGTGGAAATTTTATGAAGATTTAAGTATTCAAATTATATATATATATAGTTATCAAATGGAACACTCATGAACTTTCATTCCTTTTGGGATTCTGGGGCTGTTTCCTTTGCTCCTAATAATAGCTTTATGGCTAGACCTTTAAGTTAATCTGATAGCTAGTATCTAGATAAATGGTCTAAGGAATTAATGACTAAATTCCCAAAATCAAAATACAGCAATTATGATATGACGTATTAAGTGTTCAAATTATATAGTAATCCTTCTGTATGGACTTACCTTGGTTTTAGATAAGCATAATAATTTGTGTATCCAATGGTAGCGACATCAAATTCATACAATAGCGATTATGAGAAATAAGCTATTGCCTTTTGTGAAGAAAACTTATCTATAGGAGGATATCGATTAGGAGCAAAATTAATAGAAATATATGATCAAATCATACAGAATGAAGCTAAACTATCATTAAGTGAATGAATATGAATAGTTATTTATATTACCATTCTACAAATACTTTTTATATATTCATTAATATATTTGATAATTTAATTTTAATTATATAATGAAGAATTCAAAAAAAATATAACTATTTAAATAATATAGAGAATAAATAAGTAATGGGAATTTAATAATATTTTATATTGAATTTCTCCATTTAAAGTATTGTTGACAATCATAAATTTAGGTTTATTTATTGTTGACAATTATCTTAATTGTTTTTATATATAATATAAAATTTCTCATTTAATATTTGATTAATCATATTACTTATAAATATTGAGCATTTTTCAAATCATTTAGAGATAAGAGACTTAGATAAATATAAATTCTATGTTCTAAATTTTGTAATAATTTGATATATAAAAATATACTTGTTAATTTATTTAATGGTTAGTTCTATTATTTTATAATGTTATTTATTAATACAATTCTTAACTAATAAATTATATATATTAATCGACAGAATGATATTAGAATTTTTGATCTGTGAACTAAATTTCAATTATTTTAATTTATATGTAGATGGAGAGCCATTACTATACACTGGAGGTATGAGCAGCAAAAAACCATAGTCCATCATAGGCAAATAGAGCTCTAACATAGTGCCAATGACCCTAAAGATGTTCACCAGTCTTAAACAGCACGATTATCCAAACTACTTTGGCCATAAGGTAGATCTTGTGTGTTTAGTGGCCCAAGTACAGAATGTTTAGCCAACTATCTCAAAAAGAGGACTTTTCCAACTTTCATTCACTCTTTAAGATCTCTTTGGAGGTTAAACAATTATTGCTAACTATACATAATATGAAGGACAAGACATTTAAAAATCAATATTTGAAAGAAATTAAATTACATCTCTGAAGCAACTTAAATTGGTAAAATGTATTCTTGCAGCATAAAAAGATAAAAACATATATTATGATGTTAAACATATAGAATTAGTAAGTGATCATAATTACATTATGTATCATGTGGCATCATGTATAAATTACCATTGTTAGGTCATGTACAATACCTGATTCATTTATCTATAAAATATCATTATCATATCACTTTTGATTCTTATATATATGAATATATATAGTTTTATTTGATTAAAGCTGTAAAAATAATCTATTGTTTTGATTGTATGATTATAATAGATGAAAATCAATTATCGAACAGTCATTCTGTTACTCAATAATAATTATTAAATATTCAAGAAGAAAAGAATGAGAAAGTATTAAAAAGTATATTTGTGTTATATTCTAAATAAAGGATTATAAGTTATATTTAAATATTGAATAAATATATGATATATTTATAGAAACCTATAGTTAATTATTGATTTGCCTAAAATATTGATTAATATCTAATCTTTATTCTATGATTATTATAACACTATAATTATCAAATTTAATATATTAAAAGATAATTAAGTCAAGGACTAAGAATTTTATAAAAGCTTTCATGACTATGAGCCTCTGAGAGAAGACGACTATATGATTGATATTTAGTTTTTCCTTTCTCGAATACTATTTCTGGCTATGGTTGAGAATGTTATTGTTTAAACTTTAATCGTGATTTCCTAACTATTTTATCAACATTTGAGACATGTTCTGTTCTGACTGTTTCAGGTCTCTCTGGTAATTTGATAATTTCTGAAAGGGGTTTCTATTTGTCTCTTAATTATCTTCGACTAGTCATAAGACGTTTTGACTTGAAGGGATAAGATATTCTTTCACTTTAAATATTCACATCATAGGTTGGATGGGATTCGAATGATCCACCCATGAATTTACGCTAACTTTGTACACCAAACTTTCCTTCTTTATTACTTACACCAAAACATTTGACTGAATAAGATAGTCTCTTCATATCATCATTCTCCATTTTTAATCCTTCTAATAATTCTTTTTGTTAGTCTGAATACTCTTTTTTCTTCTATAAATAATGGTAATATTCAAAAGTATTTTGAACCTTCAAAATTTTTGTGCTGATATAGTGGCTTACTTGTACTTTTCAAATCCATTGTACAATACTCTTGGTTGGACTCTTGTTTTCATATATGGAGTTCTTGGAAGATTATCAAACATTAATAAATAAAATATTATAATTTATAATTATAATAACAATTTTATAAAATTAATGTAAATTATTTCTTTCAATATGAACATTATGATTATTAAGTATGATAAACTTTATAATTATTTAGATTTAATAACTAAACTCTTGTTTTCTAACATAATTTCTAATTTAAATGGTTTAATAATAATAATTTTTTATTTCATATATTATGTTTAATAATTGTAGTATAGTTTAATATTAATAAGTTTCATGCAATTAATTTATTGTTTTTAAATAGGGCTTACAATTTATCTCCATTTTCTTTTATTATAACTCCTTATCCATTCATTATATCATCTACCCAAAATCCACTCACAGAAGATTTCTCTGACCAATACATTATTCCATGTCCAGACCTTTTGCCTCCCACAAAATTACCCTAAATTTTAAACAGAATATATACTTCAAATCTATCTCCATTTGAAAAATAATAAATACCCTTTCCTTCCTTAAGTGAACTTGACCATTCTCCTTCATATCTATCACCATTCTTCATTCTTAATACTCCTGTTCCTTCTCTCATATCATTTTTAAATTCTCCCTCAAATTAATCACCATTTTAATGTAAATATATTCCTTTTCCATGTTTTAATCCATTCTAAAACTCCCCTCTATAAATATCACCATTTTCATATGTTAACATTCCTTCACCATGAAATTAATCTTATTTCCACCACCCTTCATAATATCCTCCACTTTAATATTAGTATCTTCCATAACCATTCATATGACTTCCAACCCAAGTACCCTTATAATAATCCCCATTTGGTAATGTCAATTTTGCTTCTCCTTCTACTTTATCCTTCTTCCATTCTCCATCTAAAAGTGCTCCACTCTTATATTTTAATACACCTTTGCCTTCTTTAAGATTATTATTAAATTCTCCCTCATATACTCCACATTAATATGAGAAAGTACCATAACCTTGTCTTAATCCATTATTCCATTCGCCATCATATTTTTCATTAGTTTATGCATACACATATACTCCCCTTCCCTATTTCTTATCATTAGCCCAATTTCCAGTATAACTATTTCCATTCAAATAGTAATAGGTACCAAAACCATGTTTTTTACCTTCCTTCAATTGTCCTTAGTATCTTTCACCAGATGCGAATATATATGTTCCATCTCCATCAAATAAATCATTGGCCCATTATCCAGCATATACATCTCCTGTAAAATAGTAGTATACTCCCTAACCCCATCTGAGCTCATTATTGAGTTCACCAAAATATTCACTTCCATCTTGATATTATTTGTTTTGAACTTGTAATTATAGTCTACGAAGTTTGGTTTCAAATTCTGCAAGAATTTATTCCTTTTCTTGCTAGAATATTGCATCCATTTAATTATTTAACTGCATTTTAGTTATTTAACAACTTATTTATTAATATTAGAATTTATAATATAATTTCTATATTTAAAGCTAAACTAAAATCTAGTAACATAGTATTTTTGATATAATATTGATAGAAAATTAAAAAATATTTTAATTCTAAGTTGATTATTCAATTAGAAGATAGAGTATTCAAAATTAGAACTTTATCTTTAGATCATATTCTTTTATTTTAGTGAGATTTAAATAAGGGTGTATTATCAAGATAAAGATCTAATAATAATGGATCATATGAATTAATTTCATATTATAATCAAATTATTATATTTACAACTTTTCTCTTTTAATTATATAAGAGTTCCATAAATAATAATATCAATATACTATTCACATGAATATCTTTAATTTAATTTTTATCCTTTGAATTGATTTAAATATATTTAAACAAAATAATTAATTGAATCTAAGTTCAATATAACTCATAAAATACCATTTAGATATTCAATTATATTAGATAAATTTTATACATTGAAGATCTAATTTGAACTAAAATTATAATATTTTTTCAAAACTTGTACTATTAAAAGTTGATAATAATTAACTGATAATTTTTATTATTTGATATTTAATTGAGATCTAAATTCTCAGAATAGTTTTATTAATTTTATTGGAACATTTATCATATATGATAATAAAAAATAGAATAAAATTTGTATATCTATATATGCATATTTAAATATAAATAATTACAATAGAGTATCAATCTTTTTCTTGTTCCTCTTCTTCTTCTTCTTCTATTTTGAAACAATCTTATTCAAATTTACTATCTCTGTATAAATTGAACATAGATTTCTTTTCAATTAATTCATCGAAAATAAGTTCAAAACGATTGTTTTCAAGTACATTATCAGGAATGAATAACTTTTTATTTTGTGGCCATTCTTCAAAATAAGGAGGAGGGAAAATGGGATCGATTGCAATTCTAATAGAATTAAGTATAGTTTAAATACCGAAATAAGTTTTCAACCATGGCAGGAATAATTCTACTTAAGAGTGGACAGGATAGTTCTAGACATGGATTAGTGTTTGCTTCTATAAGCCAAAGTTTAAAATTATCATCAATCATGAAGTCCAATCCAAATAACTAAGTTTATTTATTTTATATTGTACTTCAAAACTATTTGATCTTCTTTCTGGATCAATTTTACCATATGAAGCTTTCATTAAATCTAACGCAATATTCTTCATTTTAGGATAGATATCTATAAAAAAATTGAATTTAGATTAAGAGTGATAAGTATCAAGGTATCTTTAATATTCAAGAAAGGAGATCTTGTTACCAAATTCAAATTTTCCATAATCTTCATCTTTTGATTAAACAGCATCATTTGTTAGATGAATATATTTATTTAAACACTTAGTTGTAAATTCTTTTGATGAAGTTCGAATATAACCTTCTTAATACCAATATCCTTTAAATATTCCATTTTAAGAGGTTAACAACATATAGCATCTAATATCAAATTTTCTTTTATTATATAAGAATGGATTATCAATGTACTATTAAACAATATAAGTTCTTTATCTATCATCAGGCTATTCTTCATTCAAAATTTTATTGATTTCTTATAAATCCTAACAAACAGTAATTCCATTTCCTCTATTAGTACATTCACCTGGTTTCACAATCCAAAGACTAATAGGTTTTGATCTCTTATCTCTTCTATATTCTGATTATTATTTACGTTCTATTTCTTTAATTTCTTCTTATCTTTTATTATAATAATCAATAAATTTAAAGTATTCAGTATCAGTCATACCTTATTAAATATGAAAAGTAATTGGGATATACTTAGTATAATCTTCTTTTATAATTTTGAAATAATTTCTCATATTATAAAATAGAGCTTTCTTATTCCCTAAATGCCAATTGTCTTGCATATGATTATGCATCTTGTAATTTTTACTATCTAATTGAATGGTGGTCTAGAACTAAGCAATTATGTAAATATTTTACTCCTTTAATAGACATAAGCAATTTTTCAGTACAATCACTGAACACAATTTATAAATCTGACTAATTGTTTAATTTCATATAGTTGAGAATTTTATTTAAATCAACTTAATTATAGATCCTCTTTAATTAGTTTAAATTATTGATTTATACATTATTCTTCGATTAAATGGATTATTTTAATAATTGATTGATACTTAAAATATGTACAGATCTAGGTTTAATGTGGATATCAATTTCAGAATCAGTTGGTTCAACAACAACATTATCTTCAATATGATCATTATAATGATTAGTATTATTAATTGTAAAAGTAGGTAAACATTCAATAAATGCATTTTATTTCAATTAAGTCCAAGCCATATTCACTTTACTTAAATCTAGTGATTCTACTTCTTACCACCACCATCTTTATCTAAAGAGATTCTTTAACAAATTTCCATTATTACCCTTACCTACATAAAAGTAATAAGCAGGAATATCCATCTTCAATGGAGACTAAATACATTAATTATTAGAAAAATTGATTTAATTTATAAAGCAACGATAAGAAGTGTGCTTTTAATTAAGTTTATCTTTTTAAGAGTTTTATACCTATAAGATTTATTATTATTATGCTGTTTACACTTTTTATTTTTTCTTTCTCTTTACTTAAGATTTCTTTTCAACTGATTCTACAATTTTGCAATTATTTTATTATTATACTTGAGTATCTGAATGATGTTGAGTTTATCTCATTTAATTAATTTGGGACAATTTTGGTTGAATATTTGGTTTTTAAATTTGATTTGATTTCTATTAAGCTTTTTATATTGGTGAACCTGAACGACTGGTCAAATTATCATTTTATACTGTTTTATTAATGAAAGGGGTCGATGAAGTTCTGGGAAATCTATCATTATTCTATTTGGAATCTAAATGATTGATTATTCTCTTTTAATCAATTTAATTGATTATAGGACTTACTAATTTACAACTTTTAGATGTTGAAATTTCTATTGGATCTTTATCCTTTGATTAAGTTCTAATTTATGGTCGGATAGCTATAAAATTAAAGTGGAAATAATACTTTTTTATTTTCTATGAGGTTATTTAATTTAGAGACATCTTTCAACTTGTGAAATTGAAGGATTTAATTTTGAACCAAAATATGGATGTTCTTATTTAATTTCAGAAGTGATATCCTTGTAATTACATGAAGTATCATTAGATGAAAAATTAACCATTTTCTATTTTGATATGGGAACAAGTCCCTTAGATATAAGACAGAATAATATATCTTATGGGTATTTAGAATGAGGTTTATTATTTCTTTATGTGAATTACAGATACTCCATTCTATGTTAATTAGGTTTTGGAGCAACCCATTTTGTATTTTGCATTGAACAATAATCTTTGCTATTGTTTAGAGTATCAGATAGTTTAGTATTATACTGTAGTTAAAAGATCATTATTATATTTATATAATTAATTCAGCATAACATCCTATTTAATTTAATAAACATTTATTTTAATGAGTAAAAATTTTAATTATTTATTTATAAATAATTATATTAATATCTCAAAAAGAATTTTGTTTTTATTAATCTTTTCCTTCATAAAATTTAATATATTGACTAACCATTTCATTAACTTAAACTTATGTAACTTCAACACTATCTCTTTTCACAAATTTCTTAAACAATAAATATAAAATAAAGATAAAAATAGCTATTAAAATTGAAATAAAAAGAATAACCAAAATTAGTTAATGATAACCATTATTTTCAAGTGTATCATAGTCATCTATTTCATTCATACAAATTGAAGGTGGATATATAAAACCTATAAATTAAAATATTTAAATTACTATTACAAATTTCACCAAAAATTCCATTACCTGTTAATTATCCTTTATAAACAATTGAATTTACAACTACTGAAGGTACTCCAATCATTCCAGCTTTCTCTATCAATAATAATTAATGCTCTAAAATAGAATTATAAGCATTTGATAAATTTTAAGTTCTCTCATGATTAATAGTATCCCTAAATGAGTCATCTCTACATTTATTTATTTCATCTGCTTATATTTTCAAATTTGTTATTATTTTACTTCCACAAGTAGAATATGCTTGAGCTTTTGTGCATTATAAATTAAATTAATCCTAATATTAATATTAAATTTTACCATATAATCAAAAAAGTTATCTGGATAATGTTTAAAGATGCATGTTTATCTAATAGCTTCTTCAATTAAATTTCTTCCTGATGCTATGCCATCTCCATCTGGATCCATTGAACAATATCTTCTTGAACATATACAATTATCTGTATCTATATAATAATCTGTTTATGTTTCATTAGCATTGAAAATTTAATAAACCAAAGTATAATTTACATTCTCATTTTTTAATATTTTATAAAATTAAGAGAATTCATCAATTACTCTATATGAATCTCCATCCTTTACATCCAAACTCAACACTACATCAATTTAATCCCTCTTTTCAACATCAAATTTAACTAAAATAAAAACCTAATCATCTTAATTTTCACTATAAAATTTTCTAGTAGCATACTCTTTCATTATATTAAAATCTCTTAATGTAATAAATATTGATGGAATATTAACCTATAACATTTCTTTAAATTATTTACTGAGTATCCATGACCATCATCTGCCATAACAAAATCAGATTCTAATGGCTCATCATTATGATTCCCTATAATAGCTAACATATATCCAGCATTCTGTGCATTCTTCACCTTAGTCACAAAAGTACAGTTTCCTCTCTCTATTAGAACAAATTGACTTCCATAACTAGGTTTAAGAGCACTGCATCCATCATAAGGATCAGCCATCTCAACATAGCCCATTAATCTATGTCCAAATGGAATTTATCTAATTTGATAAAAATCACTTAAAACCCAAAATTAGCGAGTGCCATGTTTACTTTTGATCCCATACGATCCACTAATTCTGCAGGTCTAATTACTTTTAATTTGCAATTGGCATATGTAACAATGCAGATAATTAAGAATATAATTTACATTTATATATATATATATATAATAAATATGACATAAAATATGTTTTTTTTCAACAGATTTCTAATAAATCTATCTATTTATTTAAGGTTCTAATAAAAGAATATAAATAAAGTTTATAAGTAGCTGTTTATTTAAATTATTATAACATGGATATGTATTATTAAAATAACAGTCAAAATAATATATCTATTTATAATGTTTTAATAGAAACATATTATTAATAATCTATTATAATTTTCACATTATATAATAATAAATAATTAGATATATACTGATGACTTCTGTGATGTAATTATTTAAATATAGATTATATCAAATGATCAAAGAATACGACTATTTTTTTAAGTTAGTGATAGTTGGGAATGCAGGAGTGGGTAAGTCTTCATTGTTACGACGTTACTCTGATGATAAATTTACTGATTCATATTTATCTACTATTGGAGTGGAATTCAGATTNACATTCTCATTTTTTAATATTTTATAAAATTAAGAGAATTCATCAATTACTCTATATGAATCTCCATCCTTTACATCCAAACTCAACACTACATCAATTTAATCCCTCTTTTCAACATCAAATTTAACTAAAATAAAAACCTAATCATCTTAATTTTCACTATAAAATTTTCTAGTAGCATACTCTTTCATTATATTAAAATCTCTTAATGTAATAAATATTGATGGAATATTAACCTATAACATTTCTTTAAATTATTTACTGAGTATCCATGACCATCATCTGCCATAACAAAATCAGATTCTAATGGCTCATCATTATGATTCCCTATAATAGCTAACATATATCCAGCATTCTGTGCATTCTTCACCTTAGTCACAAAAGTACAGTTTCCTCTCTCTATTAGAACAAATTGACTTCCATAACTAGGTTTAAGAGCACTGCATCCATCATAAGGATCAGCCATCTCAACATAGCCCATTAATCTATGTCCAAATGGAATTTATCTAATTTGATAAAAATCACTTAAAACCCAAAATTAGCGAGTGCCATGTTTACTTTTGATCCCATACGATCCACTAATTCTGCAGGTCTAATTACTTTTAATTTGCAATTGGCATATGTAACAATGCAGATAATTAAGAATATAATTTACATTTATATATATATATATATAATAAATATGACATAAAATATGTTTTTTTTCAACAGATTTCTAATAAATCTATCTATTTATTTAAGGTTCTAATAAAAGAATATAAATAAAGTTTATAAGTAGCTGTTTATTTAAATTATTATAACATGGATATGTATTATTAAAATAACAGTCAAAATAATATATCTATTTATAATGTTTTAATAGAAACATATTATTAATAATCTATTATAATTTTCACATTATATAATAATAAATAATTAGATATATACTGATGACTTCTGTGATGTAATTATTTAAATATAGATTATATCAAATGATCAAAGAATACGACTATTTTTTTAAGTTAGTGATAGTTGGGAATGCAGGAGTGGGTAAGTCTTCATTGTTACGACGTTACTCTGATGATAAATTTACTGATTCATATTTATCTACTATTGGAGTGGAATTCAGATTTAAGACATTAGAATTTGATGGACATAAGGTTAAGCTGTAAATTTGGGATACAGCAGGTTAGGAAAAATTTAGAACAATAACTAATGCATATTATAAGGTATTTGATGAATTAAAATGCAGGGTGCAGATGGAATTATAATGGTATATGATATTTCATCTACAGAATCATTTGAAGATATTGATAAATTTTGGATAAATTAGGTAGAATCATATGCTGAGAAGAATGTAGAACTGTTATTATTAGGAAACAAAAGTGATGTTGAGGATAAAGAGTATTATTATATTATCCCTATGTAAGTGTAACAACACAAAAGGCATAAGATTATGCAGCATCAAATAGAATGGCACATATGGAAGTAAGTGCTAAGACAGCAGATTAAGTATCTAAAGCATTTATATCGATGGTAAAAACAATGATTGCAAAAAAGGATTCGCAAAGATAGAAAGGTTAAGGGTAATAATATTATTAATTTATATATAAGACCATAGAGAAGTCAGTAAATTCCAGGTTAGAAAATTGGTTAATAAAAAAATTATAACAAAAAGGAGAAGGATAAGTGTTGTTGACTATATTAATATTGAGTTTTTACTAATCACAATACTCCTCATATTTATCCTCTTTTACCTTGAATATATGTTTTATATAGAGTTTCCTTTTAATTTTATTATAAATTAAGATATTTTTTGATGTCAATAGGATCACCTATAAGTTTATAAATTTATAATACCTCTTTGAAAATTGTGTTTAATTTCTCTTCTCTACTCCTTTGTTAATTTAATACCATGAACTTTTTTGCCTTCCATTAATTAAGATAAATTTTCTTAAGTGAATATTTCTAATATTTCTTCATTACTGATTTTCTTTTCTTAAATCAACTGGTTTTCAAATTAATTATCAATTTTTGCATCATCATTTTATGGTTATTGATTTTATTATTATTAATGAATTAAGTTCTCTAAATCTTCTATAGGATTAGATTACCATAAAGCTTCACCTTAGTAATTTGGTGGCAATTTTACATATAGTAATTTACCATTAACAAAATCTTTTAACATTAATTTAGCTGCTTTAGCTTCATCTGGCAATCCTCTACCTGTCATGAATCCTCTTTTTTGACTATAAGTAGAAAGTACAGTAGATGCATCGATAATTTTAAATTCTTACAAATTGATTCCATAAATTTTTTCAAAAGCAATTTTAGGGATTCTTTCTGCTAATAAATCCATAGGGCTTAAATAATCTTTAATATTGTCAATAGGTAAAACACCATTACATACCATTTCAGCCCTAGATGATGAAGCATTGGGAAATATTAATCCTGGACAATCACATAACTAAAATTAGAATAAAAATAAATACTAATAAATATTTTTCTAATGGTATAGTTTAAAAATGTTTAGTTTTACCAGGTCTTGCTGCAACACCAACTAATTTCTTATTACAAAGAGCATTAATAACTGAACTCTTACCAACATTAGGATAACCAACCATTCCAATAATTACTGTATTCTCATCATGTTATATATCATGATCATCCTAATCAAGCAATTTAGTTGTCTCTACATTATCTTATCTTTCTTTTCTAATCTTTTATACTAATGATTTTAATTCTGATAATAATATCTTTCTATCTGCAATTCTTGAAGTATTGATATAAGCTTCTATATTTTCTTAAATTTATGTTTCTTCTTATTAAATAATAATATTAGTAGCATCTTATTATATTTATTCTTCCTTATCTATTTTTTCTTATTCTAATTTAGCACTAAAGAACATATGATTCAATTTCTTTTAATTTAAAAAAGCTGACCATTCTTCTCTAATTTTATCAGATATTAAATCACTTTTGTTTATCAATAGAAAATTGATTTTTGTTTAATTCTTTCTATAAACTCTATTTTATTCTTCATGAACATATTTTGTCAAATCATTACAATGATAAAATAGAATGTCTCTTCCATCTACTACTTAAACCAAAATATCTGCTTTTTCTACTACTCTCCATAATTACTTCCAAACTTCAATATTTTTCTCATAAGGAGTTAATTAAATTTAATAATGTTCCTCTTCAAACTTTGCTAATTCTTTTCTCCACTTTAAAAAATTCTCATTTTCCATCAATCTTAATTATTCAACTGTTGTTTTCTCATCCCATCTAGGTCTTCTTGGTATTTATAAGTCTACCAATAATTGGTTTTTCTAATAATCATATACAGATGAATTTGGTAATTGTCCCTTTCTAATTGCATTTACATTTATCACTAACTAAAAATTATCCACTTTTCATTTACTTATTTCTGCTATTCATTTACTACAATATCTGATTTCTTCTCTGCTTAATATTTGATATTTGCCATCTCTGCCATTTATAAATATTCATTCAAAGGATTCTAATCAATTATTGATTGCAAATTCTCTTATTAGATTTAATAATCTTCCTTTACAACCTTCCCATCATGAAAGAACTATCCTTAATTCTAAACTTTTGCTGCTCCTTCATTCATTTTCCTTTATTGTTGTCTCTAAAGAGCCTTACCCAAATTAGATTTCTTAGACATTCACAAATATAAAAATATTAAAATGTCATTAGTCGGTTCTGGCACCTTAATTGTCAAACATCTCAAAGCCAAATTAACTCGTGATACCGAGTTCCTTGGTAAAATGGATCCCTACTGTAAAGTCATTCTTGGTAGTCAACAACAAAGAACAAGAGAACATACAGATGCAGGTATCAGAAATATTCAAATAAATAGGGAAGCATCCTTCATGGAATCAATCACTAAGCTTTAGGCGTACAAACGAATACATAGCTGAAATCTAAGTTTGGGACTCTGATGAAGTAAGCACAGACGATTTGATAGGAGAATGCTCAATCGCACTTTAGACATATTTAATTGATACTCCAAAACCAGCTGAATGGATTAATTTAAGCTATAAAGTAATTGAAATAATCATTAAAAAATCAGGGTAAATCGGCTGGATAGATCTACATATCATTTGAATGGTTTCCTGATTCAAAATATTAACAACAACCTTAGATCCCATCAAATCCTTAATATTATCAATAAAATAATGTGATACCCATGAAACCTCCAGGAGCTCCTGGGTACCAGTAACCATACAATTAATCAATACCTTATCAGCAATCTTCAAATTATCCACCTTAATAAGTATAATATCCATAGTCACCTCCTTATGCATAATCAGGTCTCTAAGGTACATTAGGATATCCTTAGAACCCATCATAAAACTATAACCAATAAGGATATGCCCCTACTTATCCTCCTAATTAATAATCAGGCTATTAACCAAACGCACAACAAGGATATCCACCAAATTAGCCTCCAACCTATCCACAAAACCAAATACCAAACTACCCTCCAAATTAACCTCCAGGTTATCCCCCAAATTAACCTCCAGGATATCCCCCAAATTAAGCTCCTGTCTATCCACCAACTTAGGCTCCAGGATATCCACCAAATTAAGCACCTGGCTATCCACCAAATTAAGCTCCAGGATATCCACCAAATTAACCACCTGGCTACCCTCCAAATTAAGCTCCAGGATATCCACCAAATTAACCTCCTGGCTACCCACCAAATTAACCACCCATCTGCCCTACAAATTAAGCTCCTGGTTATCCACCAAATTAACCACCCATCTTGCCCACAAATTAACAACCTAATTAATAAGGATATCCTAATTATAATTAAACCATGTAAAATAATCCTTAAGGTTTTCCAAATCAACCTTAAAATTAATAAAATCCAAATCACCCAAATACAATTCAAAATTAATAACCTTATCCTAATAATTAACCTCCTACAAATTATCCAGGTGATTAACATTCTAATAGTTAACCATAGAGTTATCCAAATAATCAAATACCACCAAATTAATAAACATAGACAATACCACAAAACCAACCTCCTGGTCAATAATATCCAAATTTACCTCCTCCAAATCAAGGTTATCCAAATGTTCCTCCTAGTTAATAAGGTCCACCTTAATAAAATTATGTACCACCTTAATAATAACCACCTGCATTCTACCCAGGTTAAACATTACCTTAAAATCATAATTATCCAAGTTAGACATTGCCACAGAATTTTGATCCAAATAAGATTCCTAATCCAATGGTGTGATTGAAATATTGCTTGATTAATATAAAAAAATAAATAACTGTTCATTATATTGCGTTTGAAATAATATGGTTCGCATTAATAAACCTTTGATAAGTGGCTTAAGATTCCCGGATAATTGTAATAATTTAAATACAATAATAACATGTACAGATACATCTCAGAGTAAGGATTAAAAACACCAGCTATTATCAATTCACTAAAAATATTTGTAAGAGATTTCAAAGATGTCTCATCAGTTTCAGCAACAAAATTGAATTCAGAAGAAATTGCTTCAGCCCTTGAAATTCATTCATTATAATGGCATCCAACAAAAGATTCAAACAAAATCCATAAAGAATTTAAGTTTAATTCATTCAAAGAGACATTTGCATTCATGGGATCCATTTCAGCAGTAGCCGAGGAAATGCATCGTAATTAATTATTTCTAACTATTTAATAGATTATCCAAAATGGACATAAAAAGAGAATATTGTCAATGTAGAGATCTCAACTAATGATTGTTCAGGAGTTTCAGTAAAAGACATTCTCTTAGCATATACAATGGATTAATTGGCAATGGAAATCACAAATACTTAAATAATATCAGTTTGTGACAGTCCTAAGGTAGTTGATTCTCAAATACTAAATACATGGAATTAAAACTTTTTGAAAACAGAGGAAGTTTTATAAAATCTTTAAAAGAATACTGCCCAACTTTGATATTATATCCATATTATTTAATTATTATTCTTCTTTAAAGAGTTTATCTTGTAAGATACTTTACAAATTATTATAAAAATATTTATTACAAAATAATATGATTTTATATAATATATAATAATTTATGATTTCAAATTATAATATAATAAATAATTATTAGGGTTTAATATTCAATAATTAACTACTAATTTTAAATTTGAATATATGAAGCTATAAAAAGCTTTAGAATCTCAAAAAGCTCCAAATCTTATTCTATCTGATTAAATATTGAATGAAGAGGGTTGTTAAATTGTTGCCTAATTTTTGGCTTAAAATACATAATTTATAAACATTGAACTAAGAGGATGTAATATAAATGGAAGAGGATTTGAAAGAATTTGTAGATCAATAAGTCCAGATGCAAGAACATTAATTGCTGAATGGAATGCAATAGGTGGAGGTATTAGTGCATTGTGTGATTTATTAATGAATCCATCATATCAATTACAATTAGTTGATCTAAAAAATAATAGAATCTAAGCAGATCATTGTGCCAGAATATGTTAAATGTTAAAATAAAATACATCATTATAATCTTTGAATTTAAAATGGAATGAAATTGGTGAAAAAGGAGCATAATATTTATTAGAAGGATTAAATGGGAATAGAAATTTAAAATTTTTAGATGTTTCTTGCAATAAGATACCAGAAGGATTAGCAACATAAATAAGAGAAAGAATTGAATAAAATAGATCATCTGATTTAATGGCTAAAAATTCAACAGGCATCAAAGAATCATAAAGAAATGTATATTAGCCTGTTAAAACTATACCAAAGACTGCTGCTACAACTAATATACCTGATAGAGCAATTAAGAAAAATGATGCTATTAGAGTTGCTTAATTGAAGGAATAAATTGATTAAGAATTAAGACAAAATAGATTAATGAATGAAGAACTTACAAATAGAATGAATGCTTTAAGATAAGAAATTCTATCTAAAGAATAAGCTGTAAGTATGGCTAAAAGACATTTTGAAGAAGAAGTGACTAGGAAATCAATAATTGAAGCTGAATATACTTAAGTTAAAAGATAATTTGATGAACTTGGTAAGGCAAGTGATTATAGATAATAAGAAGTAATGAATGAATATGTGGCTAAAAATAAGCATGTATTAGCTTTAGAAAATGAATATATGCATGAATTATCATAAATTAGACATGACAATAAGGTTTAAATTAAATTAAACTTATTTAGTTATAAATTGATTAAATTAATGCTAATTGGTAACCTAGATTAGATGGAATTCAAAGCAAATTTAATTCATTAATGAAAGCCAATGATCAATACAATTAATAATTATTAAGAATGAAAGAATTCTTTTTAAAAATGAGATTAGATCATGATGAAAATGTTAAAGCTGTTGAAGGTAGATTACTTATAGAAGAAAAAGCTAAATATAATCATTAAATTGAATTATTGAAAAAGAGAGAGATGGAAACTCAGTAGACATTAAAAGTATATATATAAATAAAATAATAAAGAGAGCTGAAAATGAAAGTTAATCTATATAGGATGATATGTAAAGATTAGAAACCAATTTAACTAGAGATAGATAATTAATTGAAGAATAAATATAATAAGAAAGAGAGAAGGTTCATCAAACACATTTATAAATTAGTAAGAGAAGCATTAAACAAGAAAAATTGATAAATAATAATATTGTTTTAGATCATCACATTGATAATCTAATTAAAAAAATAGACGAAACTTTCTTCATCTTAAATATTTAAAAGGGTAATGGACTAAAATATTTTTAGATAGAGGAATGGATGATATTTAATAAAGAAGATTATTATAAGAAAGATAATATGCTTTACATAAAACTAATTTATAGTTATAACATTAGAGAATTTTAGAATTAGAAAGATTAATGAGTAATTAAGAAGGAAATAATATTAAATTAAGAGCTGAATATGAAAAATTATGTCATATTGTATAAGGAAAAGTATAAAATGCTGTTATTGAAACTTGTAGACTTAATCTCTAATTAGGATGATTAGATATTTTATATAAATAGATATTTAAAAGATTTTATATAAAATGTAATTAAAATAGTTAGTTAAATTTGTAATAGGATTTATGTTATAAATTTAATACAAAATAAGAATATTATTTATAATATAATACTCAGTTATTATATATTATAAAGACAATATTTAACTTAGAATCTAGTATAATTTTATATATTATAAATAAATTTAATTTAATTTAATCTTTTGTTTCTAACAAATATTTTGTTTTGTTTGATTAATATTTAAAATGAAATAAGCTACGATATTTTTATCTGCAGCTTGTCCTTCAACAGATGTTCATTTAGCTCGTGTTATGTAAACAATAAAGAATACAAAACCTGATACTGAATTCAGATTTGTTGGGATTGGAGGACCATAAATGGGCCATGAAGGTTTAGAAACTATTGGAGTTGATTATCATGAGTTTCAATATAAACCTTTCTTTCCATTTAGAAATTTTTATAGATTGGCGTATTAAGATTGAATTAATTATAGGACTGAAAATGCAATGCATCCAGTCCATATGTATAAACGATGGATCAATAAAAAAGTGTTGAATAAACTTGATAAGTAATATTTTGAAATAGTACAACATTATCAACCATCTGCATTTTTAAATTTTGAAAATGAATTCTTTATGATTGGATTTTATAAGAAATTAAGAGAAGCATATCGTCATTTCAATCGTATATGTCCACCAACATTTTAATATGGTCTCACTCATAAAGATTAACCTTAATATGGTTAGAAATATGTTGATCATTGGTTTACAAGAGCACCATTAAAATAAGTAAAAAGGATTGAATTAATATAATTTAGAGTAATTGGGAGAAATTCACATTTCCACATACATAAGTAGGATAAGATGGACTTTATCGTGCTTTTAGACATCTCTTATCTAATAGTACATAATATAAGGAATTGGTACAAAAAGATACTATATATCTTCCAGGAGGTGAATTCTTTAGATTTGATGATTTTATTGCAGATAGAGTGAATGAATAAAGAAAAACATATAGATAATTAAATAATATTGGAGATTAAGAATTATTGATATTTGTAGCTGGTGGTAATACATCTAAAGAAATACCTTTTTGTTTAAAAACAGTAGCAGAAGGAATATCTAGATTCTTGAAATTGGATGAAATGAAACATTATCCAAATGATTAAATTAAGATTGTTATATCAGTACCTGAATTCATTGAACATAAAGATCATACAGTCAAAACTATTAATTCAATTAAATGGCCTGCTAGAGTTATTCAGGCTTAAACTGAATCAGATAAATTTTCAGCTATGGCTGCATCTGATATTGGATTAGCATGTAATGGATAAATAGTAGCTGAATGTGCTGCTTTTCAATTACCTACTGTATATTATTATATAATTGTTTTTAGATTATTCTTGATCCAAAACCAACTATATAGATGTATTATTCATCTCTCTATAATGGAATTGATAATGATCTGAATATTGCCTACAATGGAATCGTTTATCCGTAATCATTATCAATTATTATCTTACTTTAGAGAATTAGTCATGTCCACAGTTCCTAATAAAATTGCTTATTCCTTATTGGAACATCATTAAGATCCAAAATTAAGATATTTCTATGCTAAATAATATGCTCCAATTTTATAAAAGACTTTAGCTAGAAGTTAAGCATCAATACCAATAGAATTAGTATTATTTATAATAAATACATAGTCTAATAAATTCAATAGTGTTTAATTAACAGGTTACTCTTCAGCATATTAAGTTATGGCTGACACTGTTTTAAAAGCATCCTATGCTTATGACCATATTCATTCACAAAGCAATTTTACTACTATGTAAAATGAAAATCTGAGAATAGAAGCTATGTAAAGTTTAGGATGGGCTAAGGGATTATGAAATATTAATAAATAAGATTATTATAAAATTCTTACATTTTTTTAAGTATTATAATTATTATTTTAATAATAATGCTTTTAAGAATGAAATAAATGTTTAATTCTAAAATAAAGCTTGATTATAATATCATAAATAATTTATTTATTTATTTTTGTCATTTCCTATTTTATTAATTAAATTACATATAAAAATATATGAATCACATAGAGATATACTTTACTTTTTATGTTTCTTGAATTAACATGACTAAATAATTTTAATTATATAAAAAATTGGTTTATTATATAAGATTATTATACAAAATTTTATTTTCTAAATCTTTATATATAAATAAGATTCCAATATCATATATCAAGATGTCTATTAAAAAGTATTCCATTTATTATCACTTACTTGAATCATTCTAAATTATAATAATTTTTATTTCTCGATTGATTTCTTGAATATATGAAAATCATTTTATAATCAAATAGTTTACTAGAAACCATTATAAACATCATACAAGTCTTATTTTATTAATTCCTCATAAAATGGGTGAATCTGAATATGGATATAAATATGAAAAACTGATTGACAATATAATTCAAATCAGTTGCAATAATTTTGAATATTAAATGTTCAAACATCTGTATCATCAATTCTTACAAGATGGTTTGAATATAAAAGAAGCTCTGTTAGAATATCTTAAGAAAAGACTACTGAACAAAATAAAAAGGCCAAGTAACAATGTTATTACGATAAGCCCAAAATTTAGAACTTTAAAATTAGTTTTATGTTGCCAAAAGAAAAGGTATTATTCTAAAAATTAAATGGTCTAATCCGTCCTTCCATTTTATTATTTATTTTATAACAAAACATGTATAAACAAGTAGTTAAAATCAACTGCAAACCCTATCTATGAAGGATTTGGTTTTTCTTTCGCTATATCCAGTCATAGAATCAATAGAAGTTCCTCTATTTAGTAAATGAACAGATGGAATTTAGGCCTTCTAAAATAAATCAATATTCAACTATACCGCTATTTATTGTACAACATCGTAAAGTTCCTCATTGTCAACATTCACAAAAGCAAGTTACCATTTTTCACAGTTCTTCTAAGCTTCTTGTATTAATTGAGGATTTAACTTATGGCATGGAGCACACCTATTTTTGATTAATTTCAAGATCCATACCATTCAGCAAAAAAACTTACAACAACTGGTTTTTAACTACTCATCACATGTTCATGCCATTCTTAGTTGTTGTTAATTTAAACACAATTCATCAAAAAATATAATAATGAATGACCTTTAAACAAATCTAAACCAGTTTATAAGATTTAATAGTATGTAATAATATGATTTATTTCATAAAATAATATTTATTCGTAATCAATGAATTCTGATGAATTAGAGAAATTACAACTAATATTCAAATGAATTACTACAATTCTATTTATAATTAATAACCCTTAATGATCAGAGTCCTTAATAATACTTAATCCAAGCTTAAAATTTAAATATGATTAATTTACACTCTTAAATATATAGTATATAACCAAATAGGATTCATAATTAATCTATTTGCTCTTTAAACATAAGAATATTGATAGATGAACTGTATATTTGGTTAAATGTATAAATTACATACTCTAAATTTTTACATATTCTTTTAAAGGTAAAAAATAATGAGAATAATAGAGGCAAAAATTTAAAAGAAGTAGTAGGATAATAAGAATAATTAATTAATAAAGAATAATATTACTTGAAAATATCTAATATATAATGTTAACTTTATTTCAAAATTATTTTAGAATATATTACATTTAACTTTATTAATTTTCTTCTAATATTTTGAAAATAAGTATAAAACTGATTATATAATGATTAGCAACTCCCTTTCTAATACATCACATTCCATATAACTTCTATTTAATTTAAAGATTAAATTAATAATATCTTTATAAAAGAGTTGGGATTGCAAATTTTTGATTTTAAAATATATGGTAAAGAAAAACATTTAATTATTTTGTAAGTATTATACATTTAAATACATATTAAATGTAAAAAGATGAGAATTTAGAATTCTATTAAGTAATTCTATTGTATGATTTATAGAATTTTTTATAACTAATAAATAATCATCATTGTTATAGATAATATATTTATAATTAGAATAAATTTAGATATATAACATTTTTTGTTACTTAAAAACACAAAATTCATTAATATAGATATGCTTATTAATTTTCTGGATCTCTACTGATGTATTAATATTTGGATAAGAATTCAATGGATAGTTTGAGTTGTTCATTAGATACTAAGATTGGATAAAAATGTTAGGTAACTTTTTCTAATAATAATTTATGTAATATTCTTTTTTCTAATTTTAAGATTTTCATAATAAAAGCATCTAATTAATACTTAAAATCTTATGATTTATCATTAATAGGTTTAACTAAGATTAGATATAATATATACATTCATTTATAAATCGTTCATTTTCATAAATATTATGTTCCATAACAATCCAATGATTTTCTATTTCTAATTTAATTTATGAATTATTTAAATAATAACTGTCTTCATCAGCCCATAATATTTTTAATTTAACCTTTTATATATAGACAATATATACCATTCTATCTAATTAAAATAGAACTTAATCTTTTTATAATTTAGTTGATTAAATAATTTCATTTAAAGATTTTGGATCTTCATTTTTATCATACAAAAATAATATTGCTGCTTAAACACAATTTATCATAAGAGTTTTATTTACTTCTGCCCAATAAACTTCAACATATGATATGGTATCACTAAATACAACATTATATTGTAAATTATGTGTTTTATAAAATTAATCTTTATGATTTTAAATCTATTCAAAAACATTTCTATCATTATCATAAAGAATTGGCCATTTTTTTTTATTTATTTATATAATTTCTGAAGATGTTCCATCATCAAATGCAAGTATACGTGTATTTAATGCAAGATCAGAAATTTCAGAAATCATTTTATAAAACTTTTTTAATTTTTTATCTCCACAGAAACTTTTCATTTAATCAAGTATTTAGGTTTCATTATCTAAATGTGTTCTAACATGTGATTTTTCAAAGAATATTAAATAACTAAGTAATCTAGAAGCCAAACGATAATAATTAATCTATATTATTTAGAAATACTTACTATTAAATAATATTCATAATCTTTTACAAAAGGTAATAAACATTCTTATACTTTTAAAATTTCATCATAATTTTCTTTTCTTTATTATTGATCATCAGTTTTAGACATTTACATAATTAAATCATGTACATAATCGCATAATTATTATGTTAAATGAATACTCTTTATAATAATTATTAATTACTTATTCTAAATTTATGAAAAATAAATTGAGTTCTGATTTAACTATCATTTCAAGATCATATCTTCCATTATAATTATTACTTTCTCTAAAACACAATATAATAAGATTATTAAATTTATCATATATATCACATAAAATTTTAACTAATGATTTATATTTCTATTTTTATTTCTCTAATTCATGATGTAAGGTTTATTCTTTATATTATTCTTCTATTGCTTTTCTTACAAAAATTTAAAAGTTTTATTTAAAATCATTAAAATATATATCTTTATCTTAAAATTTTGAATACACTCTCAAAATTAAAATAATTTCCTCTCTAGCAATTTCTTTTTCCTCTTATTCTTAACTTTAGAGAAATTCTTTTAATAATCCTAAAAATCCTCTTTCATCTTTTAATACTACTCTCTTATATGAAAGTAATAAAGTCTCATATACAATTCTTTAAATTTTAGTATAATGATCTTTAAATTTATAATATGTTTTTAAGGCAGAAAATAATTACTCATTAAGTTCTAATTCTCTTTCAACTTATATTAAATAATCTTTAACTGAATAAACTTAATGCCATCTCATATATTTTTATTAATATTCACCATCCATAAATTTAAATACCATCTAACAAAAATCATCACAAATATCAATGTTTCTTTGAATTAATACTTCATTCTTTGATAATTCTAATAAAATTTAATTATAAGTTTAAAATTTCATGATAGAATTAAGTCCATCTAATTTCTTATTAAATTTTTCACTTTCTTATTTTTTATGAACAAATTCCTATTCATATTTCTTATAAATTGATTCTAAAAGACTCTCCAATTATTTAAAAATACTCTATTAAATATATTAACTGTTATCTTTAATTATTTTGCATACTGCAATCTTCCAAAATTAAAAGGTTGCTTTATAACTTAAATTTTAGCACTAATTAATAAAAAAGAATTTAATTACCACATGATAACAGGCAAGATTCAAATGTTTTGCAGCTTTTTCATATTCAATAAAAATCGTAAAAAATTAATCTAAATTAAGTTATTCCTTAAATTGTTATGCATAGATTTCCAATAAGCATTTTTACGATTCTATTATTATTAATTTACATATTTATTATGCATTTGGAGTATTGTTTATCTATTTTCTAGTTTAACTAAATAAAATTATAAATATATAAATTTTACGAAGCAAATTTAACAAATATATTGATATCAAAATTTCTAGTTTGTCTGCAATTTATTAATATATCTTTTATTTTTTATTTAAACTCTTCTGGTTAGATTGGCTTTGGATGTTAATCCATAATATCAATAATTAAAAATAAATAATTATAACATAAATTAAATACAAACTTATTTGTTTTTATATATAACATTCTCACTTAATAAATATGGAAAAGCTTACAGAATAATTATTATAATAAATCAATGAATCCCATATAATTGTAAAAGATTCAATTAAATTAATAATTCAAATGGGAAGTGATATTGTGGCAGAAAACTATATTTAAACTAAAATGCCTTATATTGGATATTAATGGTTTTAAGAATAAGTATATTGGTTAACAATAAAACATTATATATCAAATGATGATTTTGATGACTTTATTTTAGAAGATGATGAACCAAATCCAGTGAATATTGATCACTGGAGAAGATGTTAAGGATAAATTTCAGTAGTAAAATCATAAGAACACTCTCCAATTCGAAGAAGTGAAACAAAGAAATTAACTAAAATATCTATGGGATAAACTTAAAGAAATAGTGAAAACTACTAATGTTAAATAATAAAGATGGGAGAAATAGATGATGATATTGAATTTGATCCAAATATTGAAAGCATGAGATAAGCTAAATTTAGATAGATACAAATACAATAGTAAAAGTTATAAAATGAGAAGATAAAAAACTAAGAAGTACAAGAGTAAGCAAGATAACTTAAGAGATTGAATGTTGACTCTAAATGTACAAATACTATTTTTATACTCAGCTAAATATACATATGACTTTGAGGGTAAAGTAATTGTCTAAAAACCACCTGATATTGATAAATATCCAAAGTCTCATTATAAAATATAAGAAAAAAGAAATCATATAGAAATTAGAGATCTCATTCCTAATCATAAACAATAATCTGAATTAATAACTTCAGGTAAAAAATAGAGTGGTTATTTAAATTCTATTAATCAATTTGTAACCAAGACTTATGTACCTTAAATTGATATAATTGTTATGGAAGAGGGAGTATCATTTTATGATGGCAAAAATGAGAAAAAAAAAGAAAGACATTTACCATTAATGGATATCAAAGATAATAATGGATTACATAATACACTTTTAAATTAAAATATACATATGACAAAATTAGAATATCAAACCATAACAAATACCTAATAATAATAATCCAACAACTCTTTTTAAAATAAATCTTTACAATATTCTATTTCATAACCATAAATATAACAAAGTAAAACTAGTAGGCCATTTTAAGATGATCAACCTTAAATTTATAATAATGATAGTTTACTCAGTTTAAGATAACCTAAAACTACAATAAATTAATCAATTACATCTAATATTTTATAAAAATTGAATGGATCCATTTCAATCCTTAGTGAAAATTAATTAGATGGATTAATTATTTAATCAGATGATATAAATATATTAAAAGAACATCCTTTATATGGATAAAAATAAACATTCGAAATTACTAAACCTACATAATCTATTACATTTGAATTACCTTAAATACAACCTAATGCTTTAGCTAATAGTATTAGTAAATTGCCTCGTTCTTTTCATTCAATTGGGGGAACATTCCCTAAATTACTATCAAAATATCCAAGAGAACGTATTTCTAAATAAATCATGAATATTATAAATATTAAATGAAATAATAAATTATTACATACAATTAAAATACTTAATCCTTTCAAATCGATCATTCGATTGTAAATATTGATTCTGAAGATTGCAAGAATAATTTCAAATACTTTTTTGAATAATACTAAAAGTTTTAAGATTAAATTCATAATAAGTATAAATCATTTATAATTAGATTTCCATTTTCAAATTATATTACAGTAGCAAAAATACAAAAAGTTAAGCCAAATAAGTAATTTCTAGACATATAATACTATTACGAAGGATTAGATGGAGAGTAATTAGATATACCTTATATTGATTAAAAATCAAGGATTGATGAGGGATTTAGATGGGCATTTCCTTTAGCATTATCTGAAAAAGAGATGAACAATTTGGATATTCCTATATTAAAAAGTGTGTTATTTAATTTAATAGAAATATTCTATTGGTCTGCTAATTTTGGGTAATTATACTAAATTTTATATTAGATTCTTTATTGATCCCATAGAAGATTGCCTTTATTATTATAAAGAATAAGAATAATTTTTATTATTACCTACCTTCACATTAATTACAAAATATTTATCATAATTTAAAGAAAACAATTTGCATGAAAAATTTTTAGAATTTAGACGCCAACATTATCAAAATGCAGTAAATATATAATTTAATTTAAGACATATTATTTCTTACAATAATTTTATTTACAATTTTCAACTTAATTAAAAGAAACAGATGAAGATTTATATTTCTTTAAACGATATTTTATCAAATAACTTAGTATTGATAATTGGAACTCTCTATTTAAATTTGAAGAGTATTATAAAGGAGCTGATTATCTATATAAAGATGAAATATTTAAAAACAAAATACCTAGAACTAGATTTAAATAAACTATGTTACTATATTAATTAGAAAATAATTAAGAACTTTAAAATCTATTTGAAGAATGTTGTTAAAATGATGCAAAATTAATCACTTAGAATGTATCTAATAACACTATTTTAAATGAACAATTCACTAATTTCATCAAGTTTTTTTAAGGATTACCAAAAGAATTTAAGTCTTAAAGTTATGAGATATATGGATAATTTATGTCTATTATGAATTAATACATAAAATCTAAAAACTTAGATGAAAATAAAATAGATATGGCACCATATTCTAAAGTTACTCTTAATCAACATAAAATAGATATACATACTAGTCAAGTAGAATAAACTTAAACAACATCAATTGCATGGTCTTCTTTAATAAATAAAACTAATAAAATAATAGGAGATGTTTAAAATTAATTTATGCCTTCAGAAAATTTAATTATAAATTATGTAATCATTAAGAATCCATCTAATATAATCATAAAAACACAAATTTCTGAAGTTCAATTTTCTATAGATACAGCAGATGATATCATTTATTTAGCTAATATGCTCATCAAAGAACCAACAGCAATAAATATTCATGTTGATGAAGCCAGAAAATTAACTTTATCAACTTCAATTTAAACGGTATATTATATAAATATTTAAGGCAAGTCCTATGTAAATATTTAGAATTTTTATAAAAATTTTTGATATCCTCTAAATCTATTATCATATGATACTTGAATTTTATCGTTAAAATATATAATTAGGTAGATCTATAAAGGATAAGAAATATTAATTATTTGTTAGTGAAATTTAACATTATGTATTAGATTATGAAATTGATTTTGATGAATAAATGAAAAAGTTTGATCAAAATAATTAAGATCAAATAAAGATATAATGATAAATTATTAATATATTTTATTATTTGATCATAAATCTTAGATCAATTATTAAATTATATCCACAGTCTATTCACCATTTCTCTAATTTGGTATTCCAATCATTGCCCCATGATCACAATCCAATGTAGCAACATGTTATCCCCATTTAGTTTCATTATGAGCAAAAACACCATCAGATCCACTTTCTACTGGATATTCTTTTTCACTTTCGATAATAGTACCACTAGCTTGATAAATTTGTGACATTTAACCAACTTCAGTTTCTGCATTCAAACTAAAATACTATATATTCTAATTTTATTTACCTTAATATTTTCTTTATTTGTGGCTACCAAATTGAAATCCCTTATGTTTTCACTATTAATTTCTTCAAAGTAATTTTATCTAATTCCTAATACTCTACAAATAGGATCAATGACATCATCTTCAATTCTTTTTCTTCTATATAAATCACTTAAAATTGATCCTCTATGTGGTGTGCCAATAGTAATCAAAGATTTTACTCTAATATTATTATTTTAACTTAAAGCATATCTTAAATCCAATCCAGCAATACCATAACCAATTAAATGAAATGGTTCATTAAATTTACTTAAATATTTTGTAAAATATTATGATCTTGTTTCAATATCTCCTCCACACTAATTAAGAATGAGTTATGGTTTCAAATTTTATATAATTACTTAAAATTATCGTAGACCCTAATTTGCAATAACTTAAGGCAATGAATTAGCACAAAATACTATCATTAATTAAAATTATTATTATTTATATAATCAAAAAGAGGAAATCATTAATCTAATTGATCAATACTTCTATCTCACATTTATATTTGAACTCATTTAATTAATCTAATATAGATATTAGTAATAATATATATTTAATAGTTAAATATTATATAATATAAATGATATAATCATTAATATTTAACAATTAAAAAAAAAACATATATAAAAAATATAGTATTCATAAACGTAATTTATTTGCCAATTATTATTATATCTTATTTTATTTTGATTTTTGTTTTTAAGGAGATTAAGAACTTTTTAATTCTTTTCCTCTTATCCAACAATTTAATTCTGATGAATTTGGTCTAGAAACCTTTTAATTTGGTGATTTTGATTCTTTTTTCAATTATATCATAGATTTTTAAGTTTTCATCTTTTATTTCTTCATATTTACTCTCCTTTACCATTTCATATTACGATCATAAAATGATTCATAATGTTATTCTTTAGATGTTAAATTTCCCTTAAAAGTACACTAAGTATTATGCATAATCATACATCCCTTAAAACAGAATTTTATATTGAACTGAATTATTCATCTTATTTTTCATCTAATTGAACATTTTTCTTTTTCTTCATCCATTCATTCAATTTTTACATAAATGTACTAGTACTTGCTTATTTCTCTAAGGATTCTCTTATTGATACTGGAGCTATTGATGTTTAATTTGATGTTTTTTATCTTAATGGATCTAATCTTCTTTTTGCTTCTTCATCTTACATTAATTTTATTTCATTGTCAAGTTATAAAATTTGATTTAAAATTAATTTCTTTTTTTAGATCAAATTTACTTAAGGAGACTTACTTTCTCTAGATTCTATTACTTTATTCTATTCCTTAGGTATATTGATATTATCACATGAATTACGAGTAAACATAGTAGGAGTTTATGTACCAGAATTCTTTACAGGAGTACTCATTTTAGGAGAAGACTCATATTTTGAAATAACAGTTTAAAGCAATATATTATCCTACACTTATTATTTAAAATTTAGCATTTCAAATGAAATATTTCTATTATGTTATGGTTATACTCTATCAGTTTAATGAACTGGTTGATAAGAAGAGGGTTATTAAATGATCTTAGTTTGACTGTTATTTCCAAAGACTGTAAGTTATCTTCCATTCAAGAAAAATTATTTGATTGGAGATGTTGTAGTAATTCTTTTAACTATTTTTGCATTTGAAATAGTTTATAATTACTCTAAAGATTTTAAGGCTTCTATCGCTTGAGGTGATACTTACCTCCATGGTTGTATTAATTAAACAGTATTCATTTCAACGTTAATTAACTTTATTAATAAAATTTTATATATATAAATATTATATATAATTGAATAAAAAACTATGAGAGTAGTAGCCCTTTACAATAGAGTTAATTGTAATAAATTAATTAATAATTATTTAATAATTATTTATTATGAGTTGTTCAAATCAGATATTCCCAAAGAAATAATAATATTATTTAATTATGTTTGATTTTTAATTCATATCCATCATCATTATTTTAGGATTTAGTTTGGCAGCATGGACTGCTGATCTTCTTAAAATAGGCTATGGCAAGCATTTATCTCATTATATGAAGTTGACCTTACCACCAAAAATAGGGTGGATCCTCTATGAATGTCCTAATCTAATTTGGTTTGTGTATTTTCTCTCAGACATAAGGTTTGATATAAATAGATTACCAATTCTATTATTTGTTACACATTACTTCAACAGAGTGATCATTTATCCTTTAAGGTAATCACTAATTTATCTATGAATTAAGACTATCTCCACTTGCAAGACCCATCCCTATTGAAGTTGTAGCAAGTGCCATCTTATTTACAACATGTAATGGCTATATCTAAATATCAACTCATTTAAATCGAGATCTTCAATTCCAATTCAATGACTATTTAAGAATTCTTGTTGGAATCTTAATATTCATTTATGGAATGACATCTAATATCAAATGTGATAATATATTGAGAAGTTTGAAGAAAGAAAACTCAAATGAATACAAGATACCACATGGCAATTTATTTGAGTTAGTATCATCTGGGCATTACTTAGGGGAAATAATTGAATGGTAAGAATAATTAAAAAATAAAAAGGTTTGGGTACTTTTTAGTGAGTGGATAATGGAGTGGATTCCTATTTTTCTTTTCAACTTTATCTATTCTTTCAGCTAGAGCTATTTCAACACATAAATGGTATAAGAACAAATTTGATAATTATCCTAAAAAAAGAAAAGCTATAATCCCTTTTATTTTGTGACATAAATTATTTTTCATATAATTAATAATAATAATAATAATATTTATGTACAAAGAAGGAGTGAATCCATTTGAAATAATGCTGAATAAGAAAGTATAGGCCATTACAACAGATGGACGTGTGTTTTGTGGGTATCATTTATCCTATATATTTAATGGACTCTTATTGGAATAGATTAAGCAATGAATTGTGTATTGTAAAATAGTGAAGAGAGAGTATATTCATTAGAGACAGGAGTTCAGTTTTTAAATGCTGGATTATAAGTGATAAGAGGGGACACAGTGGCAGTTTTAGGAGAGATCAATTTAGAGAAAGAGAAAAGCATTGATTTTGATAAGGTCAAAGCCAATTAATTAGCCCCCATTTTCAGCAATACTCATTGATATAATTGGAATATTAAGTTGAATTAAATATTATTGGGTGAATTTGTATATCTAAATTGGAATTATATTCTTAATTATTATATAATTGGTTATAGATGACAGAGGAGAATATAGAAATCACAACGTTTTCTCAGTTTATGTCCAGTTTCGAAACTTTATTATTTAAAGCATTGCCTACTGTTATTGGAATGGTATTAGATGGAGATTTATGAAAATAGGAATTGAGTATACTTACAACATTAGTGAATATGTATTTCATTATAGGAAGAGATAGTAATAATATATAATTATTGAAGATGTGATTGGAATAGGCTTTGGGACAATATATGTGAATTTATTAGTAAAAGGATTATTGCTTTGTATGAATTCTAGCATTACTTCCATAATGACTAGATAGTTTAAATAGCATCAATATGTGAAGATTGGGATCTCATATTAAAGATCTTTATTATTAAATGGAGTATTTTTGATTGTAATAACTCCTGTGATAGCTGGTTCAACATTTATCCTATCTTAATTCAATATTCCAATGTAGGATATCATTCTAATATTAAAAGAATAGTAGCTGAAAAAGCTATTCAATATGTATGGGAAATGTTACCAGCCTTATATGCATTCACATATTTTGATTGCACAAAAAATTATCTGACTTCCATGGGTATTGATTATCCAGTCTTAGTGATACATACATTTACTACAGTAAATTAATTCATTATCATATAAAGATTTTGCATATATATTTATCTAAATAATTGATAGTATATTTAGACCTTGGCATAAGAGGAGCAGCATGGTGTAAGAATTTTTCAAGTTGTACATCCTCATTGCTTTTATATATTTACATCTTTAAATATTAAAAAAATCATCCTGCTTGGATTGAATGGGACAGAAGAACATTAAAATCAATTTTTTAATTTTCATATGGATTATTGCATTCCTCTTTTAAAAACTATTTGTAAAATGTGTCTTTTGAAATAATGGGAGTTGTTGCATTGTGGTTAACATATGAAGAATTCTCAGTTTGTGTTTGCCTCATTTTTACAGCTTAAGCACTTTACATGTTTTTTTTAGGTGTATCTATGACAGCTGCTTCTAGAATAAGAAGACTTTTTAAAGAACAAGAATATGAAAAGGGAAGAAAACATGTTTGGCATTATTTAGCAACAAGTTTAATGACTGGAATATTGTTAAGTTTGTTATTGATTGTATTTAAGAAATAATGGATTGCTTTATTTTATATGGATAATGAAACATCACTTATCTTATCTAATAATTTAAAATTGTTCTTACCTACTCTTACAATTGGTGGGATGCAAATTATGCTTGCTAATCTATTGGGTGCTTTAGGAGAAGTATCATTTACTATAAATGTTTAATTGTTATGTTAATATGCAATTGGAATAGGTACTGGAATCTATTGGGGATATTATGAAGATTATGGATTGAAGGGATTATGGTTTGGATGGGCATGTGGATTGTCAGTAAGTGCTGGAGTATTATTCTTGAGATTAATAATGTTAGATTGGGAAAAGAGTGCTACTAAAATGTTCATTGAAGTTAGAGAAGAGACAAATCAACTAAAACAATCAATAAATTGATGGAATCTAATCAGAATTATATAGTTTATTAATCATCCAATTCAAGTCTCTTTATTTATCTCATTAAACTAGCTACTTTATCATCTCTTAATTCTCTTTCCTTAGCTTCCCACATCCAAAATTCATCTAATTTTTTCTATGTTTCACTTATATGTTTATTAATATTCTATTGTAATCGTTCTCTTTATTTAATTTTCTCTTTGAATTCAGAAGCATATCTAATTATTATTATTAAAACAATACTTCATCATTTATTCTTCTAAATCTGTTGGACCTTAAGTAGTGATAAATTGATCCTGTAATTTTCTTAAATTCTATTCCACCATATTTTCAAATGGAATATTATATTTAGCTACTTTATTTAAAACATCCACCTTATCCTATTCCAATTTATTAAGACATTTCAGATAATATGGATCATTTGTAGCCAAATTACCAGTGTCACTCATTATTTCAGCTTTTATGTTACTGTATCGTTACTAATTGATTTCTTCATATTCCTTTAACATCTATGCTTTATCTTCTTCAATTTATAACATCTGTTTCGCCAAATCCTTCTATTCTTTTTCTTTCTTCTGAGCCTGAACTTTAGTTTATTAATAATTCTATCTGTTAACATATTCAGTTTTCTTCTTTTATCCTGTCTTCAACTTTTAATTATCTTGATTCAAAATTTCATTTAATGGAATTCCCATCATTTTTACATATTTCTAAAGTTTATCAGCAGACACATACTTCTTTAACTTTTAATAATGATAAGCACTAATTAAATACATTATTTGATTTACAGATGTGCAAAAGATTATGCCCTCTCAATTTCTTTGATTTCAATTCTCCTCAATCTCTTATCATCAGTTTTAGTCTATTTCAATCTAATATCATCCAAAATTTCTATCCACTTATATAATACTTATCTTTCTTCTTAGGTAACATCCTCTTACTCCAATCTTTTCATTATATCCTTTTCTTAAATCCTGGGTTCAGCCTACAAATCATAATCATTAGCTCCATATATGATTTCTCTCATTTCATAAGGACTAATCTTATCCTTATATTTGGCCTTCAAATATGTATGTACAGCATTATAATCATTTGCCTTAAATCTCAACTCTTTATCAGGTTTTGTGGCTCCCAAAATTTCTAACTTAGCATCCATCTCTTTCCAAGCTTCTTTAAGATTCAAACTTTCTTCTAAGATACCCTTATAATGTAATAATTCCTTATAAGTCTCACTATCAACATTATATAGAAACTCCTGTCTGAATCTCTCAGGAACTCCTTATTCTTCTGTAGGAATCATTTCTTCCAACGGAATTTAAATCCTTTAGAACTCAGCCTTGTCTAAATCACCATGTAATTTCACCAATTCTCTTTAAGGAGTAGGTAAAGCTTTCTTCTTTTAACCATCTACAATAACCCGATTAACTTTCTATCTTATTTATGGTTAAGCAGTTGCAGGCTTTCTAATTTATTCTAATTCCTATCTTTCCTTCTGAACAGACTCTTTCACCTTCAACATTCTTTGAAACTGTTATTCCTTATACTCTCCTTCTCTTATAACAGGATGTTGAGCACTAAGTTTATTACTAAGATCAAAAGTATTTCTATTTTCGTCATGTAACATTTTAGTAATAATCTTTTGTGCAGGTATTGCCTATTAAGGAATAGCAACAGGAGAATGAGTTTATTATTTTTGATGACTTTTTAATAACTATTAAGTAGATGATTTTTTGACTTATCTTGTTGGAGTCTCCTTTTCCTTATCACTATCACTATTACTACTCTCATTTTCCATCACTTCCATTCTTTATTGTCTGTTTTATTGCTGTACTTTTCTTTATTGAACTATTTCCTTGCTCTTACTTTCTTCTTTAGTCTTTTTCCTATAATAACTAATAGGTTTTGCTTCTACTTTAGCTACTGACTTTGGTCCTTTCATTTCTACACTCTCTTGACTTGTACTTTATCTTTCTTAAGGACTATCTCCTTCACTCAAAGAACTTTCTGATGATCTATAAATTCTATCTTCATCTCTGCTTAAATTCATTTTAGGTTTTACTTTTGTAGTCAAATACATTCTTCTGATTTCATGATCACTTTCACTTTCTTCAAATGAAGGATGCTTCTTTTTTATTCTTTCAATTTATTTTCTATGTCTCCTCTCTAATTTTTGTTTTTTCTATTCCTCAAATTCCTTCTTCTACTATTTGAATTCTTCAATGCCTATTGTAAATTCTGAATCCTTGTACTATACATCTAATGGAGTTTCCCAAACAGAAAATTTCTTCTAATCTAATTTTTTTACTTTTTTTGCTTTTAAAATTTCATCTGGATCATTAGATGGTTTCTCTTCCAATAATCTTTGAACTCTCTTTATGTATTTCTAAATATATTCATGATGCAATTTAGATTTCTTTGCATGTTTATACTTCTTAGTTTCAGAATTCTCTACTTCCAAAGCCAACTTATAATTATCAACTCCTGTCACTCTCATGATATCCATCTTTGATATTTAAGTACCATTCAAATATTCTAAATTCTTAAATCTTGTTTTTCTTGGAACTGGACACATCTCTAAACAAAACTTTCCCAAAGTATTTTTATGTGAAAACTTAGAAACCGTATTCATTAATTCTTCTGGTTTGAATTCTTCAGGTGCTCTTTATATAGATCTTAAACATTTCTTTTCCTCTTAATATTAGGCTTCAGTCAATCTACAGACTGGAAGTTAATTATATGATGCTGTAAATACTTTAACAGGATTATATTTCACATATCTCTTTGGACATAACAATTACTATATTTAAGTTACTCTAAGCAAATATGTACATACATAATTTCCTTAATAATCTAAAACTGATAAATTTGGTAAGTTCATATCTGCAATATCATCTAATTCTTCAATTAGATTGTTTGAGAGATCCAAAATCGTAAGAGACTGCAACTCTTTTGCAACCAATTTTCCAGGAAATCTTTAAATCTGATTCCCATTTAATACCAAAACTTTAAGATGTGTAAGCAGTTGTAAACATAATACATTTGGCATTTGAGTAGCTTTTTCATTTGACAAATCCAATTCCTCTACTTATATTGGTTCAAAACTAGGATCATGAAAGAGTTTTTTTAGCTTCTCATATTACCCATAATCAAATGACTCATACTTTGCTTTACTTTGAACTTTATTTATTTCCATTAATAAAATCTCTTATTATTTTCAGATTATAAAATTAATATCTAATATTGTAACAATTATGAGAAATCGAATTGATAAGTAATTAATAAAGAAATCTTAAAAATAATTATAGTTTAATTTATATATATATATATATCTTAATAATAATTATATATTATATTTAAAATTTAACGAGATTAAATTCTATTCAAAATATAATTATATTCAATTATAGAAAATCATTTTCTAAATAAAATAGTTTATAAAACAATGTATATATTTTGATATTAAGATTATATAATAAAAAATAATATTATTTTCATAATTCATGAAAAGACAATCTCATATGCTGGATATGCTCTTCTTACATCCATAGAATATAGAACAAATATATTACTATTACCTTCATTAGAAAAACCTGATACACAATCATATCCTGGAGGTGCTCTTTTAATATTTTTATCTTGTTGGCATATCTTAACTTTACCAGTTGTTACCAAACAACATAAAAATACACACTTACCATTCCCTTAATTATTTGCTTATTATAATTTATAAGAATAATGTCGAGAATAGCTAGCATTTTCTGCAAAATAGATACCAGCACCCCAAAAACCAACCTAATATTATTATAATTTAAATAGTTACATCACAATATGATTAATCAAAAGCTTCCTTTAAACCAGAATAGATAACTTAAGGATTTTAGTCTCTTACTCCATGCCATAAATACCTTTCTGTTTCTATTGGTTTTAAGGCAATCCCTTATTATTAATATATTTGGATCAATTTATTTTTTTCATTTATGTAATTATCCCATAATGATTAATTTTAAATTCTAAAAATCTCTTATATACTTCCATTATCTGTTTTCTTAAACAAGTTTGATATTTTTTTGTATTCATCAGAATTATTAGATAAAGAAACTTTTAAATAATTTTGATTTTATGGAATCCATTCTTTTGGATAATATTTTCCTCTATTTATTAATGAATCAATATTTTGAACAATTTTTTTGTGCTTTTTTATAAAATACTTTATAATAATTTTATTTCCTTATATGAATTTTCCTTCAGTTGATAATGCTGCCTATTAAATATAATTTTGGATATTTTCAATTTCTGCATCTGGTAAATTAGGAATAACAATTTCTAATTTTTTGATCTCATTTTCTAATTATTATTTAATTAATTTTATAATAGATTCATTTATATCAACACTAAAAGATTATATTGTTAATTGATCATAATTATTTTTTTATTAAACCAATTTAGAAATTCCTAATTAAGTTTCATTCAAAATATAATTTTTATTAACTAAATAATTAATTTATTAATTTTAAGAATTCTTTTTTTTTTAATATAATTATTTTTATATTTTTCTTTTATATTAAGTTTCTAAATTCATTTAATACATTTATCCTTCCTTAAATATTACATAATGTTATTTCTTAAATATAGTGAACTAACTAATATCATTCAATTCTTAAATCATTAAGTATTCATTTAATTAATCATCAACTTACTCTTAATCAAAAAAAAACTTTCTTGAATTTACAATCATTTTTGAAGATAAAGTTTTTATTGTTTTTAAAGAAATATCAGTAATAGTTTTATTCTTGAAATTAATAAGATGAGTTCCAGGTTATTTAGAATATGGAAATTTCAATAATACATTTTATTCTTGACCTGTCAATTAAAATTGTTCATATGTTTCATCAATTTGTTTATTAATTTCTTCATCATCATAATCTTTAAAGTCTTCAGAATCTTACCATTACCATTAATATTTTATTTCTCTCTCTCTAATAGGTGGTTTTAATATCAATTTAAGTATTTTACTTAATGAATCAATTTTTACATCAGTTAATTCTGCAATGTAAATAGTTTTAATTGAATTATTTTCAGAATATAATTCATTTATTGTAGTATTCAATACTACTCTTGCAGCTTAATTAAAACTGTAACCACATGCTCCTCCTCCAAAAATAGGAATAGTTATAGTTTCTATATCTAAATTTTTTATTTCTTTAAATAATGCTTTAATGTTCTCTTGAATTTTTTTCAAATCTTCATCTGTTTCATCACCTTAAGAATAAATAGGAGTAGCTACATTAAGTATATATTTAATTTATCTTTAGGTTGGCATTTTATATGTAGCCACAACTCCTAATTTTAATTCCTAATATTTTTTGATATATTCCAAACAAAATGATTAATATTAAATCCCTCCCATTTGAAATATACTTTATGCAACACCACTTAATTATAAATGATCACCAAAAGACATTTTGTTATTGCATGAATTCACTATTGCATCACATTTAATTGTAGAAATATCAGCATAAATTATTTATATACTTTTATTTTTATATTCCAATGTACATGCTACTGATTTTTAAGTTAAAGGTTATGTTTGAATTTGAGAAGACATAGATATAAGAATTTAATTATTCTTTTTTAACTATTCTAAAAATGGTTCTAAATTTTTTTAAATGTATTTGATTTCTTTATCTGTAAAATCACAAATTTTATTTTTAATTTAACTTTTTAGACATTAAATTTACATAATTATTTTATCTTTTTCTTGTTTAATTAATTTTTCAGATGCTTAAATCATAATCTTATTTTCTTAAGGAAAACTAATTATTACATTATCATCACTAATATTCTTATATGTAGACTTTTATTGAAATTATTTAATTGAATTAAATATTAGTTAATTATCACAATCAATAGTTTCTGAAGTTTAATCTTATTTTTTTGATTATTCAAATTAAAACAAAAAATTACTTATATCTTCTAAACTCTCTTTTTTTCCTACAATCTATGTCTCTGATTATTTATTATCTGTTGATACTACAACTTGAAATACATCTTAAAATTAAATCTCTTTCATTTCAATATAATTTAAAAACTCTTTAAAGTCAATTTTTATTAATTAAATTTCTAAAGTTTCAAAAAAAATATTAATCTTTTAAATAATAATATTTTACTCAAATTAAATTTGATTATAATAAACTTCAACTACCAATTATTTTTTCTAATTAACCTCAATCATTTGAATTAAACATTATCCAAATTATGAAGCAATTTCAGTTAAAGTTTAATTAAATAATCTTTAAAATTAATATTCCTTACTCTTTAATACTAGAGCTACCTCTAGATCACATTAACAATTTAAGGTTATACATTTAAATTGTTCTAAATATTAATTAATTTTCTGCTATTTTTCAAAAATATCATCTTATTTTCCATTTAATTCAATACTCAATTTCAAATTATCCTACTTTGTTATACATTCTTTAGAATTATTTTGATTTTCAAATAATTACCCTAAAAATTAATTCCATAATTTAATTTTTGATTATTCTGTCACCTTTATAATAATATTAGGATGATAAATTTCATTCAATTTATTTTTTACTGCTTACAGTCTCTACATAATAATATAATCTGGTTAATCACCTTCTATCCATAATTACAATTCAGCTTATACTAAATACTTTCCTTTATTTTAAACATTAATTACTGGATTTGTAACTACAATTTCAATTAATTCTACTTATTCTTTTAATTATCTTATGCTTTGATCAATCTCATCAATATCCTTTGGCATCGAAATATCAATATCAAAAGTCTCTTTGACATTCTTCATATTTTAAGTATTATTAAGAAAATCCTCAAGTTTGTTTTGTAAATCTTTAATTTTGATATTTTAATCATACAAAATACCAATTACTATTATTTAATTAGCTTATTTTTTTATTAGCATTGCCTGATTTTTTAATATTGATTGAACTTCAAAAGCTGCTAAATTAAGCTAAGAAGCAGATATAATAATTGGTTAATCTAAATTAAGTACTTTACAAAAAGATTCGTGGATTCTTGGCCTTTTTAATAATTTAACTTTTGCATTTGCTTCAAATTCTGATTTAAGTTATACAGTCAAAATAACATAACTGTCCCATGCTCGTTTAAAGTATGTATAAAATCTAATAGCAGAATCTAACATCTAATTTTATGTCTCTATTTTATATTGATATTTATTGTAATTAATCATAATTTTTATTTATTGTTTTTCAGCTTCTCTATAAAAATTCTCTATTATTTCACTATGTAAAATTGTCATTTTATCTAATTGTGAAATATTATTATCCTATTGTTCATTAATTTAATAAATTAGATTTTTTTTTAAGTGTTATTCTTAATCTATTTATACATTTTTAATATTTAAGTTTAAATTTTTTAGATTATTTTAAATTTCTCTTAAATAATTAATAATGTCCCCATCAATATTTGTAATTTTTATTTTAATATCTGCATGCTAAAAAAAATAATCTATTAATTAATGATAAGAGTTTAAGTGTTATTAACCTTGTTTATTCTTTGTTAGATGAGTAATAATCTATATGGGTAAATTAGGATTTACAAAATTTTATTCATTATTTATATTAAATGAATTATTTAATGAAATTTCATTGAAATCTAATGAATTATTTTATGAAATTTCTTTTAAATCAAATGATTTATTTTATTATAGATTTTTGTTACTATAAATTTGAGTATTTTATTAAAATATCTTTAAAGATTGCTATTATGAAAAATCTTGACTAGACATTCTTTATTATTAATATTACTACGACTATTAAAATTATTACTATTATAATTATTACTATTAAAATTATTACTATTGAAATTATTAAAATTTCTCCTAAAATTATGGGTGAAAACATTATTATTACTAGTATTAAGTAATATTATTTGATTATTTATAAAAATTGTTTTAAAAATCCATCTGATTATACTGTTATTCAGAATATTAATAATATTGAGGTTACTAAAATTATTGTTGCTAATTCATTGAATAATTATTTCTTACTTCTTAAGGTTATTATTAAATCTCATACTTTTAATTATATTCCTATTTTTCATCTATGTAACTCTGACTAATAATCTTGATTTAATTTGTTCTATTAATGTTCTATTTTTAAGTAGAATCATTATTTTATTACATTTCATAATATTTCTGACTTTATGATTAATCATTCTACATATTTTCTCAAATTTTAATTTTTATTAATCTCTATGAAATCAAATTCAACATTTTATAAAAATAGTTAAATTAAACCCCCTCAGGTCTATTTTATGTACATATTTTAAATATTAAGAAATTGTAGTAAATAATGATTTACAGGATATATATCATCCTTATCAAATGGAACTAACAACTTAAGTGCAAATTCATCTAAATTGAATACTTAATCTATTGAAAATATAACTCATCTTGAATTTTTATCTATCAAGAATGATAAATCAAAGAAAAAAATAATTAACTTTAAGAATTATTATACTAAATTAATATTATTACTAAGAAACAATAATTTATAATGTTAGATATTCACTTTGGAGATGAGATTCTTCCAATTGCTTAAATGTAGTCAAAATTGATCATCATATTAGAGTGGCTTCCAGTTAGCCATATGTCAATAAGTAAATTAATGATATGAGACTGAGTGCAAATTCAAATAGGTCAGCAATGACATTTAAATTACATTCCAATAGGAGATTAAGAATCAACTCTTAAGAACAAATCTGGCCTCTTCCTTAATCCTCTAATTCATATACATTTTAAAGATAAAATTCTTAACGATCAAAATAGAGTGTAGGTCCTGGTTCCTACGAGATATAATCTCCAGCTCATTTACAATAAAATCGACCTTCCATTAGTTTTACTAAAAGTAATAGAAGATAATTTGAAAAACTCTAAAAACCAGGACCTGGATAATACAATATTATATAAAAAAAGTAATCAAAAACATTTGTTTTCAATTCAAGACATATTATTGAATATTAATAGTAATCTCCAGGTCCTGGTGCATATGATTTAAATATAAAATCTTGTCGAAGTATCTCTATTGGCACTGCAAGATATCAATCGTAAACTGATTCAAAATTTTAAACGCCTGGACCTGGAGCTTATAAAATTAATTAGAAAGTCAATAAAAAAAAGATAGATAGAATTGAAAGACTTCTAAAACCTAAAATTATGGTAAGATCTTATTACAATAGAAAAGAAGATAAATATATTAAAGAATTAATGAAATAAAAAGAAACTTAAGAATAATAAGAAAACAAAATAAGACCAAAATCAGCAGTTTAAATTAAATAGACAGCAAGAAGAAAGAAAATGGAAAAAATTAGAAGAAGCTTTCACGAAAAATGTAATTTTCCAGGTCCTGGAAGCTATGAGATTAAAGATTTTATTTAAATTGATCAAGCTGACAAAAAAAATTAACACATATAAAAATCAAATTCGGAGAAAAAATTAAAGTCTGACAACATAATAGGACCTGGTAGTTATGAAATTAAAGATTTTCTTTATTAATCTGAATATATTAAAAAAAGTAAAATTAATACAAGCTTTGGTCAATCCAAAAGGTTTTAAGTTGAAAAAATTTCTGTTTTGGGACCTGGAAGTTATGAATTAGTTGATGAATAACTATGAATCTAAAAATATTTAAAACTTTCAAATAAATATTATTTTATATTCTCAATATAATAAATTTATCTAAGTTTATAATATTTATTAATTTTATATTTTGAATCATTAGACTACAAAACATTGTTTTTTGGATTTTGAAAATCTCAAAATTTGAATTCTTCAAAGAAGATAGTAAGAATTATCAATATAATTTCAACTTAATGAGCAATATCTTGATATAAAATTAAGCAATTTTGTAAAATTAAACAGTTAGCTTTTAAAGATTGAATTTTTGAGTAATATTACTATAATTAAGAAATTAATATACAATTTAGAAGTCTAAATTGTATATTAATTTCTTAATTTGACAAATTTTTGAATTGAAATATATAAGGTTATAAAGTAGGGTGATATATATGATTTAAAAATTATTATTCTTCTTTAGGTAGCATTAAATAGGATTATGCACTTCAATAATATAATTAAAAGAAAAGATTATTTAAATAATTGATCTGCATTTTTATAATTTCTAATACAAGATTTTCATGATGTATAATGAATAAAAAGATTTTATTAATGTTATTCTCTAACTTATAATCAAATCTTATTAAATAGAGAGATCTATTTATCTTAGATTTGAGATTATTATGGATTTGTAATAGTTTAATATTGTAAATTATCATTCTTAACTAATTAGATATTATTTTTTAATAAATATTAAATATTTTTAATATGTTGTAATAGAAGTTGAGAAATCTAATAAACTTGAAAAATAGTCTAAAATGAGTTACTCATAGTATTTTATATGAATATAAATCAATTTAATGTACTTTCCATCGATGGATTTCAATAAATCATTTCTTTAAATTTAGCATTCAAGTTTTTTGATTTTTTGGGTGATTTATTTATTTGCTATGCGTGGTCTAAAGTTTAAGATTATGGATCATGAGTAATTTAACCTTTGGATGTAAGAAGGAACTTACCATAATATATATATTTTACATTTTCTTATAGATTTGTGGTCTGTTAAATAGGATTTAAAGATGGTTATCTTTCTAAATCTAAGAATAAATCATCCATTCTATCCTAATCTCCTAAAATGTTACAGACAAGAGGAGTAAGTTGTAATTATTAAATATTTGGTTGTGATGTTGTTTCAATTTAATCATCATCACCTTTATTTTTATCTATATTTTGTGTTCTAACTTAACAAGTTCCCATATTGAATTACTTTTGAAATTTTATTATTAGGCATAAATGTTATTGTAATCCATATAAATCTTTGCCAATTTAATACTGATTTAACTTCAATAAACAAATCATAAATAACACTTAGAATCATTCAATTACGGATTAATTAAACATGTATTAATAATATATTACTTTACTCAATATAATCAATAATATTGAGTTTTAAAAACAATTAAAAATATTAATGATGAATATCTTATAAAAAATCATCAAAATTTGGCTTTTCTTATTTAAAAATTTTTAGATCCTTCATCCCATATCACCAAATATTCACCATTAGGTGATAATGAACCATAATTACAATAATGGCCCACTTCTATCACTTAAGAAATCAAAAAAGTATTGTTTTATTCTTTTTTTAAAATATATACATATCTTCCATGTTTATTTATTACTACTTATTTATATTAATTATAAATAGATGGAAAAAAATTTTGATATCCATTACTTGATTAATTTAATTATATATTTTAATTACTCTAAATAAATTAATTTGAGTTGCTTTCCCATTAAAATATAATTGCTTTATTAATATTTCTTGGTTACCATAATAATAAGTCATCTTCAACAAAACATATTCTATATCCATAGTCATCATTTCTAATTACTTATTTCTATTTCCATTCTTTAAATTCATCAATTTCCCAAATTATTATCATCTTATCTTCTCCACAAGATACAAACTACTCTTAAGACTTGCTGAAACTTATACAACGAACATAGGCTTAATGATTGGTTAATACTTAAACTTATATCCATTTTAATTATTCATTTTTTCTCCATATTCTTATTGATTTATCACAACTGCATGATATTATTTAATTACATTTATTATCCAATAATAAACAATCTATTTATCTTTTATGTCCTAATAATATTTATGAACAAACCCATGCATTATCAATAATTTACCAATATCTAATTGATTTATCTGTACTTCCAGATATAAATTCATTTTTAGTAAAACTGAAAAACAAAGAAATGACTAAATTTGAATGACCTTCTAATTACTATTTTTTGGATATTTTTCCATTTTTGAGTTCCCAAACTGTTATGTCATTTTAACAACCACTAATCATTATTTGATTATCATAATTAAATTATAAAGCATGACAACTCTATTCTTAAGGAAATCTATCAATTAATTCATAATTATTTTCATTTTAAAATTCCATTTAGTGTTCTTCTATTATTTATTTTTCATTTTCCTTCATTTTAGATTTCACCTAAGCAGAAGCACTTCTAGTCTAACGATTTTCATTCATAATATTTAATGTTTACATAGTTTAATTATTAAATTCTTTTTAATTTTCATTGCTATTTTTTTACCAATCTAGAGATTCTTAAGATCTCTATGTAAAAAATTCCATTTAATTACTATTTGAATATTCTCGATTTTCAGTAATTTAATAATGTAAATTATTAATATTATTTTATTAATCTGATTAACTTGTAGCTTTACTTATTTCTTGAGAATTACATAATGTAGATCTTAGATTATCATATAAATTTTATTAATAATGTTATAATTGCTAAATCTACTTTTTCAATTAATGTAGAACAGAATCTTAGATTTCTTAATATTCTTAAGAAATTATTATTTATTACATTTCTTCTGTTTTACTTAAAATTTCAGCTCTTTCTAATAATTCAGTCTGATTTAGATTTTAGAAATCCTACTTAATTAAATTAAGGTATTAATTATTTTTTTATTTGATCATCAATAGATTCTATTCGAAATTAATCCTTAGATCTTTGATCTATTCTATAATTTATTATTCAATTTTAATAATCTATTCTTAGACTTGTTCATATTGTTATTCTTTATTTAATATTTATTATTAGAAATAATTAATTTTTTTAGCTTCAAATTATTACCATATATCCTATGCTTTATTTAATGATACATAATTAGATGGCATACATTCCACACAACATAATCGCTAATGCTTTTCTGTTTCTGGATTCAAATCAAATAATATAATTTCTTTGCTGTGTATTTTACAATTAAAATCTAATTTAGGAGTTCTCTCATTTAATTAATGAGAAGAAATCGATTAATAAAATTGTTAAATTTAATTTTGTGTCTTTATATTCTAATCTTTTATTAAATATTATTTTTTTAGATCTTCCAATATTAAAAAGCAGTATTATACTTCTGAAATTTTATTGAATCTCTTTAATTCTTGATATAGTGATTAGATCCAACTAAATTAATCTTCATTTCCTTCGTATTAACAGTAACTGAATTTACTATCAACTATTAATTGAATATAATCAGTCAAAGTCTTCTCATTATCTTCATTAATATTATGCTCACTTGTACATTTTTGATTCTCCATTTATAATTGGTTTTGAATCAATCTAATTCCTTTATCCAATTAAACATTTAAATCTTTTTTCAACTAATTCAAAGTATCCATTATTATACCAAGAGATGTCTTAATTAATAAATGCTTTTCCATTTCTAACTATTTAATTATTGTAATTTTAGTTTCATAGAATCTTTAGATTTCATTTATAGGCACAACAGATTATTGTGCATTTCCTGTTAAACAATACACACACATAAGAATATCATCTAGTTACTTATTGGCAGACAGTTTAATAGCAATTACTTCACTGTTGTGAATTCGACATATATTCTAAAAAATATTAGACGACATTAACACTAATAATTTATGAAAAGTAATTAACAAATTAATAAAAATATTATTATATTATAATTCATATATAAACTTATTTATACATAACATAAAAATATTTACTAATACAACTTTATATTTCTATAAATAATGAAGTTTTAGTTTAAAATGTTCATAATTTATTATTGATCATTTTATTTATTCTCAATTTTATTATAAATTTAATCCAATATTGTAATGACCTGGTTTAATCAACAATATCAATGAGTCTTTTTATTCCTCCTCATACACTTTCAATTCATATCCATTATTCTAAAAAAATACTAATTATATTTTTCTTAAATTATATGAAAATATATATATACATTTTTAAAGTCTTCGCAAGGGCAGATATTACTACTTCATTATTATTACACTCAGTTTCCCAAATTAACAAATTCTCTCTATCAAGAATTAACTCTGCCAAATTATTATCATCAATAGATTAATTAGCTAGATTCCTAAAAAATATTGTGGATAATCCATATAAACAACAATCCATATCCTCTTAATTTTCATAATTTTAGAACTATTTGATAAATTCTTATTCTCTTGTTTACTTATCTTTGATATCTCTCAACTTTTATAATCTTATGAAAAATTCTTAGCGTAAATTACTCTAAATATTTTCATCTTCTATATTAAAATCGTTTGAAAATATTTTCATATTAATTCGATCATATTTCAACAGAAAATCTTTAAATTAATTGTCATTATATGTCATTAAAAGTAAATGCAGATATTAAAATCCAAAAGCAGTATAAAAACAATTACCATCTCCTCTTACTTCTCTAAAACTATTGCATATTTTTGAAAGATCAGCTGAGTTTTAAAAAGATAAATTATAATTTCTTTTTAATTATTATTTATCTTGAACTTCTCTAACAAATTATTTATACTATTCTTATACATCCCTTTTTCTCCATGTTTTATCATAAAGTAAATTTATCAAAAGATTACATTCTTTATTTGTCCAATATGAATTTTTCTTTTACTTTTAACAACAGCAGCCCATATACAAATTTCAAATTATTTATTTAACTAATTCTATTAATTCTAAACAATAAATAATATCATTATTTATCAATAAAGAAAAATAATGATTTATTATGAAAAATAACTTAGTGATAAATTTTATATGTTCATTGTCTTTTAGATAAACATCCAAAGGCAAATTTTAGTCTATCAAAAAAATCCATTTCTTGTGATGATCTCTAAGGAATAGTTCTATTCTGTCTTTCACTTATTCTACTCTTTCTTGGTTTGTATCTATATTATATTATGTTTCTATATACTATTCTTAAGTTTAATTATTGTAATTAACAGAATATGGATCGTAGTCATATTTCTTAAATTGTTTTAATTTTTAATCATAAGTGTTTTCTTAATTAGATGATTTTGATCTCTTTAAATCTTCTAATTAATCTTCATCATATTATTCTTCAACTGGTTCTTATTGTTATTAGATTTACTTATATTTTGGGTTAGATTTAGCAGGTATCTTATTCCTACTTCTATCTCTTGAAGTGTTCATTCTCATTGATCTATCTTGTCTAAAGCTTTCTTCTACATTTTCAACTGTTTCAGGCTTTAAATTTTATTTTGCTTTATTTTCTCCAAAACTAAATTTATTTGTAGGTTAAGTGGATACAGAAATTTACTATTAAGATTAAGATGAATATCCATTATTAATGCTTGAATTAACATTTTACTTTGGTTTTTACTTTTTTTCTCTCTCTGGTTACCCCATCAATTAATTGAGTAATTTTATTTAAGGATCCTCACTTAGATCCCATTCATCCAATTAATCATCTAACATATTATTTATATGAGTTGGCCTTTCCTCCATTTTAGTAACTCTTGGAGTAAATCTTGTTTATCTAGCATTAGGTGATACAGATTTATTATTTTATTAAGTCTAAACTTAAATTTATTGCATATTTTCATATTATTCAATTAATGGAGCTTGTTTCTATTATTATTCAATTACACTTATATCCCAATCAAGATTGCTATTATCATCAGGTTTCATTGTCTTTGTAATTGGTGGTAATTCCAATTAAAGATTTTAAACTAACATATTATGTAGTTTCTATTCTAATTCAAATTCTTCTTAATTCATATCATTCTTCTATTTTTATGGGATGTATGAATTATTATTATTAGCAACAAAAAGGTCATCATCAGATATTTATCTTCTTTATTACTTACTTTCAGTCATTTATTTACTAGCATAACTACTAGTACTTTGATTTATTAAATGCTATTAATACTCTTACCTTGCTTTTTGTTCAAGTTCTTTTAATTTCCTAGCTTATCTATCTTCCTCTGTTTCTTAACTTCTAACATTTCTAGAATTAGATCTATTTAATTATTTTTTTTATTCCTCATATTCTCGTAATTTTCTATCCTATTCTTATTATTTCTATAATCGAAGTTATTCCTCATATTGCTATTTTTATCTCTCTTATTATTTTAACCTTTCTTATTATTACTCTTCATATAATCTCCTTTTATCTTATTCTTCCTTCTCTTTTCTCAATCTTTCTCTCTATTCTTATTCCCATTTTTCTTATTCTCTCTTTCCTTATTCTTCCCTTCTTCTTTATTCCTCCTATTCTCTAATTTTACGTTCTCTGTCTTCCTATTCTCTTCTCAATTATTCCCTTCTTAATTTTTCTTATTCTTCCTTTTCCCTTCTTATTTACTCTAAACCTTAATCCCTTCTTTATTTTTCTAACTCTTGCTCTCTTTACTTCTATAATATTTCTTCTTATTCTCTTTATTTTCTTAATTTTTCCAATTCTCTTAAACGTTTCTATTCTTCCTCAAATTCTTTAATTTTTCTTTAATTTTCTAATTCTTATTCTCTTTATTTCCTTGTTCTTTCTAGTTCTTCCTGTTTTTACCTTTCTTCTCTTTATCTTTATTCATCTAATAGTCTTTATTCCTCTCTTTTTTATAAATCTGCTAATTATTATTTTCTAAATTCTTCTTCTTTTCTTTTTCTTTCTTATTCTTATTACATATATTTTGTAAATTCATCTGATTATTAGGATTGCTAGTTAGCAATATCTTGACTTTTAAACATTCCTGATTAGTTGTTTGATTGTTAAGTATATTTATTAATAATCATTTGAGATTAAGCCATTTTATCACTAAAGATAGGTTTTCTGCTATTTGGACTTACATCATTTTTATGTGGTGAGATTCCTTAATAATTAGAATTCATCATAGATTAATTTGGTGATTGATCTCTGATCTAAGATTTTTACATATCTTAACTTTGTTACATTTAATAATTTATTCTATTAGATTATTCCATTTATTTAGATTTCTCTATAGAATTTATGCCTAGTAATTCATTTTTTTATCTTTATTATTCTGGTGTTAATCTAGTAGGAGATTTAGAATTTGATTCATATTAAGGTAATTAAATATTATTATTATTATGTGTTGATTAAAAAAGTTAATCAAATGATGGTTTTTTATTTGGAGTAGTAGATTATTATTATTATTAATATTATTATTATTAATATTATTATTATTATTAATAAGTTGAATTATTTAATGATGGTGAAGATGATGGCAATTTTTAAGAATAAAAATTTGAATTATCCTATTTTTATTATAATGTTTATTAGGTTTATGTAATTTTCTAAGATTAATAATTATTAGATGTTTGTGTAAGATTAATAAAATCAATAGAAATATCTTAGATAGATTAAACAGTTTCATTTACTCCTTTCTCATATACAAATTCAGGTATATTTATTTATAATGTTCTTGCATTAGCTTTAACCCATTTTTGATTGAAAATCTCTTCCATAGACAATCTATCTTTAGGATTAACTTTTAATAATGATTAAATTAAATCTTTAGCATCATTTGAAATTTTATCATTAAAAGGTATTTTAGTATTAGCTGCATTCAATATAGCTTATATAACAACTTCCTGTGATGATCTATTTTTATTATATGGTGCATGACCATGTAACATTTCAAATAATAGAACTCCCATAGCCCATATATCTACTCTATGATCATGATTCTAACTGTTTAGCATTTCTGGACACATGTAATCCAATGTTCCACAAAATGTTTTCCTTTCTGGTTGTAGTTCTGCTGACCATCCAAAATCACAAATTTTAATATTACCTTATGCATCCAATAAAATATTTTCTGGTTTCAAGTCTCTATGTATTATACCCTTTTTATGCAAATAATCTATAGCTAATGCAGTCTGTAAGAAATAAACGAATGCTTCTTATTCTTCCAGAGTTTTACGCTTTCTTAAATAAACAAACAAGTTTCCCATTGGCACGTATTCTAACACAAGATAAACATTTGTATCATCTTCAAGGGAGTGATACAATTTTACAATATGTGGATGATCTAATTTCCTATGCAACTTTATCTCTCTCTTAATATTTTCAGCTTATGCATTTTCTTTAAGTATTTTTTTGGGAATCTAGGTTTATAAATTCTCATTTAAATACCGTTTTGATTGCTACCTTTGTATCAGTCAACTTATCAATTGCTAAACGTACTCTTCCAAATGCTCCTTTTCCTAGTTCTTCTTAAGCTTTTCCATTATCCTTTTTCTCTACAAATTCGAATTCATTTAATGCTCTCTTCTTTCTCATTTATTATTAATAATTAAAATGTAATAAAACAACTTCCAGGCAAAATTTAAGGCAGCTCTTGCTATTTCTAAATTGGATAAAAAAAATAGAGCCTAAAACAAGGGATAAACACAAAATTAATTACATTAGACTATTGTAGAACATAATGGACTTAAGTCCACATATTTTATGGGCCATAATGAAATTCCTGAGATTGATGAAAATGCCATAGTAGTTGCAGAATTAGATATCTCAATTGTCACAAAAAAAGGGGAACAATACAAAACTCCAAAATTAGAAGGAATGCTTTTGAAAAAGAGTCCACATTACTTATAAGGATGGTAATAGAGATGGGCAGTTTGTCAAGATAATCGCTTGGTTTATTACTTGCCTGAAAATAGAGGTTCTCCTTTCGGAGTTCTTGATTTTAATATAATGTCGTATTCCCTATAAGATACAAAAGATCAAAATGGCAATATTATAGAATTTGTGTATCACTTATCTCACTATTTCTAGATTGATTCCAAGTGGATCTACAAAGAACTTTATTTTTAAAGCTGGCACTTCTTAAGAAACAATGAAATGGTTTCATGTTGTTAGGGAAAACAAGGACACTTCTGAAGGGGCAAAAAAGATACTCAATAACTTGGTTAAATATCCTAGATTTTGGAGAGTATAACATATTGTAAAATTTAGACTGATAGAATATCATGCGAATAATTTTTGAAAACAGGAGATACTGGTGACATTCTTCTATTTAGAGGAAATGGAGCTAATTGTCTTATTTAGAGAGGATTAACTGGGTCTGATTATGATCATGCTGCTGTTTTGTTAAGATTTCCATCAGGCTCATTGTACATATTAGAAGCCACTGGTTGTTATGGAGTTGGATTATGTTCTTGGAGTATTTAAAATATTAATCTCTATAGAGGATATGATTGATGAGAAATGGTTTGAGTTGTATGAAAAGATTATGATAAGAAAATTAGAAATTGAAAGAGATCATACATTTTTAAAAACTGTTTAAGAATTTGTTAATGAGAATATGGGTAAAAAATACTCACTTACTCCAATGAAATTGCTTAAATAAAAATCTACAGTTTAAGATATTAATAAATAGGTGAATAAGGTAAAAATTAATATTTATATATTATTTTAAAGGAAGAAAGAACCTTTTTTTGTTCTGAATTGGTAGCAGCACTTTACAAACAGTTAGGAATATTTGATTAATAAAAATCTGCTGCATAATATTGGCCAGGAAGTTTATGCTCAGAAAATAAACAACTTGTTGTATTAAAGGGAATCTTGCATCCAGAATAATTGATTGATTTTAGTAGTTTCTGATATGGATTCATTTAATATAAAATTTTATTTTATAAATCACTTAAAAAAGTAAAACAGTTATTATTTTGACTTTCATTCTAAGCTATTTTTCTTGAATTGAGAAAGACAATATATTTGTAATATGATTAAAATTATGTTTTACTATAGAGTAATTCATTCACATTAACTATTCATAAGTTAATCTATTTATTTTATTAAGCCGCACTCATATCTCTAAGCTACAGATATTGGAATATCCTATATTTTCTGCTTTTTATATAAAAATATTAAAATTATAATTTAATTTGTTCAAATTGATAAGATAAGAAAAGATACCATATCTATTTAATGTAAACTAATTAAATTTTCAATTGAAGATTTTTATTTTAAGTAAGCGTTTATTAAATGATATAATGTTCAACTGAATGAAAAATTGATTATTGCTAAGGCAAAAGGAATATTTTAACAAGAAATATAAGCCTTCATTCTAATCTTTGTAAATATTGCTTAAAACTATGATATTGGTATTTTTTTCAAATGTCTTAAATATTGAGGGATATTTCATAAGAAGCGAGGAAAAATTAATTAAATTTAGCCTTTTTTTTGCAACTTAAAAAAGTTCAAAATATATATTTAATACACTTGTGAATTTTCATTTGCAGGGCTCTAATAGATGGAGCAATTGGGGAATTTATTATTTTTTGCTTCCAATTCAAAATGGAAGTCGTAAAAACAAGTTAATATTTTATTAATGATTCATAGAGTAAATCAAAGATAAAAACCTTAAAAAATTAGTCAAATCAGAGTGAGCTTCTCAAGAGATAGTCAATTACTATTCTCTAGTATTTTTATACAATGTTTATAGTTTAGATATTGCATGAATTAAAGTACAAATTGATTAAATACCTTAAAGTGCATTAGTATTTAATGTTTTGATTCAATAAAAATTAAAGTTAATGGAAGTTTTATAATATTTGGCCTCATTTAGTAGAGGTAAAATAGTCAGCTTTTGTGGATCATTATGATCATGAATTCAGCTGTAATTGTGATCTTTAAGTATATGATGAAGTTATGAAATGTATTAAAATTGAATATACTACAATCTACTCTGGTATTTATGATAATGGTGTAATAAGATATATTAAGGAAAATATGATGAATGGAATCATAAGTAATTTTCATTTGACACTAATGATCTATCAATATATTTAAAAAGTTATTACTTATAACTAGTGCTTTTTGTATAATAAAAGTATTCTCAATCCAAGATGCAACTCTATAAACTATCTAAACTTTATAAGGATATTATATATTTAGGATGATTTTTATAATACGGGTTATATTTTTCTTTGGGATCTTCAAAAAACTAAATTATTATATTTAAAAAAGATTATTTTGATGAATTTAGATAATCATATTTTACTCTTGATTAGATTTTTGTAATAATGTTTATTTTATGAAAGGATGTCTATGAATTACTAGTATTGAATCCTAAGAATTATCTTTTAACTATTTTTTATGATGTGTTTATATAATTTTGATTTAATGATATTATTACTAAATAAATCAGAATACGATAAGGGATGATAGTATCAATTATGATACGAGCAATCCTAATACAAGATGTAGTACAAATCTCGTTTATGTTAATGTGCCGTCCTAAAGTAACAAGCTTTTATGTGTAGAGACAGTCTTCATCGGCTTTGACTCCTCATTTTTGCTCAATCTCTAAATTTCTACTCCCAGAGTATTATGGCACTTTATTCATACTTTGTTACCTTCGGACAAACCTTAGGGAATATATTTTTTAAATATAATATTTTATATTTATCATTTTATTCACAATTTTATACAAATTTGATTAGTTAATACCTATTAGCAAAATTTTTAGATTTTAAATTAAGAGGATTCTTATTAAATGGTTAAGTATGTTAAATTTAATAGGAAAATATTATACATTTAGAATGAGTGGAATTATAGGAAGGCCCTAATGAATCTCTATGATTGATATTATGATATTTATGAGATTCTGATTGAGTTGTAGTTTACTTTTGTAGTTATTTTTTAATAATATTTACAATAATTAGATTACTAAATTTTTGATTATAAATATGAATTCTTTTTATTTAAAAAAAAATAAAAATTTATTTGATAAAATAAAATAGTAATGTACGATAATGTTACAACTGAACAACGACCTACTTTGTATAGGAACTCTGATTAGAAACAATAATATTAAATGACTACAACTACTGATTCACATTTACATCATTTAACTCCAATGACAGGAATGAAGACTTATGAATCACCATCTAAACCATATACTTCCCCTGAATAATAAACAATGGCATATACAACATCTCCAAATAATGTGAATTCATTTGTTTCCCCAATAAGATCATAAATATTGCAACCATAATTGATTTCACCATAAAAGCCAATTCCTTCATACATTAATCAATCACCATATATTAGACCACAAATCACCTCAGTACAACCCATTTAATTGCCTATCAAACCTACTATAGAATAGATACATATTAGTGAACATCCAGTTTAAGTGATAAAAAGAGAAGAATTAGACAGATCATATTAAGAATAGATACAAAAATTAGAAAATTAATTGAATAGTTTATAGATGGAAAATATTAAACTTAGAAGTGTTTAAGCAACTGAAAAAATATCAATTGGAGAAGATGTAACAAGAATAAATCAACTGAAAGATGAGATATAAAAATATATGAAAATTGCATTTGAATTATAATAAGAAATTGATATTTGGAAAAAGAGATATGCTGATTTTGAAGCTGAAGTTAGATTTTAATATGGAGTAGAATAAGAATTATCTAATACTAAAAGAGGTAATTTATATATATATATATTAATTTTAGATTTATAAGAGACTAATATAATTTTGAATCATGAAATTAAAATGCAAAAAGATTTAGTATTAGAATGGTAAAAGAAATACAAAGATCTTGAATTTAAGATATTTGGATTCAATGAAGAAAGTAGTGTGATATAAAAAACTAAGGAATAATAAATTAGAGAATTATAGAGTAAATTAGCTTTGATGACTACAGAGGTTGAAAGAGTTAATGTTTTGAATAATTAAAAAAATAATGAGATGGAAAGATGGAAAGGTAGATTTTAAGATATTGAAACTGAATCATTAGATAAAGATAGTAGATTAACTTAATTAAATACTGAAATGAGTAGATTAAGATAAGTTATTGATAATCTCAATAGAGAAAATGGATTACTTAAAACTAAAATTATTAATCCAACTGAATTTTAGAATAAAATAAACTTATAATCATAATAAATTGAATAATTGCAACTCAAACTAAAATAAAGTAATCAAGATTATGAAAATTTATATTAAGAACACAATTAATTATAATTATAAGTTTAATTGAATTAAGATAATAAAGCATAATCATATAAGGATTAGATTGCTAAATTAGAGTTAGAATTAAGAAAAGTTTAAAGAACTTTCCTGGAAAAGGACTAATAAATAAAAGAATTAAATGAAAAAAATGAAGAAATGGAAACAATGTTATAAAATTAATAATCATCCCAATCAAAAACGGAGACTTATGTAACACATTATGTTAATGTATATATATTTTAATATTTTCAAAATAGGAAGCCAATCAATGGAAAAAGAAGTTTGAAGACTAAAATAAAAAATATTTTGAAGTTTAAGAGAAATTGGCTTTGGCTGAAGCAGAGTTATAATCCATAAAGAAAAGATAATAAACATAACCAATAGTCACATAGACAGTATATGAAGTCAAAAATACTTCCTCAGTTAGGACGAATAACATGAATTAGACAGCCAGAATTCCTTGAATTATATTTTCTTAAGTATTATATAATATTATATATTAATTATTAATTTTTGACGAATTAAAGAGTTTTGTCCGGTAATATTGTATATAAATCCAACTTTAATTTACGCAATTAAGATTATTAAGTTATTTTAAAAAAAAACATTTCTCTTTAAGCCTTGTAAATGAACCCTTATTACTCTTACTATCCCATATCCTCATAAAATAGTAAGCATTTTTACATAATATATATAGACTATTGGCAATATTACTAAAATTGCATGGCCCCTTATTGGTACTAGATGAACAATTCGTAACCATAGAACTTTTCTTATTAAATGGGATGTTAAAATGGGTCACAATTAGATTTAAACAAGAATTAATCTAATTGTGTTCAAATTCCATCCAATAATGACACCTATGATTTTTAAGCCTTGGAAAGAGTTAAGACTCAAAATAACATTGAAAAGACAGACTTGATTGACGATGTAAATTTAAAGAAAAAAGTGAAAAAATAAAGAGGTATATATATTCATTAGAAATTTAGGTCACTGGACTAATGAAGAACACTATAAGTTTTTGTAATTTGTTAGACTGCATAGTGATCTTTTCAAAACAACTGTCCATAAGAAATTAAATCGTGTTTTTAAAATGATGGCTGAAGAAATTTAAACTAGAAATGCTTGTTAATGTAGATCTCATTTCTCCAAATTTAATCCATTTATTGAAACAGTAAGTTAATTTCATATATATATTTAGACCATCCTAAGAAGAAAATTGTGTAATGACGAATAAGTATATTAAAAAATGTTTGAAAATAATAACAAACTTGATGTGTAATGATATGTTTAAAATAATCATAATTTATAGAAATATTTATATATATTTATTTATAGAAATATATATATATTTATATATAAAAATAAAAGCATAATATATGTCATAACTTCTTAATAAGATGGTATCATTTGCTGTTCTTATCGTAGTTTCGAAACACAAGTCAAAGTGAATTCAAAGTGCCAAGTATTATTTCATGATAATTTCATGAGCAAAGTAAAGCATTGCCAGATGACTTCGCCTAATAGATCTTAAACAACGACATCATTTTAGTGCTCAGCAATTACACCAATAATGAAGCCTTGAAAAATTTGATTTAATTGTATATGGTAAAAATATATTCTTAAAATAATAGTAAGGAGTAGAGTATTATAAGGAATGTGAAAATAAAGCACATGAATACTTTGAAATAAAGTTAAAAAATATATTTACTAATCCATCAATATTACAGACTTCATAATAATAATCCAAACAAAGTACACCTCCAGAGAAGAATAAAATTGAAGTACCAAAAATAAATGTAGCATAAACTTCATATTCATTTATGAATAAATCTAAGACTTCTAAAAAGTCAGATAACAATATACTTTCATTTAGTTTTCAAGAACCAGTTGTTGATAAATTTTTTTAATGTGGATCTACAATTAACAAGAATCCAAATAGTTAAAGTTTTAGTAAGATAATAAAGAATACAGAGAGTAGTCATAGTGGAGGGGAAGAGGAGGAGGAAAACACTCATTAGAAAAATATTATAGAATAAGAGAAGGAGGAGAAAATTAAAGAAATTCAAAATTAAGTAATTGAAGAATAAATCATAATTTAAACAGAAGGTAGAGCAAAAGAAATAGCTATATAATTTAAGAAATAGGAAAAGCGTATATCATAGGTAATTAAAAATTAAATGATTATTAAATAGTAAATAGAAGCAGGAATGAATGCATAAGAATCTAGTATTTAAAAAAGAATGGAAATGAGAAAACTTCGATCTTAATTTTCATTACACAATATTAATAAAACCTAGTCTACACCTACTATAAAATAAATAGATTAACATAAAATTCCATAAGATGATCCAAATTGTATTCCTGAAGAAATTAATGAAATAGGGAGTGGCAAGTTATCTTCAAATAAGAAGCATGTAGAAGTTAATTAATTTTAATTTAATGATGAATGTAAATGAAACCCTAACTATTTATATTAAATTTGAATTTGAATTGTCGTTGTTAAAATATATTAAAAAAAATGAATTAGCAAATATCACATCAAACTAAGACATCTTAAACATAATAATTTATAGCTTCATAACTTTCCAAGTTACCTGATAAAACTAAACTTCAGTAACTCATTCCTGTCTAATTACATGTAAATTGTTTTGAGCGTAAACATAATGAAGGAATAGATAATAGATAATCACCTCCATAATAATAAAATTATTGTACTAAACCATCATAGAAACCTCAATAATCTAATCATAAATCTAATATGTCACTCTAAAATAAAAGCAATTCACATATTGAATCTATATAAGAGAAATTATCAGCCATAAATCATCCAAATAAAAAAAGAGATTACTCTCCAAATTCTGATGCTATAAGATAATTACTTAAAAATACTAAATAAGATTCAGATATCAATAATCTATTATCTAAAAGACAATAATCACAAGATTAATAAATTATTTTAACTCCAATTACTGCAAAATATCCATTAAAATCTCATTCTCCATTAGATATCAAGGAGAGTGTAGCATAATTACTTTAAAATCATTTCAGTATGCAATAAATATTATATCTAGAAACAGATGTATCGTCTCCTAAATGTAATGGTAGCAATTAAAAATAAAAAAATAATCATCTTGGTCCTTATTTATCTATTCAATAATAGATTCAATAACAAAAACTTAAAGGACATAGTTCAACCAATTCATTATCATATGCATCTAGAAATCATCATCAATAATCCTTACAAGATTCAAAGAAATCTGAGACTGCAACAATAACACCTACTCCTAAAAAGTTTACAACTACTTCATAAAATACAGAACATAGTAAAAGTAAATCTGTTGTTGAAGAATAATTGTAATGTATGAAAATAATGTAATTTGATAAAGAAAATCAATCCCATATCCTTAATTTAGGATCCCCAAGTGCTTTTAGTAGTTCAGAGCAAGCATCAAGTGTACTATCTATTTATTAATTGATAGATTGGAGATAGTATAGGAATGCATTTACAATTTGGAGTCAAAACATAATCTCCATTTGCAAAACAACCTTAATCAACTTAGAAATATTGTATTTATCATAAAGAGAAGAAAGCTAAGTATGTAACTGAAGAGGGGAATGATTATCTCTTCTTTTGTTCTAAATGTGCTGTCAAATTAGCAGGTAAAGGAATGTTCTTTACTGAAATTGCATAATTAAAACAATCTACAGTTGATTCTCAAACTTTATCATTTTAATAGAGTTCTCTAGATTCAATGAATAGATAATCTTCTTCAGTGGATATCTAATTCAAAGAAAGAGAAATGAAAGTTTTTCTAGCCTTATTATATTAAATATAAAACAATAGATAAGATTTACTTAATTAATTATCAAGTTAAGGCAATAAATTACAAAATTATTATGACAAATAAATGAAATTGTGCAAAGAAGCTAAATAACAATTATCAATATTCTTGGAAGAGATATATTAAAGAAGTATCAATTAGTTATCAAATTCAAAATAATAAACCTTATCCTTTATTGCTAAAATCTTTTAATAAATGACTACAAATTAACTTGACACTAAAAAGATTTAAACAGAAATTGAAAGCAATTGGAAAAGAGTTTTAGAGAATATGGATATGAAAGTATTTAGAGAAGTTATGAATCAACATCATTCTAAATTCTCTAAGATTGGTGAATTTTAATAAGAAATATAGAATCAATATATTCAATTATATTCAATGGGTTCTATGGATATTTAATCAACCATGTCTTTAATTTCATAAAAGTATTCTATTCAAGTATATATAGTTTTGAGATTGTTGAATCTGCAATACCATTAATATCAAATATCTAATAAATTAATACAACTCAACCAATAAGAACTTAACCTACTCCCCCTAAAAAGAATGAAGAATAAATTAGTTAAAGAATCAAAACTGATTTCAGTAACCAAAAGAAAAATTCTGATATTAAACAACAAAATTTTTGTTAATATTTTAATGAAAAAATTGATACTAATAGTAAGGATGACTAAAAATTAAATCCTTCATTTTCATCTCACAATAACAATCTTTATGTTTCATTTGAAAATAAAGAAATATTTATGAATGCTTTAGAAATAGAAAAGAATAAATAAGTTCAATGTACAGAAGATGACAATTCATCCAAATAATAAGCTATCATGATTCTCTAATCATATAAAGGATCTCATGCTGATATTTAAGAAGAATCACTCAATATGTCTCATGAATCATAAAAGTCTGCACCTCATAGTCCAGCTTCTGGATAAACAAAAGAATCTGTTTAACGAATTATTCCTAATCAAGAATAAGAATTTGTTAGTCTTGCTAATAATCAAAATGAGACTGTACCAAAGGAAGCATTTCAAAAATAGAAAAGTACTTTCAGAACTCTTTTTGAAAATGAAGATTCTTAAGAACCTAACATTATAATCAAAAAGGAAGTGACTGCCATTTCTCCAGCAAGAAGTGAAAAGTTTAAATCTTTCCTTAACAGAATCTCTAATAGTCAATCTACTACTCAATAGTATTTATATTTTATTTATATAAATTAAACAATTTTAGGTATTATCAATAGATACTACAAGGCAATTAAAAAGTTGCAACCGATAATCCTGATGCAAAGAAAGAAGATACATCAAGTTTTAATCAAATTAGGTTTGATGTTCCTAATAAATTTGTTAGAGAAGATAATGGGAACTTAAAAGATTCATAAGATATCAAAGATTCAGTCCATCAAATAAATATGTGTGATGATTAACAACATCTCAGTGACTATGATGAAGAAAAAGAAATATATGATACTAAAATGAGATATGTATATTAAGGAGATGAAAGAAAAGAATAATATTAAAAGACATTGTTTTCATCTCCCATGTTCAAAGATCATTGAAAATTTTTAGTTATAATAATTAATAATTATTTAATATATTATTCATTTGATATATGTATTATAATATATTTAAAATAATGATAAAATCAATTCATTTTTATGAACATATGATAAATTAAGAATTTATTAGTGTCTATTTTAAATGTATTTGATAGGATTCTACAAAATCTCTCCCAAATTCAAATATTTTTACATTGTTAATTTTTAAGAAATTCTAAATTGTTCTTTTAAACATTTCAAAAATAGGCACAATATATCCTAATTAAACTAATCTGAATATAGGAAAGTTTCTATTTCTATTCAATCAATTTTGCAATTTTTCCATAATTAATTTAATAATTAGCATGGAACCATTAAAAATGTATTTGAGAATTAAAAGGGAAAGTAGAGTATTCTTTTTTGAATGCTCATTACTTGATCCAGTAGAGATACTGAAAAGAAAATTGTTACCTTATTACAAATAGGAGATTTAAGATATGAGAATCTATATGGGAGATAGAGTAAGAGAGTAGATATCTCTTAAATTAGTTATTAGATGATAAAGCAAATTTGCAAGATTAAGCTATTCCAAATGATAGTTGTTTAATGTTGAAATTAAGAAAAGGCATGTCTGCTGAATGGGATGATTGAAATATTGTTTGAGATATAATCTAACTTTACAAATAGTTCTAATAATATTATTTTTATATTTACGATAAAATGATTCATTAAGTCACATGTCTTTAAGATTTAAATGAATATTTTCTCGAAAGTCTAATAATAAGTTTCATCAAACTCTTTAATAACAAAAAAAAATTAATTTATATACTCTAATTTATATTTAGTTAAATTAAAAGTAGAAGATGTCATTTAATATAATGCTATCTGATAATCATGCATTAATTAATTGTTATTATATCTTTGATAAAATTGATATATAGATATTTTTAAAAAATATTTGTATATAACTTTCTTTATTGAAACTTTAATAGATTAGAAAGAATAAGTATGATTTTATAATATATTAACATAAAACAAAGATTAAATTTGTCAACTCATAGAAAGTATTTAATTGAGGATGACTTTATTAGCAACTTATCATGTATTTATTTTTTATTTATATGGCCCATGCTTTTAACTTATGAATGTTCAGTCTTGCATATGCGTTTCTAGGAATATATTTAAGTATTAGATCTCATTATAAATTATTGAATTGGTCTTTTGATAAAGATATCATAGTTTCCTTAAGAAGAATTTTTCTTTTTAAAATAGTTTATAGGTTCCTTAGACATCACACTGTCATCAATTGTATTTGTTTTATCTATTTACGATATTATTGGCAACTTTTCTAAAATTGGTTTAGTGCGTAATATAGAAATTCTAGGTCTTGAAAATCGTTTACACTTCTTAAAAAGTGGATAATATCGAAAATATGTAAGCAACAGACAAACAGCTGTCACACATCTTCTAAATCTCCTTCTTATTATATTAATATGCATCTTTATTTTAAACAATCCTCTTTATATAAGACACTTATATTTAATACCCATATCTCCAAATAGAGTACCCTCAGAACTTTTAGCTCTTTATTGAGTTTCTCCATCTTACATCTTTGATTCTATGAAAGATCGATTACTTTATGCTTTAAATAATGGACGAGCATAATGTTTACGATTAGATTTAGAACTAAGAAGAGATTTTAATAAAGGGTCAAGATGCACAATCTTTTCAATCTACAAACGGATTGCTTGCATCTTTAAATTATTCATATATTCCTCTTGATTTTTAACTGTAATAGTTCGAATATTTTCATTAAAGATGGCATTTCTTTTCATAGTGGCTTTCCTTTTCATATCAGGTACTAATTTATTTTAAATCTTAAATTATATTTAGATATAACCCAATAACTAATAAATCACAACATCTTTATAATTATCTATTCCAAATTTCAATTCTGATACTAATAAAAGAACTTGTGAAATTATTATTCCAATTTAAAAAAAAGAAAGAAAAAATAGTTAAATTTATCACTTCTAATTAAATGATTGATTGTATATATTAAAATTTTTTAAGTTTCAAACATATCTATAGTGGATAATTAATTATAATATAGAATATATATATTAATTAAACTCTTTTGATTTTATAAATAGAAGTATCAGTGATTTATTGTAATCGATAATATATATAGTCTTAATTAATAGATCTTTAAAAAATGACTTATATTTTACATTTTTAATATATAATATAAGGAAATTATAACTTATTATATTTAATAATAGTTATCTTTTTTAAGAATGAATTATAATAACAAGAAATATTAATAAATTCAGTTGTTTTATAAATCTTCAGAATTTGATCAGATGATTATAATGGGATAGAAGAGTTTAATTTTAAATTAATTAAATTCTTTATTATATTAATTATGTTGTCATTTATTAATGTATGATGATAAATTTAATTGTGCTTACGTAAATACTAAAAATATATGGAACCCAAATTAATTCAACATTCTGAATTATCTTGAGATTGTGTTTTGAATAAATAATTGATATTATGTTATTTATTTTTAAAACTAATAATTTATGAGTGATCCTAGAATTAGTGACCAATATTTTTACAATGAGTATACATAATCAACAATTATAATAGATCATGTGATATCAATTAGAATTTAATCGAATTTTCAACTACTCATGACCCATATACTTAAGTGTAATAGATACAGGAACTTCCTAAAATTCAGATTTTTGAAGAATTAGATCATGGAACTGATCTAATATCAAGAGCAATTTAATTAGAAAATATAGGAATGGATAGATTATGCATAAAAAATGATAGTTCATTTGAGAGATAACCAAGGAGTGGAAGTGATGGTGATAATTCAAGAGATGGAAGCTAAAATTATCAATAGAACAGAAGCAGAAGTAATTTATATAATAAATTTTATTAGGAAAATTAACTAAAGAAAAATAAAAACAATTAAATGAATAATTACAATCTGAAATTATTTAGAATCTAGGATAGACAAAGAGCACTTATTCAAATAAAATATAAAATTTAGTTAAAAAAGAAACAAATAATCAATTAATTATAACTTAGAAAACAAGATAATCGTATTTATTATTTTTTAATGATTTTTATTATAGAAGAAGTTAATAGAAAATGGAAAGGAAAAATGAATAGCAATTATAAATTAATATAGAACATAGTGATTAATCATCATCTGATTCTATTAATGATGGGAATTTAGATCCAAATAGACTTAAATAAGTGAGAAATAGAGAATCTGCAAGAAATTCAAGAGCTCGAAAAAAGATCTATTTTGAATTATTAGAAATAAAAGTTAAAGATTTGTAGGATGAAAATGATAAATTGAGAGATCAATGTATAAATATGTAAAAATCAATTGAAATTTATAATAAATAATAAGATAAGGTAATTGATATTTAGAACATATATTAGTTTTAAACATTTTTAAATTAATAGTAGTAATTATTTGAAAAATTAGAAGAATGTATTAGATAAGAAAAAGATGATACTGAAATAGAAATTCTTTTGGATGCATTAAAATATAGAATATCTTCTAATAAATAAGAGAGAATTGATTCAGCAAAATCATATGCATTTTCAATTTTAGATGTCACTTTACCATTGCCAACAAAATATTTGTTCAGTATTCTTGATGATAGAGATTTCTTTTCTTAAAATTAGAAGTAATTAATAATGAAAATATAATAGAAATTGTTCAGAATTTTTAAGAGATATTTTTAGATTGATTGAAATAAAATCAGAAAATTAATAAATGAATGAAAAAATTAAAATAAAGTTAGGATAATGTAAATAAAATATAATAGAGTAAGATTTTATTTAAATTAGTTCATTTAAAAAAATAAAATAAGAAATTAAAGTAATTTAAAGTGAAGCTTCTAAAGTAGATTTATTATGGGAATAATTGAAAGAAAATATAAAACCAAATATATTAGCTTAATTTTTAATAGCTTTACATCAAGTAATAATTATATATTTTATTAATTTAGAATGAGTATAGAGCAGAGTTTTAGGCTACAACAATTTTTAAAAATAATAAAGATAAAAAAGATCATAATTGTATTCAAATCTAAGTGTAATAATAATTGAGAAAGCATATAAAAAAATCGGATTGATTTTTTTAACTGTAAAATATTATGATAAAAAATTATTTGATTGTTCAATTTTTAATAGTCTTATAAAATACTTTATGTTAATATAATTAATTTCTTTAGAGAGTAATTATTATTTAAATTATTTTCTTCTAATGAAATATATTGTTTAATTTGAAAATCAAAGGAGAAACATGATCTTAGTTTTTGATTTTGTAAGTACCTTTTTTTAATAATAATTGATTATTAACTTTCCAAATAAATAATATTAATTTAAATTAGGAGAAAAGTGAATTCTAAATTTATGCAGAAGATAGTTAATCTCATTATGGCTGATTAATTTAAATAATATTGTCATGATTTAATTATTTCGTTATTGCATTTTTATTTTTTAGAATTGAAGGGGAATTTAGAGTTCTAATAGGAGATGGTGATTTGTATGATTAATGTCTTTTTTGATTTCTATCAAATATCCAAACTTGATTCTTGAGACTAAATCTAAGTTCTTTAATTGGTTTGCTTCTGCTTTCTTCTGTTTTCAATCTTTATCCAAGTTCATCTTTATCAGATTCTGGCAAGAGCATATTAGAATCATCACCATCTGTTTTGATAATTTTTTAACTCAATTGTAGTTAACTACTACATCCTTAACTTTTCATCTCAATAATAAATTATTGTTTTTGTTTTGATTTCATAATAAAAATGGGAGAATTAAAAAACTAATAATGATATTCTTTATTGGAATTTAATATAATTCATTTATCTGCTGAAGTGAATTTATTTTGACAAGAAATTAGTAGACAGAAACTGAAAATAAAATAAGGAACCAAAGGACAAGCATTACTCTCTTCAGTAGCACAAGCATAAGTATCTCCAGCTACATACATGATATAATGGGAAGTTTTTTTATTATCCTCAACTATTTATATACATAAGACAAATACTTTCATTATAAATCTTAGCATTTTCAAGTGCTGTACCTTTGATTAATCCATTATATTGAATTATCAATAAACTTATAGATGAACCAATCATTAAAGCAATAGTACCTTATTATCCATATAAATATCCTGTTAATAACAAAGTCAAAGTTAAAAAAATTATATTATAAGATACATGAAGAATACTCTGAGTATATTTAATTTTTGTAAACTCAATAATACGATTATCAGAGAAATAGTTTATTTTACCTTCTGAATCATTTGAAGGTTAACATATGAACTAAAATATTATAATATTAAAATATTTTACATAATTCTTAGCCAACTTTATAATTCCCCATATACTAATACCTCTACATACAAACATCATAGCAAATCCAATCAATAATCCAATAATTCCTTTATAATGAGTAAAAAGTGAACCCAATGTTCCAGGATGTTAATATAATTATGAACCTATAAATCCTATTGAAATCAAAGTTAATGCTCCTGCATTTGTAGATTTAAGATAAATCATATAATTCTTAGCTTCCCAATAAATTGCAAATATTCTTCCTTAAATTTCTGATTTGAAATGAACAAAACAAGTTAATTTGTATGATTCTGATGAATTACATCCTATTTAGTATATAATACCATAGATAATAAAAATAGATATATATCCAGATGCTGCAAATAACAATCCAGCAAATCCTTGAATGGAATAAACAATAGTAATTAATAAGAGCATAAGAATCATAGGTATTGCAGAAAATAAATCTCCTAAATAATTGGAATAAATTAGATTCATAGACATAATACGATCACTTGTTGCTAATCCCTATTTGAATTGAATAATTTACGAGATTTCGAACTTTTGAACATCCATGAGATGTATACCATTCAAATAAACTAATATGGATCACATTAAATATCAATCCTAACAAATAGCACCAACAAGCATGAGTAGAGGACTTTCCACTTAAATCAATATCTTGACTATTATTTCCTTTCAATGTAAATTCAGATATTAAAATATTAAATGGAAATGTAACCAAAATAATAAATGAAATCAAGGCTCCTATTATAACTTACCATCTAACATTAATAGCAGTAAATGATGGTGCTTATGAATCTCTACACATTGTTCTCAATAGATAACAACAAATGGAACCTAAATATCCTAAACATATTAAATAAATTGGTCCCAAAATAAATCCATTTTTATTTTCATTCTCTAATACTTCTGGACTATTCACAAATAATGCAAATACTGAACAGCTCAAAAATACCAATATAAATCCAATATCTAAATAATTTATTAATGTATTTCCTGCCTACTATGAAACCATGTATGCTAATCTTGTCAATTATGAAATATTGCTGTTTCCAATACTTAAATTTACATCAGATTTTATTAATCCAATAGTTGCAGTTTTAAATGATCTACTCATTAATGATAATCCTTCTCTATATATAAATCCACCCAATAGTAATCCCATCAGATATCCCATCATTAGTATTGATATTTTTTCATATTCTTTTTATTTTTATTCACCTCCCCAAATAGCCAGATTGAAAAAATACATTAAAACATATATCCCCAAAAATAAACTTAAAAGTAAACTTAACATTGCAAAACCAGATGAATACATATAACTATAACAATCCTCTTTTGAAAATGAAGCCTACTTAAANTTTATAATGAGTAAAAAGTGAACCCAATGTTCCAGGATGTTAATATAATTATGAACCTATAAATCCTATTGAAATCAAAGTTAATGCTCCTGCATTTGTAGATTTAAGATAAATCATATAATTCTTAGCTTCCCAATAAATTGCAAATATTCTTCCTTAAATTTCTGATTTGAAATGAACAAAACAAGTTAATTTGTATGATTCTGATGAATTACATCCTATTTAGTATATAATACCATAGATAATAAAAATAGATATATATCCAGATGCTGCAAATAACAATCCAGCAAATCCTTGAATGGAATAAACAATAGTAATTAATAAGAGCATAAGAATCATAGGTATTGCAGAAAATAAATCTCCTAAATAATTGGAATAAATTAGATTCATAGACATAATACGATCACTTGTTGCTAATCCCTATTTGAATTGAATAATTTACGAGATTTCGAACTTTTGAACATCCATGAGATGTATACCATTCAAATAAACTAATATGGATCACATTAAATATCAATCCTAACAAATAGCACCAACAAGCATGAGTAGAGGACTTTCCACTTAAATCAATATCTTGACTATTATTTCCTTTCAATGTAAATTCAGATATTAAAATATTAAATGGAAATGTAACCAAAATAATAAATGAAATCAAGGCTCCTATTATAACTTACCATCTAACATTAATAGCAGTAAATGATGGTGCTTATGAATCTCTACACATTGTTCTCAATAGATAACAACAAATGGAACCTAAATATCCTAAACATATTAAATAAATTGGTCCCAAAATAAATCCATTTTTATTTTCATTCTCTAATACTTCTGGACTATTCACAAATAATGCAAATACTGAACAGCTCAAAAATACCAATATAAATCCAATATCTAAATAATTTATTAATGTATTTCCTGCCTACTATGAAACCATGTATGCTAATCTTGTCAATTATGAAATATTGCTGTTTCCAATACTTAAATTTACATCAGATTTTATTAATCCAATAGTTGCAGTTTTAAATGATCTACTCATTAATGATAATCCTTCTCTATATATAAATCCACCCAATAGTAATCCCATCAGATATCCCATCATTAGTATTGATATTTTTTCATATTCTTTTTATTTTTATTCACCTCCCCAAATAGCCAGATTGAAAAAATACATTAAAACATATATCCCCAAAAATAAACTTAAAAGTAAACTTAACATTGCAAAACCAGATGAATACATATAACTATAACAATCCTCTTTTGAAAATGAAGCCTACTTAAATTTACATTAATACCGATATCAACGCACGGGTTAATCCTTTACCATTTGTTAAAATCATATAATGTGAAAATAACATCACAGTTATCACTCCTACGATTGTATTAAATATGAATTAGAATGGATAATCAATAAAGAAAACTCCAACGACTATGAAAAATAGAAATAAAAGTAAAAGTATGTATAACAATTAAGCAAGCCATAATCCTCTTATAGAAGTTACAATTAAATCTACTATGCTTGAGATATATATTGGTTCCACTGATGGACGATATGAATTTCGTTGTATATCATCCACTCCCAACAATCCCTTTAATTGATCACTTAAAAAGGCCTACTCATCTTTATAAAGTGATGTGAACCCCTAAATCTTGAGAATATATACTTACTTATGCAATCAAATGAATAAAGTACCAAACAATTCCAATTATAAAAACCAAAATTATCACTATCAAAGGTCCTAACGAACTCATAATTTAAAAAGAATTAAATTAAATCCCCATTATATGAAATTAATTTCAAAGTCATCACAGAATTTTTTGCCTAAAAATAGAAATCATCTTGAAAAAACAGTAATTGATAGAAGAATAAATAAACAGCATTTAATATAAATTAGAAAATATTGCTAAATAAATTACAGTATAATTAATACATTAACTAAAATTTATAGAAATTCTTTTAAAAAACTAATATAGTCAATATAACCAATTTCTTATATCAATTATAATTAATATATTTATTTAATATTGATCCATTTAATTATTATTACTAATTTATAAATATACTAAGTATTTTACATACAACATTTAAATGTGAATTAAGTGTTTTATATAATCACTTTTATCAGATTAGATTAGTTCAGAATTAGTTTATATAAATATATCATCTTTAGAATCACAACTATTTTATTTCTAAACATTTTTATATATAATTTAAAATAATGAATCATTACGAATACTAGGACTGTTTTGATGATTCTAAACTTTAGGATGTATTCAAATAAACAGCCACATTTTTCAATCCAAACTAATCATCACTTAAAAATTCCATAACTAGTTCTAAGGGATCAGGAAGACCATAAATGGAATATACATTTAAACCTGCTTAACCAAGACTTACTCAACATGAGTCTTAGTAGACTCTAAGCAAAAGAAATAATGGATAATTTATGCAGAACAAATTAAATGCTTAACCTTAAAAAATCACGTACCAAACTAATCCTATATCTAGTTCTCCTGTCAAAGTCATAAAAGGATTTAGTTAAAAGCCATAATCTCCTCCATAACTTTATGAATCACGCAATAAAGTTACTTATCAAGAATAAATCAAACGAATTAAAGAAACAGACATACGTGATGATTTCATGCATAAAAATCAATAAAATGAAATGTAGCCTCCAAAACCTATAAATAAAAATTTTGTAGGCTCACGTATGCTTCGATAAAAAATGGAAGGGACTATTAATACTGCTGATTCTGCTGTGAGAGTCCAATTTCATACAAAATAAAATGAAACAGATAATGTAACTAGAATATCATCAGATCAAATGGACTTTCCCAGTTATAAGAAGTCTTTACTTGAGTCTGATCGTTTCAATAATCGTTAGAATTTAAATGATCTTTTAAAGAAAAGTAATTCCACTGCATTTCTTCCTTAAATCTAACCTAAATTGTAATAAGCCAAAAATATTCCTTATGGTTATGGACCAATATCATAATAAGACACAGCAATAAGAACTAATTCATCTAAATAAACCATATAAGGAAATGAAATACTATACGCTCATCCTGAAGATTCTTTGATGAGAAAATCAAAAACAGCTTAAGAAACTATGCGAGAATCAGGAGGTCAATAAATTTAGGGAAAAATTTAGTATAAATTAAATAGTGCTGAATCTCAAGATGTATTGCCTTAAATTCATTCTCCAAATTAAGGAACTTAGTAAGGATTCTCTTAGAGTAAAGGCAGATCATTTTTGTAGAGAAAACCATAGGCTAAGATAATCAGTAGATTATTTTCATCAAAATCTGATAATAAAAATAATTGATATTTATAATAGATGTGTGGATTAGAGAAAGAAATCTTAGTAGTTTAAAAATATTCTTTTCTGAGTCTTTAAATTTAGTTTATTTATTTACTATTGATTAAGAATTTCTACTATATTCTTTCTTTGATCTAAACATTTCCTAAATTCTGTTTATATGTATTAAACATTAACACAAATATAATTTTAAAAAGTTAATAAATTATTCATATATAATTATGTTATATTTTATCTAAACTCTTAATTTTAATGAATATTTTACTTTTGATAAATGTATATAATAATTATATTTTTTATATAATTGATTACCCCTTTAAATAATTAAAATCAATATGTAAATTAATCACAAATGGCATTTCAAATACATTTTTATATCCATGCATTTGGCAATAGAACAATCTAATAAAATTCTAATCAAATATATAGAAATATAAGAATATGTATTTATAAATAATTTTGCTAACAAAATAAATTAGTTCGATATTCTTTTACAAATAATCATTATATTTTGTAAAATAGGATAGATAAAAATAAAAATTTCTTGTTTTGAAAGTTGCAAATTCATAATATAACAAATTAACTATAAAATTGTTAGAGTAGATACTAATTATTTGGATATCAATGTCTTTTTAGATGTATAAATTGAATAAAATAATAATAGTAATTTCATTTGTGTGAAAAAATGACTACATGTTTTGAATTGGCAACTTCATTCAGTAATAACAATTAGTTGTATATCATTGATTGATGCTATAATCAACAATATATATTGTATAATAATTGTATATTTAATGGTTAATTATTTAAAAGATTTATTACTATTCCAACTCTATGACTTGATGGAGTTTAAGTATGAAATTAGTATTAGTTGATTAAATTATGGAGATGAGAATGATTTATACATAGAAATAGATAGAGATTATTAAATGATTTGAATAATGATTTATTAGTAAGATTTAGTGCAATAAATTAACATTCTGTATTTTTATTATAGTTAAATTAAAAAAAAGTAAGAACAAGTAGAAGAATGAATTAATATTGTAATATTAAAGAAATTCTGAGTGTCTTCTTATCAGGNGAATCAGGAGGTCAATAAATTTAGGGAAAAATTTAGTATAAATTAAATAGTGCTGAATCTCAAGATGTATTGCCTTAAATTCATTCTCCAAATTAAGGAACTTAGTAAGGATTCTCTTAGAGTAAAGGCAGATCATTTTTGTAGAGAAAACCATAGGCTAAGATAATCAGTAGATTATTTTCATCAAAATCTGATAATAAAAATAATTGATATTTATAATAGATGTGTGGATTAGAGAAAGAAATCTTAGTAGTTTAAAAATATTCTTTTCTGAGTCTTTAAATTTAGTTTATTTATTTACTATTGATTAAGAATTTCTACTATATTCTTTCTTTGATCTAAACATTTCCTAAATTCTGTTTATATGTATTAAACATTAACACAAATATAATTTTAAAAAGTTAATAAATTATTCATATATAATTATGTTATATTTTATCTAAACTCTTAATTTTAATGAATATTTTACTTTTGATAAATGTATATAATAATTATATTTTTTATATAATTGATTACCCCTTTAAATAATTAAAATCAATATGTAAATTAATCACAAATGGCATTTCAAATACATTTTTATATCCATGCATTTGGCAATAGAACAATCTAATAAAATTCTAATCAAATATATAGAAATATAAGAATATGTATTTATAAATAATTTTGCTAACAAAATAAATTAGTTCGATATTCTTTTACAAATAATCATTATATTTTGTAAAATAGGATAGATAAAAATAAAAATTTCTTGTTTTGAAAGTTGCAAATTCATAATATAACAAATTAACTATAAAATTGTTAGAGTAGATACTAATTATTTGGATATCAATGTCTTTTTAGATGTATAAATTGAATAAAATAATAATAGTAATTTCATTTGTGTGAAAAAATGACTACATGTTTTGAATTGGCAACTTCATTCAGTAATAACAATTAGTTGTATATCATTGATTGATGCTATAATCAACAATATATATTGTATAATAATTGTATATTTAATGGTTAATTATTTAAAAGATTTATTACTATTCCAACTCTATGACTTGATGGAGTTTAAGTATGAAATTAGTATTAGTTGATTAAATTATGGAGATGAGAATGATTTATACATAGAAATAGATAGAGATTATTAAATGATTTGAATAATGATTTATTAGTAAGATTTAGTGCAATAAATTAACATTCTGTATTTTTATTATAGTTAAATTAAAAAAAAGTAAGAACAAGTAGAAGAATGAATTAATATTGTAATATTAAAGAAATTCTGAGTGTCTTCTTATCAGGTAATTATAAGAGTGGAAGATTAAAAGATATTTTGTATATTAATTAAATTATATTAATAAAATATGAACTTGAAGCAATCTTTGTTTCTATGTATAATATTGACCATATTGGTCAAAGGAGATACTGCTATAAATTAACCTAGCAATACTGATTAGGGACTTAACTCGAATAATCCTTAATTTGCATGTATGCCAGGTAATTCTTGTTATGCACAATAGGGTCTTATTTTAATGGATAGATTTGTATGCCATGCTAATAGATAAATGGAGGTTATTGTACTTGTACATCAGCAAATACATGTAATTATGTAACATGTTCAGATGGATTTTATCAAATTGGATTGTAATGAAAAATACATAATTTTAGAACTTGTATTAAACATCCAGATACAAATTGTGTAAGAGGAGGTTTTTCAGCAGATGGATCAACAATTGTATGTTACCAATGTAATGGATAATCAACACAAATAGGTATATGAATATTTTAATTTAAGGTGGAATATGTGTTTAAAATAACAATTGTAAAACTTTTAGTATAAACACTGGTATATGTACAGTTTGTTCAGATGGATATTATAATGTATTGCCAACATACACACCAGATGAATTTAATGGAGCTTAATCTTCATTTGTCTACTCAACTTATTTCTAAAGTTTTAATTCTTGTTTACCATGTAATTAATATTGTGCAACTTGTTAATCAGAGTATTATTAAATATTTTATAAATTTATAGCACATATTGTAATACATGTGTTAAAGGTTATTATATTAATAATAACTAATGTCTACTTTGTTCAGATAAATTAACAAAATGTGAAGCTTGTCCAAATGAAACAAAATGTACTTAATGTGCAGTAGGATCTTATCTCAGTAATGACAGTTGCATACTTTGTACAACACTTGATCAGAATTGTTCAGCATGTTCAAATTCAACAACATGTACATCTTGTGTTACTGCTGCTTATTATACTAGTGGATAATAATGCATCTTATGTTCTGATACTATCAGTTATTGTAAAGAATGTTCAAGTGGTTAAAATTGCACAAAATGTACAACAGGATTCTACTTAAAAAGTGGAGCATGTTTCCTATGTTCTACATAAATGGTAAGTTGTATGACATGTTCTGATGGTAATACATGTACATCCTGTTCTGATGGAACTTTTCTTGATGGAAATAAATGTTCAAAATGTACTTTAGCTATAAGTAATTGTGAATACTGTTTGAATGGTACTACATGTACTACTTGTAAACCAAAATATTATTTGAATTAGAATGTATGTAATAATTGTTCTAATAATTGTGAAAATTGTATTAATACATCTAATAATTGTACATCTTGTTCATCAGGATATTTTTTAAATGGATCTACTAATACTTGTGATTTATGTGATGCTAATTGTTTAACATGTTTAAATGCTGCAAAAACTTGTACATCTTGTGTTCCAGGATATTTTAAAGATGGAGATAAATGTACTGAATGTTCAAATAAATGTTTTACTTGTGTTGATTCAGCTACTAAGTGTACAGAATGTTATGTAGGTAGATATTTAAATAATAATAATTGTTTACCATGTTCTAATACATGTACTGATTGTACAACTTCAGCAACATAATGTACTGCTTGTTCTAAAGGTTCTTATTTAAATAATAATACTTGTTCAGTTTGTTCAATTACATGTTAAGAATGTATTGATTCATCTACTAAATGTACTAAATGTTATGATGGAAAATATTTAAATAATAATTAATGTATAACATGTGAATTTCCTTGTGTTAATTGTAGTAGTAAAACAGCATGTTTGTCATGTGTACCAGGTTTTTATTTAAGTAATACTGATTGTGTTAAATGTGCTTATCCTTGTTAAACCTGTGGTACTGATGGCAAATGTACAAGTTGTGTTTCAGGTTATGAATATGATGGTACTAATTGTTAAATTTGTTTGAAACCATGTACTACATGTTAAAGTTCATAAAATGGATGTTAAAGTTGTGTAGTAGGTTATTATTATCATGATAACACTTGTAGTTAATGTTCAAATGAATGTTCTGCTTGTATTAATAGTGCTACAAATTGTACAAGTTGTTATGCAGGAACATACTTAAATAATAATACATGTTCTTAATGTACATCACCTTGTGCTACTTGCAATACTTCAGCAACATCTTGTAGATCTTGTGTACAAGGATTTTATTATGTTGGTGATCCTAATTACACATGTAATGCTTGTTCTAAATCATGTGTGGCATGTTCAGTTGATGCTAATACTTGTTCATAATGTTAAAATGGATACTTTAAAAGTGGAAGTAGTGATGGTCCATGTAATGCTTGTTCAAGTCCTTGTTTGACTTGTTCAACTTAAAATAATTCTTGCGATTCTTGTGTTGATGGATATTTTAAATCTGGAGCTACTACTTGTGATCTCTGTAAAGCTCCTTGTGCTAGATGTGTAGATAATTAAGATAAATGTCTAAGTTGTGTTTATGGATACTTTTTATCTGGAAATACTTGTTAGTAATGTACATTACCATGTACTAATTGTGCCACTTCTTTAACTGATTGTTCAGCATGTGTTCAAGGTTATTATTTGAGCTCAAATACATGTAGTAATTGTCCAACTAATTGTACTATTTGTGATTCTGCAACTGTATGTACAGGTTGTGTAGATGGATATTATGTTAATAATAATTCATGTACTGTTTGTCCAACTTAATGTGCTAAATGTAGTGATGCCAATAATTGCACTTCTTGTGATATAGGATTCTTTTTAGATAGCACTAATCCTAGTGCTGTTACTTGTACTAAATGTACAAATCCATGTTATGGTTGTGTTGATAATGCAACTAAATGTAATGCTTGTGATTCAGGTTTGGTATTAGATAATGTAAATCATACATGCAATCAATGTTCTCCTGAATGTACTTCATGTAATTCAGCAGATCCAAAGAATTGTTAAACATGTGCAAATGGATATTATTATAATAATAATAATTAATGTCTATAATGTAGTAATTTATGTAAAACATGCTCAAACAACAATAAAGATTATTGTACAAGTTGTTTATCTGGATTTTATTAACCTACTGGATAAAATACATGTAAAGTTTGTACAGAACCATGCAAAACTTGTGAAAATACAGGAGATCATTGTCTCTCATGTTATTCTGGTAATTTTTGGGATAGTACAAACTTTTTATGTAAATAATGTTAATATCCTTGTGTAAATTGTAATGATTTAACTACATGTGTGACTTGTGAAAAAGGATACTTCTTACCAGATCCTAACACTCCAGGAACTTGCTAACTATGTGATGCTAATTGTGATTCTTGTGCAACTACTAGTACTAATTGTACTGCTTGTCCAAATGGATATTATAAAAACTTAAATGTAAGTACTTCTACTAGTAATTGTGTTATTTGTACTAATAATTGTCTTACTTGTAAATCAGATACTGAATGTGTGGATTGTGTTAGTGGATATTATAAAGATCCAAATAATAATTGTGTTTAATGTGCAAGTATCTGTCTTACATGTAATGGAAGTGGTAATTCTGCTTGTTAGTCTTGTCCTAGTGGAGCATATTTGGATGGAACAACTTGTACTAAATGTCCAAATGTGTGTACTGGATGCACATTTAATACTTAAGTTTAATGTAGTTCATGTGTAGCTGGATATTATGCTAATAATAATTAATGTACAGTATGTGCTAAGTAATGTTTGGAATGTGAAACATCAGCAAATAATTGTACAAAATGTGATACTGGTTTTTGGAGGAATACATCATTAGCTTCTAATTAATGTTAACCTTGTTTATATAAATGTAAAACATGTGATACAGCAGCTGATTCATGTTAAAGTTGTATTGATGGATATTATCCTAATAATAATGCATGTTAAATATGTCCACTATCTTGTACAAAATGTACTGCCTCTGATAATTGTACTGAATGTGCTAGTGGATATTATAAAAATTAAGTAGATGCTACACACTATAATTGTTTACAATGTGTAAGTCCAATGCTTACATGTGAATCAGCTTCTACCTGTACAACTTGCATGACAGGATATGTATGCAATAGTGGTAATTGTGATTAATGTTCTTATGCATGTTCTAGTTGTTCAACTAATCCTACTACATGTAATAATTGTGTTACTGGTTATGTCTTAATGTCAGATAATACTTGTGCAGCTTGTACTTTTCCATGTTTAACTTGTTCTAACTAAAGCGCAACTCATTGTGATAGTTGTCCTCCTGGATATTATAAAAATTCTAATTCCTGTAATTAATGTCCAAAAGCATGTTTAACATGTTCAGATTCAACTACTTGTACAAGTTGCATTGATGGATATTATAAAGATAATACAAGCTGTGTCAAATGTGTACTACCATGTGTTTAATGTACTTCTCAAACAGAATGCAAATAAAGTTGTGTCAGTGGATATTTCTTATCTGGTACAAGTTGTGCAGTTTGTCCTTAATATTGTTTGACATGTACTTCAACTACACCTGGAAATTGTGGATCTTGTATTACTGGATATCATCTTGATAATGGAGATTGCAAAGCTTGTAGTTTAGTCTCAACATCTTGTTTAGAATGTCCTGATAATTAGAATCAATGTTCAAAATGTCTTGGTGGCTATTATCTTGATAATAGTAATGTATGCTAAAAATGTACTAGTAATTGTCTCTTGTGTACAAAAGATTAATGTTCACAATGTTTACCAGGATATTATTCTGATGGTACAACTACTTGTTAACAATGTGTTAAACCTTGTAATGTTTGTAATTCAGCAACTGAATGTACTGATTGTTCTGATGGATTCTTTATTAATGGTAGTAAATAATGTTAAGCATGTTCAACTCCAGGTTGTATAAAATGTCCTGGAGATACATGTAATGATTGTACAACTTAATTGATTGATGATAATTCATGTTCTCAATGTTAATTACCTTGTGCTACTTGTAAATCAACTGGACCAACAAAATGTTAAACTTGTGTTACTGGATTTTTTATATAAGTTGATGATTGCAAACCATTTGTCTTCCCATGTAACTCCTATACTTAAGATGGTAATGCTACTTGTTAAGGTTGTTTTGATGGTTATTATCTTAATAATAGTAATGCATGCTTAGCTTGTGATGCTAATTGTAAAACATGCTCAAATTAATCTGCATCACATTGTACAGCTTGTTAAGATGGTTATTTTGTAAATACTAATTAATGCTAAATTTGTGATGCTTCTTGTGCAACTTGTGTAACATCAAATACTAATTGTTAAGCATGTGCAGATGGATATTATGCTTCAACACCACCATTACCTGGTGCTTGTACTAAATGTCCTGATAAGTGTACAAAATGTTCAGCTGTTAACACTTGCACAGGATGCAGAGATGGATTTATTCTTAATGAAGGAACTGGAGTTTGTGAATAATGTACTAGTCATTGTTTTACCTGTAGTACTAATTTAAGTACTTGTACAGCTTGTTTAATTGGATTCTATCCAACACTTCCAACATGTACATAATGTAAAGCAGGATGTCTAGAATGTACTTCTGCAACTATATGTACTTATTGTTGGGATGGTTATTATAAAAGTGGAGATGATTGTCTTAAATGTGATTCTAATTGTAAGAAATGTGAAACTAGTGCCAAAAATTGTACAGAATGTGAAACAGGATATAAAGTTGATGGTAGTAAGGTTTGTTAAGTTTGTACAACTGCATGTAGTTCTTGTGTATCTGGAAAAACATTAGATGGTTCAAATAATTGTGTTAATTGTACTGGTTCTTGTGCAACTTGTAACTATCCTGGTGGAGTTCAAACTTGTCTAACTTGCAAAACTGCAAATGAATTACCTGATTCATCTAATCCTGGATAATGTAAAGCATGTGTAAGTGGAGATGGATGCAGTACAAATTGTGTCAGTAACTGTACATCTGACTAAACAGAATGTGAAAATAATGGAGGATATTATGATGCAGGTCCTCCTGCAGCTTGTAATAAATGTAGTGCTAATTGTACAAGATGTTCTGGAAATGCTACTACTTGTTCATAATGTGTTGATGGTTATTTTGGAGGAGATTGTACATCAACTTGTGATTCTAAATGTTTGAGATGTAGTGCAAATGCTACTGATTGTACCTCATAATGTATAGATGGTTATTTTGGAACAGATTGTCAATCAACTTGTGATTCTAAGTGTTTGAGATGTAGTGCAAATGCTACTGATTGTACCTCATAATGTGTAAATGGTTATTTCGGAGCAGATTGTCAATCAAGTTGTGATTTGACTTGTAAGACATGTGGTGCAGCGGGATCAAATTAATGTTCTTCATGTTTTAGTGGATTTTATTTAAATGGAGCATAACCTACAACTTGTGATAGATGTTCAAATGATTGTTTAACATGTTCTAATGGAACAACTTGTTTAACTTGTATTCCAGGATACTTTTTAGAATCTCCTTCATGCACAAAATGTCCATATCCATGTCTAGCTTGTACAGCATCTAACACTTGTTAAAGTTGTGCTTCTGGTTTTTATGTTAATGGTAGTCATGCATGTGTTTAGTGTAATGTTGGTTGTGATACTTGCGATAGTTCAACTTGTAATGATTGTAGTAAAGGATATTATAAAGATGGTAATACATGTACTAAATGTACATTCCCATGTTTAGAGTGTTCAGGTGCTTCAAATGCATGTAGTAAATGTTTTAAGGGATTTAATTTAAATGTAAATACTTGTGAATAAGTTTCTACAGGATGCTAAGTATGGTCAACAACAGCAACTCCTACTAGTTGTGATACATGTTATGATGGATTCTACAAAGATAATAATGCTTGTACTAAATGTCCAAATTATTGTACTACTTGTACTTCTAATACTTCTTGTGGTCCTTGTTTATCAGGTTCTTATAAAAATGGATCTGGTACATGTACATAATGTGTAAAAGGATGTACTGCATGTGATAGTGATACTGTTTGTACATCATGTATAGATGGATACTATCCAAAAGCTAGTGATGTATGTTAAGAATGTCCTTAAAAATGCTTAAAATGTTCTGATAATACTACATGTTCAGAATGTATTGTTGGTTATTATCTGAATAATAGTAATGCTTGTATAGAATGTGGCAGTCCTTGTAAAAATTGTGTTTTAGATGGTGCAGATGTTAAATGTTCTTCATGTGCTCAAGGATATCAAATCGAAAATAATGCTTGTAAACAATGTCCAGATTTTTGTTAAACTTGTGATGCTACCTTTAAATGTTCATCTTGTATAGCTGGATATTATTAAAATTCTGGAGATGGAACTTGTAAATAATGTATTACTGCATGTAGTGTTTGTAGTGCATTGGATACTTGTGATACATGTTAAGTAGGTTATTATTATGATGCTGGAGCAAAATAATGTACATAATGTTAAAGAGGTTGCAATGCTTGTGATTCTACTTAATGTACATCTTGTGTAGCAAAATATTATGCTGTTGCTGGATAATAATGTCAGAAATGTCCAGCTCCTTGTCTTACTTGTAATGATACTAGTGGATCATGTAAAGATTGTTTAGATGGATATTATTTCAATTCTCCAAATTGTGTAGAATGTCAAAGTCCTTGTACTAAATGTTCAGGATCTGCTAATAATTGTTCAGCTTGTTAAGATGGTTATTACATAAATGGAAGTAATTGTACATAATGTCCAACATAATATGCATGTTAAAAATGTGCAGTTGATCCTGGAGATTCAACATTAAAATGTAGTAGTTGTATTACTGGATTTTTTATTGATACAGCTAACAATAATGTTTGTCGTCCATGTGATACTGCTTGTACAACATGTACTACAGGAGCAAAAGTTTGTTAATCCTGTATTGATGGATTTTATCCTTCAAATGATAAATGTTTGAAATGTAGTTTATCATGCACTAAATGTACAGATGCTTCAACTTGTACTGAATGTTCAAATGGTTATTACTAAAATGGTAATTCATGCACATAATGCAATTTAAATTGCGCTTATTGTAATAATTCAACTTCTTGCAAAACTTGTGTTTCTGGATTTTTCTTAGAAAATGACAATGTTACTTGTACACTATGCTCAGGTAATTGTGCAACTTGTGTAACCTCTAGTACTAATTGTCTTTCTTGTATCTAAGGATATTTTGGCACACCAAATTGCTCTAGCTAATGTAATAATTAATGCTTATATTGTTTAAATGATGGTACATGTTAAAAATGTCTACCAGGATTCTTTTTAGATAATACAAATAATTGTTAACCATGTAGTAATACTTGTACTACTTGTTCTAATAATAGTGCTACTTATTGTTAATCATGTACAAAAGGATATTTCTTGAATAATAATACTTGTGATTAATGTTAAAGTCCATGTCTTGAATGTGCTGTCTCAGCTGATGCATGTACTGGTTGTTAACCAGGTTTTGTTGAAATCAGCAAAAAATGTGAATAATGTGATGCCATATGTAAAACATGTTCTACTTCAAAAAGTAATTGTGATTCTTGTTTTGATGGATACTATTTAAATAATGGAACTTGTAATTAATGTGCTGAACCATGTACAAAGTGTACTTATACTGCTCCTGGTCCTGCTGTATGTTCAAATTGTCCTGATGGATATTTCTTAAATAATAATGTTTGTGCAGAATGTAAAGAACCATGTAAAAAATGTTAAACTGCTGGTGACTAATGTATAGATTGTTTAGATGGATTTTATAAGGATCCAAGCAATCCTAAATGTCCTGTTTGCAATTCCCCTTGTGTTACTTGTCATACAGATGGTGATACATGTGATTCTTGCATTCCTGGATATTTTTATGATACAACTTAAGCACCACCAAAATGTGTATAATGTACAACTCCATGTTTAACTTGTGAATATTCTGTAGCTGCATCAGCTACTGTTTGCAAATCCTGTATATCTGGATATTTTTATGATACTTCTAAAAATCCTGCTGTTTGTACTTAATGTTCAACTCCTTGTGCAACTTGTGAAAACTCTGCTACTGAATGCAGATCATGTAATGACTAAGCATATCATTTAACTAAAACTGCTCCTCTCACATGCACTCAATGTACTGATCCTTGTAAAACATGTAATGCTGATCCAACTGAATGTACTTCATGTCTTGATGGTTATGTTTTACCATCTGGTTAAAATAAATGCTCGGAATGTACAAGTCCTTGTCTAACATGCTAGACTGATTAAAATACATGCTAAAGTTGTATTGATGGATATTTCCTTTCTGGAACTGCTTGTAACCTTTGTGTTAAACCATGTATTAAATGTGTTGATAATTAAAATAAATGTCTAAGTTGTATAACTGGATATTACTTATCTGGAAACACTTGCACATAATGTACATCTCCTTGTGCTGCCTGTACTTCATCTGTTTGTACTGGATGTATTAAAGGTTACTTTTGGGATGGTACAAAATGTACTCAATGTTCTACTGCTTGTACATCTTGTAAGACATCAGCTACAACTTGTTAAAGTTGTTCTCCAGGTTATTTCTTGAATGGAACTGGTGATGGTTGTAATCCATGTTCAACTCCTTGTAAAGAATGTATCACTAATGCTACATAATGTACTTCATGTTCCACAGGAATGTATCTGAGTGGTACTGGATCTAGTGCTACTTGTTTATATTGTCCATCTCCATGTACTATATGCGATGATCAAAATACATGTACAACTTGTGCTGTTGGATACTCCCTAAAGACTAGTGAACATAAATGTTATTAATGTTAAACTCCTTGTCTAACATGTTTAACTTCATCTACTGAATGTGATAAATGTGTTGATGGCTATTATAAAGATGGTAATACTTGTACTATTTGTTCTAATCCTTGTGCCACATGTAATGGTTCTGGAACTAATAGTTGTATATCCTGTGATGATGGATTCTATCTAAATGGAAATACATGTACTACATGTACACTTCCATGTTTAACTTGTTCAACAAATACTATTTGCAAGACTTGTGGAGATGGATTCTTTTTAGATGGCAATTAAGCATGTACAGCTTGTTCTACTAATTGTGTTACATGTGTTGATAGTTCAGGTAAATGTAAAAGTTGCACTAATGGATATTATTTAGATGGTAATAACACTTGTCAATAATGTAATAATCCTTGTCTAACATGTATAACTACAGCAGATAATTGTAAAAGTTGTCCTAATGCTTACTTTTAAGATGGAACAACATGCACTGCTTGTTAATATCCTTGTTATAATTGTAATAATCCAGCAAATAGTTGTTCATCCTGTGTTGATGGATACTATATTTAATCAACTAGTTGTGTTTAATGTCCTGATCCTTGTGCAAAGTGTTCTAATGCATCTACTTGTACAGCCTGTTTAGCAGGATATTATTATGATGGATCATAATGTTAATAATGTTTATACCCTTGTACTATATGTACAAGTTTATCAAATTGTACTGCTTGTGATTCTGGTCAATATGTTAAAAATAATGCATGTGAAAAATGTAATTCAAATTGTTTAACATGTTCAGTGACTGATACTACATGTCTCACATGTCTTACAAATATGTACTTAAAAGTAAATAAAACATGTGATATGTGTTAATCACCTTGTGCTACTTGTGAAACATCTGCAAACAACTGTAAAAGTTGTCTTACTGGTTATTATTTAAATGGTAGTTCATGTCAATTGTGTTTTTCCTCAATAATTAATTGTGCAACATGTGATGATGGTTCAACATGTAAAACTTGTACACCAGGATTTTATTTGAGTGGAAATTTATGTCTCCCATGTTCAACCTCTGTTGATGCTTGTAGAACTTGTTCGATGACATAAAGTAATTATTCTTGTACTGCTTGTACAGTTGGTCTATTTTTGGATGTGAATACTTGCAGTAAATGTCAAGATACCAATTGTTTAACATGTTCAACTACTTCTTCAGCTTGTACTAAATGTTTAACAGGATATTATTTAGATAATGGTGCATGCAGTAAATGTAAGAGTAATTGTACTTCATGCACAAGTTAAAGTACATGTTCATCATGTCTTGTAGGCTATTAATTAAGTAATGATTCATGTAATAAATGCAATGATGTTAATTGTACTTCTTGTGTTAACTCTGTATCTGAATGTTCATTATGCATAATAGGATATTATTTATCTTCAAATGGATGTAGTACATGTCCATCAGGTTGTGCAGCATGTACTAATCAATCTACTTGTTTATCTTGTATTTCTGGATATTACTTATCAAATAATGAATGTAAATAATGCTCTGCTGATATTAATGGTTGTTTATCATGTCTAAGTAATACAAAATGCACAGCTTGTGATCTTACATACTATTTAAAAAATCAATTATGTTCATCATGTGTAGCAGGTTGTAATGTTTGTACAAATGATACTTAATGTATTGTTTGCACAACCAAATGGTATTTAGATTCAAACAAAACATGTACTAAATGTCCTACTGAATGTGCTACATGTTCAAGTGGTTCAGTTTGTCTAACTTGTGTAGCTGATTATAAACTCTAAAATTCTAATTGTATTAAATGCACAGGTTATTCAGATAAATGTTCAGAATGTACAAATGATTTGTGTTCTAATTGTGTATCAGGATATACTTTATTATCTAATACAACATGTGCACTATGTCCATCAAATTGTGCTAGTGGATGTACTAAAAATACATAATAAAATGCTTCATTTTAGACTATTTGTGGAGTTTGTTAAGATACTTATTATTTGAATGAAAATTAATAGTGTAATTCATGTAATACAGGAAGTAACTTTGCTTTAAGATGCACATATGACACTAAAGTAAAGAAAATAACACCAACTTAATGTATAAACAATTACTTCTTAGTCAATAATTAATGTTATTAAGCCTAAACATCTAATACATGTTCAAGACTATTTTAACCTAATGATAATAGTTAAATTAATTCATAATTCTGTTAAGATTGTTGGCCAACTTATTTATAAAGTAATTAAATTTGTTATAGATGTGCTAATTGTGCTGATAATAGTTGTTCATTAGATTAAAATAATAAACCTATTTGTAGTTTATGCAATAATTATTATTACAGTGATTCCAATTAAACTTGTTAATTATGTATAGCAAATTGTGTTAAATGCAGTGGTTCAGGTGTTGATAATTGTTAATAATGTGATACTGGATATTATAAGAGTTCAAGTGCATGTGTTGCTTGTACTACAGACAATAATAATAAAAATACTTGTTTAAATTGTTCAACAGAAAATACTTGTTCTACTTGTATTAATGGATATTATGAATCTAATGGATCATGTTTAGCATGTCAATATGGTTGTAGTTAATGTATTTCTCCAGGAAATGTTTGTTCTGGTTGTATAAGTGGATTCTATTTATAAAATGGTGGTTGTGTTAAAGATTAAGGAAATTGTTTAGATAATTAATAAAATCAAACTAATGGTTGTTATGTATGTGCATATGGTTTCTATCCAATTAATGGATGGTTATCATAATCAGGTTAATCATAAGTTGTAGATAATTCTTGTGTCTAATGTATCTATCCATAAGCAGCAGTATATATTATTTATTATTATTAAATTAGTTTGTTTGCAGAACTAATCCATCTGACAATTAAGTTTAAAGTGCTACCTATGGATCTGTATCTTCAGTCAAAAATTCTAATTATTTCAAAACAGCTGCTCCTTTAAGTTCCACAAGACAAACAACTGCATAATGTAAAATTGGATCATTTTGGACTGGATAAAGTTGTATGCCATGTCCAACAGTCATTAATGGAATTTGTTCATCCTGTAATAACTTTTCAACTTGCACTTAAATATAATGTAATCCTTAATATTACTTAATCACAATCAAAAATATTTAATAATGTGCATAAATACCACCAGGATGTACTGAAATGTAATATTCTGATAAAACAGTTTCTTTGGCATGCACTAAATGTAATTCAGGATATACTTTAATTGGTAACATATGTATTTCTATAAATGGATGTTTAACTATTGATTAGAATAACGGAGCATGTACTTAATGTACAAATGGATATTACTTTAATTGGGATTTCATATTACAAACTTCTAAGAGTTCATTGACAACTAATACTTATTATTATCAAAATTTCAATCCATTTTGTAGTAAATGTAATACAGGTTGTGCCTTATGTCCATCATAATATACTTGTACTTAATGTTTACCTGGATACTTTTGGTATTAATCAACACTAACAACAAATTCATATTCCTTTAAGACTTATACAAATGCTTAAACAACTGCTTCTGGTTAATGTGTTGCTTGTCCAAAGAATTGTTTAACTTGTTCAAGCTCAACTGTTTGTACTGCCTGCAATACTAATTTCACAGTAGATCCTAACTCAACTAATGGTGATTGCATATGTTCTTCACCTTTTACATACAATCAAAATACTTTAGCATGTGAAATGCCTACAGTTAATTCTACTTGTTCTTATGGAGGATGTATTTAGTGTAATTCTGATAATACCTAATGTCAAGCATGTAGTCCATAATATGCTTTAACAAGTACAACTACATGTACATAATGTTTGAATTGTAATTCATGTAACACTTAACCTGGAACTTCAAATCCAACTTGTTTGGAATGTGCAGATGGATATTATAAAGTTTAAGCATATGATGGAGCTCCTATCACTTGTTAGTTATGTTCATAATCTTTGAATAATGCTTTAAGATGTTAGGGTATTTTAGAAAATTAAACTCAATTAACCATTATTTAATGTGCAGATAACTACTTTTTATTTGGAAATGCATGTTATTAAGTTGGTAGTTCAAATTGCTATACTATTACTAATAGTAATAGTCAATCTTGTTAATAATGCCTTCCTGGATATACCTTATATGGAAATAATTGTGATTAATGTAATACCAAGATTATTAACTGTTTGACTTGTACTTAAAATCAAGATTCAACTGGATTAATATGTTAATCATGTGTAAATGGTTATGTTTTAAATACTAATACAAATTCATGTTAATAATGTCCCAGTGGATGCTAGAATTGTGCAATCACTAGTTCTACTGTTCCATATACTTTTTCATGTAGTACTTGTGCTAATGGAAATTATATTGATATCAATGGAAATTGTTAGGGATGTCCTTATGATTGTAAAACTTGTGATTCAAAATATGTAACTATATATATCTTATTATTTAGAATTGTACCACTTGTAATGATGGATATTATTTAGTTCAATCCTCCATCACATTTAATACTAAATCCTATGTGTTTAAACCTTGTTATCCTTGTTAAAACAATTGTGGAACTTGTACTGGACCCAATGGCAATATTTGTTTAACTTGTAATACTGGTTTCGTTCTTTAAAATGGAGGTTGTATCGATTTAACTTTGAAAATTCAAAATGATTCATAAACCTATAGTTTAGCCAATTGTTACACTTCTGATTCCACTGGTTGTACTGTATGCCTAGCAGGATTTTTCTTAGATTAATAAAAGGTTTGCCAAGAATGTGTTTCACCTTACAATAATGTAATTAAATTAGTATTATCTTTTTTAGTTTGTTTGTGGCTTAAAAGCAGTATCTCCAACCAATCCAACTAATCCAACTAATCCTGATAATCCAAATCCTACCAATCCAGATACTCCTATTCCAATTGGAGAAACACCTATTCAACCTCCAAGCAAATATGGTTTCATGCTTGGCATACTAATTTTGATAGTCACGATTTGAGATTTATAGTGTATCAATTAAAATTATAAAATATAATTTTTCTAAATTTAGTTTTTAATCACTTTTTACAAATCTTCTCTATTCTTCTAATATTATGATTTTATATTATTTATTTTACTCATATTATTAAGTTTATTTTTATTTAAGAGATTTAAGAAATCAGTATAATTTTTTATATATCATATGATAATTTTATCTTTCTAATATAATTATCGAGTTATCGAAAACAATATAAATAAATATTTCATCTCAATTGAAAAATAGTAAATTACTTAAATATAGAAATACTAGACTTTTAAATGAGGAACATTAATTATAAAGCAAAATAATGTATATATACTTAAAATAAATCAAATTTATTTAAAATTCTTTATTGATACAAAAATGATAATTTATATATCTCAGTTCTGTGTATGATTTTTATTCTATGCTAATGCATTCAATTCTATAGAACAAATTCTTAAACAAAATTGAATCCAAACTTTGAGAACAAATTCATATGATCTTTATAATTTATACTTAGGTTCATGATATTCATTATATTAATTCTATATAAATTGAAAAATATGATTTCTAGGAGTTTTGAATGGAGAAACATTTTAATAATAGATAGTTATCTTTGAGAAGAATCAGTTATTCAAAGTTATATGGAAGAAAAATAAATTTATATAAGATTTTAGAAGTAATCAATCAATAACAAATATTCTTAAGTATTTGGTAAACTAAAACATATGCTAAAGGAATTGAATAGAAAGTTTTAAAAGAAAGTAAGTATTATTTTGAAAAGAATATTTGGAAAGAAAAGGGGGAAATGTGGATAATTAAAGGAAACTTGTATCAATATAATTTAGAATTATGAACACAAGAAGAGGGGGATGGAAATATTGTAGTTTTAAGGGAATAGATAAAATATATCTTGATTAATAATTTTTTTAATAATAATGAATAAAGTACTCATCGCCTCAATTCTACTAATTGGAGTTTTGGGATAATAATCACCACCTCTAGATTGCACATATTTAAGTTGTTTAGCTACTGGTGCTTTGAAAGTTGGTTAATCCACTCGTCAAGCATACTATTGCATGAATGGTATTATTCTATATTAAATAAAAGGTTACTATTGGGCTGGACAATCATGCTAACCATGTCAACCAATAGAGGGAGGTTATTATCAGTGTACAGATTATTACTCAACTGGGTCTTTAACTTGTAGTCCAGGATGGACATAGCTAAATGGGTAGAGAATTTTAATATAAATTTAGAATATGTGTGAATATGCCAAATGGATGTTTGAGTTACTCATTAAACACAGAAGCAAATGCCTATGTGTGTGGTAAATGTGACTCAGGTTTCAGTTTGATTGCTGGAGTATGTGTTGAGAATTAAGCCTGTTCAGTGTATAGTAGTACTCGATATGTGTGTTCTCAATGTAAAGCTGGATATTTCTTAAATTGGGATTATATTCCCTCAGTATCAAGCTCATCAGACTAATACTACAATTATTTCGATGGTTTTTGCAGTCCATGTGGTATTGCAGGATGTTAAAATTGTCCATCATTGTATTAATTAAATATTATTATATAGAAACACTTGCACATAATGTGTTGGTGGATACTTCTGGTCATTCAGTGGATTGACAACAGGATCAACAACAGATGGATCTGGAACATGTTAAAGATGTTTAGATTATTGTACAAGTTGCACTAATGGTTCAAATTGTTCTTCATGTTTAGATGGTTATTATCTTAGTACAATTAATGGAGTAACAGTAAAAATAAAAAAAATATTTAATTTTAGACTTGTGCATCATGTTTACCAAGTCTTACTTGTATAAAATGTTCAAATGGAACATCATGTTCAGCATGTGCAAGTGGATATGTATTGATAGGTTCAACAACTTGTTAAAAATTACCTGATGGCTGCACTTAAATGGATAATAATTAAAATTGTACATCTTGTATTAGTACATATGTTTTAAATACTTAAACTCCAAAAACTTGTACTCCATGTGGTACTGGATGTGCATCATGTACAATTAATAGTACTACTGTTTCATGTACAAAATGCTAAGAATTTTATTATGGAATAAAGGATAGTAATGGTGTAGTAAGTTGTTCAGCTTGTAATTCATATCCATAATCAACTGGATGGTTAAGATGTGGAGGTCCAAATGATACTCCTTCATATTCAACAGTTTAAGTTACTTAATGTGTAGATGGATACTTTTTAGTCAATATTACTACAAATAATATTTCTACTCCAACATGTATAGCTGCTGTACAAATACAGGCATGTTTGACTTTGACTAACACATCTACTAATACAAATAATGTTTGTGCCACATGTGTTAAAAATTTCAATTCATATGAAGGTGGGTCTTGTTTATCTTGTCCTCCTTAAGCTGGAGCAAAAGTATAACTCTCTGCATAATGTAATAAATGTAATGGATCATCTTCTACTGAAATTACATGTTCTGGATGCTCATAAAAATATTTCTTATAAGCAGCAAGTGCAGCTTCTACTGCAACTTGTGCAACATGTTCTGCAAGTGGTGGTTGTTTAGAATGTTCTTCCAATACTAATTGTACTAAATGCAATATTGGTTATTACTTATAAGGAGCAGCCTGTTAACCATGTTAAACTAATTGTGCATAATGTGATAATTCAACAGTAATTTTTAATTTAATTTTTAGTCTTGCAAAGCTTGTATGGATGGTTATTTCCCTTATTCTGGTATTAAGACTGCCTAAGCAGTTTGTGTTGCTTGTTAATTTGGTTGTGCAACATGTGCATCACCTGGATAAGTTTGTTTAACTTGTATTGATGGATATGTCTTCTAATAAGGAGGTTGTGTTCCTCTTAATTAAGCAAATTGTGCTGTAAAATTGAATTCAACAATCGCAACTGATAAACCTTATTCATCTTCTGGATGTTCTATTTGCAAATATGGATTCCATATGATCTAAAATCGTTGCTTCTAATCAGTCTAACCTTATGCTGGAGTATTTATTATATATATTTTTTATAGTATGCTTATGGATAAACAACTAATGTAACTACTGACTTGAACTACAAAAATGACACTATTATATATGCTCAACTATTAGTGGCTAGTTTTATCATGTTAGTTTTCACATTATGATCAATTATAATAATGATAATCATAAATATTTAAATATTTATAATTGCACATATATATATATAAAATATCACACTTCTTTACGAGGACCCCATTTCAATTTTTATAACCTTTATTTCATAGAGAAATTTTATCTCTTCATTTCAAATTTAATAAATGATTTCTTTATTGGTTTATCTCTCTTATATCTATACATCATGTCTTCTTGATTATCAGGCATAGGTTCTCCTCTCTCTTTCATATCTCTTACCCATGAATGCATATTCCTTATTTAACCATATTGACTCAATACAAAATTGACTTATTGTACTTCCACTTATGCAACCATAGCTATTTCTTTTTTTTACTTATTATTAGTATACCATATATACATCTCCAGTCAAATCATCTGGATTCAACAATTCTTCATCAAACATGGCATTTAAGACTTATCTTTATAGTGTTAATTGTTATTCAGTCTCTTCATTACCAGAAGAGATTTAATACTTGAATCCCTTTTTTAATTTGTGTAATCCATCGAGTGCTCTTTGTCTAAAATCAATAAGTGTAAATTGTGGCTATGTGCAATTGTGAATATACTTTGCTAGCTAAGAATTCCAATTCTTTTTTGAATTCTTATTTTTAATTGTCTTGTTGTTTCTTTTATAATTTGTCTGCAAATCTATTGAATTAATAGAGAGATTATTGTTAAAATTGGATGACTTTCTATGCAAATAATTTAATCATTATTATATTTTTTATATTATTTATTTATATCAATGATGACTTTCCTTCTTGCCTGGTAACAATTTGGATAAAAATCCATGATCATCCTTTTCTCCTTCAGGCAATTTGAAACTCTTCTTAATTTTATAATAGGGAGGTCCCCAATTCTTTTCTAAATAGATATCAATAAAGGCCTTCTTGAAATTCTTGCACCAATTATAATATCTTGAATAAATTAGAAAAAATTACCTCAAAGCAGCCAAGAATCCTCCATTAGAGAAGTAGAGGTTATGCCATGCATTTTCATTATTGTATTTGTGACATAAGAATGTGAGTGTATTTTAACCTAAAATGATTGGAACTTTGCTATATCCATCATATTCAGCATTAAGTGATTTTCCAGCAATATTTCTTTCAATATTATTTCTAACAACATGAAGTTAATGGAATCCAGCCCAGAAACAATTTGTTGTTGGAAGATCATTAACATCACCAAGTCCAAAAATATTCTTGTATTTATTATGTTACAATGTTTTAATGTTAACATCCAATAATCCTTTTGATGTTGTTAATCCAGCCTTGACAAGTGGTTCATGAGCTTTTGTTGGAGCAACAGCATAGAGATGATTGAAATTTCTTGTTTACTTATTTCCAGTCTTGACATCCTCGAAAGTAGCAGTATTGTATTGTTTATTTACTTCAACCAATTTGAGTCCATATTCAACATTGATATTTCTGCGTTTTAATTCTTCTTTGAAGAATGAATCTCCAGCATCATTATATTGAACAAATCGTTCATTGGGTTAGATGATAGTTAATTTTTTGATTGGAGATTGACGTCCATTTGCTGTTTACCATTCCCAAATTCTTTGACTTAATAAAAAGTTATAAGATTCAACTTCACCACTGAATGGAAATTGAGGAATACAAAAATATGCTTCACCATGATTGAAATTGTAATGCCATCTAGTATATTTATGATTAGAGGATCTCCAACTTGGATGATCAAGGTTAGTGAAAACTGGTGTATCGAAATCTTACCAAGCTTCTTCAAATCCTTTGATAGCATTGTAATTGACTTGCTGACCTATTGGAATATATTTAGGATAATACCCATAGCAACAACCAATTAATTATAGCCAATTCTACGACCATTACGCAAAACAATGGCATTCTCTTCAGGTAATATTGTTTAACATCCAACTTGATCTGAATGAGCAGTGTACATGTTAAGTGATAATTTGGCATTAAGTAAGAAATCTGTCTTGGCTGTCTTCTATTATTCATAAATCTATCTAATTGGAGTAATTTGATTGATATTCTAATCAAGTACAACCATAATCTTATATTTTCCATGAGAAACCTATCCCGATATAACATTACAAATCTACCTTATCAAGTTGTCTACTCAAAACTCCTCCTAAATTGCAACCAATTACCACTATATCATAATGGTCTAAATCCTTCTTTGTTGGCTTACGCTTGTTGAATACTCCTGCAAAGAAACGAGGAGTCAGCGAATGCCTCAATTGCATTCCAGATATGAGCATATTTAAATTAATCAAAAATATCTATGTTAACAATTATAACTTAAATATGTATTCATAAAATCAATATACTCAATTTAATCTATATCATCAAAACTCAAAGTTTACATATAAATGATATTATTATATCCTTATAAACTTAGTGTTTGCAAATTCAAATGATATAAATAAATTCATTTATGAACCATAGATAACTTAAATATAATACTATGTATATATCTTCATCCATATATATTTTGAATAAATTCTAATAAGGATATCATAATCTATCCATTAAATATTAATTTATTTTTATTATCTAACAATTCACTATTTTATATTATAATAGCCAAGTTAAATATATTAAATCAAAAAAGTTGAAATAGTAGAATTAATCACACTTAATATTTGTTATGATTAATCTAATTTTTACTATCTTTCTATTATTTATATCTATCAGTAGAGAAGGAATGCATTAACGGTCCTATCAAAATTCTTATTTACTTTATAATGTTTTTGATAAATGATAGTTGATATGAATTGTAAATTGTGTTATTAAGCCTTAAGAAAATATTTAGTTGTTCTTATAAATTTAATTTGATAGAAAGCAATAATATAAATGAAAGAATAGTATTGATGTATTTGTGTCGCATGTCAAAGTTCGCAATTAGAACTTTTACATAATTATTTTGAAAATGAAGTAAAATCGATTTTTATAAAATCCTTCTGTTATTATTTAGAACGAATCAGATGATGATAATTGATACTTCAGAATAGCTGCAATACTTTCACTTTCTAACTCACCTAAAATGTGAAATAATTAATAACTTAGAACATGTAATGTCAAATAAACAATAGCCTACTTTTTGTAATTTTCTAATTCTTTCTCTATTGTCAAAGGTAACTTAACCATTATTACAAAATTTGAAGCCTAATATTTTTGTTGGTCTAAAAATAGATAAACAATTGATAAATAAAAAATGGTGATGTAAAGTGTTATAGCAATTATAATATACTTTCAAAATCTGACTTCAGTTAATAATTTAAATTATAATATAAATCAATATTTCATATAATATCTCATTTTTCCAATTTTGAATCCAGCAAATATTTTTTAATCCATAAAGTCGTTTTATTAACTAAAACAACATATAATTTAAAATTCGAATCAGTGGACATCAGACCAATTCTTATTCAATCGTAGAGTACAGATAATACAATAGGTTACTTTATATAAAAAATTGTGTTTAAAGAAGATAATATTCATGAATCAGATTCACTTCTATAAGATCTTTTTTGCCAAATCACTCTTGTATTTTTAAAAAGTCTAATATGACATCTAATTTCCAAAGGATTTATCCACAAATATCTAAATTACATTATTACATTAGCTATTCCAAATTACAGTCTAAGGTTCTTCCGAGATCTCAATACTATTAATATTTAATTGTTCAGATCCTTTAATTTTATCATTTGTATTCATCTTTATGTAGAGATTGACAGGTAAGTTAATTTTGGAAAATTATTTAATAAAAATATTCACTTTAGACAACTCAAAAGCAGATTAAAACTGCATAACTTTACTATTTATAGAAATACATACTCAATAAATCAAAAGAAGTCATTATACTAAGCTGTTTTATTTTGATGCTTATAAAACTGAACTAATTATAAAAACGATATTAATATATATGCCACAGAAACAAATATCATAAATTATTTTAAGGAATTACAATAAAAATAAATTTTATAGTCTGTGAGTTGTAACATTAAATGAGAAGAAAATGATAAAATTAAAAATGCATATTCTAATTTTGAGTAACTGAAGTCATTTTAGTTTTTCTTTCTTTTTTATTATCGAGTTCGATTACATTAATTCAGAAATAACTTTAAAAATTATAATTTATTATAGACAACTCTGAAAATGATAATTATCTTTACTAATTTATTAATTATATAAATTATTGCCTTTATTTTATTCGCAAATATTTAAGTTTTTTAAATTGTTATTATGTTTATTCTGGAGGAAAATAATATTAATCTTGTGTTAATCTAGTCTCTAGTTTTTATGATCATATTTTAGATAAGACTTACTTTGAATATTTTTTCTAGAATATAGAAAACCAAAATCAATGACATCTTGTCTTTTATTCCAAATTAAAATATATAATTTCAGACAGATTTAATAAGAAACTCTATAAAACTCATTTAATCTAAAAGATTATTCAAGTAATAATACGATTTAAATAATGTTCTATTATGTAGATCAAAATTATATATTGACACTAAACGAAATTAATATATATGTTTATAATAAGTTATAAACATTATTAACTAAGAGATTTTTATGGGCTTCATCAAAAGAGTTCCTTTAATTTTTTGATGAAGCAGTCCTTCAAATGAATAGAAATTCTAGAGCCCTTAAGAAAACCAAACATACTCTTTGGTTGTGAGATAATAAATTGCTTTGAAATATCGTTTTCCAGTTTGAACCATGTAAAGCAATATCAAAAATAAAAGAATAGGAAGAATTAACTTAAAAATGGGATGTCTCTTTGAAAGAGTCTGATATAATAAATATAGTATTAGTTTATATTAATAAAGTAGATTATTATTTTCGAAATCATATTTTTAGATCTATATCATTATAAAGTCATTGTGATGTATTATCTATTACATCAAAGTGATATATGTAAATCATATAGTTTTAATTTGATAGTATTTACTTAAATGATGTATTGTTTTTTAAGGCAAGAAATCAAGAATTTTGCGTAGTAAATATTGATGTATATCTAATTGATTTTAGTTAAATGAGATGAGCATATTTAATTCATCCAAATGATACTTGAACTTTATTAAAATAAATAATTATAAAAAATGCAAAACCGAATTACAAATGCTAATCAAAATTATAAAATATTTGCCAGGGTTAGACCAATTGATTACTAATAGAAGATGGTTGATTTCACTAATGAAAGCATTTCAATAAGAGTAGAGAAAATATTTTATTTTAGGATCCAACTAATAAAAATGCTGAAAGCAAGATTGTTTCATTTTCTTCTGTATGTACTACTTAGGAACATGCCTTTAAAGTTATTGAGCCTATGTTACAGAAATTAATTGAAGGTCATAATTCTTGTGTTTTGAGTTATGGATAAACTGGAAGTGGGAAGAGTTACACATTATTTGGATAGGAAGGTGAAGAAAATAAACCTGACAAAAAGGGTATTATAACAAGAGCAATGGAATATCTTCTTTCTAAATCATAAGAATTTGAAGAAATTCGAGAATTCGTAATAACTGTTAGTATGGCTGAATTATTTTTGGATTAAGTGAGAGATTTGGGTAAGGCATATTAATCCCGTTAATCTGGGAATGCAAATCAAATAATTTAGAATTATGAGAATGAGAATCTCACCATATATGAAAATACAAATGGATAAATAATGATTAAAGATCTTACATCAGTACCAATAAGATCTGCTTAAGAATTGACTGATATGATATAAATGGGTTTTTAATTAAGAGAGAAATTAGAATAGTAAAGTAAATAATTTGGATAGAAGTGTCACACAATTATAACTTTGAATTTGGTTTAAAAGGATAAGGAAAATGAGAATTTACCATTTATGAATGCATTCATTTAATTTGTTGATTTGGCAGGATCAGAAAGAATAGCAAAGAGTTTAACATAAGAAGGATAGTTCTAGGAGGCAATTTTAATTAATTAAAGTTTGACTGCCTTATCAAAATGTTTGACTGCTATTTCTCAAATGAATTCTAAAAATATTCCATACAGAGACTCTAAGTTGACGAGGATCTTATAAAATTGTCTCAATAGTTAAAGTTAAGTAGCATTAATGGTACATATAAATCCAAATGAAAATAATTTTGAAGAATGTTTGTCTGCTTTATAATATGCAGAAAGGACTAAAGGGGTGACAGCAGCTTAGCCTATTGATGATAATCCTAATTAGCCTGGTCCTTTTCCTGGTTAAGATAAATTGATTAAGAAATTGTAAGATGAAAATACTGAATTAAAATCGAAGATAGATTATATGTAGAAGGAACATAAATAAAAAATATCAGAAATTTAAACATTATTAGGAATTGATGTAGATTTAGAGAAACTCTTTGCTAAATCAAGTGCTTAAGAATTATAGAAATTCAAAATTTAGAAGGATGCTATGTAGAAAGTAGAAACTCTTTAGAATTATGTAAAAGAGGCAGATTAAATGATTGATAAATTGTAGAAGGAGAAAGAATAATTAAAAAAAGATGAGAATATTAAATTAGAAAGATAGTAATGCAGGATTATTGAATTAAATGAAGATATCAAAAAGTTGAAAGAAGAGAAAGCAGAAAAGAAATAATAATTAGAATAAATTGAATAAGAAAAAAATGATAAGATTTTAGAAACAGTGAAAAAATAATTAAAGGAACATTAAGAAGTGATTGAGAAGAAGGTCAATGTTATTATAAATTTACCATAATCAATTTAAGCCAAGACTTAAGAAGTATAAAAACATGAAGATATTAAAAGATTAGCAAAACTTGAATTAGAAAAAGAGTAAGAATTATAATTATTCTTAATTAGGTATAAATAATAAATGGAAAATTTAAAGGCAGAATATGCAAAGTTTTTATAAGATAGTACAGATTAATATGAAAAATATTTACAAAAAAAAAATGAAGAAATAGATCACTTTATTCATTAATTTAAAAAATATTAAGAAAAAAAGAAGTAATCATTTAAACATTATTTTTATAGAATGTAAATAAGAGATATGAAGTAAGAGTTATTTGAATTGTATGAGATTGTTACAAAAACATTTAGAGTTATAGAGAAAATAGAGAATGGAGCATATAGTTCTGGAATAAGATCATTTAATATTCCAGCAATGGATAAACCAAATATTCCAACTAGAAACAAATTTAAAAAGTATATTTATTTATTAACTTTATAGTCTATTTAAATATCTTGATTAAAGAAGTTTAAAGAATACTAAATAAGATGGAATCAAAGAAAAGGTCCTTTTGAAACCTTTGTAAATGTCATAATTTCTACTCCATAATGATATCAAAATGAATCTTACAGAAATGCAAGAACCTACACTTAGATAGTTTGCTAGTATGATAAGAGATGAATTAGTCTAAGTTTTAGCAAGAGAGAAAGAATTGTAGAAAAGAGTTAATGAATTAGAGATGCTTCAATCAAATAATGATTTAAACACTTTAATCAAAGAAAGAGATGAATATAAATAATTGTACTTATAAGAAGTGAAAAAAGTGAATTAATCAAAAAGAATTATATCTGGTAAATTTGAATCTCAACCTAATGTTTTGATTAGACCCTTAACTTAATAACATTCAAGATATAGATTATGATTTACAGAATTTGATAAATTAATAAATTTTAATTACAATCATTCAATTTAAGGCTCTTCCTATGTTTACCATCCGCTTAAATCAGCGATAGGCTAAAAACAAGTACTACCTTAGATTGGTTATGATTCTTGTGTTAATTTTTATTCAAGTAAATTTTGAATAAACTTTTTCCTTCTCATACGAATGAATGGATGCCATGGTTTAGTTTCCTATTATTACTAAGATGTTTAAATATATTATCCTCCTTTTTTTAAATAATGGGAATGTTTTAAGGTAACTTATCCATTATCTAAATGAAAACAATTTCTTTTAAACTTAGGACTCTCAAAAGTACAGTTTTTATTATTCTAAAGAACTCTATGAGAATGGATAACCATAGGTTAATATAATTAACTCATTAAAATCTTGTTGTCTTAAAACTGGATAATCATTTGCTACTAATCTTTTGTATCTTCTTACACTAACTATGTAATCTACTTGCAATATTTCTCTATTAATTTTATGATTATGGTTTTGGAGTCAAGAGCATTGGACTTAAAATCTTGTTTTGTATCATACGTATATTTGATCTGATCTATTTGTTTAACATGGATTCCATATATAGACAATCAACAGATGTGCTGCCTTTGGATTTTTTCATTAAAAATATAAAATTAATTCAAAATATAAATATCTCTTATCATCAGTATAAAAATAAAGATACAATCATGTCATCTTTTCATTTTCTATACAATTTTTGATACTTTTACATCATTGTAATCTTAATTCAGATTAGAAGAATGATAATCAATTTTTTTAGGAGGTCCTTCNCCATAATGATATCAAAATGAATCTTACAGAAATGCAAGAACCTACACTTAGATAGTTTGCTAGTATGATAAGAGATGAATTAGTCTAAGTTTTAGCAAGAGAGAAAGAATTGTAGAAAAGAGTTAATGAATTAGAGATGCTTCAATCAAATAATGATTTAAACACTTTAATCAAAGAAAGAGATGAATATAAATAATTGTACTTATAAGAAGTGAAAAAAGTGAATTAATCAAAAAGAATTATATCTGGTAAATTTGAATCTCAACCTAATGTTTTGATTAGACCCTTAACTTAATAACATTCAAGATATAGATTATGATTTACAGAATTTGATAAATTAATAAATTTTAATTACAATCATTCAATTTAAGGCTCTTCCTATGTTTACCATCCGCTTAAATCAGCGATAGGCTAAAAACAAGTACTACCTTAGATTGGTTATGATTCTTGTGTTAATTTTTATTCAAGTAAATTTTGAATAAACTTTTTCCTTCTCATACGAATGAATGGATGCCATGGTTTAGTTTCCTATTATTACTAAGATGTTTAAATATATTATCCTCCTTTTTTTAAATAATGGGAATGTTTTAAGGTAACTTATCCATTATCTAAATGAAAACAATTTCTTTTAAACTTAGGACTCTCAAAAGTACAGTTTTTATTATTCTAAAGAACTCTATGAGAATGGATAACCATAGGTTAATATAATTAACTCATTAAAATCTTGTTGTCTTAAAACTGGATAATCATTTGCTACTAATCTTTTGTATCTTCTTACACTAACTATGTAATCTACTTGCAATATTTCTCTATTAATTTTATGATTATGGTTTTGGAGTCAAGAGCATTGGACTTAAAATCTTGTTTTGTATCATACGTATATTTGATCTGATCTATTTGTTTAACATGGATTCCATATATAGACAATCAACAGATGTGCTGCCTTTGGATTTTTTCATTAAAAATATAAAATTAATTCAAAATATAAATATCTCTTATCATCAGTATAAAAATAAAGATACAATCATGTCATCTTTTCATTTTCTATACAATTTTTGATACTTTTACATCATTGTAATCTTAATTCAGATTAGAAGAATGATAATCAATTTTTTTAGGAGGTCCTTCCAAAACTTCTAAATCAATTCCATCATCAAAAGATTTTAATTTCTTAAATTCTTCTTTAATTTAATTCACTAATAAGGTATTGATTGTTTATTAATAATTTTATTAATTTGAAAAATTATTTTTTACAGCATATCTACTTCCACCTAAATGTATATATTTTGGTTGCATTCTTGAATTTACTGATTAAACTATCCTATTCCTTCTTTCTTAATTCTATTTAATCTAATTGTGATCAACACTTTTAAACTCTAATTATCATATAATATTACAAATATCATCATAAATTGGTATATCATTATTCATAATATCAAATGTTTGATGTTAAATACTACAAGTTTGATTCAATTAATTGAATTATTCTAACATCTATTTATTCCTTTTTCTATTTTCTTATTAAGACTTTGCTCTTTCTCTTTAAGAAACATCTGTAGGTTATCTTTCTTTATTAAATGCGTCATTGATATATGTTTTTATCAAATCCTAAATATATGAATTAAAATTCAACTTATCTATTTTCAGACTCTATCTTTTCTTCAGGTTTATTTGTTAAAACATTAACAGTTCTCATAAAGTTATGAAATTTCACATATTTTTTAACTGCTTATGGATTTAGACTATTTCTTCTATTAACTAGTTAATTTCCTATAATTTTCTTACTTTTTTATTGTGGAGTTTCTAGAAACATAGAAAATCGTCTTGATTCTGGTAAATTTGTTGCAATTGATTAAGACATTTTCGTATCATAATCATTGAACTTTTTATCTAATCTATTGACTAAACCTCCTTTTTTATTTGTAGTTTTGATGGATATTTAAGGTTTACTTATTTGACTTGAAGATTGATCTGGTGTTCTTGATTGAAGCTATGATTTTCCTCTTTTATTTGAATTTTCTATTTCATCAAATACCAAATTCAAATTTTGCCAATTTAAGACAAAATGATAATTTGTGATTTCTCCCTAGTCTGCTGTATGTCTTTTGAAAACATTATCTTTTTTTGGAGTTACATAAGACTACCCAGATCTTAAATGTTATAAATCAATAATTGCATTATATTCCTTAATTTTTTCTTAAAAGAATTCTTTGGTTCTATCAAGAGTAATGCCTCTTTTTTAAACCATCTCTCTGGCTCTTTCACTTTCTAAAATTTATTATAATTCAGGAGAGATTTATTTTAATTGATGATCCTCTATAGAGTGTTTTAATTGTTCAATAGGATATATAATACTTTTAAATTGTGGCTAAGCTCCTTTAAAACTTTGGAATAAAAGATGATAATACCCATAAGATTCAAGAATTTTATTAGTAATCTAATCAGACATTAACAAAAAATAACTAATTAAAAACTTAATTATAGAGAAACAAATAAAAAATAGATAAATAATATAACATACAATGATCTCATGGCTTAATAGAAATAAAATTATATGCATCTGATCTTGTGCAGAACATATTACCATTCTCTCTAAATTTAGAATTAGTTACAATAAATCTATCATAACCACCTATTTAAACAATGAGAGCACCTCCAACCCAACTCGAATTTTAAGCTATAAGATTAGTAATATAAAACTTAATATTTCTGATAGATGAGAATTCAGATTCTAATAATTAAAGCAATTCATTTTTAAATCTCAATAATAAATTTGGTATTTTCCTTGCTCCCCCTGTAATTACAATATTTTATGCCATTTTAGTAATAATATCTCTATCTTTTATTTAAGAAACAATCTTTAAAAATCCATATGCTATATTTGATTCCTCTTCTTTATAATTACCAAAATATGTATCAGTATAACATTTTGCCAATTCAAATTCTGAAATTTCTGCATGTCTTAATTTAATCTTCTATTTTTCATCAACATCTCCTGGATTTAAGACTTTAGAATATTTAACTGCAATATCTTCCAATTACTCCCATGAATAATCTGGTAATAACATCTAAACTCTTTTGGCTGAATCCTTACCTCCTTCTCCTATATAACCTGTCTAATGTAATAATGAATATCCATCGTAAACAGCACTAACAGTTGATGCATTATATCCTAAATCAATTACAAAACCTGAATAATGTCCTGTCATGTAAAGAGGAAGTATATTACCAATTAAAAATGCTATCTTTGCTACCTCAAATTTATAAAATAGCACATATGCTATAACATTATACATTTCTTCATTGTTATAATAATTATATATCAAAGCTACTGATCTTCCTTTTAAATTACATACCATATCAACATTAAATATTTAATACAATTTCTCTTCCACTGTCAATTCATATGATAATCTTGATTTCTAAAGGGGTTTCTCAAAATTCAATTTGATCACCTTTTTAGGTTGAGTATCTAATGAAAACCCCACTTTTGTATATGCACATCCAATCTCTAATATTACTTCATATTGTCTTGATTATTTGTCTAGACTCATTTAATTATTAAATTAATGAACTAAAATAGACTAACATATGATATATAAAGAAGAAAAGAAAGAATGACGAATTACTTTATGGAATAATAGTAATTTTAAGATTTCACTAAACCTGAAAATCCAATCAAAATTTTAAATCCAAATAAGGCTCCTTAACAATTAGAATCTCCTTTGGTCAATTAAGTCAAATTTTATTTTTAAAATCGTGTTAATAGATTAGAATTTACGTAATTATTTGAAGGAAGAGAATCTTTTACATAAATGTTCGTGACTATTCTCTTTACAACACTCTAAATTCTAATTTTTGGCTTTGCCGCATATTATTTAAATTATATAGGCAAAACTTTTATATGTTTAGTAATATTAGTGAATGGATTTCATATATTAGGATTACATGTGTTTTATTTTTCAAGTACTTTATAATTATTAATCAAATAGAAAACTCTGATAAAGCCTTGGCTTACTTTTTCATAGTCTTAATATTGTAATTCCTTCTCTGTAATCAACTTTGGGGAGGAGGGTTACTCAATAATATCTTTACTACATGTTATGTAGTGTATAATGGATATAAATTCGTAAGATAATTACCAGTTTCACCTCCAAAATGCAATTAACTATTATAAACATCTACATAATTCTTTTTTTATAATTTACTTGTTTCATTGAAACTAACTACAATAAGTAAAAGAATTATTAATTTCCTCTTTTTTTTGATACCTGTGTATATATTCATCTTCTTAATTGATTTTTTTTATCAGTAATAAAGAATAACAACAAGAAAGATTCTATTGGCTGGCATTCTTGATTTAATATTATAATTTTCAGAAGGAATGATAATAACTTTTAAGAAATATTATGTTTTTAATCTATCGAGAAAGGCTGATCAATTACCACTATTTATTTATCCATTGTGTTTGTAAAATAATTAATAATAAGAAATTGCATCAATTAATTATGTTAATTCTCTTTAAAATGATGATAAAGTTTTTAATTAAAAAATGTTATTTAGATTAGAGGGATGTCAACCACCAACTATTGCAGATATAATGTAATCTTATTATTATGAAAAATTAAAATAATATGTTTAAGAAATTTAAACTAATTTTTCATAAATTTAAAAGTTATTAAATGAAAAAAATAAAGTTAGAACTCTTTTTGAAGATATAACACTTCCATTTACATTTATTAAATATTATTATATGACTTATAGAATTAAAAGGTAATAACGAAAACTTATTAAATTGTATTACTTTATTTTTAAATCTTTTGATTCATTCTAAAAGGAAAGCCAATATGAAGCTGAATGTTTGAGATTTAATGTATAAAAATTGTTGAATATTTTTAGGTTTAATTAATATCCACAATTCAATAGAACTAATTTGAAGAACCTAAAATTATAAATATATGCAAAAGATTAGCCAAAATTTCAGAAAGACATATGAAACATGAGATATTTTAATTATTATTATCATGAGTTTAAGATTATTATTACCAAAATTAGATATCAGTGTTCGAACTACTAGTCATAGTCCATTCCAATATCCATCTGATGAAGAGATTTTTCTATATAATGACAATAGGTTTAAAAAATAACTCTCATTTCATAAGTCAAATACAAAAGTTTGGAATAAGGAAACTGCAACAAGTAGAACCTAATTGACTAGATTTGAAGTATATAGTTCTTTTATTATTTAAAGAAAGTAAGTACACCTTATGATGAAAATTACACAAAAAATAATAAACTATTCAAAGAAAAGGATTAACAAAAAATTAAAGATGCTTTGAATATAATTAAAGAACGTAAATTAGAAAAAGAAGAGTAAAACAAAAGAGGGATTACTTTAGTCTCTAATGTTAAAATTATAGAAGATAAAAGATAGTTATTTTTGATTTCCTAATCAAATAATACTATGGAAAATGAAATTAAAAAAATGAAGGAAGGTTAAAAGGAAAAATAAGAAGTTTTCTTTTAGAGCATGAAAATGCTTTAATAAGATGCTGATAATTTTTAATAGTTTTTGGATACAAATAAAGCAGCAAGAGCAGATGCAGAATTAAAATTAGAAAATGAAATTAAAGATAAAAAAGCAAAAGAGGCTATTATAAAATAACTTAATATAAAAATGACTAGTATAAGAGGTGAAAAATAAAGAATGGAAGAATTAATAACTGCTTATATTGATCATAAATAATTTTTAGATAAATTGGCACCAAAAGAATGGCATGATAATAAAGCAAAACTTAAGAGTTTGTTACTTGATAAACTTAAAGATAATAGTATTCTTGAAGGTAAACTCTAAAAATCTAATTAGTCTGATCAAACAATATAATAGTATGATAAATGATAAATTTTAGTTAGGAAGAATTAGAAGATTTTGAAGATGAATTTGAAATGTATTTTAAACATCCATCATAATTAATATCTATATTCAATGATTTAGAGGAGAGAAACTTATTCTTAATTTAAACTGCTCAAGAAACAGAATAAAATCTTGAAGAAGTTAAATCTAAATTTCAAAAATTGAAATAAGAAAAAAATATTAAGATATAACAATTACATGAACAAAAAGAAATCTTAAAAAAGAAATTAGATGTATTAATTACACACATATTAATTTTAGTTAATGACATAAGAATTAAAAGATATGTAATTAGGAGGTATAATAAAAGCATCAGGAAAAGAATAAAAAGATTTGGGATAATAAATAATAGAAGTTTATTAATAATTTCAAATAGATATGATACAAGTTTAAGATATTTAAACTAGGCCTACTTTATTTATATTAGGCTTAATAGAATAGTTGATTGAAAAACTTTTAAAATAAGTCAAGACTTTCAAACCTGAAAGAGTATTTCATTATGTAAAAACATTTTGAATCGTAATTAGAAACAAGAAATTGATAATAAAGGAAAAGCAGATAAAAGAAAAGAAAATGCTGATAGATAACGTGAAGAAGAAGCTGCAAGAAATAGAATCAATTAGTTGAAATTAATGTAACCAAGCAAAAAAAAGAGTGGTAGACTTAATATGTTCAGATCAAGACCAATAGAAAAATAAGTAGAAATAGCCTAAGAAAATCATGAGGATGTAGATACTGAAGATTTCAAATATTTTGAATGATATTCACTTTATGTATAATAAGAGTATATCAAAATAAAACTAGTTTTGAATAATTTATCACTAAATTTATTTATTATTAATATAACACCATAATAGAATTATTATTAAGAAAAAATACAATTACATAGGAAATTTTATAATAAATTATAATCTTCAATCTTCTTTAATTCCAATATTATAATGTCCTGGTTTAATGAGCAAGATGATTTTTTAATCATCTTCCATGCCATATTTATTTACTATAAAATCGGAATTTGTGAAAAATATGAGTTGAATAAATCTAAGAAAATTTCTTATTAAATTACAGTTTCAAAAAATTTGCTAAAGATGATATTACTATTTCATTATCATTGCATTCAACTTCCCACTAGAATAAAATTTATGAATCAAAGTTATGATTAATAAGTTAATTCAATTCAACAGCCTTATTTGCTAAGTTTCTAAAAAATATAGTAGTCAATCCATATAAACATCCATCTATTTATTCATTTTCTTTTTCATATGCTCTAAATTCTTCAAACAATCTCTACTTTCTAATATTTATATCCTAAATTAATTTAAGTCTTTCTAATCTATAAAAAAATTCATTTCGAAAGGCTTGTTAATTACTTTCATCTATAATATTTTCATTTTATAATTTAATTTAAAAAGGTATTTGATTTTCATTAAGAAACTTGTAAAATTAATCATTTGTATATTTTAATAATAAAATTTCTAAAAACTAAAAACCAAATGCAGTATAAAAGCAATTTCCATCTCCTCTTACAGCTCGATATGCTGTACATATTTATTTTAATTGTTATTTACTCACTAACTTTTTTACATTATACTATTACAAAAAATCTGAAGATTAATAATACTCACCCAAAAAATATTTAAAATTATTTCCTACATTTCTTTTTCTACAACTATTATCATATAAATAATTAATTGTATCTTAAACGAACTTATTTCTTTATGTATCAGCTTTAAAATGAGAAGGTGTATTCAATTATATTGATTATTAAATTTTGGAATTAATTGAAGACATCTGTCTATTACTGCTCATCTAATCTGAAATAATATTTATTTTGCAATGTGCTTCATTATTGTTTTATATTTGAATTTCTGTTTGATAACCCTTTGGACCAATTGGTTCCAATTCAAAATTATCTAGAAATTCTATTTAATTATATGGGATACAGTGCTAGTTTTCCGGATTATTAGACTTGCAGTATTTTTTGACTAAGATAAATACAATCAAGAAGACTACTATAATTCCTACAAAATAGTAAAGCAATTATGTCATTCAATTTCTATTTCTATTACTTTATTTAATAAATAGATGTTATTTAATATAAACATAGTAAAAGTATATAATTAAGGGAGAAAGTTTGAAGTAAATTTAATTTTTAAAAATTATAGATATATGAAATAAATTAGATATTATGATAAAATTAAGATATATATAGAAATGATAAAAAGATAGTTTAAATTAAGTTTGTTAATCTAAAATTATTGTTATTTTTAAATGATGATATTAATAAAGTCTCAAATAACTAGTGCAATCATGGATGATATTTAAAATGAAAAAGTGTTATATTTATTAATTTTCTGTATGATTAATAGAAATGTAATAAATATATTATAGAAATCAATAATATTACAATCTAATATTTGAAAGAATAAAAATATTATAAATTATTAAATTTCATTATGAAACTTGATCTTGATATTTATCAATGGCTTGTCAAAATAAATGTTATATAAGAATTACCTATTAACAATTTATTTGCTCATGTTGATTAAGCTTTGGAAGAACAATTCTTGAATGGAATAATAGTTAGTCAGATTCTTAAATAATTTGATTAAAAGATTGATGTAGATGTCAAAAAAGGTAATAGCAATGGAATACGATTATACAATTGGAATAATGTATGTAAGAGTTTACAATAGATTAACATAACACTAGATGATGATATCAAAAGTACATAATTTCCATATATGTAGTTTCAATTGTTAAAGGAGATACTTAGATGTTGATGTAATTTTTGAAAGAATTAAAATAACATTATGAAATGGCATTCTATGTAGAAGAATAAGTAAGTACAACAACTAGATTTGATTCATAATAAAATGAGCCTTAAGAAATAGGTATTGATGAAATTGATCCTGAAAAGCCGCTTAATCAAACATAATCACTTTTAGAATTCATCATAGTTTCTCTTTGCAAACATTTTACATTAAAACCTAAGTAAGCAGTAGCCTTACTTAATTAAAATTATAAATAATTATCAAACATCTTGATTAAAGGCAACAAAAGTTTCAAGAGTGTCACAAATTGGTTGATGGAATTGTCTAAATACATAAATCATATTATTAAATTTGTAACTTACAAAATAGATATATTGTTATCTCTTCTTAAAGCTGGTTTGGTTTCATAAAGTTCAGATGTATGTTATTGGACATTATACATAATTGAAGGAATTTTGATAAATTTGCCTTAAAAAGAATTATTGGAAGATGTATATGCTTGGTTAATAAGAGAACATGGAGGTTTAATTGTATTGATTTTATCATAACAACGTCATCACTAATATTTAGAATAAGTTTGTAAAATATATAGTGTAGTCTCTTAATATAATGTTGTCGATTTCTTTGATGTTCAATTAAGAAAAATATTGAAATCTGGTAAAGAGTACATCGATTTTATTAATGGGATTATCTAAACAATTTAGATTAGAGATTAAATGTAAGAATTGAATCTTTTTGAAGTATTTGCTTCTCATGCTGTGAAATTATTTGAACCTTAACATACTTCAATGGAGCGAATGACAGCTCTCAAATATTTTGAACATTATTGGATATTTTATCCATAATAATTTGTTATCAAGTAAATGGAATAATATTTGTTAAATTCAAGAAAAGCTACAAGAGAATCTAGTTTTGCAATGAGAATATTTACTTATCAAAGTTTATTTAGAATTCTAGATAATTTAGCTCTCTAAAAAGACAAATATGCAGCTTTGTTATATAAGAAATTAGTATTTTCTCTTATTGAAAACTTTGATTAAAAAGAAATAAGAGAGTTTTTGGTAGCCAATTTCTTAATGTTAATTAGGAAATACTCTACTATACCAATTGATATATTAATTATTCCAATGGTAAAATAACTATAAATTGAATAAAATGAAATATAAATTAACATAGTTGACTTTCAATTATTAAAATCTGTTTGCACTCATCCAAAAATTGATATTAATATGGCTATTTTAATGCTAGATATGCTAAGTAAATTATATTTAAGTTCTATCATGTTTTATTAATTGGCTTTTTAATAAATATAATTATTACTTACAAGATTTATTAAATCAAATCCAGTTTAAGAATTTACATTTAATTTAGTTAAAATTGCAATATCAGAATATTATGGCAACTATTAAGAACATATAAAGAGTAATCCAAAATCCATTTTGAATAGAAACCCAGATGAAAATATCAAAAGATAATAATTTAGATCTTAAATTATATCTTTAATTAAATTTATTATCAATCTTAGATCCTTTGAATTGAATGAATTGATTAAACCTGTTATTGCTCATTTCTATTTGGAAATTTAATAGGTATAATGAATAATAAATATTTAATAGAATTTAAAAACAGAATCTAAAGCTCTATTTATGTTATTAGGACATTTTGGTGATCCATAAGAAATTCTTTAGGAAGAATCAAAAAAATAAAAACAGATTATTTAATAACCTTAAAACCCTATCTATTAAAGTTAAATTGTAAAATCTTAATTGTAGGGATCAAAAGTATCCCAAGCCTAGTAAAATTTACCTTATTAAAAATCTAATAAAGGAATTATATCTTAAAAAGATGATCCATTTAGAGAATTAAGAGATGATGCAAATAAACCAACTTTGACTATGCTTGGAAACTTATCATTAAATTTTGATGAATAGTCATTATTGAAATAATTTGAATTACTTTGAAATATGTATTATAGTCATATTTATTTATAAATCAAACTAAACTTTACTTTTTTTCAATGATTGACTAAATAAAGATTATACTAAAGTAAATTAATTCTTTAGATCATTTATTATTATAAAATATATATAAAGGTTTACTAAAATTTGAAAGGTAAAATACTTAAATGTAGCATTAAATCCTTTAGTATAATTATTTGCAGGTTCTTTTATCCACAATTATATTCATTCTACTTTAAAGTAATAAATTTATAAGATGAGTTTAATTATTTTCTTAATATGAAATAACTTCTATAAAGTTTGATTTTCTAATTTTACTTCAGTTCTTAATCAATATTATTATAATTAGATAATTATGAATCAACATAATTAATAACTATAATTATCGAAATGAATTATGATTTATTGAGATTTTTTTAACATGCAATTTAATATATTTAGACAATATTTTTATTTAAATTAAATGTAAAATTAATTGATGCAAACAACTTGTCTAAAGCATTGCACAAATTTAAGTCTGAATCTACAACTAGAAGCTCCAGAAGAATTGTGTTTAAGAAGATGTTTATCAAAATACAATGAAGCATTAAAATTATTTATAAAGGAAGAGAATACATAGTAGAAAACTGAAATCTAAACTTAAACCAAAGCAAAACCTGAAGGAAAATCGATTCTTAAAAGATTTGGATTTTGATAATCAAATGAAATTTTAAATAAATCATTTCTTTCCTTTCTTTTTCTTATCGTCCTTTTTTGGTTATAATTATAATAGTGGTTCTTCAATTGCTCCAATATCCTCATCAACTGTTCTTGCCAAATAACCCTCAAATTCTAAGGCCAATAACTATTCTTCCTCATCAGCTATTATTCTATATATATAAGATATACGTGTTGCTGGAGCCTATAAATAAGCTAGAATGTAAGTTCCTTTATCACTTAAAAATGTATTTGCAATTCCATCTAATTTTGTCTTCACAAATTTACGTTCTCCAGTTTTATCACATAATTCAATCACTAATTAATCATTATGATATTTCTCATTCAAATCTTTAAATTTATCTAATGTCACCTTAATCTTGTTCAATTTATCAGTATACTTTGTAACATACTCTTATTATTTCTCAGTATCTTTTTACAATTCTAATTTTTCTGCTTCTAAAGGATTACTTGGAGGAGCATCCTTTCCTTTCTTTTAAGGAGGTGGTTTAGCTCCTTTTTTATCATCCTAGATATAAACATGAATATTATAACTTTTTTTCCAGTTGGTGCCTCCAATAAACCTTCTTCCTATAATTATTAATTGATTGCTGTAATTCTCTTCTCATTTGATGATATTTTTTATTAAGCAGTTTTTTAATCTTTCTAATGTTATTCTTCTTTGGCTGTAAGTAACTATTTTCAAAATCCTAGATCAAATTTACTTTAGTTATTTCTTTAATTGCTTGAGTCCATATACAATCTAATAATGTACTGCCTAGAACATCTATGGTAAAAACCTTATATTGTTTATAACCAAATAAGATTAAAATAAACATTAATATTATATAAAAATGGATAAAGACTTGATAATTGATTGCAATTAAAATAAAGAAACTATTGCATAATATCTAAATCAAACTCGAAAAGCCTAAAATGAGATCTTACTCAAAAAATCTCCTTAATATTTACATTATCAATCATCTAAATATGGAATTAGATAACCTATTCAATTAAAAAATCCTCTTCTCATTAAATCATTATTTTAAACTAAGAAACTCTTTAAAGAGAGAGATACTTCACTTCCTATTTATACTCTCAAGACTCTACCTAATTAACCAATCCTTTCATTTTAAACTGATCGTATTCATGGCAGATGTCCTGCATTCAAAAATTTTCGTTTAAAATCAGGATTAAAATAAATAAGAAATTCTCCTGAATAATATATAAGAATTGAGACTGCACCTGCAATGTGTAAAAGTCCAGTGACATAAAAGACAACTCTTTCAAATATATTTAAAACATAAATTTGTAATGAAAAAAAACCAAAACCAAAAGAATTCTAATCAAATTTTAATAAAAATGAATGGGGAATTGGAGGATGGAATATAATTGACGATAATTTTGATACAAAGCTATTCATTGAATGACGCTTGAATCCAATTCATCTACTTTTAATATTGAATTGTCATTTATGTTACGAAGTACCTTATTCTCTAAATCAAGTTTAAATTCTAAATAAGTTGGACTAAGCTCTTTTATATTTAGACCTGCCTATAATGAAAGTCTTCTTCCAGCCTAAGTCATTTATTATGAAATCTTTTCAAATTAAATTGACTTCTTTCTAAGCTTCTCAATTTATTCTAAATTTAACTTATTTTTTCTATTTTTGTATGCCAATTATTCCAAATTAGCCGAAACATTCAAAATAGGAGTTTCATTTTATTTATTATTCTTTTATTAATTCTCTTCATTCGAATCATTTGAAGAAGATGATGAATCTGATTCACTATCAATTACTAAATCAATATCATTCTGATTTTCTTTTAATTCCTCTATTTCATTTAAATTTGATTTTTATTCTTCCTCAATTTATTATACCTGAATATTATATATTTCCCCTTTTTACTCTACTTCATCTTTCTTCTCATCTTCTACCTTTTTTTCTTCATTAGTATCCTAAATAACATTTTCAATATTAATGTTATTTATTTCAATCAATTTTATTTCTTCTTAATTAATTTACATTTAAGATCCTAATTTTTTTTAATTCTCACATTATTATAATCTTAATTCCCATTTAGTTCTTTCCCAAATTTTAGATTATTGCAACTCTTAATTAATTTCTAAAATTTATGTATCATATGTAATATAATCCAATTCTTTTGTGATTTTTGTATTTAATTCCTATTCAAATGAGAAAACTTATCTATTAAACATAGAATTAATGTTGTCTTATATTTTATAGACCTTTATAAATTAAAATGCCCAAAAGGGATGATAATCATTTAAGGCTCTTTCAAAAATATAAAATACAATTCTTTCAACTTAAGAAGAAAGAATATCAGATTTTGAATAAATATTGCACAATCTTATAATTGATACTAAAATTTAAGCTTAATGCATAGATTCCCATAGAGAAACATCTGTGATTCTAACTAAATTATCTATAATCTAATGAATAGATTTTAAATTTTACTTCGATTAATTTGATAATTAATTGAGTAATTTTTTAATTGTGATCACAATGATCTTTTATTATATTATTGATAATGTGTAAATTTGATTTGATTACTTAATAAAATTAAGTAGAATGAAATTATGTAGTAGTTTACTCTGACTCCTCTTCCTCTAAATCTAAATTTTGCAATTCATTGGAATAATAATTAGAGATAATAGAAATAATGTGAGCAGCATTTTTGGCAACTCTAATAATATATAGTAAACGAATCTTACATTATATTATTTAATTAAATAACTTCAAACATTTTAGTTAAAATTTAACTGGTTATTATGAATTCTATCAAGTCTTATTTTTTTATCTTTGTAAAGAGTTCATGTATGACTTATGTAAAGTTTATTGCTTGCAATTCTGTTAATTAATCAAATTCTTAAATGCCTTTACTAAGAAATGATTCTTAGTATTAGTTTCTGCGACTACCCATCATCTCTGTAATAAGTTAGGCTACATATGTATATTCAAGATGATGATATAATTAAATTAACTTATCTTATTGACTATCTAAGAGAGTAGACTTTTCTTAACTAATGAATGAGATTATGCGTAATGCAAAATACCATTGTATTTCAACTGTTAGTTCATTTTTTAACAATTAGAACACCAATTCCCAATGAGTCTAAGTATAAATAAAATAGAATTACCAAAATTTGAGCATTAACCTTATCAAGTTTAAGCTCAAGTAATTCCCACATTATAGCATACTAGTTAGTTAGTTATTCAAAATGCTCACTTAAAACATACTTATAGTCCATAAACATAACTTCTAACAAACCCTCAGTACCTTTAACCAGAGTTTCAACAGCTAATGTGTCTCCCAACTTTGCTTGTTTGATAAATAAATCTTCATCTAACAGTAGCAAAATATCCCCTTAGGTCTTGTCTATCAGTTATTTTAATGGATTTTATGGTTGACGATTATAACCTTCAGGCCACAGAAACATAAGATAATGTTATTATTATTATAAAAATACTCTTTCAAATATGTTTAAAATACTTCTTTCCTCCATTTATTGGACTATCTTTTAAGTGTTTTTCTTCTTTAGCTTTAATGTAATCATCCCAAAATCCATCATCATTTATATAGTAATCAACTGGTATATCATCTACTCTCTCTTATTTATCTACTGCCCAATCAGGTAAAGGAACATCATCCTTAGCAACATGTCTTGGAGTGTGTGCTCTTTGTTCTAAATACTTGAAGACAACATCAGGATTCTAAATAAATAATTAACAATTAAATATACAATAGCAGTATCGACATGTTCATTTTCTTAATCTTGCATCAATCTTTCTTCATCAAATCTTGATACCATAGGTCTATATCCAGATGATCCTTAATCATAAACTTCTTGATTTAATTCATCAAATTAACAAGATAATCTTGCAGCATAATTCAAAGAGTTTTCTTTTTCAGCCAAACTCATTTAATTATTAGCAAATTCCAATCCTCTATATACATTCTTAACATTTGGATTGTCTCTAATATGTTTAGGTAAAGTTTAATAATATGTATTTAAGGATCCTGATTTAACAGGTACACTATCCTTTTGTTACACTTTACCTGTTACACAATCTTTTAATAATTCATATGCTCCAAAAGATCTGAAGAATGACCATCTTTCCAAATAATATATTAATTCAGTCTTTTCCAATGGAAACTTTTCAGGTAAAGGTTAAACTTCTCCTTCAGGTATATGAGTTTGAATTTTGATATGAGTATTCAAACCCAAATCTTTTATTGGATTCCTTTTTAATAATTATTCCATCATTGTTTCTTAAACAAAAAGTGCTGGTCCTGGTGCTACAGTTTCCCAATTTGACTCTTCATGTACTTCTTACTTTAATCTTTCTAATCTCTCTTCTAATTCAATTTTAGCTAAAACTCTTTTTGACTTTGATTTATGACCTCTTTTATTAGTAAATGCTTCAGGTAATTTACCATAACCTTTTCTTACTAAATATTCAATTGCTCTGACTGTTTTCTAAGTATGATTTTCTCTAAACCACTCTATAAATTTGATATTATATTTTTACTTGTAAATCCTGGTTTATCTTAAATAGGATATTTGCCTTAATCTGTACCTGGATATCTCTTAAATTATTCCATTTTTAAATCAATTAACATTGGCTTCTTAAATCTCATATATTTCTTCCATTCAGCCACATTTCTAAATTTATAGATATTTTCCTTCACATAACGATGTTCTCCATTCACAAAAAATCTTCTCAGCATTCTCTTACCTTATTTTCTTTATTTATCAAGAGTTGCCAAGAATTATTTTGGCAATTTTGTGTCATCAATCACTTTTAATAATAATAAGAATCAATACACAATTCTCCCTTGCTTTGTAATTATAATACTTCTGCTTCTACTTTATAATCTTCTCCCAATTATTTTACTTATTTATCTAATGCCAATTATTATGCTCTATTAAAATGACTGTAATTGTCCTTCTCGTTGAGATCAATTACTTTCACTTTTTGTAATAGATACTTTTATTTTAATTGATCATTCTAAGGGATTGTTAATTATGGTTGAATTGGCTTAGGTTAATTTAATGAGCTTTTGTCAACTTCTAATAATTTATTGTCCACTTGAATCACATTCTTTTAATTCGTTTTGTACTTTTTCAAAAAAGCCGAAAGCGATTAATCTAAACGTGAATAACTTAGACAGAGTTTAAATCTGTACATAAATAAATTAATAAAAATCTCAATAATCTATTTTTACAATCAATTTATTGCGTTTTGATCTACGCTTTCTAACGAAATTCACATTCATAAAATCAGTAAAATTCTGTGTCTCTTTGAAATGATTGAGTTATTCAAGAATCTTAAAAGAATTCATATGTGTCATGTAATTTTAATAATCCTGAAATTTATCAAATTTCTCAAAAATGTCTTTGTATGTACCCATATAACATTATGTGATTTAATCAATTCCAGGACTAACACCTTTTGTCTATTTAGTAGGGGATTTACTGCTACTCTATGAAAGAGAAGAATTTTCCTTAATACTATCAGCATCAGATTTTCTTTAATCTTAATCTGAAGATGTTTGGTTAATTAATTTGAAAGGCAAAGACTTTGCCACATCAGTAGAAATTCTATTTTATTCAAAAGTATTTAATTCCTCTTAATTTTTCAATTTCATATTATGATTTATTTCAGAACTTTAAGCCTCTGAATGAACAGCAGAAACATTTTTAGATTAATCATCTATTCCTGTTTTAATTTTATCTTCAGGCATTGATTTAAAATTGATATATTAGCAATTCAAAAAATCAGGTAATCTTTTAATATATGAGGATTACTTTCTACCTTTAATTCTTAAGACAGATGGTTTTCTCTTAGTTTATCTTATTTCATCATTAACTTATTTTTATAAATTATTATTATTATTTTAGAGCTCTTTTTATAATTATTACTACTTGAAGGTTTAAATTTAATATTAAGAACTGATTTATTATGATAATTTAGGGTCTTACAATAGATAATAGAGTACTGTATCAGATATCTATGCTTCAAAAATAAGTGATGATAATCTTCTTTTTAAATTGTTTCTATTGTGAAATTTCCTTTCTTAAACTTGATTTTTACGATATTAAATAATAATTTTAGTTTTATTAGGAAAACCAGTTAACATTGGACATTAATATAACATATGTGTTGATTTATTACATCCAACACAATGTAAATGAAATTCATCAAATCGACCAGAAAATTTTACCAAATCTTTCAATTAACAATATTTTTCCTATATTTAACAAATTTAATATACATATCCAAATTTTTTGGCTATTATATTGAAATCTAATTTTGATATTTTCAATATTCTTGATGATTTAGTTGATCTACAATTAATTTCATAATTCTAATCTAAGAGAAACTCTTGCTAACCAAATATTTCATCTTATCCTGATATTGTCTAAATACTTAAGATAGTAGCAGATCCTTCTGGAATTTCTACAAAATATTCTATTTCACCATCACATAAAATGTATAAATAATTACTAGGATCATTTTTTGAAAATATTGTATTAAATGGAACCAACTTTTCCTCAATAAATTTAGATGCTAAAGCAGATATGAAATCTTCATTAAAATTCTCTTTAAAAAAAGGAATCTTAGATATACTTTTCATATTTAGATCTATCATCATTTCCTATAATATTATTTATCTTACATTATGTAAATGAGATGGTAATTATTAATTGAATTTATTAATATCTAATTAATTTTCATTTTTTTAATCTTTCCACAAATATTCAAAAAATCTTAAAATCTTTATTTATAATTTATTATTATATCCTCTAATTCTTAAATACTATTTAAGATCATTCATATCAACTCGAATTTAGTGATTCTTAGATTACAATTATCCAATTGTCTAGCCAATACAATTAATTGAATAACCAAATGTACAACATGAAAATATAGCCACAAATATTAAAAAAGTTTTCTCTATCATATTCTAGGGTGCAATATCGCCATAACCAATAGTAGTCATAGTGATTATACTCCAATAAAATGTATTGAGCTAGAATATATTATTTATTTACATATTTTATAATCCAAGTTTCATATATTAGATCATTTTATATTAACCAAGATGAATCCTTATTTAAAAGTCCTACATAAAATAATCCACAACAACAAATATGGGATTCATAGAGTATTACATAAATCAGACGTATCAAATCATATATGATCCAATAATTAGTTGTCAGTTCCACTCTATCTATTATTGATTCTGTAATTGTTGGTATTGAAAAAGCCTTTAATAGCATAAATAAATAGAGAGTTGAATTTTAAAAGGCTATAAAGTAAATTGAGGTTGGTACTAAAATAAACAAATTTATAACAAAGTCTAAAAGTTTTAAAGTTGAAATATACTGTTCTTGTAAAAGTTGTACCAAATCTTATTTCTATCTCTCACTAAATAGCCTGCTTCATAATAGCATGTATTAAGTTTGATAATTGTATCTATTATAAAACAAAAATAGGGGACTTTAAATAGATAAATTTCACAAAACTCATAATCTTAAGGTGGATAGGTATCAAAATCAAAAGAAAATTTAACTGTTATATACAGTACATTTAAATTGATAGTTACGAGCATAAGAATATTCCAAAACAGTAACAAAATTGATTCTGGTTCAAAGGTAAGCTTTATAGTAGTCAAATAATCCATGAATCCTTTCATGTAACAAATTTTATATAAATGCTATAATAAGAAATATTTAACACGAGATGATTATTGGGGTTTCTAAATAATCTTAATATATTACCATATATTTAAAGTAATCATTAAGTAGGTAATAATTGAAATCAGCTGCTTTGTCACCAATAATTCTAAACATATTTCTATCCAATAAAGAGAATTTTGAAGCAAAGGGACTACGAGTAATAAGTGATATAAATCGAAGCACTTGCATAAGTACTAAGAGTGCTCGATCTCTCCAGATTTTATTTTGAAATGAATTCATTCTATTAGTCTGTATTGTTTTCAAATTAACTGTCTTTAAAAATGCTGGTCTTAGCTATTATTTTGGGAGAGTTGGTTATGTTTTTAATGGAGCTCGTTCTGTAATGGATCCCAATTCTGAATTCATTTTTTCTAGAGCTCACTCTTTTTAATATGATAAGATAAATAAAAAAGGGAAAGAGGATTTTAAATTAAAAATAAGCTAACCATAGATAAATTCATTTTAAACAAAAATGAAGAAGGGTAGAAATGTAATTTGGATATTCAATAATACTTTTTTTATTTTTTATAGTTATATGAAAAACCTAAAATATCTCAATTAATTTTCTAACTTGAAATGTTATTAAGATATTTTTCTAATAAAACACCTCACTTATTAAAATAAATTAACGATAGTTAAAACTAAATAATGTTAATAAATATTAAAATAAATAATAAAGCTTTCATTTCTTTCTCGTATAATAGTCATACAAAACAATTTAAATTGCTTCTGGAGATTCTATTTCAGTTCTAGTCATTCCATCTTCTGGTTTTTTATTTGGATCAACATTAATGACCTATATCAATAATAGTTAATCATACTTTTCTATCTCTTTTATTTCTAAAAAGCAACCCTTGTTAACCAGAATTAGCATCCACTTTAAAATTTGGAGAATCATTTGAAACACACTATCCAGTTCTCCAATTATAATAAGATAGATCTGTTGGTCTAGGTTATAATTTTTTTTTGCCCTCAAAATATATTTTAAAATCTTCAGTTTTCAAACGATGTGCATAATCTATGTAACCGCTTACTTCACAATTAGCAGATTCCAATCTTATAAAAATAATTGTTAGTAATTTTCCATTCAAAACCTTTAACTCTCTATAAATTAACATTAAAGTAATACCTTTCAGCTAATGCTCTCAAAAAAGGAGATTTTTCAATAATAGAAGGATCACTAACTTCTGTATGTGCAAGTGCCTTAGTTTTATCTTTATTTTAGTTGAGTCTAGCTTCTTCTACAGCTTTCTTTTTGGCCTCAAATTACTCACGACTCAAAATTTCTGTCTTTGCATGATATCCTTATTCTTTCAATTATCTGGCTAATTCGATATCCTCTAAATAAAATAGATCTTCCTTTGTGATATGAGAATCTAAGTATTCCTCATAAGTTTTAAACTTATCAAGTGATGTATCATAAACTTCACTATCAAAATCTTCAGCAATCATCATTTTTAGTTTTTTTTTATAGAAAATATTATAATAATCAAATATTAAATAAATCCTTAAATGACTCATCGCTAAAATTGATTGCTTATTTTCTACCCAATAATTGATATCTGCTTCTATCCTCACTAATAAAATAATAATAAATAGATATTACTCTGTTAATTGCATTATTCTTACAATAGATAAAACATAATCTTCAAGATTTTCACATAAGAATCCTACATCATTAGCTAAGATATCTAATTTTGGTCCTGCTGAATTATGCGCTACAACAATAAGTCCAGCTGCTAACATTTCTACTAAGGTAATTCCAAAATGTTCATATTCCATGGTGTGTAATCCTATCATACCAGAAGTCAAAAGCTTTTGTATATCTTAAAATGGTAAATTCTTATGCATAGTAATATAATCCTATTTAAATAATATATATATATATATACTTGAAGATTCTTTCTGTTAATAGTATCTTAAATAGTTTAAAATAAAAGATCATCATCTGCATTTCTACAAGATCCTATCATAAATAGTTTTATAGATTGTGATATTTCAGAAGGTAATCTATCAACTAAAGCTTCAACAATCTCAATTTATAATAGATGTTATTTTTCTGGTCTAAATTATGCAAATGAAATAATAATAAATTAATTTGTAAATTATTTTCTCTTCATAAATGCATCTACTTAACAAGGTGGAAATAATTTAATTAATTAAGTTGATTTCCAAGTCTATTTCATATGATTATATGTCCAAGTTGAATTCACATAAGCAAATTCCACCATCTTTCCACATAATGAATAAAAAAAGAATAGGAATTTATAATACCATAATTTAAACTTTGTTTTTCTTTCTGATTTTGTTATTTCATCATCATTATTGTATCTTGCTTCTTTCTTCTCCACCTGAGAAATCATATCTGTACTGATGAATGGATAATGAACATAAGCAATCACTCTTACATTAGGTAATAAGATTTTAACAATAAAAAATGTAAATGGCAATCCTGTTGAATCCAAAAAGATATCTGGTTAGAAACTATTGATGCATTTCAAAGCGTATATCATTTAACCTATAATCTAACATAGTAAAGTAAATCTCTTTTTAGGTTCAAGTAGCTTTTTATTTAAAATAGGAATGAATTTAAGATCTTAATTATTAATTTGTGTGCTAAATCTTGTATTGGCTTTATCTATGATTGATTAATCATCAACTTCTTCTGCTGAATATACAACAATATTATGTTTTTATTTTTTTTACAGTTTTTCAATCATGCACATTAACACCTTCTCTCCTCCTCCTCCTGCATTACAGTGAGGATGTAGAAATGCTACTGTTTATTTTGAGATTCCAGTCTCAAAATACTCTTATTGTTTTCTTTATGCTCTTTACTTTGATAGAGTATATCTTTTGTAGAATATGAGACAAGAAAGAATAACTATAGAAAAAAGTGTACAATAAATTAACATTATTAATAATTTTAATTTATAAATAATAGGCTTGAATTTCTTTTTTTTAATTTGACATGTTAAACTAATAGAGTATATTAAATAATAGTTTATAATATTATATATATATTCAGCTTGGAATCAAAAAAGATAATGGTCCTTATTTAGGGACAAAGAAATTATCTTTAATAGATGAAGCTCTAGTTGTATTTGATTAAACAATCCCTTTTTAGTTTATTATTGTTCCAGTTTATAGACTCATTTTTCTTTCCTATGCATGTCCTTGACACGAATTATAAGTTTCAAATTAAGTACTATCATTGACTTATATTGAGAGTTGTTTTCTATTGAATTCAATTTGATGTATTTCAATTTCTTATGAGATTGGAATAGTTTTACAAATTTTACTTTCAATATATTTATGTTACTTAATATCTGAGAAATTAAGGGTGTTCAGTTTATTTTATAATTCTTAATTCATTTATAAATATCCTTTTAAATCAACAAATCTTCTAACTTGTTTCATTGCTCTAATTCTTTTTTCATAGTCATCCTTTACATCAATAGATTCATATATTGTTATAATATCTATAATAAGGAGAGTTATTATTTCTTTTAATATCGGAATATTAGTTTTCAGCATTAAAACTTCAAGTTATCTATTCATTTTAAAAATGCTATCTATCTTCTCAAATGCATTTTTTTATGATTTAAGATAAGAATAATATAAATGTGCTACAGATACCATTAAGACTTCTGCTGGATCTTTGGATTATTGGTCAATTAGTTTATCCGTCAATTAAGTTATCAAAAACTTATTTAATAGGTGTGTCATATATAGAGATTTAAGGGCATTTAAAGGTTTTTGAGAATGTTACAATCTTTATGAAATCTTTCGAAGTGCTACTTTGGGATCAACATTAGTGTATTCTCCTGAAAGACATTTATGCAGTATCTATATCATAATAATGTATAAACACTACTTATATGTGTTTTGCCTTAGGAACATCATCAATTAAGCTTTTCAACCAAGATGTTTCAACAATGTCTTTGTTAAAGATGGTCAAGTTTCTCTTAATATTATTAAACATATTAATTATAAAAGTTTTTCAGTCATTATTTTTTTGAACGTGTACAAGGAGGCAACTCTTTGGTAAAGGCTTCAAGTATTAACTTAGTAATTAAACAGCCCTATAACCAAAAGACATACATGAGAGAGGTATGGCACTCCATCCTAAGAAGTCCTTATTGGCATCGAGTACCTCAAATATCAAAAATGCCAAGTCTGGGCATCTTATATTGTATTTATAGATAAAATTAAATTAAGGATTTAATCCACTTTATGAGATGGTTGCAATCTGTGGTTTGTTATTTTATTCATCCTATTATAGACCTCGAATTGAAATTTTAATTTAAGGGTTTACCTTTGCATTTTAATTCTTACAATAAAGAAAAATATAATACATTCAATTATCTAAGATTATAGCCAACTAATAAACTAAGAGTGAAGGATAATTAAATAGAAGTAAATTCACTTATTTTTTTTTTTCCATCTGATCTCATCCATTATGGTTTCAATACATAACCTGATTCAATCCCTCCATTTTCCATAAATTTACACATATTGAGTAACATAGGCATATCATTAGTTTGAAAATTAAGTGCCACTATTTATGAACCACTATTAAAAGCTTGAATAGGATCATAATTACTAGAATCTACTCTTGAACCAGATGGATATATTCTAGTAAAGTACCTTCTATGAAAATCTAGTAAATTTTCATTAACTTTGCTTTCATCTAAAGAAGATATTTCCCAAACTGTTCTGTTTTATTATTTAATTGCTGCTCCAAATAAAGCTGTTATTGAACTCATCTTGAGACTTTCTGCTTTCTCTTTTTTAGCTTTGTCTATAGAGATATCTTCATCAGAATCAACTTTTAAAGGTGTTTGCACAATTTGACATCTTGGATTAGGTGCATCAAATTTAAATTGAGTTTCAATATTTGAGATTTTGTATTTAGGTCTTAGTGTAGTTTCTGTTTTTGTTTTATGGATTATTTTATTTGGTTTCATCTCTTCTTCTATTTAAAAAGGATTAATAGTATTTCTAAATTATTGCATAGGTAATCCATGATCTTGTCTCTTAAATGACTTTTAAGATCTTGGTTTCAAAGTAGTTGGTGTATTTAATTATTATTAATCAGGTTATATAGATAGACTAGGTCTTTTAATAATGTCAGGACTTTCAGAATCATCAAAATTAGGTTGAATTATATTAATTGGAGTTATTGATATAAATCTTTCTCGATATTATAAACTTGATTTCATCTTACCTCTATGTTTTATAATTACTGTGTAATAAAGCTTATTTAATTTTGGATAGTATTCTGAAGACTTGTAATCGTCTGGTAAAAGTAAGAGATTTTCATTTAAATATGTTTTTAAAATGTCTGCCATAACATCTTACTACTTAACACAACAATGAACTTCAAGGGAAAGTATTAATGGATATTTAGAATATTTAAAACCATATTCCTTTATTGTTTATATTACAGATTCAAATGATATTTTTGAAGTCATTGTGAAACCATGATAAATAATTGGTTGATTATTATCTCCATCCCAACAATCCAATTCTACACATCGACAACCCTTTTGAAAAGCATTTATATAAGCTTGAATAGAACTTTCACTTGTCAATTAATCTCCCATTAGATAGGTATTATGAGAAGAATTAATCCAATAATCAGTCAAAGGATAATCTTCAGATTAATAGATTTATGTTTTTTGATAATCAAACAATTAATTGTAAGTACTTAGAAGATAATTTAAGAATTCTAAGAAAGATAATGAAAAGTTGTTTCCATCTTATTTGGCAAACAATCTAAATGCGTCTTCACATTATTTTTGATATGGAGATTATTCATTTGTTAAGAATTTAATAAATTCTTATTTGTTCATTTATTACACTGCATATCTATCGAATAGAAATCGTACGAAATCTTGATTCATCAATCTCTTTAGTAAATCTTGATAATCGGAACTAGAAATGAATCCTCTTCTTTCCAAATCATATTGATTAAACAGACTTTTTAGCTAAAAATACATTATGATATAATACTTCTTATTTTGTGATAGATAATTATGGTAACATTCCTTTAATTTATTTTAAGGTGATTTATTCAACTATTGGATTATCATTTGTGCTTTTTATATCTCTTATCAAATTATGTTCTGCCACATCAATAAAATATTATAAACCTTGCCAAAATAGATCCCTTTCATTCTTTGTATTAAATAAAATTGTATGCTTTTTACTCGCAAATGTTATTTAGAGAGTTCTTTGATAAGGTAAATTTTAGAATGACTCTGTTGTTGGTATTTCTCTTAATTCAATAATATCTAATAATGGTATTCTACATTATGCAAATGGTCTGCCTGAGTGTAAGTATTATAAATAATCCATGTCTTCTTCATATAAATAATATAATCTAGATATCGGTTTTCTATTTGATTTATTATATTTTTGGACATGACAACCATAAACAATCAAATTTACTGCAGCACTTAATGTTCTCTAATCAAACTCCTTTCTATCAAATTTTGATGCAGAACTCTTACGTCCTTTCATTGTTACTAACATCTTAATAAATTAATATAATTCAAATTATGTCAAATTTAACTTTCTCAGGAATGAGAACTCTTAAAGCAAGAGTTGATGAAGAAGATCAAAATAAAAAGAGACATCCCTTTGATCTTCAAAAATATTAATAAATTTTAGAATAAATCTCTACTACACATCAATTTGATATGGATCTTGAAAATAGACTCAATTAATTGGATTAAACTGAACAATCTAGACCAACTCTTGATAAGAGTTCATTTCTCAATAAATAATATGCAAAATACATTGAAAAAGGATCAGATTTATAATTGTCCAAAGTTGATTGCATAGATCCAGAAGATGATGTGTGTACTCATAAATAAACCAAGTCATTATTAAGCATAATAAAGGGAAGACCTGTTAAGTTTACAGAGTTCTATAAAATATTATTACAAGAATATTCAATTGAATTTCAAAATGCAGAGCAAAAATTATAATTTAAAGAAAATTTAAAAAATAAAATTGTTACAATTGATCCAAATATTGTCTCATTAAATGCTCTTCAATTATGTACTAGAGATAAAGGAATCAAGGGCTTAATTGAGGAAATAGCAGAAGAAACATATCAAGATATCAATAGAAAGGAAAAATAGAAGATCAATAATGAAATTGTAGATGAATTGGAAAATGTTAAATAATTATTAGAGAAAAAATAAGTTATGCAAATAAAAAAAGAAAAAGAATTAGTAGAATATGAATATTCATTATAAAAATTTAAATCTGAAATGTCTAACAGTATTTAATAGGTTTATGATATTTTATGTAAAATGATGGAAGAACAATATTAATAAAAATTGAGTAATTTAAATAAAAAGTTTAATAATTTAGAACATCAATTAAAATCTAAAGTTAAACTAATTGAACTTAAAGGATCATCAATATAAAAAAATAATTCAACTTATAGTTAAGAAATTTAAAGATTAAAATAGAGAAATACTTTATTAGAAAAATAAGTAGAATCTCAAAAAGTTAGAATATTAGAATTAGAAAAGAAGTTATCTCTTGAAAAAGATAATACAATTTAATTGTAAAAAAAGTTAGAAAAAATAAATTAAAAATTATTGGAATAAAAAGAATAAATTAAGGAATAAATATATCATACAGAATAAAATGAATCTTAATAAACTTTAAAATAATAATCGCAATAATAACTACTAGAACAACCTAAATAATAATAATAAGTATTATAAGATTAACCTAAAAAAAATACTAATAACTAAGATATTTAAACAAAATAAATTAAATTATTTTAAAGTGTTTTTGAACAAATATTTTTTGGATTAGACCAATTACAAATATAATTAGGTATAGATATTAACAAATGGAATCAAGAACTATTGCCATGTTGTTTATAAGATAATTTAATTGACTTGCTTGGAAATTTAATGCAAATAGTAATTAATAAACAAGGATTTTCATAAATTTATAAATTGTTATTATAACTCTCTTCATTTTATTTCAAAAATACTTGTTCATCAATTAATTGCTAATAAATCGAAGAATTCATAAAAAATTAAAAAAAATAGTAAAATTGCAAATATTATATTGGGATTCATGATTCAAAAAATAGAGAATTCATATTGTAATTAAAAGCATTATTGGAAAAAAAAAAAAAAAATAATACTTAAGTGGCATTTATTTTAATGTTTTATGATAGGGATATATCAATATCAATAAAATATCTTTCTTAAGAAATTGTATTTATATAATTTATTTTAGTGTAATGAGGAAGTTCAAAAATTCATTTTAGATAATGGATTATTAGATGTTTTTGTGATAAAAATGATTGATGATAGAAATATGGTACAAATATTATTAGAAATAATTGCTTAAGGTTAATTTTAGAATTAGTTTTTATAATAATTAACTAAACATTTTGAAATTTTATTAACATTGTTAAATAGTTAAGATTTAGAATTTTGTGAGTAGCTATCAATAGTTTTGCAAAGAGTTTAATATTATAACAAATAAACTATTAACAATAATTTTAGAGGATTAATTGAAAAGAAAATGAATTGTGATTCGAAATATGAGTTGTTGAAATAAAATTTATAATTTATATTATAATGAATTAAGATGTTAATAATATTGCATATGGTTAAGGTTATTTAATCAATAGCAAAAATGATTAATTGATCCAAATTAATAAAACATATGATTCCTTTGTTCAATATGAATAAGCAAGAACCGAAACACAAAAGAGAACATAAATTTTAGATCCAACTATTTGCAGACTAGTTAAATTTACTACTAGCGAATAAAAATCTTTTTGTGGTTAACTATTTGGAATATCATTGCAATATTAATATAATGCGAAATGCGTTGGAGAAATAAAGAAGCTTAGCCAGTTTGATTGTCTATCTATAATTAAAGATGTCACATAAGCATTGTTGTTATTCATATCAAAACGAATAAGACATGGTCAATTAAGTCCTTAAACAATATTGGTAACATAAAATAATAGATACTAATTAACAGACATTCGATTTATAACTGACATGTATGAATACAAGATGCAGTTAATTGGATTTACAAATTAATGTTATATGGCTCCTATTCTAGTTTATGAGCTAGGAAAGAGAACAATGAATCCAATCTATAATTATGAGAAATCAGAAGTATCAAATTTCATTATTAAGGTTTTTTCATTAGGTTTGGTTATCCTTGAATTAGCATTATAATAATCTGTCTAATCTATATATGATTTATCTAAATTTACAGTTTCATAAGATGTAATCAATACATATCTGAGAGTATTGTCACAATAGTATTAACCTTCATTCGTTGATTTATTAGGTAAGATGTTATAAGTAGATGAGGAAAAACGAATTGATTTATATTAATTAGAAAAAATATTGGTTCAAAAACAAAATTTAAATATAACTTCTACTAATTCAGTAGGCAATCACACTTAAACTGATAATAAATTTGTAATGAATAGTACTTCCTTGAATAATAAATATCAAACTTAAAGTCCTTCTCCATCTTAGGGCTATATCAATAAATAACATACATAACATATTTAAAACTCATATAATACAAATAATTACAGTACTACACATTTAGAGAGAAATTAACAAGAGTAAAAAACACCTTAAACTTAAATGACTTTCTTTGTACCATAGAGATAGTAAAACAATACTTAATCAAATTATCATTCTAAAGCCCCTACACAAATGAATTCAACTTAGATTTATGAGAGATCAAGAAAGTAAAGTCCTGAAACTGCAGATTCATATCGGTTTAGTGATAATAGAAGAATAAAAACTGAATATGACTATCAAATTTCCAATAATATTCATTAGCATAGCTCAAGTAGTTTTATATCTCCTGAAAGAAAATAAGATAGTCAATTAGATTAATTATTTGATTAATTTGGAGAAAAGTTATAAAAAGTCAAATAAAAAATTCATCATTTAAGAATAAATACACCTACTTCTTAAAGTTAATCATAATTTAATTAATCGTATCACTCATAATTTGTGGAATCAGTAGATGAATTTCCTACATTTAAACCAGATTCTTTACCAGATAAAATTGATGTATGCATGGATCAAGGATAATTTTAAAGGGAATTTTAAAATTTATATTCTAAGAATTATGATTTTAAAGTATTGGAAAAACCTATTTATTATCCAAATTCATATTATGATGATATGAAGGGAGATGCAACTTTACCAACTTCAGGAACTATACATATGCATAGTAGTGGACCAGCCACATTAAGTGATTTTTTTTTGAGAAAAAAATGATAAAATTCTTAATATTATATTATTGTTCTGATCAATTCCATATTTAGGGAAAACTTTCTTATTAAAGTATTTAATTTATTTTCTCAAAATTAAAATCATTTTAACATTTTAATAATCTTTCATTTATCTTATATCTATTCTTAACTCACTAAAATATAGTAGATGTTTTGGAGATATTATTCAAATTGATATAGATATTAATTCATAATAATTAATATTAATCAAAAATTATAATTTTCATATTTCATCATTTTTTGAAATATTGTATTTAACTATTATAGATTATGAAACTATTACATTTTTTGCATTTAGACACAAAAACTTTACAGAAACAATCTGTCTCTCAGTGTTTTAAGTTAAAAATCTATTTTAATAAAATATTAATTTACTTGAACACAGATTTTACTAAACAATCTGCATAAGAGTTATAGTCCATTCCATCAATTTCATATATAATATAATCAGTAAAACATATCTGATAAAGACATGATATTTTGTCTGCGAATAGAAGGATTTATTCAAATGTATTCAATAAATCATTCTCACTTATCTAAATTAGATTATTTACTACATAACTAGAACTAAATTAAAAATTTAATAGAGTTTCTGTACTTGCAAAAACTAAATTTTTTAGTTGTTCTAATTAGATAATCTCTCCTTCTTAATCAAAAAAATCAGATGTTTCCTCGTGATTTTAAATGTATTTATAAACTTATTCTCTTAATTTACTAGCCATCGGATTTATGGAGACGTTTACTAATTTTAATTGATTTCTTATATACCAATAGCTTAAGAATTAATCTCTTCAATAACTCCTTCCACCAATTTTATTGAAGTGCTTTTATAAACAATTTCTCTACTATATTTACCTTCTCTTGATTAATAACATCCCATATTTAACTATTTTTTATTCTTTTGAGATAATATTATTTTTTCTAAAATATAATAATAGAAAAAAATATGTCAGCTAATCAATTTTAATAAAGACCATAATCTTAGCATAAAACCGAGAAAACTTTAGGGATCTATGCAACTTCCAACAAAGAACTTAAAGAGCAAAAATAAATTAACTTAGAATAAGTAATAGGACTTGAATATGTATCAAAAAAAGAGGAAAATGTAAAGTACCCAATTCATATAATCTAGTTTACATTAATTTTAGAATTAATCATATTAAAATGACAAATAGAAAAAAAAAACAATACCATCAAAAGAATTAAGATACAAATCATAAGTAAAGATTAATTAGGATATTAATCATCATCATTAAACTAATGGTGCAGAGGATGAATTATAGGTTGTACAAGAAGCAAGCCAAAAAATTACATAAAAAAAAACATTTATAGTCAAAACAGAAAATTTACCATGTTAATGTTAAAGTCCAATATTGTAGAAAATACAAGAAATGGAATACTAATTGAAAGTCTAGTAATAAGAAATAGAAATTTTTAGACAAAATTAATCAAAGGAAATATTACCTAAATCTAATTAAACACTATTAAATGAAGAACTTAAAAAAGATAACTTTTAACTACCTTAGTGTATTCAACTCTAAATCAACGAATAAAATCGAAACTACTATAAAAGTAAAAATATAAAATTATCAAAGAAATTGAAAACCAAATTAGCTAATTTATAAATAGCTTCACTCTAGAATAAAAATCAAATCAAAAAAGTTTAGAGTAATTAAAATAGTGGTAATAATAATTTCTATTTTATTTAGGGTAAAAGTTGATTCAGAAAATAAAGAGAAGAAAATTATAGATTTGGTTTAATAAGATTTAGAATGTGTAAAAATTGAAATTGAGAAAGCAGATAAATCTCTAATGTAATTGACGAATAAATTAAATTAAATAACTTAAATTCAAGAAACATTTTAGAGAGATTTAACTAAATTATAATAATTCTTGGGGGGAAAATCCAGATAACCTTAAATAAAAGAAGAATAAATTTGGTAATTTAATAATGTGTAAGTTTAAGTCAGATAACCTAAGAATAACTAAACCAATTAAATTGTCTAATGGATGAGAAAGCTAGAAATATATAAATTTATGTTGATCATCATTTAGAGAATTTATAATAAGCAATTGTATTAAGTAAAAAGTAGTATATGTTCTATTATTAAAGGGGTGAAAAATCTGAAATTTATGAAATTAAGGATGCATTACTTTAAGAATAAAAGAAGAATTTTGATTAAATTTTAAATCTTATTTCTACAGAAAAACTAGGAATTAAATAATAATTATAATTTTAATTAGAAACTCTATTTTAAAAAGAATATTAAATATAGAAATAAAAAAGTGAAGGAAATGCTTGTTCATCGAAACCTTAATAAAATAATTTTGTTGAATCAGATGGTGATCTTCAAAAAAATTAAATTATTTAACTCTAAAATTAAAATTAGAAGAATATTAAATTTTTGAGTATTAATGATTCAGTTTATATTGACTTTGATTTATCAAGATCTTAATCAATTAAAAAACATATTAATCAATTATATAATGAAAGTTCAAGAAAGAGAGATACTGAAACATAATATTAATTTTATTTGAGAAAAGTTTAATCAGAAAAAGAATTGTTTGAATATTATTCAATTAATAATCCCTAAACTTAAATGGAATTAAAAAAACATTGTCTCTCATTTAGATAAGTGAGAGGTGATGGTAATTGTTTTTATTCAGCATTTGGATTTTAATATATGGAGCTATTAATTAGATTTTCAGATTATGAATTTAGTAAATTTAAAGATTTAATTCTGGGTAAATTTTAATCTAAAATTACTTATTAAAATTTTAACACTGATCAGATTCCTAATTTTAGTAATTATTTGACTTTTGAATTTATTTATAGAATTTAATAATTAAGAAAAATTTCAGATTTGGCTGAAAGATAAATATAATTAGAGAAGGAATTTGCAGCTCATACTTAAGAGACTGAAGAAATAGATGGATGTTTATATGGATTAGTTATTATTTTCTTTAGAAATCTTTCAAATTATCTATATGAAAACAGCGAGATGTTTCTTGTTATTACTGAGAACAATAATATTTTAATTTGGGAGTAGGAATTTAATTCTACAGAATTAATTATATCAGAATTGGCAAAGTTCTTAAAGATGTAAAAATTCAATTTATTTTAAGCTATGTTGTTTTAATTTTTTTTGAAAAGAATGTATTTAAAGTATAAGAGTATGAACCAAACAATTAATATAAGATAATACTATTAATTCGTCCAGGCCATTACAACATAGGTATATAATGATGAAAAAAAATTAAAAGAATTTTTATATTTCATTTTTTTTTTTTATTGTTCTCTTTTTCTACTTATTCAATAATTATTTTATTTTGCTCCTCTATTTTTTAAAATAGTTATTATGAAGTTCCAAAGACCTATTGTTATATGTATTCCTCAAATTCATTAGGTTTTTTTTATTCATTATCATATTTCACTGTTTGATCTTAATTCTCTTACTCTTCATCATCTAAGTCTTAATTTTACTTTTCCATTTTCATTCTTCTTTTGGCATACTTTTCCTCTTCTTCTGAATCAACTTCTGCATTTTATTTATTCTAATTGGATAAGATGAAGTACATTCTAAGGTATAAAATTTGCTTAGGATAATGGAGGTACAAAAGTAGGAATGTCCAAAACTACATTGTAAACTATATCTAATCCATCATCAGATAATGCTTTAAAATAAAATAAATCATAGTGGGCAATATAATCATTGAGCCAATTTAAGAGAGTTCTAACTTCTAAAGAATTTAATTCATTCTTATGGAAAATTAATAATCTTTAGAATTCTTTGATATCATCTGCTTAATTCTTTTCTTGAAAACATTGCTTGATGTATTTTGTATTTCTGTAAAAGAAAAGATGCAGTAGCATATTTACAATTAATTCTTTTTTTTCACTAAATTCTTTAACAAATGAAACTTATGTCAAAGCGTACTCATTCATAATTTAAATATCTACAGGCCTTAGTTTTTAATAGGATTCTTTTCATACATTTCATAAATTACCTTCATATTTTAAATACCTGATTAAACTATCTCGAATGGATGAAATGTGATTTTATGTAAGTATTGATTCTGCAATTATAATCCTGATACCAGAAGGTAAAGACTATATTTCGATTTTTCTTGAAGATTTTTGTGATGATTCTGTCATTTTTCTTCCAACTTTCCTCTGGGTTGGTGTTTGCTAATTTGAACGCGGTGAAAACATAATATCAATTATTTTTATGATTGAATGAATAACTTTATAAATATAATTTCAAAATGTAAAATTAAAATCATTTGACCTTGTAAAATGTTTTCATTCTAGAATTATTCTACATTAGAGATAAGAAATTTTTTTAGTTTTTGTTTTAACTCAAACTATAAGGAGAATTTCTACAGAATTTATGGAATTAGTCTAAATTTAATAAAAGCATTATCTTTTATTATAATAGGCTATATTGAATAATTAGTCTTACTATAATCCACAGACTTCTATCTTAAAAACTGCTAGCCATTTGTTTCAAACCTATTATAATAATAACTAATACCCCTAGATCTAACTGAAGGAGCAATATTTTTACCAAAATTTTTGTCTTTTACAGTTTAATTGATTGTAATTTGGACCTTTTTCTATAGTTTCACCTAAAAGGTAGAGAGAAAATCAATAACAAATAATAATGGAAAAATTGATTATTATTTATACATTATAATAATGTTCAATTCAAATGAAAATTTGTTAGAAGAAAGGCTACCGTAATATTATATATCATTTTAAATAATCTTCATTTTTACACAATTCGCAATTCGCATAACAACTATAAATTGTTGATTTGTTATTCACAAATGAAAGTCCATCCCAATAGAAATAAAAAAGAACATTTTGTTTTTTAAGGGGAGCAATTTGATTATCAATGTCATCCTCAAAAAAATTATCCCAAATTGTGTTAATTTTATCATTTTACATTTTTGAAGGCATGCATGAGCAAAAGAGCCTTTCAAACTAATTAATTTTTTTTCAAATTACCTAATGCGATTCAAGCAAGTTAATTCCAAAGTATGGCCTCCTAATCAAAGACATAATCTTTTAGAGAGCTACCTTACAAAGCCATGTATTCATTAGATCTAAAAACATTTATAATGAATCACCTCAATTTATAACAAATTTACATATGTTTCTAATGAGTATAGAAAAACCTCCAATAATGTGCTATTTTCACAGATAATGAATGGACTTGTATGAAATAGTAATAGTTAGTGTTATTAATTTTAGACCATCCTATAAATATAGAGCTTTTACTTGTTTGGTGATTAAATAAAATCAAATTCTGCTTTATGGATACAACTTTCAGAAAAATGCTATGAATTGAAATTATATAAAATTATGATAAAAATAATATCAATTCTCTTCAAATTATAATTTCAAACAATAAATGTTGCTAGACTCTTTAAAATCATTTAATTTGCGATACAGCTATAACAACAGTAGGAAAATANTAATAGGCTATATTGAATAATTAGTCTTACTATAATCCACAGACTTCTATCTTAAAAACTGCTAGCCATTTGTTTCAAACCTATTATAATAATAACTAATACCCCTAGATCTAACTGAAGGAGCAATATTTTTACCAAAATTTTTGTCTTTTACAGTTTAATTGATTGTAATTTGGACCTTTTTCTATAGTTTCACCTAAAAGGTAGAGAGAAAATCAATAACAAATAATAATGGAAAAATTGATTATTATTTATACATTATAATAATGTTCAATTCAAATGAAAATTTGTTAGAAGAAAGGCTACCGTAATATTATATATCATTTTAAATAATCTTCATTTTTACACAATTCGCAATTCGCATAACAACTATAAATTGTTGATTTGTTATTCACAAATGAAAGTCCATCCCAATAGAAATAAAAAAGAACATTTTGTTTTTTAAGGGGAGCAATTTGATTATCAATGTCATCCTCAAAAAAATTATCCCAAATTGTGTTAATTTTATCATTTTACATTTTTGAAGGCATGCATGAGCAAAAGAGCCTTTCAAACTAATTAATTTTTTTTCAAATTACCTAATGCGATTCAAGCAAGTTAATTCCAAAGTATGGCCTCCTAATCAAAGACATAATCTTTTAGAGAGCTACCTTACAAAGCCATGTATTCATTAGATCTAAAAACATTTATAATGAATCACCTCAATTTATAACAAATTTACATATGTTTCTAATGAGTATAGAAAAACCTCCAATAATGTGCTATTTTCACAGATAATGAATGGACTTGTATGAAATAGTAATAGTTAGTGTTATTAATTTTAGACCATCCTATAAATATAGAGCTTTTACTTGTTTGGTGATTAAATAAAATCAAATTCTGCTTTATGGATACAACTTTCAGAAAAATGCTATGAATTGAAATTATATAAAATTATGATAAAAATAATATCAATTCTCTTCAAATTATAATTTCAAACAATAAATGTTGCTAGACTCTTTAAAATCATTTAATTTGCGATACAGCTATAACAACAGTAGGAAAATATGGAATTTCAAGAATACAACAAGGATGATGACTAGACGGAAGGGTTGACTTTTGAAGAAATATTAGATTAGGAGAAACTAAATCAACTTAATGAAATTAAATTTGAAATTTTTTAGATCTTTATTTTTCTGTCCAAATTCCATCCTTTTAAAGTATTTATTAAATCAGATGATGGAATTAAAAAAATTAAAGCCAACTTTCCAAAAATTAAACAATAAGAGTAGTGATATCAATCTAAAAACCAAAACAATAGCTTTCACTTGGATTGGCTAGAGAATTACAATTTTCAATAAATTGATCTAATTAATTACTTAAAAACTTATAGTTTTTTTTGAGGAAACAATTTAACATGTTGAGAACTATTTTAATATCAATGTGACTCATATTAATGAGAAAAAATTAGACTAAACATAACAATTAACTTTGCAATTTATCAAAAAGAAAAATAATGAATAAGATTTTTTCAATCGAAAACAAGCCTGGAGCTATCTACAATCTAAAACTACTTTTTTTTTTAAATAAGAACTAAGATTAACCTACAATAGTAATCAATCATAGAACTATTAAGCTTTGGGTAAATGGAAAGTTTGATAGATAAAATCATAAAATTCTGGCACTGCTTTTAATTAAGTTTTAATTTGATTATAAATAAGTAAACCCACACTGAAAATATTAAGGCATTCCATAATTAACTAGTGAAAAAAAAAAGATGGATAAGTTAAAGGAAAGTTATGAAGAATATAAAGATTAAAGTAACTTATTACAATCAGAATTCTTAAAGAAAAAAAAATCTTAAAATAATTATTATAACAAATATCAATCTGATGAGATTTGTTAAGAATGGAAAGATATTATCATCTACATATTGAATTTCTAAATATATTTTTTCTATTATAATTCCAAATAAAAAATACTTGATTCCTTGAAAAGTAAATTGAAATAATTAATGTTAGAAAATATAATGATTGACCTATATTTTTTGTAAATTTATTATTCAACATTATATTTAAATATGAATGTTATTTGTAAAATTTTTTATTTAAAACAAAAAAAATTATGTTAAAAAATTTAAACACTTAGCATAATTTATAAACTTTTATTAACACTTAAGCCTCAAAATTAAATGAATTATTTTATATTTATCAATTAATTATCATTTCATATTGTTTTATAGTTTAATCTTCAACTATTTAATATATCTAAAAGGATGTTAAAGTTGATACTAATCTAATTTATGATTATTATATTATTGTTCTTTCTACAATCAATATCGATTTTACTATGTTGGATCGCTTTTATTTGCATATTGCGGTTCCTGTTTTATAATCTGGATAACTGCTTTATAAAATTGAAATAGAAAAAGTTTGATCATTCAAAAAGCATTACCAAATGATCGATATTGTTAGTTTTTTAATTGCCGAATCAACAAATATTAATTGATCAAAGCTAGGCTAAAGGGAAATTCCTAGTTCAGATATCTCGATTTTATTTTATAAACTCTTATCAGATGAATATTATGTTGATTAAATATACCTTGTTCCTATGAATGCAGGAAGAGTAACTGAATCAATGATAGAGTTGCTGCAATCCTTTGGAACTCCATAAAATAATTAAAAATTTCGAATTGCCCAAGACTCATTATCAGCAAGTTCATCTAATGAAGATGTCATAACCAAATTTAAAGTTGGCTGTGTATGATCAAATTCAAAATCTAAAATTTTTTTATAAGCTTCTTTCTAATTTGAGCCACAAATAACTTGCACTCCAGTCTATCCAAATGATACTTAATAAACTTAAATTCCATTTGCAAATACTTTGAACCATTCATAATCCCAAGAGTCAAATTTCCAAAATTCTAATTTGATCCTTACTTTTGTGTGTTTAGGAAGATCAAAATTTAAGGATACTGAAGCATCCCTTCCGAATAATGATTATCCTCCTAGTAAATTGATATTGTCACAAATTTAAAATGGCCATTAATTATTAAAAACATATGATATGGTCCACCCAGTTTAAATTTGAAAATCTGAAGATTAGAAATATTGCTTCAACCCAAAAATCCATTTCACTAGATAATATTTATAGTATACCATCTACACACTCAGAATTATATAAAATATATCCAGTTTTGCATTCTGAACAGTCATTTTTATTTGGTCCAGAACAAATAAGGCATGTTTAATAGCATTTTACTATGAATAATCTAAAAGCCCTTAATCCCCAAGATCCACCAGACGAAGCTATGTTAGATTTCATCTTGATTTGAACAGTATCAGATGTATGAGTCTTCACTAGACGAATGTTTAATAACTTCTCTCCACCACCACTATCACCGCAAAGTTGAGCAAATTCAAATTAATTAAAAACTCCTTATGCACTAAGTTATCCATCAATTTCAATTTAAAATTAATTATTATTCCAAATATCAAATTTCCATAGCTGAACTTGCAAAATTACTTTGTAATGTGGATTTAAAGATGTAAATTACTTTGATAACTGTTTGCTTCCTGTAATTTAACCTATTCCCCCAATTAACCAAATGTTAACGCATGAACTTTTCCCAAGAAACTATTAATTATCAAGATTCCACCCATCAAAATTAAAATCATCAAACCAATTCATTTCAAATAATTCATATTCCCAGCATTCATTTGGTGTATCATCTTAACACATTATACAACCAGGTGAACATAACACACCTTCAACCTTAAACATTCTTAATCCCCAAGATTCCTTTATTAAATTACATAAATACTGTATATGGACTTTCATCTAAATTAGTTGTAATAATAACTGCCAGTGTTGGTTCTTAGTGAAAAAATTCCAATACATAATTTTTGTTATTATCTCTCCAAAGATCGACATTATCGGGATTCCCACATCTAACATCTGAGTAGCCCACATTCCAATAATCAGTTGTTGTAATATCATCTATAAAAAAATAAGCATATTCCTAATCCCAACTATCTATCCTACTTCTATTTATAGTAAATACTTCCAAAATTCGAAAGAAACGCGAACTTTGTAATGTGGTGGTAGAGAAATTAATTTGGAGATACTAGTTCCAGATCCAAACAGATTGAAACCTCCAAACAAGGACACTCCATCACAAAAACTAGTCAATTATCCATAATTTCCTTGGACAAACCAGCCTAAATATATTCCAAACAAACCTTCATTATCAATTATATTATTAGAAGTGAAGGCGCTGTACAGGGTATCCCAATATTCTTTTGCATTTAATTTAATGAAACATAATATTAGCACAACTAAGTTTATCATGATTTATAAAAATAATTACAATTAATCTAATTGAGTAGATTCTGGAGGACAATATTGGTTGATATATATTAAATACATAAATAAGGCGAGTGATAATGAAATAATCGTGTGTAAAATTTTACTACTGAGTTCAGTGTCTTGAAAATATATATTAATAATAATTATTATCATCAACTCAGTCAGTAATTGAGATCTTCATTTTTTATTCATTATAGCCATTTATTTATCCTACTTATGAAACAATTTCTGTTTAATTGCATTTCGTTCCTCGTTAATCACTTTTTCGTTCTCTTCTATATTTAATAAATAAACAACTTTTGGATGTAAAATTGAAAGAATTTTCTTAAGGTAATTTTCCATTTTCATGATACTTACTTATCCACACATTTGGCAATTATTATAATTTCGATTGAAGCTTCAACTAAGAATTATTTCAATTACTAAATAGATCATCTTCTATTTTAGCTATACTCAAATCTGTCAACTATGCAAAGATTCCTTTGTAATTAAACATTTTGAAAGTTCATCAACTTTTTTAATTGTAAATATTTATTATAATCTCTTCCTTAATAAATATGACTATCTAAAATAAGATTTAAATTCTTTTCTTAAAACATTGATATAAATATTATTTGGTAATTTTGCGAATGGCAAATTAGAAATTTGACATATATCTTTCTTTGCTAATTCAGGTTCACTTTTCAGTTTTAATCTATTAGTAATATTCTCCTTTGAATAAACGTCCTCATCAACATCATCACATAGGTTAGAATCTCAATGATAATCAAAAAGAAAGTCTAATTTGCTTTTTTCATTTAAAATACTTTATTATTGGTTTCGTAGTTAACATTTTAACTATTGTTATTCTTCATTATTAATAAAAGAATAATTTGCCATCAAATTTGAATTGCTTGAATATTCTTTTTTTTTCAAATATTAAGGCAACTTTTTTTCTTCTATGTATGCTTAGTTTTGTTAAGAAATGAGATAACCATCAAGTCAATTGAAAAATTGAAGAAATAGATTTATCATTCTAATGAGCAAAGTCCAGTTATTCATTAAAATTAAAGAAAAAAATGCTATATAGCAGAATATTGATAAGATTTAACAATATGATATGCAAGACAAAAAACAAAATAATTTCTATAATATTCATATTGATAATTATTTTTATTAATAAGTACCCTTAAATACTTAACATTAATATATTCTATTCTGAATTGAACTTACTATATTTTCTCATATTCTTTAAAAGAGATCAGGTTATTGCATGAGTTAAATTCGCAGAATTAAATTGAAACTTATTCAATATGAAGAATAGTTCTTATCAACTGGTAATATTTTTAACTAAAGTAGATGTAATATAAACTTGAGTATCAATTACTTTAGCTTGATTTAAAATTTGTAAAGATCCTGTAGTTTTATTAAATTATTATGGGAAAGTTTCTGGTATTTCAAACAATAATCTGGATTTCTAAATCTTCTGATAAATATTTAATTAGGATATAAAATTTTCTATAATATTTATTTGAAACATTTTCAGCACTCTTCCTTAAATCATTAGTTCAAAAATAGTTTTAGAAACTCTCCTAAAATTGTCACCTTACACTTTTAAGTATTTCAGTATAAAATTTTTTTACTTTCTGTTTTGTGAAATTCGAAGATAAATTAAAAAATAATTATCATTTTTTGCAAACTAATTCATAAATATCATTCCTTCTTTATTGTGATACAGGAATTTATTATCTAACTTATTCTAAATAATCTAAATCAACCTCACTGATTATGATGGCTGGGTCATGTTCACATGTAGTCAGTATCTTAGCCATAGGATCTAAAAATGTTGAATGGCCCCAAGCTTTGTAAATTGATTCATCTGTTCCCATATATCTAGCTGATGATACTCCTGCTACATAACATTAATAATCAACTGCTCTAGCTTTTAATAATAATTCCCAATGTAATGGACCCGTTGTAAGATTAAATGATCCAGGATAAACTAAAAAATGACATCCTTTCTCTCTCATAACTTGAGCTAATTCTGGAAAACGTATATCATAGCATATCCCTATTCCAAATATACCATATTCAGTTTCAACTATTGTATAATTATTACCTGCGGAAAAGGTTAATGATTCTTTGTATGTAATTTTCCCTGGGATATCTATATCAAATAAATGAGTTTTTCTATAGGTTGCTAATAGCTACCCATTGTTGAAACAAATTGCTGTATTGTACATTTTATCACCACTCTTTTCAGGAATTGATCCAATAATCATTATTCCAAATTATTTTGAAATTTCACCCATTAAATCAAGAGTTTACCTTTCTCCATTTTTCTCAAAATCTTCAGCATTGTATTGTAGCTATGCTTTCACATAGTAACTATTAAAGCATTCTCCAAGAATGCAGACTTTACTTCCTTGAGTTGCTGCCTCCTTAATTTAGTCTTTAACTAAGGCTAATGTTTAGGTTTTAGTGGCTGAGATTGCATTTTAAATACAAGCTATTTTAAACTTTTTCAACATTAAATTCTATATTTAAATAATAAAATATTTATAATATATTATGAATAAATATGTTTTAGGCCTTTCTCAGAGAAACTTAAAGGCGGTATTCTAAATAATAAAAATAAAAAAAAAAGCCTTTCAATGAATATTTAGTATTAATTACAATTTTATATTTAGTTGTTAATAATGATAAGAGATGAATTTAATACTACATTTATGGATAATTTTATTTGAAGAAAAAATGTAAGAGAAAGTAATTTTACAAATATATCTATCAGTATATTCATAACTTTTATAATTAAATCCTATAATAAACAAAATTATTTAATTTCAAGTCTTCCAATTTTTCCATTTTTGATTGATCATTGTATGTTACTTAAGAATCACTATTAAAACTTTAGCGCTTTATTTAGTATTAATTGCATTTATTCTCAGTTAAGCTAAATTTCCCATCTTCCAACTTTTCCCATATCTCTTTTCACCAATTTTGATTTAAAAAATCATTTTTTTTTTGCATTACAAAAAATAATAAATGTGTGATAATTTTACAGTTTTTAATAAAGATTATAAAAAATGGTTTGGATTAAGGCTAATAGCAGGCATGGTCACGATAATTCAGAGAGCATGGCATGGCTGCAATACAAGTTATTCATCAATTTAGAAATATAGATGATAATTTAGATAAGAGATTAATATCATTCTTTGTTTATGATTTTAAATATTTTTTAGATTTCTTTTGACAAATATCCAAAGTCTTCAATAAAAGTTTAGAGATATAACTGTTTATGAAATATTTATCTAACAGTTGAAAATGTTTATATTTATATATTACATGTTAATGAAAACCTATTAAAAAAAATGAAGTTTTTCCATTTATATCATGAAATTATTATAGAAATTATTCAGATTAAGTCAAGTATCATTATTAAAATCTCTTTAGGTTTAAATAATCTTTTCTTATGCTTTTTTTCATCTTATGACTTTAATCTCAACCATTTCAAATAAGAGGGATGATGTACTCTTGATTACTGTACTTTAATTGATTATTGTTAAAATACATTAGCATTTGTTAAAAAGTGCCTTATGAAACTCTGCTTTGATGTTACAATTTCCTCAATATAGAGTACTCATATTTAAATTATATTCTACCTTGAATCACTCTTATGCTTTAATATCTGTAGATTTTTATTATGATACTAGTTGACTAATAATATAAATATATTGGGTATAATTTTAGAACTTTCAAGAATTGCAGATGATTGATTAATAATATTAAGTTATTTAATACAAAAAAATATTGATCAAAATTTCATTTAAACTTCTTTAATAAAAGAAAAGAGTTATTAAGATTTAACAATTCATATGTATTTAGATTTTATTGTACTTTTTATTAAAATCACTTAATTTTTCATTCAACCCAACTTTAATAAGGTCTCAAAAAATGATTTTATGATTGTCGAAATGTTGCAGGATTAGATCTCAAATTTCTGTGAAAATTAATGGTTTATAAACTTTTTGTAAATTGTTCTGTTTTTTTTTATTTTACCTAAAAAAAATAAAATAAACAGATGGTAAAGCAAAAAGTTCTTAGGCAAAGAATGTTTTGCTATATACAAGATATTGATGAATCTAAGTATAAGGGTAACTTTAAATAATTGGAAGAGAGAGAGTTTCATACATCTTAGGATTTCTGACAAGCAATCAATATTTGATGAATCTTTTATAGAAAATAAGCAATATAAGCAAGAAATTAAAACAACTCATAAATGTGTTTAGCATAACCTTATGAAAGGTCAAGATATGATTTAATAAATAAATACCAAAATAAGGAGATCATTTCTAGTATTAAAATGAGCTAGAAAAGAAAATTTCATAGGGATTATGGGCTCGACTTGATAGTATGTATGAGAGTTATTTTGACAAAGCAATCTGTGGAAATTATTAGGATCAAGAATACTTCTTTGATTGGCGTAATTATTTTGGATACAATTTTAGTGGATCATAATTTTTTCAATAGATATTAGTGAATTTAATATGAATGGAACTTAAGTATTTAATTGCACATGATCAAATTTTAAAATTCATAAATTAAATAAATTCCATGGTCATAATAATAGTGTGTGATCAGTCTGTTTCTCTCCTGATGGAAATACATTAGCTTCTGGTAGTAGTGATAACTCTATCCGTCTATTGGATGTCAAAAACAAGTATTTTTCAGATTATAGATTAAAAGAAATTTATGTTAAACTAACCTATATTAACCCTTAATTTAAATCTATTTTAATATACTTCTTGTGTCCAATATTTGTTGATAGAGTTCTATTTTATAGTTTTTTCTTTTTTAACAATTTGAAGCATTACTAAAATGGAAATTAATTTAGCACATATTAAAATATTATGAAATAGAACTTTTAGTTGCATGAATGCAATAATATCTTAAATCTTTGTATACTGTTTTTTGGTATTATTCTTATCATAACGAAGCATTTTCTCTCAATTTATATTTAGAATGTGAATAGTACCAGATTTAGAAAGTAGATTCTACAACTAAAGCTTTCAGCATATATCATTTCTAAGTTTTGTAATCTTCTTATTTCTTGAGAGTGAATATATAAAATTCACAAAATAATATATTCTCAACTCATATTTAATTAACAGTAATACTATTATTTTTTATTTAATTGATCTTATAAACTTTAAATTTTAACAATGTTATTGAAAAATTTATTTTGGAAATTTAAGAGAAAATACCCATGCATTTAAGTGTGACTAATATGAACACTTTTTTATATATTTAAATAATTAATCGTCCAATTTATCATAGGAGGTTGTTATAGAGAAGATAAATTTTATTAAGATTGTCCATTGTGTTTATCAATACCAATAATTTCTACAATTTAAGTGCAATTTCTGAATTTAATTGTAAAATATAACCATTTAATGAGTTTTTAAAGACTTAAGGGATATTGTTTTTGGTTTAGATATTAATTAATTTTGTAAAAATCATTTTGAAGGGACAACAGTGATTATACATTTAGTAATAATTGTTTATTATTTGAACTACGAAAAATTTCAAGTTGAGCTCAAGTTAATCAATAATTAAGATTCATATATAATACTGTTAGAGAAGATATAATTGTCTTTTTAATCTTAATAATTACAAAATTATAATATTTTTTAATATGTTTTCAAAGTTTTTTAATATCTTATCAATTAACAGGTGATTGATACATTATCTTGAATTCAGAGTAATGTTAAAATTAATCAATATCATATTGTTTTAACTTTGTTATATAGTTTAGATTATGTTCTAAGATTAAATTTATTTTTTTTTTTCATTCTTGTCATATCTTTTTTATTATTATCTTTGTTATTAAATATATCTTTTACTATTTATAAAAACTAATTTTACAAAATTATTAATTATATCTATTAAGACTTATGTTTATAAATAGTAATTAATTAAATAAATTATCAGAATATCTTATGAAATAATCATGCAGTTTTGTTAATTTAAGGTTTTAATTAAGTAATTAAAATTAATCTTTATTTTAATCTCTTCATTTTGCTTAGTATCATTTAACATTAAATCTCTATAGATGTTAATTAATATCAGTTTTTTTTTTTAAAGGAGATCTCAATAAATATACCCTACATTTCCTTGAAAGGGAATATTTTTGAAAAACTTGTATGAATCTCAAGAAATCAAAATTAAGAATAAAGCCAAAAAAAGTTATAATTAAAAAAATATGAAGAATAAATTAAAATAATAATTGTAATGTTCTTTATGAATAATAATTATCACTTTTACTAAAGGTCTTCCAAAAAGCAACTTCCTTTTGATTT